ATCAAGATCATCCCTGTATGGTAAGAGGAAATTTCAAATAGATAAATAGCCTAGTGATATAAAATTTTAACTATAAAGGCATGGAAAAGGAATCGCTTTAGTTATTTTCAAGAATGGCCTCGAATGGGAAAATTTGGCGAAAATTTTTTTAAAATATTACCCTAGTCCCCAATGGATCGAGCCAAGTCAGCAATAATACGAGCTACTACGAGAAGACGAATACGAAATACAAAACCAAAATCGAGAAATGCTAATAATTTGAGGATATTTGCTTGTCTAATATCACACATAAAGGCAATTTATAAATGCAAAACGAGTTGATAACTTTGAAAATAGATAATTTTAATTGATAACTTAACCAGTTGATAACTTTTTAAACAGTATGGCAGTGAAAACAGCATGAAATGACCTTATCAGTGAATTCATGAATTGCTGGAACAGTAAAATAGCAAATTTTTTAAAATATCAAAGATCACTTATCGAAAAATCTCCATTTATATTTTTCGGTTTAAAAAAGACAATAAAAGGTTGAATGTATTTTAATTTTCATTTAAAAAGAAAACAAAATGATAGAAATTTTAAGAGAATCGGAAGTTTTCATTTTAATAAAAAACAATTTTGGAATTTTTCATGAAACTTGAAAAGATGAAAAAAAAATTTTTAAATGTTTACATTAATTTAGAAAAGTAATAATTCATTTTGTCAAACCAAACTTTTATCAAAAAGAAAAATTTTGTTTAACAAAAAATTATTTTCCAATATATTTCATTGATCAAACAAATGTTCATTTTCATTAGAATTTATTCTTTCATTAGAATTTATCAAAAGAGATTTCTATGAAAACCTTATAAAAACTGAAAAATTTTTTTATTTTTTTTCATATAATTAAATTATATATAAATTATAACTAAACAATTATAAAAAATAATATATAATCACTGAAAAATAATCAAGTAAATAATCCAGTTAGCTAAATATTTAGCCATTGCTTGCTTGTATCTTCATCTGGAACGGTATCTTCCACGAAAATTTAGCTTTTGTTAGTCTCCACGATTTTCTAATAGAGTCACCCATGTGATCTAAGTCCATTCCTGGATCGATCTGTTTCGCTTCCCGAATAGGATATTGTAGAGAACAATGAGGTGAGGCAACAAATGATAATAAAATAAATATATATTAAATTATCATTATATTATCATTAATTAAAATAGATTATTAAATATTAAATTATTAAATGTTCGGCAAAAAAATGAAAATAAAATGAAATTATTGCCTATTCAGTGAAAATTTTGTATATTTTTAAGGTTTTTCGAATATACAAAATCAACAAATTCTTTTCCAACATTCCAATATTTTTTCATTTTAATAAATGTATTAAAATCTGATAAAAATTTCTCGTTTAAATTTTCAACCAATGAAATTTTTCTAATTTTTTTCTCAAAAAATTATTTAAATAAATTTAACACTAAAAAATAATTATGAATTTAAACAAATTGAAGTGACATAAATTTCGAAAATAAAAATTGCAAAATTAATAAAATAAACGAAAAATGAAAAATGAATTAATTCTTGCTAAGTGAAAAAAAAAAATTTTGTGAAAATCTATAAAAAATTTTTTTTTCGTTTAATTCTTCGGGTTTTTTGCGAATCGTTGCAAATCTCGAGTTTTGATTTTCTAATAAGCTAATCCAATTTTCAAGAATCGTCGATTTTTTTTTTGAAAGAATGATTATAAATTTGAAGACGACGAATATTCTTATACGAAGAATGACTGAATAAAAAAAAATTAATTCGAATTTAATCGGAATTTTAGTGAAAAAATTTTGAGATTAGATGAGAATTTAACTGATTTAAGCAGTTCAATTAACTATTCACTAAATTTAAATATTTATTAAAATATTTCAAATATAAAAATGTCTTAAAATATTTGAATAATTCTATTTAAAACATTATCGAAAAAAAGTTTCTTTTTTTTTGTTTACAAAATATTTTAGATTTTATTCATGAAAAATTCATGTTCAATGTTCAAATAACTAATAATAATAATAACAATATTAAAAAGTGAAAAATATTTTAGAAATAAAGAAAAATAAATGATTTTAAAATAAAATAAATAATTTTAAAATAAAATAATAAAAATAAAAAGATTTTGAAATATTAAAAATATTTCAATAAATAGAAAAATCTTTAAAAAATCACCCTGAGTGATATATCAAAATGATATTCGTAAGTCGAAAATCTGAATTTAAGGTCTGTTTCATGGATCTTTTATCACAAACCAGTTCAAACAGTAAAAGACCATAAACGTTGAAATATCTTCATAGTTGAAAAAACCCTTATGAGTGATGAGGATCATCCTCAACCTTAGATGCACAGAAGATTGAGGGTTCTGCGCAATATCTTATTAGCTGTTCCTAGCAATATGTTGTTCTGGATAAAGACCTCTGATATTCCTGAGATCTACTGAAAGCAGGAATGGCAATTTCAAATGCTGCAATTTATTTATCATTTTATTCAACAAATAAAAAATAGCGTAATGATTAAGGCGGGCGATTAACATAGAATGCAATAACGCAGTCGAAACGCAATTTTCTCTATCTTTCCAGCAAGGCTCATTAGACGAAGCTCTGAAAGTTTATCTGCCCTACCTCAGTCTCCTTGGCCCCTAATAGAAGGCCTTAGGTTGTTCTTTTTTTGTTGTTGTAATGAGATTCAAACTTTCGATTCATAATACTTTAAGAATATAATAAACGTATAACTCTACTAATAACTTTTTTTCTCGATTTCATATGGAAAACATTCATATACAAGAAAAAAATTCAGAAAAATCGTCAGCTTCACTCGATATCATTCGGTAGGCATTAGTGATAAATTATCAGTTGGTACAACGATCGCGACTGCGAGAACGGTAAAAGGCAATAATAAATTGTCACATCATAATTCAAAAGGTTTTTGTCGCTTTTAACGCCAGAAACATCTCTATAATAACCAATGAATCTTATGTGAACAAAAATAATTCGAGCAAAAAGAAAATTTAACCCGAATAACCGATCGATTCACCAAAAGCACCAAAAGTTATCAGTGACGAACATCTTAACATAATAAGAAAAAACATATTCGAAACATAAATTAAAATGAGATAAATTTTGTGGAAATTTTTGGTCTATTAAAAGAATTTGGTGCTAGAAAAATTAGCTTTGCTACCGTCGAGGAATAGAAGCTAATTTATTGATGCCGAAAAAGTCATCTTGGCCAAAAGTTTCAGCCAAAACAACCAGTTGGACCCAATTCTTGTGTTCATTCGCATTTACCAGATTTCGAATTGTTAAACGGTTGGTTAGATTGAAGGCAACAAGGATGAAAAAATTTAATGAACTAGAAAAATAACGGAATAAAATCTATTAACTCCTCCAACATTGTGCAATATCCAATCAAGTGAAATACTTAAATTGATAAATGATAAATTGATAAATCTTCATACAAATGGATTAACTGAGGTAAATCATTTTCAAGGCGATTAGTGCTATCTATTGATGACTGTTAATTATATAATTAACCACAAATTTCAATCCTTTTGCTTGCCACAGATTCTTTGCAATTTAGTGAAAGGCTTGTGGATCTTAAGCTTAGGATCACAGTAATAAAAGAATTTGAAAACGCAAAACGCAAACTATTACGCCGAAACAAATCTATCCAAAAATCCTGATCCTGGGTGATCCCGTTGGTCTGAATTCCTATCGCTAAGGAACTCCTTGGCACGTATGTCTAGTGCGACAAATAAGAATAACTGGTCTAACAGGTCCTGTAACGGTTCTTTTAAAAAAAAGAAGTTGATTCTTATTCAAATGAACGATTAAAAATTTAGCCAGTTAATACAATATCACTAAATATATTTATTAGTACAAAAAATTTAAGACCAGTTCGTTTCAAAAAAACCTCATTTGTTAATTAGAAGTTCCACTTATTACCGTACTTCTCGCTTAATTTGTAAAAATTACACAAAGTGAAATTTTAGCAATTTTTTCGAAGTTTCATAATTTAATGGCAATAAAAAATATCTATAATATCTAACATTTCTATACTTCTTTGTTATTTTGAATTTTCCATGAAATATTCCGAAAATTTTTAAAATTAAAAAATTAAAATAAATGATTGAACAATTGGTGTTGTTCATTTTTCATCATAAATTCTATTTTATTAATAAAAATTTTAAATGGAATCTTCAATATTTTTTATTATAATCAAGTGTTTTAAAATTTTATTTTTAACACAAATTTATGATTTAAAACTTATAAAATTTATACTAAATTTAATAATATTTTATATGTGTTTATATGTTTTTCTAAAATTTTATATTTTATTAGTGCATTTTAAATTAAATTTTGTCTTATTTTTTTCAATTTAAATTCTATAAAACTTCGTAAAATATATATAATTTTCAAATTATAATAATCAAATTCTTTAAAATACATAATAAAAAACATATTAAATAATAAAATAAATAATAATATATTAAATAACAATAAAATTTTAAAAATATTAAATTAAGTCAATTATATCCGACCACAATTGTCCAAAAGTTGAGTTCAACGATCATAACTTTATAAAGTTATGAATTTTATCGAAAAACTTGACTTGAAACTCGTTTTTCTATTAGAGTAAAAAAAAATCGTACAGAGCATATTTAAATGGAAAACATTAATTTGTTTATAATAAATACGAGAAAGACTGATACTGATAGGAGAAAGTTATAGGATTAATTTACATAACATTAATCGCTGGCACTGTTAAGAAAATAAATGCCAAGTAGAAAATTTCCACCCATTTCTATTTGTTATTTAACTTAATTAATACAATTTATTAAATATGCTTCAATATTCTTTAAAAAAATTTCTAAAAAATTTCTAAAAATTTCTAAAAATTTTACGAAAAAAAATCCTCAAAAATGAAACTCCAAATTTTATTTGATCGACTATTTTACAACTATAAATATTTTCTAATTAATCAAATTTTCGTGCGATAAGTCGTCCAAGACCATTAACGTTTTCAATTGATTTTGTAATAATCTGATTTTCAGTTTCAACTTTTAATTGCGTATTTATTGTAAAAGTTCCATCACGTTCTTCCAATAACTGAAAAAACCGGAAAATCAGTGATAAAAACCAATGACAATTAAGAAATATCTCATCCATTTTTTTTTTCTCAAAAGTGGCAATAAAATGAATGAAATGGAAGAAAGAAGGCAAACAAAGCAAAAACGAAAAACTGGCTAACCAGTCGAATATCGTTGATTTGATTAATTTCTAATAAATAATTTAGAAGAGTTGTGGAAATCATAGCAGTAATACCATCTTTAGTACAACAACATAATTTATCCCACAATCTAAAAAGAAAAATCACTTCAGAAGAAAAAATCACGATAACTAGAAAAAAGATATAGGGCATATTTAGCATGAATAAGTGGCAAAATAGAAAACCTCACCTCAAAATCGCTTCATATGAAAATAGTGGAGCTAACGCAGTTCTAACATAGAAATTAATCGGTAATCGATTCCATAAATGCAATTCTTGCAATTCAGTAGCAAGTTTACTATCGTAATTGCTAATAAATTCCTTGATATAGCAAATCACCTGAAGATTAATAAGTAGCACTATTTTATTTCCGTAATTCTTTTCAGTTTTTTGTAAGTGCTAAATATTTTTGGAGTAATAAGAAAAAATAATATGATTACTATCTTTAAGAGAAAAGCGAATATTAATAACCGTTGAAATATCGACACTTTCGAAGATTTGAACAAGCATTTCATCGAAAAACTTTGTTAACCAAAACGCATCCAACCAACTATTATCACATAATTTTAACATAAATTTTGCAATCTGTAAAGAGAAAATTACATAAAGCAATTTGTAAAATTCAATTAATTTTTATAAATCTTTATTATGGTGACGTTGGCTTAATTATTGGCCTCCTTTTTTTTGGCTCAAAGGTAGCCAATTAAATATATTGTTAGAAAACATTCTTTGTTGAACATTCCTTGTTGATAAAAAGCAAATATTCATTCTGATAAAAGATAAGATTTACATTAATAATAACAATAACAAAAATTTAATAATAATATTTAACGCATACAAATAATTGGACGCGGGAATCGAAATTCCAGCAGTTCATTTCAGTAAACGAAGGCAAACAACCTTTACTTAATAAAATCATCCGGACAATATCCAACTCATTAAGCGAAACATTTCTGATATTTGACTGAGTAATATAAAATTTAAAAGATGTCATTCGCATAATATTAAGTGATTGTAACAATAATTCAGCCTGAAATAAGATATAAAAATTTTTTGAATTAAATTTTTTGAAATATTATCTTAAAATTTTAAAATAATTCTATCAAAAATAATTTCTATTTTTATTGATATTTCCATTTTTATTGATTTATTGATAAGAAATAAGAAATACTAGCTTTTTTTTCAATTATAAGAGATAAAATTCTTAAAATAACCTCTTCCCTTCTATGTTCAGCAATCTTTTTCCGGCCTTCATGTGAACTTGACGAGACTTCTGAACAAAAGCATAAATATAATAAAGCTTTGATAGTGTACAGCTTATTGCTATATTATTTTACTAAGATAATATTTATCACTATCATTATCACTTTCGCACAAAAAGATATCACATTCACATCACCACTTCGTCTAATAATGCTTGTCACTTCTGCTCTGGATGACTACAGTAGCTGCTAGGCTGAAATCCTTTCGATGGAGAAAGAACTGAAGACAAACTTATGGATAGGCCACCATCACCTGTATTAATATAAAACTTGAGCTCCAAATTTCAGCTATTGAACCTCTCTTCTTCATCTAACGACTTCTTCTAACCATTACTGGTTAGGCTCCACTGGCTATAAAGATAAGACGTTTTCATGCTGCACGATCTGATGTCATTGCTGATAATAATAGAAGCCCCTATACGAACTTCTATCAGAGTACCATATTTGATAATAAGTATTTTTATGAACAAAATGAATTTTTCATCGTATTTATAAAAATTATGATGGCTATAAAAGTAAAAGAAAATAAATTACCAAGAAGAAGTTTCCAAACTGCAACACGATGAGCACTTGGCAAATGATATTTTAATACATATTGAGCAAGTTTTGTTAAATCAACATCGGCGTCGTCTGATAAAATTTGCTCTTCAAGTTGGAAACGATTCGATTCAGCTAAATCATTAACAACACGACCAACAAAATTTGTACGAAAATTTGAAATACGACCACTGTTTCCACCGTTCATTATCAATTTCTGCAAATTTCTATTTTGAATAATTATAATTCGATATAAATTATTCAGGCGACTTCAAGACTTGTAACTTTTCCATGCCAAAGCCAGTGGAATCAAACAAATACAATTGGAAAAAATTCTGAATTCAAAATCGTCATGATGATGGCTGATAAATGATAAACTGATAAAAAATTTCTTAGCAAAAATCCTATCAACCGATTGAATGGTGAGATCTCTTTTGCATCCATTTCAAAAGTAATTGACAATATTGCTTCGTCCTCATGCTCTGTGTGTACAATTAAACCAGAAATGTCTCATGTTGCCAGATTTTTTCTTCTAACGGGACTCATTATTTCTGGCTTCTGCTTACTTCTGTTCTTAGTTTGGTTTATCCACTGGCTTATCTGGCTAGATATTATTATATTATGCCAGAAATTCACTTGGAGATAGTACAAGTAAGTCGCCATCAACATCCAATCTTTTTCTAGAAAGCAGGTTTATGCCTTCATGCCAGGAGTCCCAACTTCCCAACTTTTCTGCTCTAAAATGATGGCAACAACTCGACCCAAAGAATTATTCTAGATCCCCTGAAATAGAGGAATAAAACACCATGACACTAATTATATTTTAAAAATTTCAAAAAAAACATGAAATAAATCGCTTGACATAAATTTTTAATTCAATCTGGAAACCAAATAATTTAAACGGCAAAACCAGCAGAAAGGCGATTTGTAACTTGACAAATCTTTTTTTTGATAAAAAACTGAAAATAATAATGGAGGTTTTAAAAAATTAGAAAATTTCAATCGAAATGCAAAATTTTATCAAAAAAAATTTACGATTTCTCATGTGAAAGTGTTGTGAAAAACAAGAAAGAAAAAGTGATTAAATTTTATTTCTTCAAAAAAAAGAAATATTCTAATTTACAATAATTTGAAATTTTTAGCAATTTTTTTAAGCTAAAATATGAAAAATTTTGATTTTCACCAGATTTAATAAAAATATCTCGATAAAAAAAGAAAAAACAATTGCCCATAAATACAATTCTCCAATTCTCCAATTTACAAAAAAATACTAAGAAGCCTGAAAAATATATACCAAACATATGCATTATACACTCCGGGAATTAAAATATAATTAAGATATAATTAAGAAAAGAAATGAAATATAAGATGGCGATACGAAAAAACCAACTGAAATGATATTTTATCCAATATTACTATCATACACTATAGAGACCAATTATTACATAATTTATGAATGAGATTGAGAACCACTGGCTGAAGAACCAGAAACACCAGATGCAGAAGGCATTTGAGATTCATCACGACCTGTTTCATTATCATTATCCTCATTTGTGTCCAAACTTTCTTTTGCTTCCAATTCACCTTCATTTTCGCCAAAATTTAGCCATGACTAAATTTTCATTTTCTTAATGTACAAAAAAGTATATTCGAGAATAAACTTACTTGTTCAACGACTTGTTGCACCCTCTTTTCGTATTCTCGACGATTTTCTTGATACAATTGGGCAGCTAATGAATTTGCAGGACTATTTGGATTTGGTTCATCCAACAATGATTGAATGGATGTTAAAATCGCAGCAACGTCATATGTTGGCGACCATCGATTCTAAAAAAGAAATACATAGAATTATCCAAAAGATAATAATTATAATGTTGACTGCATCATTCTTTTTCTAACAGCTCTCACAATTATTGGTTAGACTGGCTCCGCTGGCTACAAGAATAAGGATCTCCAAATAGTCTGCGCTGATAGTAGTCTGATCTTTATTGGTCCATCTCGCTTTTGACACTATTCATCACAGGATCTGGTAAATAACGAAATATGTGCCAATTCCTGGTGGACGACGAAGAAAAGAACAACCAGCGAAGACAACTATTCTACTGCTAATGCATACATCTGAGCGAAGGTGGACGCAATCGCGGAAATTTAATGGCTCGTAAAATATATCTTAGACATAAGTGGTTAAATACAATCACAATCTCTATTCTTAGTTGTTCTTTTTCTTTTAGCACCAAGAATACAATGTTTTTCTTTTAATAATTCCAATAAGAAGAAAAACATCTCGAAATAGATATAAATAGAAGAGTTCTATAGCCATCCCGAATCTACTAATTTTTTTATCAAGTAGGAGTATAAAACATCAAAATTTTCAAAAATAAAGACGAAATTTTTTAAAAACCTGAAGAATATCAAGGCAAATACTGCCATCTGCATAGACATTTGGATGAAACATTTTTGAAACAAATTTTACAGTTGGCGGTTTATTTGGGTACTCTTCAGTAAATTCTAATGTAAGCTTGAAAGTGCCATCTTCAAAAGGTGTATCATGAGGTCCAAATATAATTGCTTCCCACATTAGTATATTGTCTTCGGTTGGTGCACCACTAACACCAGCTGGTGGATCTTCCTATAAAAAATTTTATTGTCTTGAAATAAATAAGATTAAAAATAAAAAAACAAAGCTAAATGAATTGAATGAATTGAATAAACTATATTTTCAAAAATTTAAAATATAATGATAAGAAAAGAAAATAATAAATTTTAAATTACTCTCAATTCTAAATAAATTTCTGATAAATTAATTTCAATTTTGATAAATTCACAAATAATTCTAAAATTTTCTTGCCGAAGATTAAAATTATAAAATTATAACTTTTTATATCTTTTCTGACTAAATTTTTTAGTATTTCTATTAGAGCAAAAAAAGAAAACTACCTGAAGTTTCTTGAAATCCCTCATTAGTCGCCTTCGTGATGGAGTTGTCATATTCCCTCTTTTAATGCTGAAATCTTCTACAGTCATACGAATAACTTCATTGACTCAAACTTGTAGCGTGAATTATAAAAAAAATTGTATTAACCAAATATGTACTAAACAAAATAAAAATTCACTTTTTATTTTTGCTTTTTTTAGCTCGAAAAATAGAAATAATTCTTTAAACCACTGGGTATTGTCTAACAAAATGAGAGATTCATAATTTTAACTTAATTATAATTCCAAGAATATTTTTAAAATCTTATTTGTGGTTTAAACACTGAATTTGAACGCTGAAGTTTCGGATCTGCCACGTAATTCTCACATGATTTTAGGAAATCAAAAATCATTTATTCTATAAACATCGAAAATAGTGAAATTTCAAAGAAAAAAATCTGGAAAAATAAAAAAATACTTTTGAAAATGATAAATCGGAAATATCAAATTGCTGGTGAAAACGTTAGAAATTGAAATCTAAATTTAATTTAAGATTACTAGATTATTAAATTAATTATAATAAGTTATATAACATGTCATTTGACAGTTCAGTTAATGAGAGAGTTGAATAGAAATGCCTTTTCAATAAAAACGGATGATAAAAGTCTTATCGGAGAACACTAACATTTTCTACGGCGTTTCGTTGAAAAGTCAAAATATCGCCAGTTCAACAATTCAATAGCCGATATCAATTAATGACTTCTTAACTTTGGAATTTTAAGTTTTCCCCAACTCGAAACCTTTTTCAATTACTAAAATCTTCCAAAATCTAGCAGTTATCCCAAAATCTTCACTCATTCCATCCATAATAAAAAAATAATTCAACCGCTTAAAATCTGCATTCGACGGAATTTTAATTCAACTAAATCACCTCAACCCCTCCATCCTCAATCCCGAAATCTCTTATGCCCCCCGCCTTCCCCCTCCCTCCCCCTCCTCCCTCATCAACTGAACCAAAAAAAATCATATTTGCGGGCGACACGCTTTAGTTAACCGACAATAAACACAAATAAATCGATTGTAATTATCGTATTCCTACAATCGTTTCAAGACTAAAGCAAATCAAAATACTAACACACCATGCACAAATTGACCATAACCAACACAATGAAGGAAATAAAAAATGAGATAAGAGATAAAGAATCGCCGTGATCCTCGACATATGAGCAGTTGAATCGGTCGAATAATCTTTCAGCCAAATAAGAAATAAAAACTATAATGAAATAAAGCATATTTTGGATTTCTTGAAATGCCTCGGGGCTGTATTGCTTAGAAAATTGCTTTAGTACAGCAACTATCAGAAACGATAAAATTTCGAATATCAAAGTCTCTCAACGAAAATCAAAAATCAAATCAGAAATTTAAAAAATCAAATCACTTCTTTATTTTTAGTTTATTATTTATTCGATTTTTTTTATTAATTCGCTGAAAATTAAATATGCGTAAATATTTTTAAGTCTTAGCAAAATTCATCAAAACAATATTCTTTTTTTTCAAATTCTTTAATTTTTTGTTTTTTCTTATAAATTTTTACTAAAAGAATATAAAAAAGAATAAAAGATATAAATTAGAAGGGCCGCCGAAACGATTACTTTATTTCACCTAAAAATCGCGCAATAAAAAAATATTCCCTAAAAAATAATTAAAAACCATATTTTCACCGAAAACAAGTACCATGCATATTTGAAGTCCGATAAATCTACGACCGAATAAAGCCGCGGATTAGAGGCTTTTTCCTCTAAAATGCGGCCGGAGGAATAAATTTTATTGGTTATTTTCTGATTTTTTAAATGCTATTTGGGAAGATCTTTTCATGTTTAACTTCGTTTCATTCACTTTTTAATGTTTTTTTTTCAAATAATTTTATTTTTACAATTTTTATTTTTCTGTTTTTTAAAATTTTTTATTTATTTATTATAAATTTTTTCTTTAATTTTTATAATTTTCAAAATTTATTTTTTAAACTTTTGATTATTTTTTGAAATTTTTTTTACTATTTTGCGAACAAATTATAAAAATTATAAAATTATAATTATAAAAATTAGTTGTAATATTTTTTATTTTTTTTAAAACTTATTTTATGTTTATTTCAGATTTTTTAAAATCGAAAATGGCAGTTGCAACAACATATCAATTTAATTATGATTTGACAACGAGCAATAACAATATTCAACAGCAGCGAAATATTTATTTAACGATTGACGATTACATGGCTGATATTAGTTGTCCATTATTGGACGTCGAAGAGATGCTTTTACAACAACGAGGATGTCGAGAAGCAAGTTTCTCTATGCATTATAAAGCAAAGCTAACAAATCGTTTGCTCATGAACGAAGTGAAATGGAGAATATTCGAAGGAATTCTAAAGGAGTTTGACGAGGAATATTTAAAAACATAGAACATTTAAGAAATATAAGAGTTGAGATGTACAATTGGCAAATGTTTGAAGAGAAGAAACTATATTTGTACTTTTTGCGTTTATAGGATTTTTGGTTAAATTTTTTCTTCTAATTTTTTTCTGGCGAAGACTTTTCCTTGGATCCTCTGGAATAGATCATAGTCATAAAAATTCGAGAAATAAGATCTGTAAAGTCTTTTTCCTCAATGTAAAAATTTTGGAAATTTTAAATGCCATTGTAAACTGATGACTTTGTTTTTCATAAATTTTATTCTTAAATTTAAAAGTATATAAACTTTTTGAAAATTTCATGCATGATTAAATCTTTTAGGAGTTATTTTCATGAATCTTTTAGGTGCCATTTAGTGGAATGGATAAAAGCGGTCGAGGCGTATGTCTTCGAAATGAAAAAGGCACTTGTGTTATGGGTGCACACTGTCCTCTTCGTCATATTGTTGGTGATAAGGTGATTTATAAATTTTTTTTCCCAAATAGTTTTGTTATTCCTCAAATCAGCTTAGAAATTTATTTAGGCAGTTGTCTGTAAACACTGGCTACGAGGCTTATGCAAAAAGGGTGATCAATGTGAATTTTTGCACGAATATGATTTAAGCAAAATGCCTGAATGTTTTTTTTTCTCAAAATATAGTAAGTTTATTCCATTGAGATTTTGTTGATTTATTGTCATTTGTAATGTTTGAATGTTTTTATTATATTGTTATTAATATTGTTAATATTTTGGTATACCACTAATTTATTTTGCTTTTTTTCTGAAATTCTGTTTCATACTGAATGATTCTATTTTTAGTGGCTTGCAGTAATCGAGAATGCCCTTTTCGTCATATTGATCCAGAGAGTAAAATAAAAGATTGTCCATGGTATGACCGTGGCTTTTGTCGTCACGGTAAATTGTCTTGCTTTTTTATTTTTATTTGAAGAAGATTTGTAGATATATATGTATATATATTTTTTTATTGGTAGTAGAATGTAAATGACTGGTATTCACATAGAAATATTTTTAATGATTTTGAAATATATTTTAGGTCCTTTTTGTAAAAATCGGCATAGGAGACGCGTATTATGCCCAAATTATTTGGCCGGCTTCTGCTTGGAAGGCCATTTATGCAAATATGCTCATCCATCATTTAATATACCTCCGCTTGATGCATCAGCACTTTTGCGCACTCGTGGGCATTATAACATGGGCATTATTTGCCACAATTGTCATGAAAGAGGGCATAAGGTTCGATTTTTCGATGTTCTTTTATTTCTCAATTATAATAAGTTTTTCATTTTATTCTAAATTAAAATAGTCTAATCATAATATTTCATTGGAACTTCCTATATTCAAAAAATTTTAGGCCACATTTTGTCCTCATTTGCCTACGCAGACACAACCATCTGTTGCTGAACCGGTTCGAGTGCAATCTTCCACTGATTCAACACAGCCAAATCTAGCAGATAACAAACATTTTCAGAAAGCTCTTTCTGATGTGACTTGCTATAAGGTTTGTAAAATTGGTTTATGCATCATTAATGCTAATATAATTTTCAAATTCACTTTTTTTTTTATATTACTTTTTTTTTAGTGCGGTGAAAAAGGCCACTATGCCAACAGATGCCACAAAGGGGTTCTAGCTTTCTTATCGAATACAGCTCATTTGGCTCAAGAACAACGAGAAAAAGATGAAAAAGAGGCTCGGTTGGTTATAAATATTGTTCTAATCAAGTTTTTCAAGTTTGACCAATAGGTTTCTCGCACGATTGTCCTATTAAAACATTGGCAAATATAAGTGCAGTGAGTAAAATAATTTTTAAAATTTCTTTTACCTACAAAAGTAATCATTCATTAAATTGTTAAGTTCTATAAAACATTAGAATAAACGTGTATGAACGAATATAGGGTAACGAGTAACTATTTTCAATTGCTGAAATAATTCTTTATATATAAGTATAATTTCATATTTTATCTCTCTTGCTGGTCTTTTCATACCATTTTCCTAATTTTCATATATTTTATTGATAGATAGATAGATTGTTCAGTATAGGTTATTGCGAAAATATAGAGGAGAATATGTTTTATTTATTGTTTATTGTTTTAGATATCCTCTACAAGCTTTCTATGGGGGATTTGGTAATCGCCCACAACCACCTTCACAGCCACAAGTATTGACATCAAATAATAAACCTGGCGAAATGCTTAGGTAATATGCGGTTGGTCTTTTCTTTATAAAATGCACACGAATTGATTATTTTGTATAAAAGATGTGTAAAAACTCATTCAATACATTACTCAATGTGTTAATTTTATTTTGCAAGATAATTTTGATTATAAATTGCTCAATTATTTACCAGTTCGTTGAACTATATTGCCTGTATTGCCTTTTTTTATTCTTATTATTGCTTCTTTATTTTTCTTTGTTTTATTTTTCCTTTTTATTTTTCTTTGCTTTTAATACTTTTTAAAATTCACGAATTTAAGAAATTTTTAAGGAAGTTTTCGAAGAAAATTTCTTCTATAATTAGAATAAATATATTTATTCTATTGGAAAGCATTTGTTGTTTTTTATCTGAGAAATGTTTTTTTAATTTTTGAATTTCAAATTTTCGTATAAATGTTTTTTTTTTGCTTTTTCATTTTTTAATGACTATTTCGAAGTAAAATTTTCTTTAAAATATCTAATTTTTTAGATGTTTATCGAACTTGACACTTAGAATTTTTATGGCACAATAATTGGTCTGAATTGCCGCCATTATTGATATGGTTCTTGTATATTTTATATCAATATTTCTAGGCAGAATAAATATATTCTTTACTCACTTTTTTCTTTTATTTCAGAGTATTGGGTAAACAATAGCTAATGCTTTGCAGTGGTGAAAATCATGCCATAGTTGATAATGAGAATTCGAAAGTCGTAGAAAAGTTGGTCAAATCTACAAAGATAGAAATAGCTGAAGTTGGTTTCAAGTTTCATCTTGCAGCTTTCAGTAATATTTAATAATTTTAATTTAATCTTGTTGAAAAAAATAATTTTATCGTTTTGTTTTTCTTTATTTTCATTTTTTCATGGACTTGAAGAATTTGCTTTGCTTTATTTTTGCCATCTCAGTCGTAGAACTTTTTCTATTTTTATTTTTTCTTTCCTTTGAATCTTCGCAAATTTCAATTCAGGTTGATGGAACTGCAAAGAATGTTACTGGAGGCTACAAGATTCAACTTAAATCGCTCAGTCCCTATATAACTTGTCCAATTTGTCACGGGTATTTTTTTTCAAATATATTGTAGTTTCATATTATTTCTTTGAATGAACATTTTTTATGGAGTACTGTAATTTTTTTCTTTGTTTTGAATCACTGATTTTTCGGTTGGATATTCGTTTATTTAGGTACTTCATTGAGGCGACAACAGTCACCGAATGTTTGCATACATTTTGCAAATCATGTTTGCTGAAACATTTTGAAGACGAAAATAATTGTTGTCCGAAGTGTAATGGCCTCATTCACCAAGTAATACTTAGAGATGCTTTAAAAAGATTTCATATTTAATATCTAATAGATTTGATATCACATATAGGTAATATTTGAACATCCAACTTTAATTTTAGAGTCATCCTTCTCATTATGTAAGTTTTGATCGAACAATGCAAGAATTAGTTTATAAGTTGGTACCTGGTTTGCAAGCAAGGGAAGAGGAAAGTCGAAGAGCATTTGGAATTTCTGAAAAAAATGATAGTGGCGAAAAACAAATTTTGAAAAAAGAAGAAAATAATGTAAGTAATAAAATAATGTTGTATCGGTTTTTTTTCTCCAAGTTATTAATTTAATAATATTTTAAAATTTTGTAAAGTTTTCTTCTCTTTTACAGGAAGAAAAAGTTGAGCATAAATGTAATGGTGATATAATGAAAAATCATCATCGAGGCGATGATCAAGTTGTGATTGAACTTTGTCCTGATAGTACAGACTTCCAACCTATTGAAATGCCAATTGTAAGGCTTTCTGGTACGTTCTTTTTTAACTTTTTTTATTTTTTTACCTGAATATCTCTCATAACGCCATTGAAATATAAGCAATATAAGCAATACTGTACTTTGTAGAATACGGGAAAGAGTTGAGTTTTTAACACAGTAATAAGCATGATTAATACATGTTTTTATTTTTCTTTCGTGAATTTTCGTGAATTTTTAAATTCCATTTAAAACTCTCACATTGCTATAACTACAGAAATGGCATCAATCAGTACAGTAAAAAGATATTTGGCTCTGGCTTTATTTGGTAAAATGAATCGATATAACGAGCTGGACATTTTTTGTAATAATGAATTAATGGGTAGAGACTATTCGATGAAATTTATAGCAATGACCCGGTGGCGCGAGAAAGCAAAGGATGTACCCATACAGCTTTTTTTTAGAAAACATGTTGATTATTGATTTACTATATTTTCCAGTGTCTTATATTTGTATTTTCAAATCTTTTAGTCTTTCAAAAAATATTTAGGTAAAAAATCTTATAATCTTGTAATCTATTAATCTTATCTTTTACTCAAAATAGTTTCTATTCCAAATATAAATTAATTTATTATTAGTCACTTAACAAAGATTTTTCCATTATTTACCATTGCTGGTTTGGCTAACTCAATTGTCAATTGTGTCGAGAGGGTCACTTGGGAGAAAGAAGTATGCGTGATTTCCATACCCGCATTTTTATTTTCTTAACTCCTGATTTGAGTTAGGGTATCCTTCTTCGTAGAAGCGGGTTCTTTCGCGCAAGTTATTCTCCAAAGGTATAAACTTCATATACATTATTCGATTGCAAAAATTTTTCAAATATTAACTTTTTAGAAAGTTTCAACTATCAATAAATATACCTTAGAACCTTAAAAATTTTTTGCGAATAATAAGGCAAATAAGTTGCTTTGAAATATATTTTTATATTTTGTAAATATATTATTTATATTTATTTTGAAGTTTTACTATTTTATGTTTTTGAAATTTCATTAAATTATCTGTGCAATTTCCAAATTAAAATTGGCAATTTTTTTTGTGAGCGAAAATACTATTGAAGAAACTATTTAAAAAATTGGAAAAGAAAAATTTTATTTATTAAAATTAAAACTTAGAATAACTTTGTAAAGAAATGAATAATGATAAAAATAAAAATTATTGGGTTGCTTTAAAACAAAATGAATTCTTAAAATTTCTATTGTATTTTTAAAGTTGTTTGTAGATTAACGTATTTCGATTTATTACAACAGCAATTATGAGAAATAAAGCTGGTGCACTCTGCAGACGAATTTTCAGATTCGAAGGAACATTTAAACTAATTTGAAGAAAATCCAAGCGAAATAGAATTAGGTAATTGGCAAGCAAATTAAGGCTATAAGGAAAGCTAAAAATTTTATAGCTCATCTCGATGTCAGTTTTCATTCAAAATCTTTTCAATTTCTCATGAAAATTAAAGAATCTTCAAAGATCTTCGATCGGTAAAATTTATAATAAATGATTGCCATAAGGAAATTTTATGAAAACGAATAGAGGCTAAGGCTAAGGCATTAATTCGAGAAAGTTTCATTTCTATTAATTGTCTAAAATTGAAAAATTCGAATTTTTTTTAAAATTTTCCTTTTTAAAACAAATTTATTTCATTTAAAAATTATACAATATATTAAATAATATTTGAATTATATATATTAAATATTATTAAAAATAAATTTTCAGAAAAAAAAATTTTTTAATTTGCCATTCTCATTTTTTGAAGTTTCATTAAATTATCTTTGCATATTTGATTATTACTATTCAATTGAATTGCTTTTTTATACATATTTTCTGCTTCACGAAATTTACCGTTCAAATGTAGAATTGCCCCATAGTTTGCGTACGAAGTTGATGAATTTGGATTCAATTGCACCACTCGTTTATAATACTAAAATTTTTTAAAAAATTACGATTAATTATAGAAATATTTATTAATTAATTTCATTAATTTTGTATGCACAAGCGATTCAGCTATATGCTATTAGCTTTTTCAATAGAAAAGATAATCAACGTTTTTCAGAAAAAACGTGTCAGTGCTTGAAAAAATTTCTTATTTTAGCAGTTAGAAAAAAAAAAACCAATAAAATCGGAAATTGTGCAATAAAATAATTGAAACAAATAGTAAATTAGGTATTTGAAAAATTTTATAAATATTATATTGCTAATTTTATAAAGAATATTGCATTATTAATTTTATTATATTATTATAATAATGTAAATATTATATTATTAATTTTTATAAATATTACTATTTCAGCATCAAATTTTCGATTAATGATTCGATATAAATTTGCGAGAGCATTGATAAAATTTATATTATTTGGATTGATACGATTTGCTGTTATTAAGTGATAAAGTGATAAGGAATAATTTTTTTCTTCAAAATATTGAAGAGCAATTTGATAATGTAAATCGTCTCTTGTTTCGTTTATTTCTAAAGCTTTTGATAGAAGATCGATTGCATCGGAATGTTTCTTTTCATGATTCCTAAAATCGCATGCAATATATTCCTTCATTTTCAATCATTTATTATTGAATTATTCAGTGAAAATAATCTAATAAAATAATAGTTTTATTGAATTTAATGCAATTCGACTAAATCTATCGTCTTCGATTATTTTTTGTATTCGAGTAAATGAAAATTTTTGGGTTAAAATGCCATGCATATAGAGCAGCGATTTATTTTTAAAATAGGTTCGAAGGAAATTAAGGCAGTTGAATTAGGCGATAAAGTAGGCTATGAAAATTGAAAAATTTTCGTAAAATCCCCGAAAATAGTCTCTGTCCTATTCATTAAATGAAAAAAATCTGTTAACACTTCATTATATTTGTTTAAAATTTTTTTTTATAATTATAAATTATAATAATTATAATAATTATAAATTATATTTTATAAATTTATATAAATTTTATATAACTTATGTTTCTAAAATTCTTAAAATTCTTAAAATAATATTGTTTAAGCAATAAATCCCATTATAGTAAATCTACATGCTCCATTTTCCGTTATACCCAATTTCCATATTCGCTTTTCCCTCGTTTATCATTTCCTCTTATATTCGCTAATGTGTGGATGTATATCTAAGTAGAAATTGTCCAAGTGTAAGTACAGGAGGATTTGACAAAGAAATAAGATTAAATTTAAGTATACAAACATTAAGTGCTTTAAAATAACATAGCCGTGATGGAAGAGAAATGTCCAATGAGGTTTATCTTTCAAGAAATCGATGAGACCAAAAGACTAAAGGCTGAAGAAGTTGAGATAGGGTTGCTTAAAGTGGTACTAATAACGCGCTGTGATAATCTATCATAGTGTAGCTTTACAGGAAGCTTTACATCAAGGGGATAAAATCGAGATTTTGTCACATCCATGGTATATGATTTGGAAGATTGGTAGGTAGAAAATTAAATCACTAGCATTCGCCTGGATTTTAATTTTAAATTCAGACGATTTACTCTTGTCAAATAAAACATGAATCCCACGAGCCCACGCTGTTCTTATTAGAAGTACCACATTTGCCATTCAATGAATAGGTTTCTCAAGACTATAAACCTATGTGATTTTCTCGAAATAAACGATTTTTATAAATGAAAAAATGAAGAATATCAAAAAAAAAATAGAGGAAATTATTGCATAGGAAAATGAAATAAAGAATAACCTAAGTTTGGCCATATTAACGTAAGCAGATATATGTTTTGATGAAGCGGCCAATGCTTTTGTATAGAAATTTTCAGCGTTCGTATATTGGCCTAATTTGAAATATGTTTCAGCCAACATATTATAAATGCTTGCAATATTTGACGAAATGGTTGACGTTTGAATAAATTTTATTGCTAATTGAAAATATTTAATCGCTTCATTTAATTTATCACTTTCCACTAATAATAATCCTAAATTATATGCGCAAGCCATTTGAATTTTTTTATGTAATAAAGGATTTTTTAGATTTTCACTGTTTAACTGAAGGCATTTTTTTAAGATTTCATACGCTGAATTCGTTTCATTGATAAGTGATAATGATAAGCCAAGATTTAGATGTGCTGAAAAAAAAGCTTATTCATTAAAATTATTAAAAAATGATTGATTAATGAAACTAATATTATCGCGAAAAGAGAAATGATTTTTCTATATAACTTAAAAAATTGGTTATTTGATAGTAAATTTAGCTCATTCCAAGAAATAATCATGGAAATGCAGTTCAAGCAAAGAATCAATATGGAAGAAAAAATTCTGGGAAAGTCCAACCTGATGCATGATTTGGTCGATAAAAAATCGCCGATTGATAACTTTTAACTGCATTCTCATAATTATTTTCATTTTGATATAAAATTCCTCTGCAATTGTTTTTCTAATTATTAAGAGAGTTTGTTTCAATATGAGAATGGCCCAGTGGAATTCTTAAATGTTCCATATTGTTAAGGTTCAATTCTCGACAAAAGAATCTTGATGATATTGGTGATAGAATAAACTTCAATATCTGTACTTCTGTAGTCAATGGATTCCTTGGAAAAATTTATCTGACCCGACAAGCTATGGAAGCCTATTCAGAAATGGTGGAGGCTTCTTTTGGGAAAGAAATTTCCGGATTTTATAGAAATAAAATCAGCAGCTAATCAATAGCAATCCATATAGCATGAAAACTTACAAATTATAATGCGTATCAGCCATATTTGGTCGGTGTTGGAGGCTTTGCAAATATGCCTTACGAGCCTCGTCTTTCAAACCTTTTTGAGCCAAGATATTGCCAAGATTTGCATATGCTACAATCAAAGATATTAAAGATATTAAAATTCTCAGGGAATTTGGGAACTTATAGAGAAAATCCTATCCAATTATATTCGCCTTATTATCACCTTTTTTCTAAAAGTGAACAACTTAATGGCTTAGCGAGTTCCATCCTATATTTTTCTCTATTTTTCTTTTTCTTTAAAAAAATTCTATTGCAAATTTTCTATGAAACATTTGGCTTAACTAATGCAATAATCGATATAATTCCAAAAATATTTTTGTCTTTTTTGATTTATTTCCTAAAAATTTATTGCACTAATTAAAAACCTTTAGCAGGATTCAAATGAATTGCGGATCGATAGAGGGATTCTTCGTCGGTCCATTCCGCATTTCGATTCAGCGACCTTATAGAATGGCTTATAATCATAACTATATAGAATAAATTCAACAATAATTGACCCTAAATTGTACTGTTTTTATGATTTTTGTATTAATTTTGTATCCTCGAAAAACTGTTATGTCTTACTGAATATTTAATAAATCTTTACTTATAAGCGTAAAGGAAACATTTCCTTATATTTGTATTCATCCGGTTTTGTATGTCATAAACACTTCTTTAAACTATATTTTTTAAATATTCATTTTTTGAAGAATACAATAGAATGGCTCAATTTGTAGTGCCGATGCTGACTATCCCTTCTACTATCCCTTGCCCCGCAGGAGTAAACCAGTCAAAAAATCCGAGTGATGCTGGCGACTCATTTATTTCTTTTATTGCCGAACGATTCCCTGGTATATTTGTCTCGTGTGATAAACCAGTGCGGCGAGTTGTTTAAGCAATAATGGTGAGGGCTTTCGAAAAAAGAAAGATCGTTTTTTTTTTACCTTTATCTTTTAGTAATCACTAAAACATACATTCGATTCGAAACGACGCTTTACCCGTTCGAATAGGAGAGTAATAAAAATACAGTAACCCGTACTCGGCAAATATAAAATTCGTTCGGCAGCAACAAATCCAACGTAGAAGAAAAGATTGCTAGCAATAATATGTGGAAGAATTAGCAAACTTAACGATAACATCGATTGCATACTATCGATAAAATTCTATAAAGAATTATTCCTTAGTACGAAATTTGATAATATTTTTTGTAAAAAATTATTTCATTATAAAATTGCAATTATTGTTTTTCGTGCGAAAATATCTCAAATTGTTCTTGCTTAAATCCTATAGCGCCAATTTTTGGTTTCTATTGCCCGTAGCTATAAACCTATCCTTCAGAAATCAAAATGGTACTGACGACTCACCTATATTTCAATTGCGCCAAGTGAATTCCTAATAAAATAATCCAGTAAGTTTTTATCAGAAAATACCGAACCAGAATTGGAATAAATTTTGTTTCTTAAATCTGAGATATTTTGATTATTTTTTTAATAAATTTATAAATTTAAAAATTTATAAATATATAAATTTTTTAATAAATTTATAAAAATCAAACTTGTTGCGAATTTTTCACAATAATTGATTCATGATGATTTTGAATTTTTTTTCGTTTTATCAATTGATAATTTTTTGCATTTGGTCGATTTTTTTTTGAATTTATCTCTTTATTCAAATTTATTTGCGAATTTCGCCATAAATTCATCTCGTGATAAATAAAAATTATATGAATTATATAAAAAATTATAGTTTCTACGACTCGAATATCTGATAAAGATTCGACCAAAGGTATAGCCTTCATCGACCAATCAAAGCATAACTATAAGCAAAAAAATTATATTTTAATTAATCGTTTCATCTGAATCGCTGAAGAGTTTTTATGAGATTTTTCGAGAATTCAGAGAGATGTTTTCTTCGCTTTACGATTTTTTATAAAAGAATTATCCGTGTGAATTCATATGAAAAAATAAATAAAAGCCTACATTTAGTGGTAAAATTATAAGTTTCGCATGAAATAATGGTAAATATAAAAATGTGAGAAGACGAGTTAGAAATTTTGTTGAATGAGCTGCTGGATTATCTGATGAACTAAATCTTGGCGCATTAAAACCAATTATCCAAAGGCGAATTATCGCGAATAATAAAGTTGATAAAAGAAATATTAATATACGATTCAATCGTCCTTTGTTCGCCTAAATAGTATTATTTTAAGAGATTTTTGCCTTAATTATTTATTAAAAAAGAAGCCATAAGCTTGAAATTAATGGGTAAATTAATAAAAAAATATAAAGAAAAAGGAAAAAAATTGATAAAAAGGATAAGAAAACACATAAGATAAAAATTTATCAAAGCTGAAAGTCGAGGGTATTATTATATATTTTGGAGATAATCGATCCAATTCATTTTTAAAATTAGATATAGTTAAAGCAAAAATAACTTCAATTGTTAACTTATTCCATTAATTTACATTGATGATAAAAAATTCTTGAATTCCAATTTAACAGACTTATCAGTTATCAGTAAATCGATTCATAATAGCTTTGCATAGTTCAAACCATTATTTCTTGATTTTTTCTTTAAGAGCCTTCATTACTGGTTAAACTCGCTCCGTTGGCTTGTCGCATTGGACAAATATGCCAGAAAGTCTCTTAGCGATAGAAATACGGGTGAATCGCCAGCATTATCTGGACTTGTTGATAATATTCAATATAGGATAAATCAACAAAAAAAAAGTGTGATAATAAACTGTCATGTTAATAAAGTTAATCAGATATTGTTTAACCCTCCTCCCTCCAATCCTTAATGAATCGAAATTATGCTCCATAAGCTTATTTATATAGGCAAATGAGGGATTTATGAAACTTTTAAAATAAAATATTTTAGAAATCCTTAATTCTTCCTCTAACAGTTATTACCATTACTGGTTAGGCTGGTTCCGCTGGCTACATCTCCAAGTAAGACATCTCCAAGCTGCTCGGTCCCGCGCCATTGCTAGTAATAGTAAAAGTCATTCCTTTTTCCATAGTCTAATCCATACATCGCCGGTACCACTTATACGTTCAAAATCTTTCCTGACCGTATTATTTTATTTTAAATCCTCAATCAAATTAATTAAATCTAAAGCAGCAACAAATTGTATTATTTTTTGAATAATTTATTAGCAAATATGAACGGAAACCAAACAAATAGCCCAAGGCAATATGTTGGATAAAATTCATGGATTTGTTTGTGAAATGAATAAATAATGGATAAATTTATTCGTTTTCATGGGAATTCATTCCCAAAATTTTATAAAATTTTATAAATTTCTATTGTTTTTGTTCATCGAAGATTGAAGGAAATTCGAAAAATTCGAATATTAATAGCCTAATTTAAGCGTATCGATTATCCTATAATATCCTTGTTAAATTAAATCAATTACTTAAATATCTCAGCGATGCTTAGTGACCTTAAAATGAATGAATCGCCATAATTAGCAATTAATTCAAAACGTTTTTATCGAAATAGATTTCCGATTCGATGGATTTCTAAATCGATTAAAAAACGGAAAAAGAATTTAATTTAAAGCTATACAAATTACAACAATTATAATATTTTAATATTTCATAGATTGAAAAATGCTTTTAAAAAAACTTAGTAAAACTTAGAAAATAATTAATTAAATTTGCATAAATAAATAATTAATTAAACTTGGTAATATAATAATAAAGGTAAAAAATTATGCAATTAAATAATAAACAATTAAAAATAATAAAATTGAAAACTAACAATTAAAAAAAGGCGAAATTGTAAAAAATTTCAAATTTTTTTCTTTTTCGAATGAAAAATTTTTCTCAGAGAATTTTTATTTTTCTTGGAAATTTTATTTGCAAATTCAAAAATTGCTTAATTTTTCCTTTAAAAAAATGAATTTCAGAGAATAATTTTTAATGGTTTCTTTTCTTTGCCATTTTCGGCAATTTTTCACTAGTATAATTTGCAGATAAAATGCAATGATTTAATATTTTTGATCGTTCATCACCGTTGATCGACAATCATATTTGACCTTCAAAAATGAATCACAAATATGAACTTCCTTTTATGAAAATCGTTTTGTCCTTCCTTCCTTGCTTATTAAATATTTGCAATTTTTATACGTTAGTTTTATTTTACAAATAATCGCTATCGCCACAATTATCGCTAATAGAAATGTAAATTACCAGAAAATTGTCGACATTAAGAAAAAATATTCTACAATGGAAAAAATTTTAAATCTAATTGAATTCAGTTGATGGTTGCTAAAGGTCAACTTAAACGCATCTGCCCACAATAATGAAAATCCATTAAGTGACTTTGCGATGAAAAAATAGTAAATGGAACCTAAATGGAACCAACTAAGCCCGAAATGATGAATGCAATAGGACAGAAATAATGGGACAGAAAATTAGGCATTTCGTTTCTAAAGGGAAAAGAAAAGGTTTTTCAAGAAAAATTTTTAATGGATTTATAGAATAAATAAATTTAAGTGAAATTTAAGAGCATATTAAGTTTAGTTTTTTGCTTTTTTCAATTCTGCATAAAAAATTTTTTCCATTTTTTATAAATTAAATTTGTACTAGTTTCAATGAAAATTTGCAAAAAATAGCATTTAGCAATTCATAGTTATATTTGAAAAAATTATCGAAACGTACCGTAAAAAATGCGAAAATAGAAAGCAAAGGTAATGCAACGATTGCAGTTTCTTTAAATAAAATTCCAATAGCACAAATAATTATCGGCGGTGCCATTTTCTAAAATATCATATTCACATTAAAAATTTCCTAAATAAATTTGAAGAGCTGCAAGATTCTTTGTCTTCACTGTAGCAAAAAAAATGGTTGCTAAGTGAAAGCTCAGTGGCAGATTCGAAACTTAGGTTTGAATCCGTCGGGCTACACTGTCGCTTGATGGAAAAAAAAACAAAGGAGAATAGAATGGCTCAGCGGTTGTTCAATTCGAAGCTTCGATGCTGAGGTTCTATTCCCGACAAGACAAACCTGTCCAAAAATTAGGATGATGCTGGCTGACGACTCAGGACTCATTTATAATCTTTATCGCCAAGGATCTTCCGGGGTTTTCCGACAAACCAGCGTAACAAATCTAACTAGCAATGGTGAGTGTTCTTAAAAAAAAACTGAAGTCTAGTAATGTTTTTAATAAGAACCATTTGGGCAAAGAATCATCCGGATTTCTCTTTTATCAACAAGCTAACTTTTATCACTGAGCAGAAGTTGAGCTAATGATAAATATTTGCTTCAACTTTTACATGAGCTTTATACTGTTCGATTTTTAATATTGAAGCCATTTTTAACTTGACATGATTATTTGTAAAATAAAATTTTAACAAAATAAATTGATAAAATATACTAATATGATGATATATATATATATCATCATTAATATTTGCCTAAAATCGAATATAAAGAAGTACGAATATTCTGTGGATGTCATATGTCAGATAAATATTTAAAGCAATTAACTTCAATCAAATTAAGTGGCATGAAGCTAAATTTAAATCCTTCCTTCTTCACTTTAAATTTTTAGCCAAAGTTTAATTTTATGAAATAAATAATTGTTGTCACTTGATAGAGATGATAAACGAGTAATGAAGATAGAACCGAAATTGTTGCAAGCAAATCAGCTCGACCGACAATATTTGCAATTGCTTCAACATGAACTGCATGAACACAAAATAATAAACCACAGAATAATTTTGATACTAAAATTATTACTAAATACAATCAACTTCAATCAGATTAATCTTCAGATTAATCTTCAAAAATCTTAGAAATAAGTGAGAAATATTTTTAATAAGTGATGAGTGATAAGTGATAAAATTGAGGTAATTTATTGATCAAATTTTCTTTTTCAAATTTTTTTTCGCAAGAAAATTTCCGCAGAATTATTCCAATAAAAGTTTTGTTTTAGTCCATTTAAATAAATAATAGAAAAATTTAAAAATTTAAAAAAAGCAATTTTTTTAAAATAAAGCTTTTAATAAAGCTTTTTTCAGTAACAAATATATTTTTTTAAATAAATAAATCATTATTAGTTTATTTTAAAATAGATTTCATATTTAAAAAATAACTTTTTTCCAAATATAAGTTATTTTTTTGCTAAGCGCAAAGATTTATGCAAACCTTTTTGCATTTCAAATATGCGATCAACGAAAATAATAAAAATGATTGATGCCAATGCGTGACACAAAACATTTACAAGATGATAACTGTAATTGTATTATGAACATATTGCTTATTATTAATAATTATTATTAATAATAATTATTAATTAATAAGGAAACATCGAAACAATATATTAATAATTAAAGAAAATTGGATCATAATGAATTATTAGTTATTATTATACAAGAAAATGAAAAAATGAACCTTAGGGCGAAGAAATAATTATTTGTAATAATAAATGAGGTAAATTTTTTGCTAGAGAGAATATTTATGTTCACCTATTATGATAATGATAAGGATGTAATTTAATAAAGTTTAAATATTCTTCAAATAATTGAAAAACGAACCTGAAAGGTTGTGAGCCAGTTAAAGCATAATTAAGACGAAATGATAATACTGTTAATGGTCGATAACTTTTATGCGAACCAGTATGAGATAATGGAACACCCCAGAAATCGTTCGAAAAAATCGATTTCAGCGAAAATTTCCCCGTAACATCCTCATTTGATACAATTGCTTGCCTACAGTATCAACTAATATAACAACGAACGATTGAAAAATATGGAATTATAAAATGGAAAATATATAAGTAAATATAAAATATAAATATGAAATAAAATAATAAACGTATATTAAACGAGGCAAAAGCAAATCTATTTTGCTATTTTGTCTATTTTGTACAATAAGTACCATGAAATCTTTCCTGAATAAATAAATAAATATTCATAAAAACTTACTGATCATCATAAACAAATCCGCCGTTTAGAGTATTTATATTAATTAAAATTGATACGATAGCGATTATTGCAATATTTTTATAATTTAACTTAATTTTCGAATCCATTTTTTGTTGAATAAATTGAATATTCATTAGCGTTTAAATATAAATGAGGAATCGAATTAATCGTTTCAATACTATTTAGTTGAAAAAATCATTAAATATTTGATGAATATTTAAATTAAATTTTTGATAATCAAAATTTCTGTTAATAATGAATGAATGAAAATAATTCGCATATATTCGTTTATTTTTAAAAAATTAATAAATAAACACTTTTTAAATAGACGAAGTACCATCCAGTTTAGGTGAAATTCATTTTTTTTGTAATATCGTTAAAAAATGAAATAAATTCGAGACAAATAAATATCTAACTATATTAAGATTATATTAAATCAATACTAAGATTTTTTTATATAAAATTAATTTTAAATAAACTCGCTTTATTTAAAATAAGTTTAAATAAAATATGAAATAAAAAAGACTTTAAAGATTAAATAAAGTAATTTTAAAGATACTTCAAGAATTATGAGCACGATAAAAATGAAAAGTACGAAATATTTAAAAGAATGGCAAAGGTCGACAAAAGAGCGAAAAGGCGGCAAAAATCGACAAAAGAGCGAAAAATAGCGAAACTTTGAAAATATCATTAAATATTCAAAATATTATTAAATTATTATCTTATTAGCAATATTTATCCAAATGCACTTTGAGGTTTTTTTAAAAATTGCCACTTCTCTTGAAATCATCATACTTTTCATGCGAATAAACAGTTAAAAGTGTTATAATCGAATTACGAAGCATAATTCCTTAATTCCTTTTAACAAGAAAAAAATCTAAAAAGCAAAACTCAATTAATGTTATCTCAGCCTAACTTTCCTTAACAATTTCTCATAATTTCACTGAAAATCAAAAAGGATTGATGGGTGGGAATTATTTATGTTTGTTACACGCCTTATAACGATTATTTCTTCGGCTACTGTTTAAATTAAATTCTTCTATTTTCATGAAATTGATTAAAATATATTTATTTCCATTTAAGATTCAGAATAAAAATTTTCGGAATACGAAAAGTACCATCGCTTTAGATAATATTAATTGGCGCTATTGTAGAGCATATTGAGGCAATCAGCATAATCCATAGTCAATTACTGTTCCATATCGCCAATTATTCGCTGCTCGGTTTATCAAGAAGCTAAACTTTTTTCCTGTATAATAATTGGTCTATTAGATCGATGGCATGCAGTAGGCTTCAATATGTTATCTTTATAAATATGTATAATTTCCCCGTACAAACAGACAATTAAGTAATGGTCAATCAACCAGATTTCGTGGTATTAGACAGGAATCAGAAATGAGCACTGGTGATTGATATAGCAATACCAAGTCAGAAAGAAGGGATATGAGAAGTTAGAGAAATACCAAGAGCTGAAAGAGGAATGATGTGGAAAGTAAAGGCCAAAAACCCACTGATAACTGCAGCACTTGGAACTCTAAGATAGAAAAGTGGCTTCAGCGGCTTCCGGGAATAACATCAGAGATCTCTATTCAGAATAGCGAACTATTAGGAACAATTAAGATAATTGGGCGCAGAACCCTCAATCTCCCAGGCCTCCGGCACTCGAGGTTGAGGATGATCATGGCCACCCACAGAGCATGAGAGAAAAGTTTATATACATATAACATTTCAACATTTGCTTAATTGGATCAATAGGACTGTGACAAGTCTCCACATAAACATCAATCATATTTGAGAGCTTAAAGTTAATATTAAGTGCAATTTCCGTATCTCTATAAAATAGAAATTATTTTATGTGATTAATTACTGGCGCTGATTGCCGACTGAAATAAATGATATCAATAATATCAGTTACGCTAATAAGTTTGGTCGATCATTAATTTTGATAATAGTTCATCGATTGATTATAAAATTATATTTGTCCTAAATTTAATATTATCATAAGATTATGTCTATGAAATTTTTTTAGAGCAAATGCACTTTTTTTTTCGTTCTAAGAACGCTCACCGTGCCCTGATTAGACTCGTTTCGCAGATAAATATCGCTTGCTAAAAGAAAATCGCTTAACAATAGAAATACATGTGGATGGATCGCTATCACTATTCGTATTGAAAATTTCGAAAAATTTTAAGCTAAAATTATCGCTAAAAATGGCTAATGAAAAGGAAAAATGAAAGGAGGCTTAACAAAATAACTATTGAAAATACGAGAATTGTTCAGTGGGTTATTGCTCAATTCTGAGCACTGATGCTGAGGTTCTATTTCTCTCAGGAGTAAATATGCCAAAAAATTCGGGTGGTGCTGGCGATTCATCTGTACTTATATCGCCAAGGGACTCCCTCTGGTATATTTGTCTAGTGCGACAAGCCAATGGAACAAGTCTATATATATATATATATATATGTTATATAGTACTGGCTAATCAACCGGGTAACATGGCAGCAGACAAGAAGCAGTTTTGGTATATATGGCAATTGAACAAGAAAAAAGGATAAGGAAAATTTGAGAATCAAAGTTGAAAGAAGAAATAGAGAAGATATAGAAATTAAAAGCCAAAGTCGGTTAAGTGCAAGTAGGAATACTAGTGACTTTTAAACTGGCAAAGTGTCGCTAACAAATTCTACAAACAACAATATTAGAGATCTGCACAGAAGGGCACATTGCTATGAACTGCGAAGATGTCGCGCAGAACCCTTAAGCTCTTATAGTGGACTCGGCATTGACCCATAAAAGCCCGTAGGAGACTGTGAAAAGAATTTTTTTAAATATGGATAAATAAATAAAATTACATATAAAATTTTCCATAAATATAAAAATTTTTCGATAATTAGAAGTAAAAATGATATTGCAGTATTCTGGCAATTTTTGAAATGAATTACTTCGTTAATTTTGCTGAATGAAGAAAATTCTAATCAACGCTTTATTCATTCATATTTCATCTATTGTGATTATATTTATATTTATAATTTATAATTTTAGCAATTTTAACATTTTCGAAAGAATTAAAACTTATTTATCCATCTTTCCTCAACATTTTTCCATTACGAAATTAGTTTATATGAACGGCTTTTATCATGAATTATCTCTAATAATCTCTAAGCTAATTAGATAAAAATATATTTGGAACACAAATGAAGTGGTAAGTATTACAGGAAAGTTCCCCTGTAAATGAATAACGATGGCTGAACATTTCCTTCTATTTGCCCTCACTTAATGATTGATATTGATATTAATAGTTAAATTTATGAGATTCAACAATTTGTTGGAATATTTTGAAAATTCTGATTTATAAGATTTTATAAAAAAATTTTTAGTGCATAGTTTAGTTTGTTCAGTAAAACCAAAATATAGGCAAAATATGGAAATATAGAAATCATAAACTATTTGTAAGGTTGGTTCCATTCGACCGCATTATTGAATGAATCCGTTCATAGATAAGAGAGATTTGAAGGAACCATAGTTCATCCAGTTTTAAGTCCTCGCACGCTGATTCTTGTTAAACTAACTCCATGCGCTAATGGCATGGCTACTGAATTTTTACTGAATGACCAAGATTTTATTTATAATTTCAAGTTTACTCCAATCATGGTGGTGTTTTTCTCTGTCGAAACCGCATCATTCGATCATTCCTCTCAATCTTTATCTCATGTTAAACTTTATATTCTTAATAGATGGCAGGTGTTAAATGGGCGATTACGGTGCTAATTAGTGGATATAGTGCCGCTAACATCGGAATGACCAAATGAACTACACGAATTGCACTGTTTGTACCCACATCAATGATGTGCCCATCTGGAGGAGCATCTGCATATTTAGATGATCAAGCAAATTGTGCAATGTAGAATGATAAGCTGGAGTAATGAGGGGAAAATGCTGAAAAATATATGATATCCATCAATAAAGAGTTTGATAAATTTCAATTTCTTGAATGATAAATGATAATGTTTTACAAAAAAAATAATTCAATAAATTAATTTTTCCGTTTTTATTTTTTCAATTTCCTTTTTTAATTCTATTTTCTTCATTTTAATATGCAAAAATGGTTCTTTTTTCGATTTTTTCGTCATTTACAAATTTTTTTTCTAAATTAAGATTTTTTGAAAATCTTTGCAATTCTTATCGCTATATCTTAAAAGGAATTCAGCTCGTGTGTGTAGCCTATCATGGATTATAAACTTTCACTGCACTAAACATGCTACTGTAAAATGCCTATGCTGGTTTCTGTTTAGAATACGGCAAGCACCATCTGTGGTATTTATATGATCGTTAACTTCGGAGTATTATTGGCTCTAGATTTACTGCAGATGTGTAACGGAAAAGAAAGCGCTGAAATGAATTTCTGGATGTTATCGTAGATATTGCTCGACTTTTGGTACGACATATTTGGCATCGAAGTTTCAAGTAGGCTTCATAGAGTGTATCATTTGCAAGACCACATTTCGTATATGGCAAAAACAGCAGAATCCTCGCCTTCAAAGTACTACAGCCATAAGAGAAATCTTACGGTCCAGTGGAATATATTCCTTAGAAATTAAAGTATTTCGGCAATTACTCAGTTCTCTCACCGGTTTTCGATTGTCAAACTTCAACTCTAAGCAGCCTTCGTTAAATAACGATGTTTTTATTTCAGCCATAAGTTCTTCGATCCTCGTATGGCTGTTTACCTTGTCTGGCAGCGCATTCTTCGTAAAGCTACGGTAATTTTTATATTAATGTGCAATCTTACTTTTTGCATTTCAGGTCGAATGAAGTTTAATAGCAATAATACTAAAAAAATGTTTTTTTAAAAAATTTATGTGGTTTTCATTCAAGAAAATTTTTAAAATTTTAAAAAAATGTTCATCTGAATGAAATTAATTTTGAAATTGAAACTAATATAAAAATTTTTTTCAATAAAATTCCAAAAAAATATGCGTATAAACGAACGCTAATCCTTATTTATAACCATTAATGCGAAAATTCTAATTGAAACGTTAAATTTTTACGTGTTTTTACGTGTACGTGTGCGTTTATATAAGTGTTATACTTTTACACGTATGTATATAAATAAATTTTATATTTTCACGTATATGCGTATATAAATATTGTAACTTCACGTGTACGTATACGTGTTTGTACGTGTTATAATATCTTATAACATTTTTTAAATTTGATTTAATGCAATTCATCGCTAAATCGCCATGTTCTATTTAATATTAACTAAAACTCGTTTCAGTAAGATAGGAACTACGAGAAGCTGAGAATAACTGGTTCAGTAAAAAATGAGAAATAATCCAAACCAATTAATTTATCAATTTAAATTTTTGAAATTTAAAAAAAATCAACATTTGACCTGCGAACCTCGACTGATCACCGATTGGTATCCAAAATACCCATCGATCCTTCGACCTACAAATCTCTGTCCAGGAATTTTTCCTCCTTAGTCTAAATCAATATTTTCCGATGTATTAAATGTCAAATTTTTAACGGGAAAAGGAAAACATTCCATTTCTTTGGTTTTCTCGTTGCTAACTGTTTTATTAAAAACCTTGGCGCAACTCCGGCACCTTCAGCGAAACCCCACAAGCCATCACCACCATTTCGTCGCAACCCGGTAACCCCGAGGTCGCATGCAAAAAATTTGCTTTTGCTTACAAAAGTAGCAAAAGCCCTTAGAGGTCATTAACCGAGGTGGTACACTTTCGCGCCTCTCACATATTGAACGTTGCTGGAAATGTTGAGCAGTTCATTATTTTTTCTTTCTCTGTCTGACTCTCTCCCCCTTTTCTTTTTTTTCGCTATTAGAAATATGAGTAGAATTACACATTGGCATCAAGCTTGTGCTCTCGTCATTTGCTCTTCACCATAGCATAATTTAGGGGAATTTAGACCGTCCGCAATTGCTGGCTTTGCTTTATTGCGCTTACTTGTCAGACCAGATAAATTTTTGCAGAGTAATTTGGTGATAAAAATACAAGTAAGTCACCAACAGCACCGGGATTCTTGAAAAACAGGTTTTCTCTTACAGCTGAAAAAGAAAATAGAATGTGACGGATATTATACAATGAAAATTTTATGTTTAGGTATGAAGAATTGGTGACAATTCACCTACACTTTTATCCTAAAGTAACTTTGGCAAAAAATTTCGTTCACTGTTCAATGTTTCGCGTCATCAAATATGCATGGTAGGTCCAGGCTGCTGATATGCGATGGTATACAAGATGGATCTCTTACGCCATCAAATCCCATTTTTAATATTTCACCCTCACGGGAATCAAAATAAAATATAACCTCAGTCGAAGCAAAGCTTGCTCTTGTTATTCTAAAATGCAGGTGATTGACAATTTTTGGTACAGATAGCTCAGCTGGCTCTCAGAAATATTTGCCAATGGTCTATTTGCGATAGGAATGATACGTTGATCACGAATTTGACCAGGATTTTTGAATGATTGAATCTAATGCCACCCAACATATTTTATTTAGGAGAAGGCATATCAAGGCATATCATTCGATTATTCCTATCCTTCCCTTAGTAAACCAATTTATTGCATTACTGAATCCAATATCACCCAATATATTTGTTCAGTGAAATGCACTATTTTGTAGTAAAAATTTTGTTAATTTGGCTTTGAATCTCTTGAAAATCTATTTAGCATTGATTATCGAATTAGTGCCTTTTTATCTTATAGTGATTTTATTTACAGGCTATTTGACTGGCCTCATCAGCTATTAGATTGCGACATTTCTATTAGGGAACCATTGAAGGCCAAAAGAATCTGAAGCGAATAATCATTTATTTGTTTCTTCTAAATATATCATTTAATTATATAATTATATATAATTATATATAATTATAAAAATATATAATTAAAATTAATTCAATTAATTTTTCAATCAAATTTAAATTACAAATTTTATTGAAAAAAATCAGTAAGGCGATATAAGGCGATAATGGGCGACAATGGAAATTTTTAGCTAAAATTTTTGGTGAATAATTCCTAGCAACCTGGAAAGCTTCGACAGAATTAGACAGATAGATAGAATCTACGAGGTTATTTGCGTCAATATTTGGTACCTGATTGTTGCTATTTCTACATTATAGTTGTTAGATGCTATAGGACTTGTCGGAATAAAAAAAAGAAAAAATGAAAAAGACAAAATTAAATGGAATAAAATTTCAAAATAACCGATTTATTGGATGAAATTATTAAATCACATTTTTCATTTTTTCAACTAGACGTCTGTAATTATGAATAAATACAAAACCTAAACATTGTCGAAGAGCATTCGGCTTATAAAGTCATTTTATCAGTGTACATTGGCACAAATTTGTATATATGGGGAACTGACAGACTAGTTCTAAATAAAAAATGGTGTCCGTTAAGGCTATGTCATTCCCCCTACAATATTTAACTATGCGATTGACTGGATAATGTATATCGCATGAGGTGTCCAGATCAGTCCAGAGCATCGTATCACAGATCTTGAATACGCTGATGATGTAGTTATGATGCTGATGATATAATTTTTCTCATTGTTTGCAATGGTTCTTAACGAGTTAACTTTCATGGAACAAGTACAATATATTGTTGTTGATTTAAACATGAATTCACCACATTTGGCACTATTTTATTTGATTAAAGTTCCGTAAAAATTTTGTAATTTGTGCGAAAATTTTAAAAGAAAATTAAAATTATAACGGTGTAAAATTTTTCGCTCATAATTTTTTCAAAAAAAAATAAAAATAATAAAACGAAAATAGAAATATATATAAATATAAATAGGAATTCAGAACGATCATAAGGTTCTTTCGATTTCACTCCATTATTGAATGAATTCAACTGCAATATAATGCGAATCGAATGTAAATTCCTGAAAGAAATTTTCCTCAACTGAACAATTTGTTAAAATTCACAAATAAAAAATATAAAATTTAGTGGATGTAAAACAGAATTAATTTTGAGAATTAATTTTAAAAGTACCACAGTTTTGCCAAATTTAAATAAGCATTCGCCATTCTTACAATTCGGTTAATTTAACCAGCCATTAGCATGCTCGGAAATTTTTACCAGAGAATCATTTGGTGATAGAAAAAAAGGTTGATCGTCATGCGGATTTTTAATTACAACTGCTGTCGAGAGCAGGAACAACCACTTCCTTGATTCGTAACATGGTAGTTCTCCGAGTCCTTATCCATTCTTCTATTTTGACTATTTTCTCCAATTTTCTTTCAACTAGGAAAATTAAGTTAGCCCAATCAATAACCCAACAAAATGGTCAAGTTAATATTCTTCCATTATCATAAGATAGATCTCCTACACCATCAAATCCCATTATTCAATTGTTCACCCTGCCAGGAACCAAACTAATGATTTGATATGATTTGATAACATATGATTTCATCCGAAGCCACTCTAAGTATAGTAGTGGCTAGCGCTCACTATTTCTAGTTCAGCTAGGTCTTATCCTATCTTTCCTGCCCTTACCCTTCCAAATCAAATCACTGAATACAATGTTTTTCAATTATCAGATATCAGTGAAATGTACTGTTCTAAAGTATTAAAGTTTTATTGGCTTGGTTTTGATTTTCTTGGAAATCTATTTAGGAAAGCAAAGAAATCAATTCGTTTGATTTGACACTGGACAATCTGTTCAATTATTAAATATGACAGGACATATTTTCTAAAGCAAATTTTGCCTGTTGGCAACATTCATCGATACTTAAGCTTTGCCAAATCTCAAACTGATATTTGTCTTTTAAAAAAAATTTGAAGAAAAAATTAATATTAGTGGATGAATTCAGTTGAAAAATTATATTCTCATATAATTACAATAATATTTGTTGTAATAAGTAATAAGGAAAGAATTTTCTACAAAATTTGCCAAAAGAATCAGAGAAAATCTTAAATCATGGAAAAATACTTTTTTAGTTGACAAATTGAAGCCAAAAGTTCTTAAATTGAAATAATTTTTCTCAACTTTATCATTTTATGCTTCCAAATATTTTAAATGTTAAATGAGCGCCTTTGGCAATAAAAATAAAAAATATATGGAATTATTGAGGCGCTTATTTAAAATAAGGCAATAATAATTTTCTATAATTATCAGTTAAAATAATAAAGATTGCGGATAACGAACGATGTGGAATAAATTAAAAGTACGGATCCGCAAAGAGGTATTGCAGATGAACAAATATAATTACTATCGAAAATAATTTACCCAATTGTTTTCAAAAACAAAGAAATAAAATATATATAAAGGATTAAGCATAATCCTCTCATTCTCATATCAAAACATTTCCTACTAAAATGCTATTCCAGTTTTGCGTCGTTATATGCCTTATTCATAATGCAAAAGGTACTGATGATGAAAAGATAGGTGAATGCAATAAACAGGTTGGAATGGTTCAACGACCAACAGTCAATCCAAATTTATGTGCACACCTCGATGTAGATGCTTGTGCTGCAATATTTGAATATATGGGAGTTGCGGCAGGAATCATGATTGGTGGTGCTGCTGGTAATGTTATGGGAGCTGCTGGAACACTTTTATCTCATATCACCCCGTAGGAATTCGTTTTTTTTCTTTTCTATTACCATAATATGCGAAGTAATAAATGAGGAGCAATTTAGAAGTGTGGATTATTATGTGCCTAAAAAATGCACAGACGGTGCTTTGAAGAATTTTGCACAAAAATCGTGCCCTTATCGTTGTGCATTCTGCTGTAAGGCAAAACAATTTAATTGCGCTAATGGTGAGTGAATTTTTTAAATTCGATGCTAAGATAAATTTCAACTATTATTTTAGTGCTATGGAATATAATTTCCTTCATTATAGATCCATTGGCAGGCGAAGCTTGCGAAGCTTTTACATGGGATATGTGCAAAAATCCATTGCTTAAAACTATAGCATTAATGAGATGTCCACAGAAATGCGGACTTTGCGATCAGCAAGGAGCAGCTGGCATGTGTATAAATGCACTAGGTGATGAGGTGTGCAACGCGTTGAGAGCTGTTATTTGTACTGATGATAAAACGAAGAATTCTTGTCAAAAAACTTGTGGAATAAAAACATGCTTAGGCAAGTTTGCACGATTTTTAAGTTGCTCGACCGAAGATTGATGAGGAAAAATTAAACGATCGCACCTATTATCACAATGGATAATACTGATAACGAATTGCTGGAACAAGCCGTCTCTTACTATTTTTTCATATAGAATTACACGCTTTTCCTTCTTCCCTTTTCTTTCTAGAATTTCAAGTACTGTAACTATGATTTATGCATTTTAGGAACTCAAAATGCGACATCAGCACAACCGCCTTGTCGCGACGAGCAAAGATGTTCAGATTATAGACAAATATGTAGAGTGGAACCTTATGCCAGCATAATGAGAACTAAATGCCGTTTAACGTGCGGCTATTGTTAGCAGTTTCATTGGACATTGGAAACTTCGCCTCAAAATGTGCACTTACCTGGTACATATCTGAAAATAAAAGATGAGATTTAACTCGGCTGTAAGTTTCAAACATCGAAGTTATCGCAATCTTTTTTTAAAGAGTCCTCACCATTACTGGTTAAACTTTCTCCACTGGCTTGTCGCATCGGGCAATATGGCAGAGAGTCCATTGGTGATAGAAATGCATGTGAGTCGTCAGCATCACCCAGATTTTTGTAGAGGTTTACTCCTGAGGGGAATCATCGAACCTCAGCATTGGCCCTTCCAATTGAGCAACAACCCATTGAGCCACTCTAACCCCCTCCTCCCACCCCAAAAAAAACTCGGTTGCAAGTTTCAAACATAGAAATTATCGCAACAATCCATATTGAAATGGATGAAATATTAATAATAAGAATTTCAATAAAACTGTAATATGTCAATGATCGATAATCGAAGCCTTTTTTTGTGCTTTCTAAATATTCCGTAAAAACTAAATTTCACTGAAAAAAATGAGCAGAAGGATATACATTAGGAAACAAGATAAATTTACAGTTAAAATGTGAATATTTCGCACGAGCCTGGGAAACCTTCCACAGAATAAGAAAATAGCGTTGCTTAAGCGATCATTTACGCCAACTTTTCCTGACTATTGCTATTTCTACATTATAATTGTTGGAGGCCATAGGATTTGCTGGAATAAAAATGAAAAATAAAAAAAACGAAATTAAATGAAATAATCGTTTCCAAATAACTGGTTTATTGAACGAAATTATTAAATCATTAAAGCAATTTTTCAATAATGGAATAATCATTAAAGTTCTATAAAATCCTATAATTTATGCTAAAAATTTAAAAATTACAAATTAAAATTACAACATTTAAAATATACGAAATTTTTCGTTCATAATTTGTTCATTATAAGCAAAATACAAAATATAAAAATATAAATATAGAAATTCGGAGCGATTATAAGATTAGTTCCATTTGACTCCATCATTGAATGAATCCAATTGTAATATAAAGCGACTCGAGTATAAATTCCTAAAAAAAAATTTTTTCAGCCATTTATTAAATTTCAATTTTACTAAAATAAAAAAAAATTTGAAATTTATTTATTAAAATTATCAAAATTTATGAAAATTAACAATTTATTAAAATTTATCAAAATAAAAAAATATGAAATTTGATGGATGTAAAATAGAAGAATTTCTAATTTTATGACAGAGAAATTTTGAAGGGCCACAGTTTTACAAATTTTAAATTTAGAAATATATTTAGAAATTTTTTCCAGAGAATCACTTCATAGATAAAAATATTATAGATATATATATATATATATATATCATTGGCATAAATATATCATTTCCTTGACTCACAAAATGATAATCTAAATCCCTATCCGCTCTTTTATCAAGAATATTTTCTCCATTTCTTGACAAATATATAGGAAAATTAAAGTAGCCCAATCAACAGCCCAATAAAATGACTCTCTTAGTAGATTAAATTCCACATATACTTCCACTTCTTCTTAAGCTCTAACGTTGCATCGGAGTGCAAACGGGAAAATTTCCCTTTAAAAACGTACCAGGATATTTTTCTTGATCAATGACTCCTTCCAACAGATCGGCACCGAAAGAAGTTATTCCGATTTGATAATATCTTCCATCTGGTCCCATAATTTGCAGGGGACCACCACTGTCACCCTAAATGCAAAAGAAGACCACTTACTTTGTAACATGACGAGATTTAAATAAAATAAAATAAATAAAAAGTTTATAAACAATTTTGATTCACTAATAATTATGCCTAGATCGATTAATTTACAATGAAAATCTCATACAGGGGCCGTTCCGTGAAGGAATGATCCTGCACATATTTGCTTTTGCGTTATTTTTGTAGTTCCACCGGTCAAACCTCCCCATGTTCTCCTATAATTTAACCATAGTTATTCATTCTATCATATGTATATTATAAATATACATTTACATTTATAAATATATTCTATATTTTATACAAGCATCACTTGATGGCAGAAATATGAATGGATCTCATCCTAGTTCTATTTTTAGTAGCAAGTTTGCTTCCCTAAGATATTATCATAGCTAAAATCTATATTATCATAGTTTCTTCATTATGAATCTCAGATATTTAGCAAAAAACAATTCTCTATATTTTATACAAATGTATGAAAATATAAAGAAAATAAAAATTCGATATTCTGCGTTTGAACTTTGAATCTCATAATTGTTCTATAGGAAAAACGCACAAACATTTCTGATGGTTGATAATTGGTACTTCGGACTGCATCAAAACATTACTGGTTGAAAACCATTGCAATGTTCCATCGCATGTTTCTTCTATAAATTTTACTGAATAAAACTGCAATGAAATAAAAAATTAAATCCTTAAAGAATCTACGTTAGCCGATGAATTATTGCACTAATGGAAATTTAATTACACCCAACGAAAACGAGTGAAATGGTTCAATGTGTTTTTTAGGACTAAACTTCCCTTTGAAAACTTCCCAGGTTGATTTCCCTTTGAAAAACCTGGTTATTATTGAATGTTCTTTAATCGCCATAGTGAAATCTTTCAGACCGAATAGGCGTGCGGAGTAGACCTAACCAGCGATGGTAAGTGCTCTTAGAAAAAGAATGGAACGACAGAAAATTTCCACATTCAAAATGTTTTAAGTTAAAATATCAACTATAAACCAACCACCATGTTAAAGATTTCAATAAATGGCATAACAAACTTGTAGTTAAACCAAATCCAGTAACAATGGCCGCATTAGGATTGTTTTCGAGAAGGACTGAATCATTTGGCGTTATACAAATTGGTCTTATGGAATCGGAAAAATCTATTTCCAGTTGCGTCTAGAAAACGCGGCTTAATCAACGTTATTCATTTGCATAGAAAAGATCTGACTTAATTTGACATAAGCCTTCTACGAAAGTTTTTTACGATAGAGAAAGAGGCACAAATGAATTTGAGATCCAAACTAGAGAGAATGAAGATGTGTGAGCATGCATGGACTTGAGAAAGTCGTATAATATAGTTAAATAGGAGAATAGCCGGGTTTGATGGTATTTTAAATATGTTATCTCTCTCCATGCAACTTCCTTGACTGTATAGCTTTTGGCTATGCTTCAAAGGTCAGGTCTAACAAATTGTTATAGAATTTTACAAGTTTATAAATAATAGCATTAAATAAAGAAATCAAATTTGCGCCCCCCCCCCCCCCCCACCACTCGCCTAAAACTATAAGTATGCAGTCGGTATATTTTATTTTCGCTTCAGTGTGCTTAATTTAACGCGAGTTTAATCCATTTTAAAGCTATAATTAGCTAAAAATCAGAAAATATTTGTCCTATTTTTTCTTTTATATTCCTATTTTTAAAATAAAATTTAGAAGAAACTTGAAAAATTTTAAATTATTAAGAATTATTTCCATTTTTATTCAAATCCGCTTTTTTACACTGTTTTTTATTGTAAATATTTTCTCATACGATTCATACGATATTTTCACCTGAATTAAAGCAATGTCGTTCTCAACCAGAAATTCATTGTATTCAGGATGAATTATTTGTCGACTGATTCGATAAACATTTTCGAGATTATACAAGGAATTTGAACCGAGTGAAACGAATACTTCGGGCGCATTTGCCCTAAAAGAAAATAATATTTTGTATAATACTTATTTTATTTGTATTCACTTTGCTATTATAGAGCAAAGAATGGCTAAGTGGGTTGTTGATCTATTGGAAGCGCCGATGCTAAGGTTCGATTCCCCGTTGCATATACAAAAATCCGAATGATGCTGGTGGCTCACTTATATTTCTATCGCCAAGCGACTTCTTAGCATATTGCGCAATGCGACAAGCCAGAGGAGCGAGTTTAACCAGTAAAGGTGAGGATTCTTAAAAAATTCATTTAGCTACTAGCTGATCGAATTAAAATTTGTAAGAAAGAAAAGGCCATACTGTATGCAATGAGCAGCCGTAAGAAGCCAATTTTTGGCAATTAGAGTCGCACCACATATCCTTGTATTTCCACTTATATAAAAGCTCATGTATGATGCTTGCCAAGGCCAATCACTGTAGTATGAAGTCTTATGAAGAATGATAATGATAATGGTTATCATCGTTATAAATAGATTTAAGACTGATCTTTCTGATGTTGAATGTTATATCTATATTTTGTCCAAAATAAAGTAAAGTCATTAAGATTTCACCAAAAAAATTAGCGAAAAGATGATGAATACTTATTTAAAACGACCCTTGTGTTGCTGCTTTTCCTCCAATTATTTTTAATAATTTATTGGATTTAATGCCACAATCTTGATTGATTTCTTTGCTTGAATTTACCAAAATACAAATGGTGAAAAAAATAAACATGCAAAAAACCTGAAATTGTCTTCTTTAGTGGTAAAAATTCCCTTATGGAACCACCTTAATAAATTAGTTAAATGCTTAATTGCGCGTATAAAAAAATGATCGCAACTAGAAACTATGGAATGAACGAAATGACTGAAAAAAAGTGCTATGCAATAGTTGCACCTTTTATATATCGCAATGAGATGGCGGTCTTTTTTTTTAGTTCAGGGTTAATTTGATTAGAAATGGTGCAATAGCTTCAAGAACGGTATTATTTCGGTGCGAAGATTAGTCAAATTTAGACAGGATTAATTGATTAAATTGGTTGATAAAAGCTGTTGATGATAGCCTTTTCTTTTTAACAGTAGGATGAACGACTATTGCGTTTTTCGGCTATCATTAAGACAATCATGGTGCTATTTATTCCATTACAATGCTTAATTTTGCATGTTCTAGAATATCTTTTCATAAACTGGTATCGCTGAGGAGACGAAACAACTTTCTTGAGACAACTCAAAGTTGACAATGATGAAATTTAAAGAAAATTATTAGGCTAATTTTAAAAAAGAAAATCATACTTTCGATTCCCGAGAACCAGAAAATTCTTCTTTCATATTCTTATGAGAGATTTTTTTTTCGCGAAGAACTTTATCGATGAATGATGAATGACAATCAATTGCGGTAATCAATTTTCTTATCAATTTATTGATGAAGAATATAATAAATGGTATTTTTAGAAAAGTCTGCAAATTCGCAATGTTCCACGCAAAGATAATAAATTTTGCTACTCATTAAAAATTTTGCTATAATATTATTGGAGTTGTGACCTCTAAACTAGAAAAGTGGCTTCAGCAGATTCCAGGAACATCAGAGATCTCTATCGAAGAAAGCGCATGCGCACTATTAGGAACAATTAAGATATTGCGCAGAGCCTCTTCCAGACCTTCCAGACCTCTGGCAGAAGACCAGATGTTAAGGATGATCATGGCACTTACATAGGAGAAAATGAGAGAAAAGTTTTAATTAATCTATTGAAGAAGCCTTTGGCTGATATTCATATATTTATTTGTTAAAATATTTGATTAAAATTTCTAAAAAAAATTCTGTACATCCATAGAGAATCATTGATTATGATAAGTGATAATTTTAAGATGCAGTTGACAAAAGAATCCAATTTTTTGGAATTTTTAATTTGAATTATTTTAAAAAATTTCTATTTAATAATTTATGAAAAAATTACCAGTTTTTTCATATTCCTAATTATCTGCATTGTTATTTATTTAGTTCGAATATATTGGAATATATTATGCACATTCATAAATTAAAATCATAAATGTGGAATAGCAAAAGGTGAATTCGCGAATAATTGATAATCGAGAAATCCTTATTGAATATTTCATCAAATCAGCTGGGGTATGAATTAATAATATTCCAACTGAAGAGAGACTCGAACTTTGAAACCTTTGCACAAGTCTTTAGACCATTACATAAGTCGTTAAAGAAAATAAACCAATGAAACAAAAAAATTCGCTTCACATGGATTTGCATGTGATTTTTTGACTGTTTCATGCTAATCATCTTTGTGTTTTCCAGGTTATGTCCATAGGAATAAGATAATTATGGCTAATATTGCGCAAAAATTATAAAAAAGCATTTTCTGCCATTGAAAGTACCGTACTAGTTCAATTACAATTACAGTGCTTGAAATCGTTAATTGGTTAAACTACCACTTTACCCTATACAGTCATCGACAATAATAATAAATAGTATTAATTAATAATAGTTAATAATAATACTAATAATGATAATATTAATGACAATAAATAATAATATTAAACAATAAATAACAATAATAATAAATATAAATAATAATATAAATATAATAGAAATATAATAAATATAATATTGGCAATAATAATAAATACAATATTGGCAATTAATAAAAATGAATAATTAACAATAGTAATAATAATAATAAATAATAAATAAATAATAAAAATAATTTTGATAAATAATAAAAATTAATTAATTCTTAATTAATAAATTAATTAAGAATTAATAATAATAAATTGATAAATGCTTGTACCGCAGATAATGCGGACATTAAATTTTTACTTCTTTTTGGTACCACTATTTTTTCTTTTACTAATGATCATTTTATATTTCTCGCCATTTTCATTTCTATTCGAGTACCGAGGAAAATATCCAGAAGAGGCGAAAGTATAAATACACCTCTAACAGAACTGAGTTAAAGGTTAGTAGCATGGAACCGATTTTTGTCACTTGAAAAAAGTCGTAAATAAACATGAAATTATTGAAATGGTGCTCAGTTATTTTTTAATGATTTATATTTTTAAAATGATTGATTGTTGGATATTTAATATTTCTCGTTGAATGAAAAAGAACCAAAAAATAAATTTAAAAAATGCTTGACTTGTTTCCAAAGATTTTTCTATTTTTTCCAACGAAAATGTTGTAAACGTATAAAGAAGATTTATTTTCATTTTCTATTATTTTTATTATTTATTTTGCAAAAAATTTCACAAAACAAAACAAATAAATAAATCTTTAGATTCCCATAAATCAATTTGTGAAATTTCATTAAATTCCTTATTTTTTTCGAATGAACTTTTTTAAATCTCAATCGAATAATTTTTTTCCTTCCTCTTTGAATCACGTGGGTTCAATTTTTTAAAAAATATTTTCTTTTTCGTCGTTTTTTCATAATTCTTTTAAAAAATTAGAATTTATTTATTCAAATATAATTATATACAATAATTTTTAATTTTAATTAATAATTAATTTTTGCAAAAAAAACATTAATTTCCATTCTAAAATATTTATTTATCGTTTTTTCCTTAAAAAAAATTGGCTTTTATTAATTTTCTTATTTTTATTATTGGCTTTTATTATTTTATTAAATGATTATTAATAAATTTTATCAAATTTTATTATAAATATTTTAAAAATTTATTTATTGCAATTACCGAATATCGATAGCTCAAAAAAATAATCTGCGAAGTTCTCAATAATTTGAAGGATTCTGAGAGCTTTGAAAGAAAGGATTCTAAAAATGAGATTGTATGTTTGGAAATTTTCCAGAAGTGGCATTTTTTCGTTAAATTAGGTGCTTAGAGAGGGCAACTGTGGACAATTTTCCTTTTTTTCCCATTTAGTTTATCTTCATAACAAATAAATAATTTTTTTTTCTACATAATTCTTTCGAAGATTTTTGCATTTTCTTAGAATTATACAATTTTTATATTTTTACAATTTTTATATAAATATTTTTAGCTAAAAAGCTTTTCATTAAAACCAAATTTATATTAAAATTTCCGCAATATTTAAACATTTCCCTTGGATGAGAAATAAATCGAAGGCGATATCGATTGTGAATAAAATATAATTCAATATTTCTTTCATGTTTACATTTTTAAGTTGTTAAATATAGCAAATAATGACGAATAAATTAAAATATAATTCAGATAAAAATATTAATATTATTTATTTAATATTATTTTAAAGATATGTATTTATTAATACTTTTTTTTTAGCAAAAATTATAAAATTATTTCATAAATTTAATTTAACAGATGAATTTTAATTTTATGCGCATTAATTAAATGTTAAAAAAAATATTTAATTAATTAATTAATTTGTTTATTTTGCGAAATTTTATTTTTAAGAAAGATTTAAACATTTAGAGAAAAAAATATTATTTCAACTACTTATATATTTCAAATTTAGAAAGCATTTTCATAAATTTTTAAATTTCAAACCAATTGAATTATTAAAATTCATTTATTTCACAAAATTAGAAAATTCTATGAATTAAAATTATAAATGAAAAATTGAAATTAAAATTAAAGAAATTTAAAAAATTTTAAAAAATTTTTTATTTAAACTATTTTTATTATTTATTTAATGTATTTTTATATATTTATATATTTATTTAATATTCTTAATTTAAAATTTATTTCCGTACACGTTTCGGAAGAATTTTTCACTTTTTTTTCTTATTTTTCGTTTTCATTTTCGTTGATTCCACTGATTGTTGATCGGATAGAAGAAAAAAAACTGGTAATTTAAAAAAAATCTGTTAGAAGAAATATGCCTTATGCTCTCTCTCATATGATCACTGAATCTCTCCTCCTTTCACTCCTCCTTTCCACTGAATCACTTTCAAAATCTCTCCTTTATCGTATTTCATTATTTCGAAAAAAAGGCCATAAAGACAATTGAATTTAAAGAATTTTTATTTTATTTTTTTTATATTATTATTATTATATATTATTATTTTTTTATATTATTATTATTATATTATTTTTATAATAATTATTTTATAATAAAATAAATGCGAAATAGTTTATATTTCTTTTCATTTATTTTTATTTATTTGTTTATTTATTTTAACTTTCTTCATTCATAAATTTTATCAGAAAAAAATCTAAAAAAAAATTTTTTGTTCCAAAATTTTATATTTTAAAAAAACGAATGAAAAAAATTTGAGAAGTATTAAATATAATAAATATTATATTTAAATTCTATGTTAATAAATAAGAAAAAAATCAATTTGAAATTCAAAATTCAATTCAATTTGTAAAAATTCAATTGGCGAAATCGATTTATCGAATATTTTAAAAATTCTCAAGGATTACAACAATAAAGATAAATTACTTTATAGAATTTTAACGATGTAAAATGTTTATGTTTATGAGAAAAATGTTGCATAACAAATGGTAATAAATAATTACATTAACAATGATAATAATAATACTATTAATAATAATGTAATATTAATAATAATGATAATAACGATAACAATAACAACATTAAAATATTAATGATAATATAATAATGATAATGACAATAATAATATTATCAATAAATAACAATGATGACAATCATAAATAATTAATTAATGAAGTATGTTTGGTGTAATTGTATAGAATTTTATAGTTATAATAATAGTTATAATAATTATATAGAATTTGCATTTATAGTAATAATAATGATAATCTATCATTTCCTTTTCCTTAAAAATTTTTTTAGCTCGAAGAAAAAAAATTTTTTTTTTAAATTTTTGCTTAAATTTTAAATTGAAATTTTAAATTTTGCTTAAAATAAAATAAAAATAATAAAAAAAGATAATAAATGAACATTTAAATGATTTCAATTATTTAAACATTTTTCAAAAATTTAATTTTTTAAAAATTTATTTTTATTTAATTTATTTATTTAATATTTTGTTTTATTTTTATTTTTGCATTCGTCCATAAAATATAAAATGCTTAGCAACAAATGCGCAGTTTTTTTTGTGTGTTCGCTTCATATGCATTCACTATGGTAATGAATGGATTCTTTCTCTCAGCGCTCAGGCATTTATGGATTGGCTGATTTTAATCTTTCAATAAGAATTCTTTACAAAAGGAATTCTTTATCAGAGAGCTTATCAGTTGGGTATTCACGAAGTGCCTAGGAATATCAGTTTTATTCAAAGGTTTCTGGCAAACGAATCGAACCTATTTCTAAATTTCTCTCTCACCACCCAACTGATGTGGTCATCCTCAATCTCCGATCTTCTGCCAGAGGCCTTGGAGAGTTCCGCGCAGTATTTTGGCTGTTGCTAATAGTGCGTTCATCTGGGTAGAGTTCTTCAATGTTGTTCCAGAAATTGCTGAAGCCACTTTTCTAGTTTAGGGGTCACTGCTACAAGTGCTGCTGGAATTACTTTGGCCTTTATTTTCCACATCTTCTCTAGTTAGAAATTCAGAGGTTTTAGATTGAGTGGCGAGAATAACCGAGTTGCGCGTTGCTTCGACGTGCCTTCATGAATTCGTCTTCAGCTACAGCAAACCTATCAGTAAAAACGAATTTAGTGCTGGGGACTTAACCATGTTAATTATATAAATAAATAAATAATTATATATAAATTATGTAAACATAATTTATATATAATTATTTTGTTATAATTATTAAAATTAGAGGCAAAAAATTTAGTTTCGTATAAATCGAAACGAGTGGAACGATATTTATTCGATTTTATGTTATTTATATTTATTTTTTATTTTTATGTTTTTTCACTTTTGAAAATTTTTTAGATTCCAATTTTTTTTCATATTATTTTTATTTTTATTTCATCAAAAAGTTTTATTTAATCGATTTAAATTTTATTTAAGTGTTTTATTTAATCAATAATTTTACAATTTTTTGAAAAAAATTTTCGTTTTTCGAATTCGATTTTTAAGTTGAAAAATAGTAAAAAAATATATTTTTTAATATAAAAATAATATGAAAAATCGAAATAATAATATGAAAAAAATGAATCGAAATGATTACTTTCAAAAGAAATTTTCATTTGCAATTAATTCACAAATGACTAAGCAAATTTGCTTTAGCAAATTTAATGCGAATACTAACGAATTTTATCGATGGTAACGAACCGTCAAAAGTGACGAATTGTTTCAGTTGACTGAGGTTGTGACGAGTTCGATTTTTTTTGATTCTCTATTTGTATTTTTTTTTGGTTTTTTGTGGTTGAGAGGTATTAGATTGAGGTGGCGAGGTTAACCGAGTTGCGCGTTGCTTCGACGTGCCTTCATGAATTCGTCTTCAGCTGCAGCAAACCTATCAATGGAAACGAATTTAGTCGATGCTGGGGACTCAATCATTTCGCAACCCCCCTCCCTTCCCCTTCCCTCCCCTCTCTCCCCCCACCACGCCTTTTTTCTATGATTCTTTATTCCTGCGGGGAGTCGAATTCCAGTACCGATGCCTGTGATTGTCAGTAGAAACAGCCAAAATCGAAATGTTATTTTTAGAAAAAGCTTGAGCTAACTATAAAGATTTTGTTCGACAATTATCTTAGCTTTTATGTAAGGAAAGTAGCGAAGTTGTTTATTGCATGTGGATTTGAGTTGCATAAAAGTTGAGAAAATTTTTATAATATAAATGAAACAGGGAAAGAAAGCTGTGAAATGAAGTGGAATGGCTTAGGAGTGGTTTATTAGCGCCATTTCAGAGCGCCAATACTTGAATTCCTATTTTCGGCAGAAATAAATTTGTCTTTCCAAAATCCAGGTGATTCTGGTAATCTTTTTTCGCTGACCCATATTTCTATGGCGTAAATATTGCATGGCAAAATTTATTCTATTCCGCCAGTTGATAAATTGAATCTTAGAAAAAGAAGGGGCTGCAAATTTAGCTGATCGAACGAATAAGTTTACTTCTGGTACTTACTGGTAGATGTTAGCACTGATTGCTCTCGTCATTCATTCATCTTATTTTATAAAATATTTTGAATACGAAAAATTCATAACAAAGACGGTAGGAACAAAGCAATTGTGAAAGCTAATATATTGCTAAGGTCAGCAAAGGTCAAAAGGCTTTGTTTTAATTTTTTAGGTTATTAGTGGAATTCGCTTAATCGAATCTTCGCATTTTTTCTTTTTGCCTAACATTATTGTTTGGTTTATTAGTTTATTGGTTTTAAGTAGGTGTTGGCCGATAATAAGTGGTGCGAAAATGTATGCGAATCGATTATTGGTGCTAACATCACGATGTCAAACGATAGGATTGCCAACACGTTATGGTTTTTTGTTTGCTAATTTACGAGCATCATCATCAATTTCCGATGTTAAGGTTCATTTCATTTTTGTTTGCTTAAAAATTGAAAATTTTTCGAAAATTTTCAATTTTGAGTTATTTGTCATTTTTTGTGAGCAAATGAATTTCTTTCTCTCAAAAATATTGTTACACTGGTTCGCGGGAATTGCCCAAGGATTTTTCGTTAAACAGCTTTTAAGGTTATTCGCTTGCTAGCATGAGTAAATAATGGGAAATAGTATGAAGGAGATATCACATCGACATTTGTTTTTGTTCTTCTTCTTTCGAGACCTATGTGTTTTTTATTGTAATTCAATAAATAAATTTCTTTCTTAATAGTATTTAGAATAAACTTGATATTTTATAGGCTGAACCATTTATGAATGGCACATCGGCAGTTTATATTGAGCAGATGTATGATTGCTGGAAAAAGGATCCAAGTTCGGTACACGCATCATGGAACGCTTATTTTCAGAATGTTGAACAGGGTTCGTAATTTTCATTATAATTGTTTGCGATTGCCCACTGCATCTAACTATGCCTATGATTGTTGATCATTAAATAAGGTATAAAAATCTGAGTTATTGAATTGAGGTTCTAACCGCTTTGTTTTTTTCATATATTGTCACTTTTGAAGCCTTTTTTTGAAAAATTTATGCATGTTAATTATCCAAGATTCAAAATTGAGTTTGACTCAATAACATTTTAAGTTAATTGAATTGATGTATAATTGGTAGAATCTAATTGGCATAGTAATAGTAATTGGCATAGTCGAGCCATTTCTGTATTTTATTATGAAATGTTATATTTTATTTTAGTGGTTTAGTTTTCTTCGTAGTTTTCCAGGAAATGAACATTTTTTACAATGAAGTAAAAAAGTAAACAATGAAGTATTGAATAAAGAAATTCGAAAGATAATTCGAACCGCTTAATTAGCTTGAATTTCAGGATTACGACCAGGTTCCGCTTATAATGCCCCTCCATCCGCTGGTCTAACTTATTCAAGTCCAATGTTAATGCCGATGGATTCTGTCGTTGCATCTGCTGCTGCTGGTCTCGAAGAAGTACGAGATAATCTAAAAGTTCAGCTTCTCATCAGAAGTTTTCAGGTATTGTTTTTTAAAGATTTTTCAATGTTTTTTTCAACTGTAGTAGAAAATTTTCATTCTGGCTAAAGTAATTTTTATTGTTATGAATTTGGATATGATTTTCTTTTGTGGATAAATTTTAATTTTTCTCATTTTTTTTATCGGTTTCTCCTTCAGTAGGTATCTTAAAAAATAAAAGCAATTTTTTTAGAAATTTATAATAATAATTTTATAGACTCGTGGGCATAATGTCGCAGAATTAGATCCGTTAGGAATCAATTCTGCTGATTTAGATGATACAGTACCTCCTGAATTAGAACCTAGTTTCTATGGTCTCGAAGAGCGAGATATGGACCGAGAATTCGTTCTTCCAATGTCGACTTTTATTGGTGGAAATACACCAACTCTTACTTTAAGAGAAATCATCACTCGCCTAAAGGTATAACTTGTTGGCTTTTAATGAAAAAATTAGTCATCGATTGAAATTTTCATTTTTTCTTTTCTACTTATAGAATATTTATTGCAAACGTATGGGTATTGAATATATGCATTTAACGAACTATGATCAGTTAGAATGGGTTAGAAAACGATTCGAAACTCCACTTGCCACGCAGCTATCACCTGATGACAAGAAAACTCTTTTCAAGCGATTAATTCGTTCAACAAAATTCGAAGAATTTCTAGCTAAAAAAGTTGGTAAATTTGTTGTGAAAATACTAATAATAATAGAAACTAGTATAAAGGTCTGATTCATAGGTTGCCAAAAGTATTTCCAAATCTTAGTGTTCATCTTAATATTCTCGACATTATATTATTTTTCATTTTTCACGAAATCATTATTCTTATCTAGATTTGACGAAGCGTTTAGGGAAAGCAACGAATTTGAATGGTATTATGGAGTTAAAACTGGATTCAGTGGGAGGAAATGAGAGCACCATTAAAGTATTTGGGGTCGTTGAGGGGTTTTAGCTAGATTTTACACTTTTTAGGTACTTACTGCATATATTCTTATATATACACAAATCAATTTATTTTATTTAAATTTCCAAATTATTTGCTTTTTTAGTGGCCAAGTGAGAAACGTTTCGGTATAGAAGGATGTGAAGTGTTGATTCCTGCGGTGAAGAAAGTTATTGATGTTTCTAGTGCTGCTGGTGTTGAATCATTTGTTATTGGAATGCCTCATAGGTATTTATTTTTTGAAATATTTGGTTCTGTCATTAATTTTTTTCTGTATAATTAATATAATGAGTCACTGGTCAACTGTTTAACTGGCTCTGTCGGCTAAGGTACAATTTCATGTTTGATGTCTGCTTTTTTCTGTCATCTTTTTTTGTCTGCTTTTGTTTTCTTTCGTTGATTTCGAGTTTTTTGAATTTCCTTTAGAGGACGACTGAATATTTTGGCGAATGTATGCCGTCAGCCACTTTCAACGATCTTATCTCAATTCTCAACACTGGAGCCAGCTGATGAAGGTTCAGGCGATGTAAAATATCATCTAGGAGTTTGTATAGAGCGTTTAAATCGACAGTCACAACGAAATGTGAGGATCGCTGTTGTCGCAAATCCTTCTCATCTTGAAGGTTGCTATATTTATTTAAAAATAAAAATGGTTTATAAACAAAAACGAACTTTTAAAAATTTATTCTTTTAAGCCGTTGATCCTGTTGTCATGGGTAAAGTTCGAGCTGAAGCATTTTACAGCGGAGATGAAACTGGTGAACATTCTATGGCTATAGTTATGCATGGAGATGCTGCTTTCTCAGGTCAAGGAGTGGTCATGGAAACTTTCAATTTAGATGATCTTCTCGAATATACAACTCACGGTGCAATTCACATTGTTGTTAATAATCAGGTCTGTTATTCCAGTTTGTATAATTTATTCTAGTCTGTGAATTTGTATTGTACCTTGTGGCTATATTTTAGCTTTATTTTTTGGCAAATATAATTTTAGATTACTAATTTTTCTAATGTCTATAAATTTTATCTTACTTAACATATTATCCTCCTTGCTTGATGTGTTTTTGAGTCGATGCAATGATTCTCTAGATCTTAGAATTTTAGATCGGTTTTACGACAGATCCTCGTTGCTCGCGCTCTTCACCATATTGCACTGATATTGGAAGAGTTGTTGGTTGTCCTATTTTTCATGTAAATGGTGACGATCCAGAAGCAGTAATGTATGTTTGTAATGTTGCTGCAGACTGGCGTCATACTTTCAGAAAAGTAGGTTTTTTTATGACTCTGTTTTAAATTCATATAATCACTACTTTAAATTTATTGAAAAAGGATGAACGTAATTTTGACTTGAAAGAGATCTAAGAGATTCAGTTTTTAAGGATGTTATCATCGATATAGTGTGTTATCGTCGCTATGGCCACAATGAACTGGATGAGCCAATGTTCACGCAACCTTTAATGTATCAAAGAATAAAGCAGACTAAACCAGTCCTCGTTAAATACCAAAAGCAGATTTTGTCTGAGGGTGTTGTAAATGAAAGTTACGTTAAAGTATGTAAATCCAGTGAAACTAAATCCTATTTGATATTTTTGCTACCCGCATTTAATCTACTTGAAGCCTTTTAATGAGGCTAAAATAGAGATTAAATTCTATATTCTTTATTATAAATTTTCTCTGTTAGATTAAATTTGTTATTAAATAAAAAATAGGAAGAAGAAGAAAAATATGGTGCAATATTAGAAGATGCATATGAAAATGCACAAAAAGTGACCTATGTGCGTCATCGTGATTGGTTAGATTCTCCATGGGATGATTTTTTCAAAAAGCGTGATCCATTGAAGATTCCTGCTACTGGCATATCGAGGGAGACTTTAGAACATATAATCAACAAATTTTCATCGGTCCCTGAAGGTATAATAATTCTTTCTTTTTCTCTGTTATGTTCATCTTTGTTTATGTTTGCAAAGGGTTTTATTCAGAAATTTTCAAAGAATATTAAGTTTTTAGGATTCAATCTGCATCGCGGTCTTGATCGAACGTTGAAAGGGCGGCAGCAAATGTTACAAGAAAATTGTGCTGATTGGGCGATGGGGGAGGCTCTTGCTTTTGGTTCACTTCTTCTTGAAGGTTTATACCAGTTTTACCAATTATAATATTAAAAATTAAATAAGAAGATAGCCATTTTTCCTCATTGAATATTTAGAATATTTTTATTTTTTTCAAGGTACTCATGTTCGACTTTCGGGACAAGATGTCGAGCGTGGAACATTTTCGCATCGTCATCATGTTCTTCACGATCAGAAAGTTGATCAGAAAACTTATAAGCCTTTAAATGATCTCTCTGATACAGTAATTTTTTGTAATTTTCTTATTTTTTAGGCTGTTCTTGTTTGAAGCTTGAATTTTTAAAAGTTTAAGTTCAGTTTTAAGTGCTCTAAAATAAATTTTTTTTATGTGATAAAAAATGAAGGAATTGATTATCAACAACAAAGGTATTTTTTTCAGCAAGCACAATATGTAGTGTGTAATTCATCATTATCGGAATACGCAGTGCTTGGATTTGAATTGGGTTATTCAATGGTCGATCCGAATTCTCTGGTTATTTGGGAAGCGCAGTTTGGCGATTTTGCCAATAATGCGCAATGCATTATTGATCAGTTTATTTCTTCAGGTATTTCTTGATTATTTCTTGATTTTTTTGAAAAGAAAATATGAAATTTTCAATATGAAATTATTAAATTAAATTATCGCAAATTTTTTGTTGGATTGAATCATTTCTTGAAATCAAATAATTCTAGGACAGTCAAAATGGATTCGTCAATCGGGCGTTGTTTTATCGCTTCCTCATGGTTATGAAGGAATGGGACCTGAACATAGCAGCGCCAGATTAGAACGATATTTACAAATGTGTAATGAAGATGATGAAATTGATATTGAAGTCTGTTTTTCATTGCTGAAAATAGTTTAAAAAATAATAAATTCTTAAATCTTAATGATTCCAATTTATTTATTTTATATTTTATTTATTATATTATGCAAAAAATATAGGCCGAAGCCTTTGGATCGACCTATGAAGCACAGCAATTGAACGACACGAACTGGATTGTTGCAAATTGTACTACGCCTGCTAATTACTTTCATCTTTTACGCCGACAAATTATAATGCCTTTTAGGTTCTTTTTTTAAAATAAATATCTTAAAAATCATAAAATTTTATTTAATGTTCGTAATTTTTGAAAAAACTTTGGAATTTAAACTTTGAAAACTTTTCCACAATTTGATAATCAGCAAAATTTATCATAGAAAACCACTTATCTCGATGGCACCCAAATCATTATTACGTCATCCATCAGCACGTTCACCTATTGAAGATTTCTTACCAGATACCAAGTTTCAACGTGTAATTCGTGAAAACGGTGAAGCATCGAAGTATCCTGATCGCGTCAGTCGTCTTATATTTTGCACTGGTTATTTTTTAAATTTTAAACCAATTATTTTTCAGTTCGTTTCAATTCAAAATTAAATTAAATTTCAGTCAAATTTTTTTTTTTTTAATAGCTTTTTTATTATCTCTGGTGGTTAATCGGTTTTATTACGATGACTGTAATTGCCATTAAACAAGTTTCGCTTTAATTCAAAGTTTTGATAATAAATTTTTTATATATTTTTATTTTATATATATTTTTTATTTTTAAAGTACTTTGGTAAAAATATTTTCATTCAGGCAAAATTTATTATGATTTGGTATCAGCGCGTAAAAGCTTGAATCTGGATTCTCAAATAGCAATTTGTCGTATCGAGCAGATCAGTCCTTTTCCATACGATCTTTTGGCTGCAGAGTGTGCTCTTTACAATGCAGCAGAATTAGTCTGGGCTCAAGAAGAACATAAAAATATGGGTGCCTGGACTTTTGTTCAACCCAGACTTAATTCTCTTCTTGCCAAGTAGCTTTTTTATCAAATACTGACCGATGCATAATTGAATTAAGTGAATTTATTAAAAATTTCAATAAATGCTGAATTTCAATGAGTGTTTTCCAGAGATCATCGAATAATTAAATATGCTGGACGTAAACCATCGTCTTCACCAGCTACTGGTAATAAATATACTCATTATGTCGAACAAAAAGATCTTCTTGTTCAAACACTAAATGTGCGTCGATCTGATCTGGATGCTGCAATGGTTTAAATCAATTTGCTTTGTTTTTCTACCTGATTTAAATTTCATAATAGATCGTTTTTTTTGGGATTTTTCTCACTTTTATGATTTGATGTTAGTTTGTTTTCGTTATTTTTTACTTAATTGTATTACTAATACAATTTAGTAATTATAAATAAGTATAAATAAGTATTAATAATTTGTACTGATACAGTAAATTAGTATGAATCACCTATGAATCATTTAATAAGAATTTCGATGCTAGGAACATTTTTATTGTTCAGTTTATCAGTGTGGAGAACATAATTCGATTGTTTTATTGTTTTAAGAATAGTGTATGATATCGTTAGGTTTTTAAAGGTTTTGATTAGCTGGCTGAATATAAGTTATTTATTTGATCTGTAACTAGACTAGACTAGTTAAACACATTGCATTTGATGCATTCATTGTTAAAGTATAATTGATCTAATTGGTCTAATTTATAATAGAATGTCGAAGATAAATTATAGAATATGGAAGAAAAACAATAAAATATATTCTTTAAACAAAAAAAGCCTTTTTTAATAATTTACAAAAATATTTTAATGAATAAATACTCGTCTTCTGTGGAAGATTTGTTTCAGAATTAGTTATAGTGCAATTAAACTACCAATATTTCGCAAAATGACACAGCAAACGCCAAGATTATTTCATTATAGAAATTAAAAATTAAAAATTGATGAGAACTAAAGTTAAAGAAAATTATTCTAATATTACAAAAATTGAAACAAATCGCAGAATTAAATTAAAAGCGATGAATTGGAATAATTTTTTACTTTTATTAAATAAAAAAGATTCAAATTTAATTAAAAAACGAATAAATTTAATTAAAATAACTTGAAAATAAGAATTAAAACATCGATTCATTTGTGGTTTTATCGTATTTATGGTTTACAATGGATGAAAGCAAAAAAAGGCCAAAATATATGTTCGCTATTTTTGTTACTTTCTTACGATGTAAATAAAACAGCAATAAATAGCAATGAGAAAATTTTTTTTATAAAATTACAAATTAAATAAAATTATAAATTATAAAATATAAATTATCTAAAAGTTTGAAGCATTTAATTGTTTATTTGCTCAAATATGGAAATATAGAATGAAAAATAATTTAGAATAAATAAATAAGAAAGAGTTAAATAGAAATTTGATTTAAATTGATTCAAATTTGATTTCAATGATTAAAAATTTACATTCATTCATTTATTTAATGTTATTTGCCAGTTTCATTCAAATCGAGGAGTTTTTAGGAAATCGACATTTCGTGGATATTCGTGGTTAATGTTTAAGAATATAAAAAGACTATGAAACTGTTTGAGGTTTTTTAGATCGAATAAAAAAACTCAGTCACTTAATTGATTTCGCATTTACTAGTTTCGAATGGTACTATTTTCTTTCATCTAACAATTTCTGACCATTTCTAGTTTGGTTGATTCCATCGGTTATCAGAAAAAGACACCAACTTCATTAGAAAATAGAAGAATAGAGAAGATGAGTTTCAACATAAACCACCATGGTTCTCTTCAATCTCTTGAATCTCTTATTATATTCCAGTGATGAGAATCATATTAGTTTAAACCCATCTTCATAGTAATTCAATATATATTAGTAATTCAATATATATATATATATATATATATATAATAATATTATGGCCAAAGTACTTTATTGAAAGCTGCAAGAGTTTATATTGATGGTGCAACCACCTGAAATAGGATCCACGACAGGTTCCAGGCCTGCATTATAACTATGTTTTGTCGCTATTTTTATCTTTGAATCCCTCTAAAGATTTTGTAAATGTGAATAAACTAAATATTAGATATAAATATCTATACGAAAAGTATTAAACTAAAATGGCCAAATGCCCAGCAGAAAAAAAATCTAAAATTTATAAATGAATCCAAATGGTGTTTCGATTCGAGTGAAAGAGAGCGAGAGAAGGAAATAAAGAGTAAATTATTAAGAATGCAATCCAGATGGCTGCTGAGGACGCACTTGCAATTATTTGCTTGGATAACGCTTCAGCAAAACGATTTCATCTTAGGTGACGAGTGGATTCAAGCAAACCATAAATGATGGTTCATTCTTTTAGTAGAACGGAGGTCCAAAATTTTTTATTGCATCCATTTTTTAACAAAAAAAAAAATATTTTTTCAATCGAGTCCATTGGAATTTTCTTACAAATTCTTAAAATTCTGCATATTTTTTTCATCTGAATTACTAAAATTATTAAAAATTAAATCTCCGAAAAGCCACTTTTTCCTTATAAAGCAATGGGTAATAATTTATATTCCTATCGGTATTCGTGAAGGCTAAGCGATTTTTCTGCGATTAAAAAAAGCAGTTAAACCAGCCAAAGAAATTTCTACAAGAAAATTTAATTTAATTTTAAAATATTTGAAATTCAAATTTAAAAAATTTGAGGAAAAGTCATACGGCTTGGCCATTGACCCCCGTTGATCTCTCGACTTTCTTCGAGCCGTTTCGAAATTTTACTAACCTCATTAGGAATCTCTATATAAAGAAGAGAAAAATTTATTTTTTACTAAGCCATTATCTTATTAAAGCCAATGAATGTAGTAAACCGGCTGTAGCTCTGGTTTTAGGTTCAATTCAGGCTTAAACATTGATGAAACTTGATTATTACCTTATAAATTTGGCATTGGCTACTGGCATTTATCCATATATTTTTTCTCTTCTGCTTATAGTAAAATATTGAAAAATAAAAATATTTTAAAATTTAGTATTATTTTGAATTTTGTTATTTCTCGTTTTGACCTCATATAGGCTTTATTTCCATTGTTTCCGATTGTGTATGACCTCTATATGTGTCAAAAGATTTTTGTCTCCTCCCAGCCTTCGATTTAAGGCTAATTGAAGGAAGCATTAATTGATCAGCGAGTTAGTTAGTCAGTAAGTGCAAATTCTATATTTTCTTGGCTCTTTGGCGAAATTTCTCATCATTGTTGGTTCGTTAAGCAAATGTTTATTTTTTCAAATGAAGTTCCATGGTTTATCTATAAATAGCTTTTTGTGGTTCATTCGAACTTAACTAGCCACGCTTGCTATTTTATTTTAGAGTCATCGGCTATTATTGCTTGATTTGATTTCTTATATCAATTCATATCAAAATAATTGTTTATTTTCTTTCTTTGTCTAATCTTCTAAGCAACAGAAACATACACACACATACACACGCAGCATTCTGGTTTGTATCTGCCACTGAGATAATATCCATTTGTCACGGAATCTCTTAGGGATAAAAATATAAAAAGGGTTCATCAGCAACACCAAATTTTTATTTTTAATAATTTTTATTCCTATAAAAAAGTTGGAATCGAACCTTTCTGTTGCAAAATGGCAAAAGCAGAAGGCTACTTTAGAGGTTGTTTCCACTCTTCGTAAATCTACCTTATCAATGGCCTTATCAATGTCGCCTTCATTAGTTGTACCTTTAACAGTCGTTGTTGTTAAGAACGGTTCGAATTCGGATCTCACAGTACTCTTTCGCCGTTTCGTTAGATTTACGCTTGACGAAAGCATAGTGTGTCCACTGGATTCGAACATTAAATCATTTTTATATATGTATTATAATAAATTTAATCAGCATTTCCCACTAAGCCACAGGATCATTTTTTAATGGACTGTCGTTCATCGACATCATCGATCATCATTCATATAAGCTTGGCAAGAGGCATTAGTGGCATATGTGTCGATTAGATGTGGGGTCACAAAAATTAAATTGGTACGAGTAGTATCAATAAATTATGGATTGGCCTCGCGTCAAGCATCACAGGTTCGATCATCCCTCCCCTCGGAACTGCCATCCAGGTGGTACGGAAGAGTCAGTTAATGAAGAGTTGGTTGGTAACGCAGTTTTTATCACCTCATGCCGTGTGGAAGTCTAATGTCAAATAGCCAGCCAGCAAAAAGAATTCAAATATAATAAAATGGCAGTGTCCATAAAAAAAGCGAAAAGCAACCTTGGCAAAGGCTAATAGAGTATTAAAGGCACGAAAAAGTAGAAATGGTCCGATCCTAAAAGTAGCTTTTTTTAGCCTTTTGCTGTTTTGCGATATTGTCTATGATTCTTCATTCCTGGCCGAATCATTTCAATAATCTAGCATCTAATAATTTAATTTTAAAATTTGAGAAATATTTTAATAAATAAATATTTCAGAAAATTTAAATAATTGGTATATTTTCAAAAATTTTATTGAATCTAAGGTGAACAATGTTACTTAATCGATTATTCGCACCTCGGTTCCAAATTCTGAAATTTGGTGCAAAATATGCTTATTTAGTCGGTGATATTCGAATAACGTCTTCTTCAAGTAGTGTTAAGGTTATTTTTTTCAAAAATACCAAATTGCAATTTCATGATGTGATTTTTTTTTCGTTTTAATTTTTTAGCAAAATCCTCAAAATAGAAATTCTAAAAAATCTCTTTTTCTTTCTAGGCTGAGCCATTTATGAATGGCACATCGACGATTTATATTGAGCAAATGTATAGATGCTGGAAAAATGATCCGAATTCGGTGCACGCATCGTGGAATGCTTATTTTCAAAACGTTGAGAATGGTTAGTAATTTTTTTTGCGAAAATTCTCCAGTAATTTTTAATTTTTCAAAAATCCTTTTAAAGTAATTTTTAGATTTTATGTAATAAATTTTTATAAAGAATATTATTTAAAATTTGACGATTTTTAAGGATTTAAAGGATAATTTATCGCAAGGAATTGGTTCGATTTGATTTGGGTTTAACAAACGAAAGGCAGATTTCTCGAGAATTTCAGGTTTGCCACCAGGATTTGCTTATAGCACACCGCCGTCTTTAGGAGTTACTTATGCTAACTCAATTGTCCCTCCAGTGAATGCTATTATTTCTTCTCCTTCGACCAGTCTTAAAGAAACACACGATAATTTACAAGTTCAATTGCTAATCAGAAATTATCAAGTAATTTTTTTTTTGCCATTTCTGAGAGGATTTTTCATAATTTTTTCATAGGATAGATGAATTGGAAGCATTGGCATAAAATTTTTATTTGAAAATTGGGTAAATTTTAATGAAACTTTTATTTACAATACTTGTTTTGAAGTTCAAAATCGTTAAGGTCGCAGGGTTTCTGTCGAAATGGAAATTAGATTTGGTACATAGATTTGGCCAGCGAAAGGCTTTGCAAATCTTATTTTAAATCAAATTTTTCTTTGCAACGAATTAGTTTTTTTTAGATTTTAGACGAATTTTAAATTTATCTTACAATTTAATTTATAAAACGAATTTTGATAATTTTTAAAATTAAATTTATGACTGAGGTCTATTTTTTTAGACGCTGGGACACAGTGTGGCGAATATAGATCCATTAAATATCAGCAATACTAACCTAGAAAGCAAAATGCCACCAGAATTTAGACTTGATTTTTATGGTTTCGGTGAACAGGATTTGGATCGAGAATTTGTTCTACCGACCTCAACTTACATTGGTGGAAATTCACCAACGCTCAAATTAAGAGAAATCATCGACCGTCTCAAAGTATTAAATTTCTGGATAATATGAATATTTCCACTGGAATTTCTTTTATTTCCTCCATTTTCTCCTTTTTTCTTCCCCTTTATTTTGCAGAATGTTTATTGTAAAAGCGTTGGTATTGAATATATGCATTTAACAAATTCGAAACAGTCGGAATGGATTCGAAAACGTTTCGAAGCACCAATAAAGCAATTATCAACGAGTCAAAAGAAAACGCTATATAACCGATTGATGCGTTCAACAAAATTCGAAGAATTCCTTGCTAAAAAGGTTGATTCACTGTCTAACAACTCGGAATATTTTTAGCTTAGCCGACTTTTTGGTGAAATTTGGTGAAATTTTGTTTCACCAAAGGTTAATTGAATAATGGAAATAGTAGAGAATTCTTAAAACGAACTCACTTTTAATGATAGGTTTGCATTTCTATCAAAAGGATGGACGCTGATTGCTTTTCCAGACGAAAAGCATCTCATCCATGAATCTTTGAATGTTTGTGGCTTATTATTCATTGTAATTTTTTAAATTTTGAGTGGCCAAATGAAAAGCGTTTCGGTCTCGAAGGTTGTGAGGTATTAATTCCGGCAATTAAACAAATTATCGATACTTCTAGCATTGCTGGTGTTCAATCATTTATCATCGGAATGCCGCATAGGTTCGTTTTTAAAGTTTTTTAATCTCTTAACATTTTTTAATTTCCAACTTTTTTATTGGAACAACTGAGAAAAGTGAAAATTGAATTTCCACATTTTTAGAGGTCGCTTGAATGTTCTAGCGAATGTATGCCGTCAACCACTTCCAAAGATCTTTTGTCAATTCTCAGGGCTTCAGCCAGCTGACGAAGGTTCAGGCGACGTTAAATATCACTTAGGAGTGTGTGTGGAACGCTTAAATCGGCAGTCAGATCGAAACGTTAGCATCACTTTACTTGCAAATCCTTCACATCTCGAAGGTTTGTTAAAAAATTAATTTAGAATCTAAAATTTAGGATAGAAAAGGTAGAAAATTTTCAGCATCATCTCTTCGAAAATTTCTATCTTTTGACCACAAACAATATTTGATATGATTTTTGATGTTTACCGTCTTATTAATGACTTTTTTAAGCGATCGATCCAGTCGTTATGGGTAGAGTTCGAGCTGAAGCATTTTATAGTGGTGATGAAAACGTTGAACACTCTTTGGGTATTCTAATACATGGTGACGCTGCTTTCACAGGTCAAGGAGTTGTGATGGAAACTTTCAATTTAGATGATCTTCGCGATTATACAACTCACGGTGCAATTCATTTAGTCGTCAATAACCAGGTTCATAATATAATCCGTAAAATCCTTTCTATTTCGTATGTATTTATGCCAACAAGATCGTGGATTTTGCATTTTTATAAAGTTTATTAATGTGGAATTAATGTAATATAATTATTATCACATCGATTTTTGCCATCCTTAAGCCTTAATTCTCTCTTAATTTAGATCGGCTTTACGACGGATCCTTGTTGTTCGCATTCTTCACCATACTGCACTGATATTGGACGCTTTATTGGTTGTCCTATTTTTCATGTGAATAGCGATGATCCAGAAGCAGTAATGTATGTTTGTAATGTTGTAGCGGAATGGCGTCGTATTTTCAAAAAGGTTTCTCTAATTTAGCAGCAAAAATACTAAATCAAAATGAAATTCAATTAAATTACGAGTTCTTATGATTTAATTCTAAACAACGGAATAGTGCTTGTTGTTTAAAATTTTAAGTAGAAGAGAAATCAATCAAGGATTTTCTTAAGGACGCAATTATTGATATAGTATGTTATCGTCGCTATGGCCATAATGAACTGGATGAGCCAATGTTTACTCAACCGTTAATGTATCAGAAAATTAAAGAAATGTTACCAATTTCCACAAAGTACCAAAATCAAATTTTATCTGAAGGAATTGTCGATGAACAATATATCAAAGTATGTGAAAATTTATTTATTTATTTCACATTTGTTTTTTAAAATTTCTTATTAAAATTAAAATGAAGATATAATTTAAAATATAATTTATTATTTCTTTTATTTGTCATAAGAATACCTAAAAAAATTTATAACAAAATAATAATTTGTAATAGGATGAAGAGAAAAAATATAGTGCAATATTGGAAAGTGCATATGAAAGTGCACAAAAAGCGACACATGTGCATTTTCGCGACTGGTTAGACTATCCTTGGGCAGATTTCTTCGATAAGCGCGATCCATTAAATATTCCCGCTACAGGAATACCAAATGAAACTATAGAACTTATTATCAAGAAATTCTCGTCTGTGCCCGAAGGTTTTTTGAATTGCTTGTGCAAATTTTTTTATAATCCACACCAAATCCTATAAAAATTCAGAATACTAGAAATGCAATTTAGGATTCAATGTGCATCAAAGTTTGCTACGAACGTTGAAGGGTCGACAGCAAATGTTGAAAGAAAATTGTGCTGACTGGGCGATGGGAGAGGCACTTGCTTTTGGTTCACTTCTCCTTGAAGGTTCACATTAGTTCTGATGGTCAAATAACCATGAAACTAAATTTTGCGAATATTTAAAAGTTATAAGGTTCTGCTTTAAGGTACTCATATACGACTTTCGGGACAAGATGTCGAGCGTGGAACATTTTCGCACCGTCATCATGTTCTTCATGATCAAAAAATTGATCAAAAAGTTTATGAACCTCTAAATGACCTCTCTGATACAGTAATTTTTTATGGAGTTTATGGAGTTTATGGAGTTTTTTATGGAGTTTGCCTAAATTCAACTTTAATTTTTTATAAAATTTTTTATAAAAAATAGTTATTTTTTATGGAGTTTATAAATTTTGCCTAAATTCAACTTTAATTTTTTATAAAATTTTTAATAAAAATAGTTTTTAAAAAATAGTTTTTAAAAATTTGTTTATAAAAAATAGTTTTTTATAATTTTTTTTTTAATTATAATATTTTTTTATAATTATAGTTATAGACAAATTTTTATTTAAATCTAACCAATGAAATTGTACAAATGTGCAATAATCTATAATTTTTTAGCAAGCAAAATACGTAGTATGCAATTCGTCATTATCGGAATACGCAGTGCTTGGATTTGAATTGGGATATTCGATGGTCGATCCGAATTCTTTGGTTATTTGGGAAGCGCAGTTTGGCGATTTCGCTAATACTGCACAATGTATTATAGATCAGTTTATTTCTTCAGGTATTATATAATTTTAAAATTTTAAAATTTACTAATATTAAAATTTCAAAAAAAAGATATGAAGTCATTAAATTTATCGCAAATTTTTTGTTGGATTGAATCATTTCTTGAAATCAAATAATTCTAGGACAGTCAAAATGGATTCGTCAATCGGGCGTTGTTTTATCGCTTCCTCATGGTTATGAAGGAATGGGACCTGAACATAGCAGCGCCAGATTAGAACGATATTTACAAATGTGTAATGAAGATGATGAAATTGATATTGAAGTCTGTTTTTCATTGCTGAAAATAGTTTAAAAAATAATAAATTCTTAAATCTTAATGATTCCAATTTATTTATTTTATATTTTATTTATTATATTATGCAAAAAATATAGGCCGAAGCCTTTGGATCGACCTATGAAGCACAGCAATTGAACGACACGAACTGGATTGTTGCAAATTGTACTACGCCTGCTAATTACTTTCATCTTTTACGCCGACAAATTATAATGCCTTTTAGGTTCTTTTTTTAAATTAAATATCTTAAAAATCATAAAATTTTATTTAATGTTCGTAATTTTTGAAAAAACTTTGGAATTTACTTTTCCATAATTTGATAATCAGCAAAATTTATCATAGAAAACCACTTATCTCGATGGCACCCAAATCATTATTACGTCATCCATCAGCACGTTCACCTATTGAAGATTTCTTACCAGATACCAAGTTTCAACGTGTAATTCGTGAAAACGGTGAAGCATCGAAATGTCCTAATCGCGTCAGTCGTCTTATATTTTGCACTGGTTATATTTAATCTCTTTAATTTTCTTTTTTTAAATTTTTCTTTCCTTTATTTTGTGAGTTGGTGATAAGTACTATGAAGTTGCTTGTTGGAAATTAATTGGCAAGCCGTCTTTTAATCATCTATTTATTGAAGATTTTTCTAACAGTGTCATTTGTCATTTTTTTATCATTAATTTTTTATCATTTTATTTTTATCATTTACATATAAATTATTACCATTTAGGTAAAGTTTATTATGATTTGATAACAGCACGGAAAGGCTTGAACATGGATTCTCAAATAGCGATTTGCCGCATCGAACAGATTAGCCCATTTCCATATGATCTTTTGGTTGCAGAATGTGCTCTTTATATTAATGCTGAGGTGGTTTGGGCTCAAGAAGAACACAAAAATATGGGTGCTTGGAGTTTTGTTCAACCAAGAATGAATTCTATTCTTGCTAAGTAATTTCTTCTTTGTTTGTTCATTCAAATTCAAGTTTTTTGGATAATTTTTTAAAAAATAGATTTAAAAATCTCGAACTATTCTAAATTTTAAAGTGAATAAGCGAGATTATTTCAGAGATGGGCGAGTAATGAAATACGCTGGACGTAAACCGTCTTCATCACCAGCTGCTGGCAATAAATTCCTTCATGGCTCGGAACAGAAAAATTTCCTTGCTCAAGCACTTACGAATCAGTCTGGTCAATCTGAATCTGATTAGGATTATTTGGCAGATCCATTATTGTCACTGAAATTTTTATTATAGAAATTGCTCGTTTCATAAATTCTTTCATTTTTTTTTAAAAGTTTTTTCGTTTGTTAAGTTGATTTGTCAGCAATTTTAACAATTTGATAGCAAAATTCGTCCACAATTTTATTACTATGGAACTTGAAACTATTAAATTAAGGTTATAAACCACATTTCCAATTGATCGCAGGTTTCTATTTTCTTAAATTAAATGGTTGAAATTGGTGAATTTTATTTAGCTTTGAATTGAATATAGTATTTGCTTGTTCTTTTGTGATTAATTTATTAAAATTATTTCTGAAATCATTTTTTATTTGTAAAGTAAAATCTCCATCCTTTTAAATGATTCTTTTCTAATAACATTCTTTCTACTCTTTTGCTGGCTTTTCTAGCGATTAGAATGTCACCTGGGCAATAGGAATACAGTTGGGATTCTCAGCACAATCAGAACTTCGCTTTTAATAATAAATTATCACCTAGAAAGACTTGAAAGACTCGAAATTTAGCTGAAATAGTAGTAAAATAATGTTTCAAATTTTGGGCCATTCTCGCGATTGATAAGCGTGTGTTACCTATGGGTTTTCTGATAAAAGCTCTGTTCATTATTAGGTTTAAAAAAAGGATTTGCATATCGCACAAGATAAGATCTCTTAAATTTTTTCGACGAAGTAGATGAATCTGGAAGGGAATAAAGAATGACGAATCAATTTTCAACGTTGAATTTAAAAATGATATGAATTGATTAAAAATGTTTTATTCTGATAGCGGATTTGTTAGCAGTGACCACATGTTAGCTGGCAATAAGTTTTCATAACGAAAAAGAATGCAGGTCGATTGCAATTTTCTTGAAATTGTTTGCAATCGCTGAAATGATCGAAACATTCTGAAAAAAATTTTCTGCAGAATTCATTTTTCAAAATTTTCAAAATTTACGAGGAATTTTTATCTAAATAGGGAAAAGAGAAAGCTTAAAAGAGAGGAGATTTATTGCAAAAATGGATTTTAAAAACATTCATAAGATTATGTGAATATTTAGAAGATAATCAGTGGTGTGAAATTTACAATAGTGGGAAAAATAGGAAACGATTTGAGTTTGCAGATTCATTGAAATTTGAGAAATTTATACCCGGTGGATCTGAACTGGATTCCAGGCTTGATGTTGCTGGTCCTTCATTCGAATTTGAATTATTATTTTCACACTTATATAGTTTGTTGATCTGATAATGAAATTGAATTATGCAAGCTCAATTAATAACTCTACGAGTAGGAAAATCTTCCGGAAGGCATCTTGAGATATGAGGAACGTTGCAAGAATTAATGATTTGTTTAAATAGTTTTATATATTTGGTAAATACGGCTCTAATCGTTTAGTACAGCGATGTTAGGGTTCTATTGCCAGCCGAGGAAAACCGGTTTTCGAAAATCCTGATGATTCTGGCGACTCATCTGTGCTACTTCTATCGCCAAATGACTTCCTAACAAAATTTGTCTGGTCTGACAAACTAGCCGAGCGAGTCCAACCAGAAATGTTGAGTAATTTTAGCAGAAAAAAAAAAGCTTTCTTCAACAATTCTAATTTTTCTTCTAATTTCTTTAACTCGAAATAATCTTTATAAATCTTTCAATTTCAATTTTTTCGAATAATTTTTCAAATTTTAATTTCATTTATAATAATAATGAAACCTTTTTAATATCTAATTCACTTAATTCCAATGCTGAACCAATAATTTCAGTAAAACCATTTTCAATCGTTTCCACCGTATTCATACCATTTTTACTAAATGCGGTTGAATCGTAATGCATAATCGACCTAAAATTCGATATTGTCGATTATATAATGTTTGGGGGAGAAAAATGAGGAAATGAGAAATGAGAAATGAGAAAAAAATTTCTTTAATGTTATTTGCATTATAAGATGAATTTTTACTCGATTTCATTTTATTTTTATTATTTTCTTCTAAAGAAATTCGCAAAAGAAATATTTTATATATATTTATTTTATGCTAAAAAGAAAAGAATTATTTCCTTTTATTTTTTTTTTATGGTTTATAAACTTAAAAGATATAATAAGAAAACGGAAAAATTCCCATAGACTACCTGTAATCGTATTTTTCACCTAAAAGATCTTGAACGGCTGCAGAAATCTGATCAAATTGTGGTTCCATTCCTGGCAAAATATTCTCCCAAAGTATTCGAATATAATCATCACGATCTGATTTTTTTTTCGAATGAATCAATTTTGTAAGCAATTTTTTAAAATCCATAGAAACTTAAATAAGATTGAATTTCCGGAAATATTTTGGAAATAGTTCGCGTTTAAAAACAACCTGTTCGACTATGTTCATGCCAAAATCCAATTGCATGCATTAATTCATGCGTAATAATTTCATAAAATAAACAGCCACGACCTAATGATAATTCTTGTTTGCCACCTGCTTTTCCTACTTGCGAATAGCAACTGCAAATTTAAGCCTTTTTCGATAAAAGCAAAATATTAGAAATCAAGAAGCTACGAATCACTATTATTCTAACATTTAGGCATATAAATGAATGAAATAGTAAAATATTGTCAAAAACTTGGGATGGCCGAGCACTGAATTATTATTACTGAATCGATATTGAAAGAAATACCCGGTGCCTTTCGTTATATAAAGAAAATCATTCTCGGCTTTTCGCTTCTTGAATCGTATGCACGTATTACGACGATAATGTTCGAATACTTCTTCGAATAATTTAATTTCTTTTGGAACTTAACTAATTCATTTATAAAGTGGAATTTAAGTTATTTAGAATAATAAGGAAAAAGAAAAGTTTTTACTCGAACTTTTTAGCAAAATGATAAATATATTTCAGTTGATTTGTTGCATCATAGGTTCAATTTTTCCCCTTTTAAGAGGATAAAACTATTAATAAATGTGGTACTCTCCCGTTTTTCTAGCGAAATAAACCTTGGTCAGTACCATGTAAAATAATGAAAAAAATATAATAGATATCGATAAAAAAGCGAATAAATGAAAATCTTACGAAAACCGGAATCCATTTCATAAGGAATAATACCGTCACGCCAAATCATATCCTTGCTTTTTGCTGCATTATAAGCCACATTTGCCTGGGCAATATTTCTGAATTATTACCGTAATTCAACATTTGAATTATTGATTTACGTGAAATTTACGTGAAGTGCAATTTTCATGCCCTCCAGTTATTTACTTAACGATTACTATCGTTCAAATGAAAAAAAAATTTCATAAAATTAAGAACACTGATTTAAAATTTAAAAAAATTTTAGTCGAACGTTAAAATGCAAATTGTACTTCAATATTATTCAATTTTTTGTAGTTAAAGAAAAAACGTTTAAAACATTTCTTATTTATTTATTATTAAATATTAAATATTTATTTTTACTAAATTTTAAATAACTTTAAATTTTTCTTTTATATTTATGAAAAAATGAAGCAAAATTACCAAATTGTAATTCGTAAAAGATTCAATTCCAGCTATATCGCCTTGAAATTTACCTTAAAAAAAAACATTTGTGCCGAAAATTTTCTTACTTTACATTAATGTTTATAATGTTTGTAGTCGAACTTCTTTTTTTGCGCTATCGAAGTGAATGTCTGAACTCTAACAGGTTAAACTAGTTCGAGTTTTCTTCGTTATTTCCTAGGATTTGCGCCATTCCGTTCATTGAGCCGAATAAAAAATTTTGATTTGGTTTAAAATGCGATAAATGTTACTGAATACGCAGGAATAAGCGTGTCAAAAAATCCGAATGGTACCAACGACTTAGCTGTACCTCTATTGCCAAGGGATTCCTAGCATATTTGCCTAGCGCGACAAGCCAGTGAAGCGAGTCTAACCAGTAATGATGAGGGTTTTAAAAAAAAAAAATCTACTGAATGCATAAAATCTACTGAATAGGTTGGTTCAGAGAACCTATTTGCATTTCTATCCTCAAGTGACTCTTTACGATCCTACAAAAGAGGCTTCAAGCAATAGCAAATAGATGCAACAGACAAACCAGAAATTACGAGTATGGTGTTCGAAAAAAAAAGTATTATAATAAAATTGTATGAAAGAAAATGGTACCCGAATTCTGCCAAGCTTTATGATGTGATCTAGGACGTCGTTGCTTCGATGAGAATGCCGATAAATACCTCTCATTACCTACTACAACTGATATTAATAAGACGCAAAGGCATATCGATATTTTATGGATATCCATCTAAAATTTTGTCGGATTTTTACTAAATACTGTAGCCTTTTAAAAGATTCATTTGCTTAAGATTCTAAGTTTTTACCGCATTAGAATTTAGGAAATTTAGGAATAATTTAGGAAATAAATTTCGCGAAAATTCGAGAGCCTAAAAAAAATATAATTTTGAAAAGTTAAGAAAAAAAATGCTAATTGTAAAGTAAGATTGCGAAGAAAAGCTAAGCTAACATTTGCCGTTTCCTTCATACCTTCTTGAATTTCCAGAAGTTTTATCTTCAAATTTCTTTATTTTAAATTTTAGATCATTCAATACTCGCTTTTTTTATTATTATTTCGATAAATTCTCTATTCGTCTTGAATTGCTAACTAAAATTCATTTTTTGACTTAAAAAATCGAGCTGAAAGTCAACTGTCTTGTAAAAAATCAGCTTCGAGCCAATTTGAATATCGTGGATACGATAAATAAAATATGTGGTAAACGTAGAATGGTATAGTAGCAGCTTAAATAATATACATATAAGGTAGCGAAATGAAAATTTTCAAATCTTTTTTAAATATTTATTTTTAGAGGAACTATTAGGTGAATGGCTTAATGGGCTTTTCAGTCAGAGTTTCCAATTTTAAGATTCAGCGACTTGCAGGAGAAAATCTATCTTTCAAAAATCCGAATAACACTTGCGATTCATCAGCTTTCTTCTTCTATCGCCAGGTGATCTCTCTGGCAAAATTTATCCGATTCGACAAGCGAGAAAATCGAAAAATGAAAGGAAAAAAAATTTTCCTATCGAAAAAACAAATTTTAATATAGTTCAATCATATTTATTGTTTCTGCAGAGTTGCATGGCATCCATTTCCATCACTTTGCAGTAAAAGAAAAATTAGCCAGAAACCGATTTATACTTTTGAAATTGCGTCTTTCTGGTGGAAAATCTCATGAAAACCATGGTACCAAGTGGACCAATCAATTCACAAATAATATGTGCTTATAGAAAAGAAAAATTAAATAAAATTTGGCACTTGAAAATAAATAAATAAATAAATTTTATAAATTATAATTAATTTCCCGTAATTCTCTAAAATATATTTTAGAATAATTCGAATAAGTCGAGGAAAAAAAAAAGTTTAAATTGATGAAAGAATTGTTTGAGATATAAAACCACCGCCACCCGACAATATCTGTTTGGCTACTCACTATGCGGTCGGTATTCATTTGTCTTCTTTTTAATTCAGTTTATTAGTATGTTTACAAAGGAATAGCAATAACACGTTTCAAGTTGGGATCGACTAGCTAACTGTTCGAGAACTCGTCTTCATACTACATTAACACTCGCGATAATCGGGCTAACTAGAAACAAGTCTGTGAATGTGCTCGTTTAGTATAGTTAAAAATATATTAGCTAGATTAGATTAGAAAAATGCGATTATTTCGGACGTTTATTAGATTTTCAGATCAATTATACTGAATTCATTCATCGCAAACTGTAAATAGTTTACTTTAGGGATCATCGATCATATTTTTAATTGTTTGTTTATTAAGATAAAATACTGCAATATAAATAAAAAATATAAACATAATATAATAGTGAAAAAAAATGACAAAGGAAAAATATCGAAAAAATAAAATAATAAAATAACAAGCAAAGATCAAAAAATTTCAATGATAAAACTTCAGAAAAAGTGCATTCAGTAAAAGTAAAATTAGCAAATAAGTAGAATCGTTTACGGATGTTCAGATATATTTGAAATGATAAAATCGAACAGACTATTTTTATCACCATAATCATATTGAGAGCAGAATGCAAGTAAAAGATCGTAAAGCTGACCTGAAATTATGGTAACAAATTTTTGGAAAATATATTTTTTTTAAAAATAGAGCAGAATATTCGGAATAGAGAGAAAACGCATACCAACTGTTATCTGATAATCCTTTAAATATCCATACAATGCAGTCAATTGACCAGCGAAAATTCGATCGTTGAAAGTAAAGTAACACATCGGACGTCCATTAATTGAACACGCCAAAAGTTGAATCATACCTTAATTCATTTCTTTAAATATTTTTTTTATTTCTTTAAATATAAAATTTATCTATGCATTCTCTTTCAAATAAATTATTGAATAATTGCTTATATTATATAATTGCTTAAACAAAAATTTCATTTAGCTGCTTTACAAAAAAAAATTTGAAGAAGCACCTTACTTCTTCTAACAATAAGCATCATTTTCAGTTTGGCTATCTCCAGTGACTACTTGAGTGAGATATTTTCACCAGAGACGAATAATCGTGCGAAAACATATACAGGTCGATTTCCATTAGTCACTTGGGCTTTAGTTTTAATGCAGGCTTAAGTCTGCCAGAGAATGGGAACCGAAGCGAAGCTGCTTGCACGAAGCGAAGCCGAAGAAAGTACAACTCAACCGGAGTGACCCAAACACTTTTATTAGTCAGCTAACTATATTAAAATTTCTATTTAATTTCTAAAGAATATTTTAATGTTAAGACCCTCATATACTTTAAATTCATAAAGTGACAAATGAATAAATACAATATATATAAATACAATAAATATACTTACAAAAGAACATTTCGCTGAAACTTGCCTAAGGTTCAAGCTCAAAAAACATAAGTAAAAAATCCCGTAAAGTATATAAAACTTATTTCCATAAGAGCCACTAAATAAAAATTACTTCCTCTATTCACAAAAGAAATATTCAGGAATATTAAGAAATTCAAAATAATTTTTGAAAAAAAAATTACTTTTGAGATGGACATTTCCATGATAAACGCCACAACCCCAGTTTCCTGTTGCAACAGCTTTGTGTGATTTTTCAATGTCTAAATAACCAACGTATGCCTATAAAAATTGTTTCTTGATCGGGTTTTAATAAATATATCATTAAAAAATTCCTTAAATACTCTCAACACCCACTAAAAACATTATAAAGAAAAAACACCTTTAATACAATTTAAAACTTGAACTTTTTCTTATTCACATCAGCTAATTAAACTTTTAATAGATATATCATTAAAAAATTGAAGATGGATAGATTCTATTCGTTCAAACAATGTTACTACCAATTATTTCCTTAAAAAACAAATCAAGACCAATCAAAATTTCCGCAAATATGAACATTTTTTATATTTTTCCAATGATTACGTCAAGATTTATGAATGAAAAAATTTGCAAACCATTAACCTAAATCATTGTTTAATTATGAAATTGACCAGTAAACCACAATAACATTAGCATTATCTAATTTTAATACAACTGGCTTTGAGGAGGATAAGAAAATTCCTATATTATGTTACTTTTTCACTGTTCTTTTAGGTAATTTACTTTACGCTAAAAGAGCTTTTTTTTAAAGAAATTCACTGGCTTCAAGGTGGGCTTGCAAAGTTCATCAACGTGCCAAAGCAGTTGATGGTATAAGTCCCCTAGATTAAAATTGAAATTCTAATAAATGATACTTCATACAAATGATGAATTTTGCAAGCAAAAATTTTCATTTTTAAATTATAAATTATAAACTAACTTTTAAAAGCTCACGATCAACGAATTTCTTTTGGAACTGTGCACTTCGATTGCGAAAAGAGAACGCATCAATTGCAACCAGCTCTGAATGGATTTCGCTGCAATCCCTTAAAATCAAACTCACAACTAAACAATGTTATCAACAAAAAAAAATATTTATTCGATATTAAATAATTAAAAGAATGAGAAAAATGGCCAAATAATAAAAACTATTAAAAATTAAAAATAATTAAAAATTTGCTATTTGTTAACTTACAAAATAGAGATGAAAATGGATTAATTGCTATAAGAAAAAGTGCGGACTGAAAAATATAAGGATGTGGCGAATTACCTGTTTATCTTCTCTATTTTGGTTCTTGGTCGCCACTCAAATGAATGAGCATACCCAACATAATCAGAAAATCGTATACTATTCGTAATTACAATAGCTTCGTTCGCTTTCATCACTTGACAAAATAACATAGAAACAATCAATTCAGGACAAATTAAAAATCGGATTTCCTCCTGAAAATTAAAGAATAAAACAAAAAAAATTTTCGAAAAAAATAAATGAAAAATGAAAATGAAAAAAAAAATTGTTTTACATGCCAAAAACAAAACAAAAAACAAATTTTTTTGCTAAGTTGAAAAAATTTTCTATCATCAGCAACTTGACTGAACCTGTACGCATCCAAAAGATAATACACCACCACCAATAAACTTATTGGCGAAATCGACGTGAAGCATGCCTTCACTATCTTCAATTGTTCCTTTAACTTCAACGTGCAAGGGACTTAACGGTACTGAAAGATTGCTCCAGTCAAGTGGATCTGCATGTTGACGACGAAATTTCATTATTCCCGATGGCACTACAAAAAATCGATTTGATTTAAAACAAATTTTAATAAAAATTCAAGTTCTTAATTATTCGCGCTTTAATAAACGAAAAAATAATGATATAAAAATAAAAAGTATAACGTTAGAAATACCTTCTTATAAAAAAAGTTTGAAATTTGATAAGGTTATTTTATCCAAAATGATAAATAAAAATTAACAATCTGTTTCAAAAAAAAACAAACTGTTTTTAGAAATATGATGAAAATAATGCAGGATACAACAAAGTTTTTCTACAGCCCTCTTTGTTCTTAAATCGAAAAGTTCATCGAAATTAAACGCAGAAGTAGCGCGAACAAAGCGATGAGTTGGATAAGTACAAAAAAAAGCCAATGAAAGCAAGGTAGCTACTTGAACGTGACTCATTGTTAAACATATTAATTCACCTGTTCGCAATATCGGAATAGGCTAAAACAACCAAATTTCTAAAAAATTACTGAAAATTAAAAGCAAAAAAGAAATGAAAAATCAAACAATAAAACTTCTAAATGATTTGTCCACTTTTCAAATTCATTTTTTAAACTGGTCTAGTGATCAATTACTGAGGAACTTAATTCCACATAGCCGTCCAACCTGCTACCCTTTAAAAAGAGAATCGTATTGCTTTTTAAATATATATATATATATAGCTGAATTAAGATGCGTTTAGCTCATTCCTAATGCAGTAAGAAAAGAAGAAACAAAACTATGTATAACTGTCATAACAATTACTCTTCACATGTACGCTAAATTCCTAAGAGAAATATGAAGAAAACCTCCTAATATTTAAGGAGTTTGACGAGCAAACATTATGCCTGGAACATTATCGTTAAAAAAATAAAAGCAGTAAGCATAATATGGAAAAAGTGAGATAAAAACGATTTAAATTACTTGTGTTATTGTAGAAGGTGCTTGAAGTGCAAGTTTGACCATAAACGGTATAACAGAAGTCAAATAAATATCCCTTAAATCATTATCTATTCTCCTATCGAAAAATTCAGCGAGTGCGTCAAATTCCACTGTTCGATTTTGATAGCTTTTAATACATTCCTATAAAAAGAAAATTTAACGCGGATCGTGTTTATGCTGTAGTATAATTTAACAATGAAAATTTAAGGTCAATTTCGACAAATAATTTTTAAAAAAATTTTTTTTTGATGAGGTTCTTTTTTCCTCAGAAAAAGACGACAATAATCAAAAACATGAAAATTACTTGAATTTGTTTATAAGAATGCAAAGGATTTGCGATACTTTTGAGAGATTCACGGATGATTTTATAATATTCTGTACCATTGAAATTGTTTTTCGTAGAAAATGGAAAATATACGTATCTAAAAATTGTGAATAAATGACTAATAAATACCCTTTTGGTACTTTATTATAGTAAGACCATCCCGTGTTTCGCATGATTTCTCGAGACTACGATTTGATCATATTTGTTTCACATGGGCATTATTTTTTAGTATACATTATTCGTTTAGTTGTGAAAGGTTATTTAGTCGTGTTGTTGTATTATTATTAAAGTAATATATTTTATGTTACCTATAATTAAATTATTTTAAATTACACTTATTATTCTAGCGATAAATACTTATTATTGGTAAAAATTGTATTTAAAAATATTATTGATTTTTTTTCTTGTCTCGATCATTTTTTCTTTGATATATGTTTATATCTCTCTATTTATATTTTTTAACTTCAAGTTTTATCTCCTTGTCTTCGATAAGAATAAACCTATCACGATATCAAAAACTGTTGGTTGCTGGGAACTCATTTATAATTCTCAAGTGACTATGGTGAAAGGGATTGATCTTTTGATGCGGCGTACGCATCTTCTAACGTTCATAATACTCCCCACCCTATGATACTTTTGAGCGTGTAATAAAAAGATTCCTTGTGAATAAGATGCATACGCGAGCGAGTAATTACTCAAGAAATGTCAATGGCAGAACGGTAGAAGGACGTTGCAAGTCAAACATTATCCACACTATTTCTTTCTAGATAACTTGTGGATGTCGCCTGATAAAGTAACTATTTTTATCAATTCACTGAGTAAGTGCTGGATTTTAAATATCTTGGATCCACAAATAACTAGGCGAAAAGCGAAATTACAATCTGGACAACGCATTCATCCATGATGAAATATTTACGGTGTCTTTGCGAAATCACGTAGGATACGATTCGCTTGATCTTGCTATATGGCCGTAAGACATAGCCGATGAGAGTGGAAAATATTAAGAAATTATCTGTCTTTGATCATAGATGTATAAGCTAAATTTTACGGTTCACTAAAGGGATAAAATCTTATACATCTACCTTAACTCAAATACCACCTCCATTAACCATACTATCACATAATATCACCTTTGCTGGTCAAAGCACGTTCTTCGTCACCTACCACACGAGTTAATACTTCGCAGTTTGCTGCAATCTATCATCAAAAACGAGGAGAAACCTGGACTGGTGCACTCGTAAAACATTTTGAATTTATAAATGGACCAGATATATGGACTTAGAATAAAAAAGGAATGGCTTATATTACTACCAGACAATTGTGGCGGATACTTTCGGGACATAGCTAGAGAAGCCAACCTAACCAGTACTGTGGTACAAGTTAGAAGAATTAATTTTTAATTCGACAAATAATCACTAACGAACTGCAATGCGCTCATAAATTCAAAATTCAAAATAAACAAAAAGGAAAAAACCTCTCATCACTATCCCAGCCGTATGTATCATCATTACAATAAGTAGGTGACGGAACACATGAGCCATCTGGCCTTATTTCAACAAGCGAAAAATTACTGACATTCATTTCGCAGGCATCCTGAAGTAAAACATTTTTCAGAAGCTTATGTCAGATATATTTTAAAACATGCCTATTATTAAAACCAAAATTTATCGAATGAAACATTTCCTTTCCGAAAGCAAATATCATATATAATTTGGGTCTACTGTCTAACGAAGACTCATAACTAAAATAAGCTGGATGAGGCAGAGAATTGAAATATCCAAAATTCGACAAAAGAATTTCCATAAAGCAATGCCACCATATAAAAATAAAAAGTAAATCGATCACTGCTCCCAAAAAATCAAAAGCCTCTAAACTTTTAGGCCAATAATTCTATTAATTTCATTTAGGGAATTTTTAAAAATATACAAAAATAAATAAATAAACAAAATAAAATTTAAAAAATAAATCGTAAAGAAAAACAATAAATTTTTTTAAAAAAAACCAGTGAATCGCGTTTTTCTTGTTTTTTAGAATCTTCCATTGAATTTCTTTCCATTTCATAAAAGATTTTCTCAGTAAAAAAACAATCACAAATCGATATGGAAAAGTTCCTAAAAAAATTTTTTTTTACAATTTTAATTTAAATTATTCAAACGTTATCAAAATTAAGGAAATTTTTCGCCAAAAAAAGGATAAAAATTTAAATCGAAAAAAGAATTTTTCACAAAAAAAATAGATTCCTTTCAGATAAAAATTTACATCTATTTGCGGTCAAAAATACATACATAACAAATATAGGAAAAATATACGAAAAATAATTTAAAAAAGAATAAGAATAACAATACGATAAAAAAAATGGAAAGATTATTTATTATCAATTCTATTAATTATTTTTATTTACTACTAATATCACAAATTATTATTATTATTGCTTAATAATTATTGATAATTATTGTAGCTGATTAGTATTATTTAATATTTGCAAATATTAGTATTAGTAATATTAGTATTATTAGTAATATTAAAATATTAGCAATATTAGTATTTATCATTATTATTGATTATTATTTTTTTAATATTAAGCGAAACCATTCGTTGCAACAAACATTTTCGATTATTCGTCAGAATCGACGCCGAAATGGATTAGCGAATTTCAGACCGATGGCAGACAATATGCATTCAAAAAAATATTTCAGAACGTATCGTTCAGCTCGCTCATTTTATTCTTAAACGAAATAAGCAGAATTATTAGAATTTTGAATTTTCCTTCGTTTTCCCATAAATCCGTTTCGTAAGGAAATTAATTGGCTGATAAATAATAAAATAATAATAAATAAATAATTAAAAGCCAACGAGCCAATAGTTTTTTTTTCTTTTATTCTTTAATGTCAAAATTTCCGGAAATTCACGCAAATTAATTAAGATGGGACGAATTTTTTCCGAATTTCTCCGGAAAAAACCTTTCGATTTTTGGTACCAAAATCACCACCAACATATAATTTGAAAAATAACTCCCCCTAATAATTGAATTAAACTGCACACTAAAGGATTTTTGAAATTGTACAAGCCGCAAAAGAAAATGCGACTTCGGCTTCAGATTGAAGCACTAATAGACGGTTTCAGAATTGCTAAAATTCAGTCTTAGTTGTTAAATATGATGAAAAAGATTCAGTATCACTGTTAATGAGGAAATTATTTGTGAGGATCGTTGAATATATAGTTTTCTTGAGAAATTATTGAATGAGAAGAATAATGCTGAAAAAAATTTCATTCGATTCGTTTCGTATTATGAAGTTTTTCAATTTTCTGCGATTTTTCCTAAATAATTATTTGAAAAAAGAATTTTTTTAATTCGGATTTTTTCAGATTTTCAGATTCCTTTTGAATGTTTTTTCATTTTCCAATTTGAAATCAAATGGTTTGTTATTATTTCTTTTTTTTTATTAATTCTCTGTTTCTTTTCTTTAAATTTTTAAATTTTCAATTTTCAATTAAAATATTTGAATTCCCTTTAAATTTAAATTAGAATTTTTTTATAATGTTTTTAAATAGTGTTCATTTATTAAAAATTTTATGAAATAAATATTTTTTTGTGAAAAATCTGGCAAAATTCCATAAAATCTGAAAATCTAATTTAATTTAATAAAATAAAATAAAATTATAAAATTATAAATAAAATCATAAAATTTTATAAATTTTATGATTTTATTTCGTAAAATTTCCAAATTCGAATGATAAAGCGAAAATTTTAATCTATTTAGCGATAAAAATTAGCATTTCAAATGAATTAATTCAATAATTGAATTTAGTCAAATTTGGTGTTTTACGCTGGAATTGGTTTAGCAGCGATTGGTTTTACTGGACGATATTTATTGAAACACCAGCATCGTATTAAAAAAGCAGCTGAAGCTCTACCCATTGCTTCCGTATTACTTCCTTGTTTTTTCAAATTTTTGAAATTTTTAGTTGAATTTCAAAATTTTTAATAACTTTAAATTTTATTTAAATTTTAAATAAAATTATTTAAATTATTAAAATTATTTATTTAAATTAAATTTTAATAACTTTAAATAAATAACTTTAATTGAAGATTAGAGCAAAATTATTCCCATTTACTCATTTTCAAAATACTTTCTTTTCAGCTCTCCAAATATTATCGTGGTGGTTTTGAAACAAAAATGACGAGACGAGAAGCATCGCTGATTCTCGGTGTATCAGCAACTGCGAAACCAGATAAAATCAAAGAGGCACATAAAAGGATAATGATTGCAAATCATCCGGATAGAGGTTATTTTATTTTTTTGCATTTCAACCGCAAAACATTGTTCGTTTCGTCCTTGCTTTTTTCCAAGTTTAATCTTTAATATATTTTTAAAAAATTCGTTTCCAGGTGGATCACCTTATTTAGCGGCAAAAATTAATGAAGCTAAAGATTTATTGGATTCTACACGATTCGGACCGTAGTTTAGACGTAATTTAAATGATCTAATTTTTTTCCAATTGGCCTTGTATTATTTCTGTATTTAAAAAAAAGGTACATTTAATATGTTTTGAGCAATTAATTTTGAAATAAAGCTTTTTCAAACTAATTCAAATTTATTTGCAAAATTTAAATAAATTTCAGTCGTATAAATGAAAAATATTCAATTTTCTATGTTCTGTTCTCATATAGAAATGATGGTAAATTGCAGTTGAATAAATCGACGTACTTCAACTCTAATGAAATTTTTTTTTGCGATTTCATATACTAAAAGCATTACTATATGATGAAATATTACTTTCTCATTTTATGAACAAAATGGAGAGAGTTTCTAAAATATTTTTTATTCACATGCCTCATTCAGTAATCGAATATTGTCGAGACCACAAGCTCCTTGATTTTTTCCTTTATTTTCGCATATGAATAGTAACTAAAAAATTCAAGATTCGTTTTAAAAGTGAACAAAAAAACACTGAGGAATTGTTAAAATTGTAAAATGTAGATAATAACCTTTGATGTTCCACTTGGACAAACGATTCCATATTCTTTCCATCGACGACTTCTTTTATTGACGTCGAAATTTGTACGGATGGGACATTTATTCGCATTGTCGCAACAAATTCGTAATCGTATTCCATTTGTTGCTTCCCATCCCGAAAATCGAATCGTATTCTCCGTTTCTTTTGGCAATTCAGTGCTTAGGCTCGCCCATTGTAACGGATAAACATAAACAGCTGCGAAACGTTCATTTGTTTTTGAAAATACACCTAAAATTAGACGAAAAATTATGATGAAATTTTTATTCGAAATGATAAGTTGATAAAATGATAAATTTATTCTAAATATAATGGTTTATAATGGAAAATATAATGGTTTTAGGGTGAAAATTTGGTTTGAAAACTGACGCTTTTTAAATTATAATTCAACCAAATCAACAAATTATTTAAAACTCAAAATACAGTGAAAACTGCGTCAGCAACGGAGCAGATCTTATCTATATGAGTTATAAATGAGTTATAATACTTCACAGTTTACAACAGTTTACTCCTGCGGGGTCTACATCTGGTCAACTTTTCTGCGATATATTCGCATCCTCTCTAAGTTTTTTTTTTGCTATATGCAGACTCAACGTATTCCCTACAACGTTTATTCTAATTTATGAAAAGAAAATACGGGCATGTGCGATTCCAGTTACGCGGTTTCTGAATTGTCCTCTCCAATTCTGCCAACTGCTAAGAGATAATCGTTGCTTAGCTGGCGGTTTCCGCTCATTATTTTTTCGCTCATATTTACATAATGTGCCTTTAATAAGGTATCACTATTTATTGTTTTGCATGATAAATTTCAAATTAATTTTTTGCAATAAATTTTAAATTGTTCAAAAAAATTAAAGTAAATTGGTTATTTTAGCTATCAATTTCAATAATTTTAGAAATTTTATAAATTGAGAATAGGAAGTGATAAAAATTTTCGCGTTTTTTTTCTTATCAATTCTAACCATCTTCAAAGTCACAATTAATTTTTTCGCAATATTTTACGAACGTATTTGTAATAATTGATAAATTCTTTCGCGAATCATTTATCGTAGTTTCATTTTTTTTTATCGATGAAATTTTTAATAAATCATTTTTTCCAGTAAATCTAAAATTCGAATAATATTTTTCAATTTTTATCATTTATTTGAATAAATTGCAGAAATAAAATAAAACTTGAAATGCTAAAAATGGATTGGTCTATTCAATAAAATTAAAAATAATTTTATGCAAAAAAAATTTCGCATACGATAAATTTTTTGGCCTAAAAAAGCCGATAAAAATAAGGTGGAACATGAAATAGTTCTTTTAAATTCTTTTCGAATTTTTATATTAAATATTTAAAATAACTATAATTTTAATTACTTATTTGATTTTTTAAATTATTTTCATTTTATCATTTTTTGTAATTTTTTAATTATTTATCTTAATTATCTATTTATCTTATCATAATCATTTTTTACAATTTTAATTATAAAATTTAAATTATAATTTAAAAAAATAAAAAATTAAAATTACTTCGAAATTTTTGTAATTGATTTTTCAGTTTGATTGTTCTTTAATTGTTCATATTTGGTAATATTTGAATCTGCAAGAAATATTATCAGCAAAAAAAGAAATTATCGTTGAATTAAAAAATTGCATGAAATTGGTAACAAATCTCTCAAAATAACAAATCTTTAAATAAAGGAGATTTTCTCCATTTCTACCAAAAAACAGCTAGGCGAGTATCCCTTTTTCTCGTTTAAATATTCTACAAATAGCTTACGTTCATCGGTTTTATCAGTAAAATTTTGTTTCCCATGATTTTTAACAATAACAGTAGAATTCCCCGAAATTTTATCGTTTTTCTCATTTTTCCATTTATTTATTGGTTTTTGTTCATCATTTTTGAAAGGTTTCTTCAATAGTTTAATGGACACGTTTTCATTTTTTGTTGATTGAGTTAATTCCGTTGAATTTTGCGATATTTTATTTTTTATTGTATTCTTGTTATCACTTTTATCACTTAATTGCGATTTATCAATTTCCTTAAATGATGGAGCATTTCCAAACCGAGTTTTGGAATTTCGTTCGTCTTCATCTGAACACTATTACAATAATTATTATAAAAAACGAAATTTTTAATAAACTAAAAAATTAGAAAAAAATGATAATTCATTTTAAAAAATGGGCGAAATAGTATCGTCTATCGTCAGACTTATAGATTCAAATTTGCCATACAACTAATAACAATGAATGCAATAGATTTTACTTTATAATAAACAATATATGAATTTCTATTAATGATTTAATTTTTCCTAGGCTCATAAATAGTTTTCACCGGCATTATTAGGGAGTAAATTAGCTCGCAGTGGGCTATTGTTCTTATTTTCTGGCAACAGTCGATGCTGCAATTCTATTCCCAGTAAGAATAAGGAAGAGTAAGGAAATACATTGTGGATCTGTTTTAAACTATAACGTTAAAATTTGAGCCTTTTTCCATGGTCCTAAAGCTAAAAATTTATAAATAAATAAAAGAAAAACCGAAAAAATTAAACAAACCAAAAATTTTAGATGTAAGAACTTTAGTAAATGGCGGTTTCGTTAATTTTTTGATAATTTTCGTGTCGTTTTGCTTCTAAAATTTTCTAAACTAAAATTTTTGCATAAAATTCGAAAAAAATTTCATATAAATCTAAACAAATAAATCTTCAATGAAAGACGATTACTTCTAAAATTAGAAGAATCCCCGACTAATTTAATTTAAATTTAAAATCTCAATTAATTTAAAAAGTTTGAATTTTATTTAATAAAAATTAAATCTATGGTAGTGCGAAAAAACTATAAATAAAAAATATGCGACACAGAGGTTTTAGCACATTTGTATTATTCATATTTATATCTTAATATCTTTTTGTTATAGATATTTAATATTTAATATGAATATTTATGTTTTTATCTTAATATTTTTTATTATAAAAATTGATTTCAGCATAAAAAACAGCGATTAGCATAAAACCGCCATAGAAATATCAAAAGAAATAGTCAGTCCAATCGCATGGGTACAATTTTCGCTCGTTCATAGGAATAGGTTTTCCAAAAATGAAAGGGGGAGGGGGGAATAAAATTCGTTGTGGAACCAACTTTCACTAATTCGTCACCACTACTCGATGTTCTAAGCGAAATGATCTCAAACCAGCATTGAGTAAAGTGAATTAGACGAGGAATGCTGAATGATTTTTACACAAAATTTAGATAAATATAAACCTCTAAGCGATTCGCCATTTGTGAAAAACGTTTCAGTTCATTAAGTAATTTCAGTTTACTCGATCGCAATGATGGCAAATTTTTAATTCGACTCAATAATTCCAATTTCTTTTCATTATTTTCTATTATATTTGCTTTTTTTAAAATATTATACATTTGAATATATTTGAAACGTAAATTATTAAAAATTCGCCGAATCTAAAAATAGAGTAAATAAAATAATAAAATAAAAATAAAAATAATAAAATAATAAATTTTAGAAAAAAACTATAATTTTTTTTATTATTCTACTTTTTTTTATAGAAAGAATATTTTTTGAATAAAAAGAAAAAGAAATATTCATTCTATAAAAATAAATAAAACAATAAAAAAAAACTATAATTTTTAATTTTAGAAAAAAACTATAATTTTTTTTATTATTCTACTTTTTTTTATAGAATGAATATTTTTTGAATAAAAAGAAAAAAAAATTTGAAATAATTAGAAGAAATAATACGAAGTAAAAATATAAAAAATACAAATAAAAAGAGGAAAAAATAGAAAATTAAAAAAAAATCTTTTTTAAATTTTCGAAATTAAACAAACTTTATCCATAGCATTTGAAAGTGCTCGTAAATTTTTTAATTCATTCACTTCATAATTTTTCATAATTTCCGAAACTAATTGGTTGGTCCGCTTTTTGTATAGAACCTAAATCTCCTTTTTTATTTTATTTATTTATCTCAATTTCTTCACTTTATCTCTTATCATTAATATCTTTTATCTTATCTTCTATCTTAGATGAATTTGCATTGAGCAATTTCCTACGATTATCACGAATAAAACATTTTGGATGTTTTTTCTTTATTACGGAAATTCTTTTCGAATCGGTTGATTTATTTACTATTAAATTTATTTATTGAATCAAAATTGCAACCAAATAAAAAAAATAACGTTAAGTCGTACCAAAGAAAAAATTCACAAAAACCACCGAAATTTTTGCGAGAATTATACAATTTTTTCAAAAGCCTTTATCCTTGTTAAACAATAATCAGCGTATGGAAAGATTTTAAAAAATCTCATTCGCTAATTTCATTTCGGAAAAATTAAAAAATACGCTACTTTTTTTTGCGTTGTTCCTGCACTTCGTACCACGGGAATCATAAATATAGTCGAATTTTTATTTCTGCAAATTTCATTAAATTGATTTTTAATAAATAAAAATTTTTCGGCTTTTTTTTAAGATCAATGAAAGTTAATAGAAAATATAATTAAGTAGTAAACTCCTTAATGCAACTATTTTAAAGTCGAAGAAACTTTGGGAAAATTAATATGAGAAAAGCAATAAACCAGTTACGAGGGGGAAAGCTTTGTGAAACTCAATGCAAAATTCAAATTTCAAGGAAACAATCAAAATCTTTCATGGTGTAACAATTTGACGAAAAATTCATTAAAAAATATGATAAAATAATTTGACAAAAAAATATCTGTTTGAATAAAAAAAGAAAGAAGAAATGATTAAATTTTAAAAAATATATGAACTAAATTATATGAATTAAAAAGCTAATTTATTCTAATGATTTTGAATAAAAATTGTTCATCAAAAATAATTAAAATAATTTATATTAATAAAATTTATAATAATTTAATTAAAAATACATATTAGGTATAAATACAATAAATATTATACTACCTAATAATACATATGATTGAGGCTAAATAGTATAAATTTATAATAATTTATTTAATAATAATATAAATAAATATATATTAGGTAATATACAATAGTCGACAATATTCAAAATATATATTAATAGTTTTTGATAGTTATGGATTTTTTCTTTGCCTCTTAACATGCAAAAATATTAAAAGTGAATCTGGAAGGACTCGACAGTCACTAATAATCGCCTTCCATTTTTATCCCCCGGTGGTTCGAGGAAGAAATAATTCATCTTAGTAGCAAATACAGCCGACCAAATCAAAAACAATTAAGAATTCTTACATAATTTTTATAAATTTTTTTATTTTTATAGAATTTTTTAATTTAAACCTCTGATGAATAAACCGCGAACGATTTTTTAGCATTTCTTGTGGATGTTTCCTTTTTTCATGTGAAACATTTTTCTTTATTTCATTATTTTTCACTGCTATTTTGAGTTCATTTCTTGGCTATAAATATTTTTTCCATCGACAATGAACATTCGAAAAAATTCTATTAAAAATGAAATAATCATTGCTAAAATCAAAAATTGAAAAATTCAAAATTTGTATTTTTTTCGCGAATATTTCATAATTTTTTCAGAAAAAAAGTGAAATAAAAATGAAAATATTTATAAAATAAAATTATAAAAAAGCTGACAATTTCGGTGATTTGAGAATTTGATTCGATTGTTTTTTGCAATCTATTCAAATCAACTTTTTTAATTTTAACATTTCTCAACGAAGAATAATAGCGATATGGTCGCAGCGATCGCATAATTATTAAACGATTCCTATCTCTTGAAAATAATATTCTTGGTTTTTCGTACGACTCATCGTCTCGCGATTGTTTCTTCAACAAATTTTCGCTATTGTCTTGTAAAACATCTGTTAGTATTCCTAAAGAAGTACGAAAATCCGACTACAAATTAAATTAAAAGAATAATAAAAAAAATAATGGAATTTATTAAATTAAATTTGTTTAGAAATAATATGCAAAATATTTTTATATTTTTTCTTATTCACAAATATAAATTTACTAAATTTTAATGAAAAAATTTACGAAGATTATTTATTTATTTAAATTTTTAAGCGACAAATGAAAAAAATTTAAAAATGTGAAAAATTACTAGAAATTGTTGCAAATATGAATATTTCAATTAAATATATCTTATTGAACATTAAAACCAAAAATTTAGCGTCGACAAGCGATCTATTTAGCTGCAAATGAATCTAATTTTTTAATAAATTCATGTTTCACACTTGAACGGAATTTGGAGAGAAAAGTAGAATTTGGCTAATTGGTAAGCTCTGCAAAATCCTTAGTGATATAATCATTTCGCCTAGTTTCTATCATCATCGCCATAAGTCGAGAGTTCTTTAACTATTCACGACAAAACCTCAGGTATTCACGTCAGAACTTCAGGTGAGGATAAAGAACACTCTCGTCGGACCACTGAATAAATAAGTTCATGGCAAATAGGTTAAGGATAATCGGTTGAATTAAGAAATTCTGCTATAGATCGAGAAACAATTAAATGAAAACTGAAAAATGACAATGAAAGACCATACCTGATCAACATAAAATTTTTGGTTCAGTGAATGAAGAGAAACGGCAAAAAAGAAAGTGAAAAGTTGAAACCGATAAAATGAAAATATTTCTTTGAAAAAAAAAAATCCCACTGGAACAATGTAATAATTTTCACTTTTAAGAATGCGGTCAACGAAAGAGTCGCATTTCGTTGATTTTGCTGATTAAATGATAAACATTTGTTTCTTTTAAAAAAAAAATTTTTTTTTTAAATTCATTCAAAAATAATTTGTTTTCTTTCTCGAATTTAGTTAATTTCAATTTTTTTCTTTCTGCTAAATCCTTCCTAAATTGTTTTCCTTTCATTAATATAAAATTTATTTTATATATTATTTATTTATTTTATATTATATATATTGTGTATTATTGAATATATTTGTTGAATTATTATCTCTTTCTGCAATTGATAAATTGATAATAGTTAGCATTTTAAAGCATTTAATCTCTTTTAAAGAAATTTATTTTTAAAACCTTATTATAAAGATTTACCATCATTTAAACTGCTACTGAACACTGTGATCTTAGATGCTTAGTTGCTTTAATTTATCGTAAGTAATACGATTTTTGCCCTTTAATTGAAAATAAAGCTAATATTCAAACTGGAATCTGAATGGCTGCTGGGATCCCTATGGTAATCCTATACTTTTTTAATGATTCCCTGGAGGAAGAATCTCAACCGGAAGCGATCAAACGAGAGAAATGGAAAACGATCGTAAAATAAAATAGTTTGAATAAAAATAAAATAAAATCCTGAAAATAATTTTAGAAAAATATTGAATATTAATGCGATAGACAAATATCGATAATATCAAAGATTTTTCGCATGGATTTCAAAAAAAAAAACAGAAAAAGAAAGAATTCAGGAGGAAAAGCACAAAAAAATATGCGACATGCAGTGACAATAAAATCTATATAAAACCGAATTCCCCTAAAAAAAAATATTTCTTTTATTTCTCAACTTTTTTTTTTATTATACAAACAGCAGACAACAAACAACTGACCTAGAATTATCATAAAAAAGACGACCAGTAACCGATAATCGAAATACTTGTTTTATGAATTTTTTCGACAGGTTACGGATAACCGAAATACCTGTTTTCCGAATTTTTTAAGAACCAAAGCAATTGTCTTATCAATTCTTTATCTGAAATATGGATTTTAACTTCGTTACACTTGAATGTAAATATCATAAAAAACTGGTTTATTATCTAAATATCACGTATCGATAAATTGAAAGCATGATTTCTAATTTGGTAAAACAGAATAATTTTGCAGAGAAAATGATATGGAAAAGATAAGGATAACAGGCATCGTCTCTTATCTTATCATCACCATAAATAAGTTAAAAGGGAAAATGACAGTTCTGCCTCTTCATAGGAATATTCCATAATTCTTGTTGATTTCATGCAGAAGAAATTGTTTTAAGAAATTATAAGAAATAATAAGGATTCAACTTTTGTTATATTTGTTATATTTTATATTTTTATATATATTTTAATTTTAATTTAAATATTAAAATATAAAATATTAAAATATATAAAAATATTTTATATACATATATATATATATATATATATATATATATTTTAATGTATATTTTAAAGGATATATTTTAATTTAAAATAATATAATAACGAAGTTTATTATTATTTTTATTATTATTATTTTTATTATTATTTTTTAGCTTATAGCAATGGTCTGTTATTTGAAAGAAAGCTACTTACTTCTAGCACTGGCAATAAATCATTGAATTTTCATGAAACTACAGAGAGAGACGAAACAAATGCCTATTTTTTTTTTTTATTTATCCAAGCATATAGCATGCTACATAGCATTGTCTCTAGCATGGTCCTTAATTATAAAAAATAAATAAGTAATAATAATGAACAAAGGCAAATTATTATACAAAAATTATAATGGTAAGCAGAAAAATTTACACCCATCCACATCCTATGCCATATAATTCGTTATCTTATCAAAAAATTGAGTTATGATAAATTTGAGCGAATAGTATGAGCGATCAGTTGAATATAACGAGATTTGAGAAAAATATCTAAATATAAAAAATCGTTGAAAATATATTATCAATAATCAATTTTATCAATAATAACTAGAAACTGACATATTATATTTTGCATGTTATAAAATTTAACAATTTCAGCGAATATTTATATTCTACTATTACTTTACAGTTCAATATTTGTATTTATATTCTCTTCCAGTGCGTTTATCAAGGGAAATTTTGAACATAGTGATGTGAATATGGTATATGATCGATTGATTCAGAAATGCCTTACTTTTGCAGCCAGTTTAACCAGTAAGGACTCTTAGAGGAAGAAGAAGAAGGAACTGATGCCGTCGAAAAGAAAAGGAACGGAAAGAAAAAGCTGATTAGCATGGAGAAATATGGTTTCCTATTTCAGAACTAGTTATTTATCCATAATCAAAGGAGGGGTCATTATGTTGCTGTTCTCGATTCGGAGAGCTGGGATCCCACTCGCAACAGGATTAAATCTATCTTTCAAAAATCCAACTGATATTGGCGACTTATCCATATTTCTATCGTCTGGCAAAATTCATCTGAAGACGACAAGGCAGTGGAACCATCTTAAACAGAAACACTAATAGTTACTGATTATAGAAACAATGAACGCTGTTTTAAAAAGGTTGAAAAAGAGCATGGGAATCTTCGCGGTGAACGAAGCCATAACTCCTAGCTAGTTAATCTAGGATTCTGTACGTTAACGACTAACAATAATTTTTAAAGAAATAAAATGAACGAAAAAAACAAATAACCTCTTTTCCAAATTTAAATAAATCCAAAAAAATAATAATGCAAATAATAATGTTGGTGATTGGTTCTAATGTTACGAAATCCGGATATCCACATTCTGATACCAAAAACACCGAACGTTTTCCGTGTTACCCTTAATTTATCTTAATTTCAGGTAATTAAATCTTTATTTAGATAACAATATAACCATAACAATAAAATATAGGTAACGATATATTACATCACAACATATTACAAAATGGCCTAAATAAAAAGCACTAAAGAAATAAATAGATCAATAAAACGGCTAAACTACCCTCAGTCCACCACTCGTCTACCACATAAAAATCGAATTAAACTGTGCACAAAAAGGAGGAGAATCGAAAATTGAGATCTCTGTTTTTTTCCCCTCTGTTAATAATTTTGTTTCCATCGGCATATTTCTATTTTTTTTTTTCTTATTGGCGTTTTTCTTTATTTCTCTTTTCGATAATTAATTATGAAAAAATTTTTTATATATTGTGGATTTTTTCAGAAATTTCTTAATATAAGGCAAATTTAATCGAAAATTTTATTAGAAACTGCAGCAATGCTTCGAGAATGTTTGCAGTCAAAAAAGCACAAAATGATTGCTGAAGAAATTCAACGAGGTTCAATTAATTTTTTTAAATTTTAAATTAGCTAATTAATATGGTTTAAAATGCAAAAATGAAAGAATTCATGATAAATTTGCATAATATAAATTTATTAATATTATTATCCGAGTAAATTTGCTGATTTTTTTTATCATGGAAAAAGAAATCCTGAAAGTCGGATAAATATGGATTTGTCAATGAATTTTTTTTTGGATGGGGATTTTCTTTCATAACGCTTTAAATTTAAATTCCTTCTCCAACAATATACAACTTTATCTCGCCTTATCATAATTTTAATAAGCAAATTTTTTTTCTTTAAAATCAAGTCTTAAAATTTGCTTTTTTTTTATAAAAATTATCATTTTCATTTAATATCGCAAATAATAAAAAAATAGTAAAGAAAGATTTTGAACAATACAAAGATTTAGATAATGGAAAAAGGAATGGCTTCTAATAATGTAAGAGATGGCATCGAATCGAACAGCTCGGAAGCGCTTCATCATTGTAGCCAAGCGTAAGGATTCAGCCTAACCAGCAATGGTGAGAGCTTTTAGAAGAATATTCGCATGAATTATAAAATAATACCGTAAATAATATTTAATTGTAAAATAATATTTAATTGTAAATTGTAATTGTAATTTTTATTTGTGAACTGTTTATCTTGGCGACATGAAGGCGTAAGGTGCATTGTAGGTACAACAAGTTACCCGTGAAATTTCTTCAACCAATTAGCTAAATAAGCAGGTGGAAAGTCTCGGCACGCGTGTCCGATATAAATACTAACCAATCTAGATGTAATGCTGGTAGTAATGAGGACCTGCTTGAGAACGGGAAGGGGAGAGGAGGAGGGAGGGTGGAATTTCTTGGGCGCAGCTGTATCATTTTCATCTCATACTAAGTATCCAAGGTCGGATTGAAATTCAGTCTGTGTCTGTGCATAATTTTATCATTTGTATCATTTTTATCTTTTACTAAGTAAGTGTCCAAGGTCGGATTGAAATTCAGTCTGTGCACAGTCTGTTCTTGTTTAATTTGCAAATAAAGTTCAGTTGCTGTTGTTCAAATGCTGCACCAGAATCAAGCTACAATCGCAAATCGTTCGATGCGAATTACAGTTCAGCATTTGTAAGGAAGCCGAATTTTTTTGCCAGGCAAATTTTTAGCATTTTCCTTTGGCTAACTCAACTGATTATCAATTGCTGTTAATAATTGGTTAAACCAATCCTCTCGGTTACTCTGCAACAACAACAGTCTTTGCTTTGCTTAGTTTCTCATCTTCAATTTTTTTTAAAACGAAGTACTTCGCAATCAATTCGTGATTTTATTTCATGAAATCATCAATGAATAAAGAAAATAAATGCCAGGAAATCCTCTCTCGTTCAGGAAGAGGAAAAAATTCGAGAGGCACCGAATTTCGTTTGGTTACGAGGATTGGTAACGAGAAGGTTGAAGTTGAGGTGAAAAAAAAAACCTATTAGTTTTTTGAGATTAATTTACGGTCGGTTGGAAATTTTTTATAAATTTCAGCGATTAATAGGGATTAGTTAAAGCGATCGGCCGAAACGAACTGTCCACTCAGCTGAGAATTGATAATTTTTGAATTTTTTCGAATAATTTTTTATCAAAAAAAAAAATTACAAAAAAGATAGAAATATTTAATGGTTTTGGTTATTTTTTTTCATAAATATGCAAATTTTCAGAAGAAATTAAGAAAGAACAAAAATCGACACAATTCAGCAGGCGAAAAGGCAATAATGGCCGATAAAATTTTCCGCGTAATAAATTTGTAATAAATTTAAATATTTAAAAATATATAAATTTTTAAATTTTTAATATAAATTTAAATATTTAAATATTCAAAATATTTAAAAAACAAAAAAAATTATAAGTTATTAAATTTATTAATAATTTTTAATATTGGAAGTATATTATTATGCGGAATCAAAAATCAAAGTCGCGTAGAAATACCTAAATGCCCGGAGGGAATTTCCCGGAAACAATTGCCAGGCTAAAACGTGAGGTTTCAACAGGATTTGAAGTTGCTTGATCCTGTCAATTTTGAATTTTTGGTTCTTCACACGATGAACCTGAGCGTGGAAGCTGTCAAATAGAGATTTGCAATATCAGTATTTATTATTGTTTTACCCTAATTTTTCTTATTTAGCCGTACAATAAAGATGAGGGGAGGGCGGAGGGTGGGGAAAAGATTAAAGGGTAATTTGAGGTTTAGGTTGCTGGCGAGGGTTACGGGGTTGGAGAAGGTGAGGTTAGAAGTTCAAATGAGTAAAATTAGGTGCAAATGAGTTGAAGAGGTCACATAACTGAGAAAAATTAAAACTACAATGTGGAGAAAAGAACGTATAAAATGGAAGCTATAGGACTAAGTTGCTACTTCGCTTTTTTTTAAAAAATATTTTACGATATTTAGGAAAAATGCGAGGATATCGATACATTTCATCAAATAAATAAATGATAACTTTCAGCCTGATTGAAGAAGTATTTTTGGCTAAAAAAAATAAATATTTTGCAAATATGGCTGAACAAATGAAATTGAAAGGAATGCTGAAAGGTCACGGTGATTGGGTGACACAAATCGCGACGAATGCTCGTTATCCAAATATGATCATTTCTTCGTCTCGTGGTTATTATTTTTCGAGTTTTTTTTTTGAATACAGCATTTTGCGCTAATTCGGAAACGTGAATATCTCGAAGTATTGCGTTTGGCTGAGTTTGCGTTACGCTTGTCAATTTACGAAATTTGAATATCTTTCATAGTTTTCAGAGATATATTTTAAGAATAATCATCCTATTGCTAAAAAATGAATTTGAATTTTGTAAGACTTTGGCTAAGAAAAATTCAGCTCAACATTGTTCAACATTAATTTTTGCTTCTATTTTTCTTATTTTATTGTTTTTGATTTTTCTTAAATTCTCACAGTTTAGATAAAACGATAATTGTGTGGAAACTTGACGCCGATGATGCTATGTCTATGCCACTTAGATCTACCGACGATCCTTTGCAGCCTCAAGTACAGCTTGGGGGAAAAGCTGAAAGGGCTTTGCGAGGCCATGGACATTTTGTTTCGGATGTAGTTATGTCTTCTGATGGGCAGTTCGCTTTATCTGGTTCGTGGGATAAGACGCTTCGATTATGGGATTTATCAACGTAAGTCATCGTTATCAGAAATATTTTGGTCATCCTTCCATTAAAATAGGTACAAATTCAAGTTTTTTTATTTTTTATTTTATTAAAAGTTTTTAATTTTGGAAATTTGTGGAATTTTCTGGAAATCTTTTTTTCAGTGCCTGATTTTTTTAATTTTTCAGCGGTCAAACAACTCGACGATTTATCTCTCATACGAAAGATGTACTTTCTGTAGCGTTTTCTGTTGACAATCGCCAGATTGTCTCAGGATCACGCGATAAAACCATCAAATTATGGAATACGTTGGCACAATGCAAATATACCATTTCTGTTGTGTCGGTGAGTTTTATTTATGACTTTTTTTTCTGTCTTTGATTTTTTATTTTATTTTATTATTTTGAGAACAATAGAAATCTGCTACATAATCTCTTGAAATTTTCACGAAACTTATGTCTTCTTAAGGTTCCTTTGAATTGCACTATTTTTATGATCACCAAATTTTCTTATTATACACATATTTTCTAAATTTCTCAGTCTTCCTTGTATTCTTTATTATATCCCCAAGATAAAATGGAGATGCATGGGATTTTAAACCTAAAATTAAGTCTGAGGAGGTTAAAGTGTGGCAGAAGGGAGTGGACGTATGCTTTATTAATTGGTTGTAACGAAAAATTTTGGCAGATTTGATGAATTATTAAGTTAAAGAATTATTAATTAGAATTTATGGAATTTTTACTCGAATTATGGTAGGTGTTAAACATAAATATTTCGGGTTAAACATAAAAATATAGCTCGGCTACTTTTTTTTCAAAGATTTCGTAGTCTGTGGTGTTGAGCCACGTTTTTTTCTCATAGATACCTAGTCATCCTCACTTTTAGGCTTTTTATTTACTTATTTTTCATTTATTGTTTTACTGTGTGAATTTCATCCACTCATAGCACTTTCCGTCTTTTAATGAATGAAAATTTGAATTATTTAATGCAGAATTAGAAGAATCCATTATTGAGAATTTATTTGTTGTTATCATCATTGTCATTTCATTATCATAATTATTTTTATTAGCCTTTTTATCATTTTTCCCCGTATTATTATTCTTTCATAATAGTACTGTTTTTGTAGAACGTTTTCTTGTGAAATTAAATAAATCCATTATATAAGTAATCCATTAAATAAATTAAATAAATCCATTATATATGAGATAAACGAAGTTACTTTGGTTCTTTTCAGGCAGACTGTCATAGTGATTGGGTATCAACCGTGCGGTTCTCTCCTTCAAGCGCGAATCCTGTTATAGTTTCTGCTGGTTGGGATAGAGTTGTTAAAGTCTGGAACCTTGCTAACTGCAGATTGAAAACAAATCACTATGGTCATTCGGGTTATATCAATACCGTTACTGTGTCACCTGATGGATCGTTATGTGCATCTGGCGGAAAGGTATTAATTTTTTAGCGGCAGATTGATCGAGTAATGATTTCTTTCTTCGAGAGGGCTAAGCCAAATCTCTAATGAGTGCTGTTATAAGGAGAGAAGAAATTATTATATTATCATTATTTTTTTCTAATTGCTTTCACCATTACTGGTTAGGCTGGCTACAAAGAGATCTCCAAGATGCTTGGTCCGACGCTGTCGCTAGTAATAATAGAAACCATTCCTTTTTTCATCGTCTAAGTTCATATATCGTTGGTCTATACGTTCAAATCTTTCTTGACTGGCCCTCCTCGCTTTTGACGCTTTTGATGTCACAGGGTTTAGCAAGTAACAACTCCTGTGGTGGACGATGGTGAACGTGCCTTAACCAGCGAAAGTGGCACTTGATAACATTTGTAAAAAACAAATAATAAACAGATAAATAATAAAAATAATAGAATATTCTATTACTGATTGGAAGTAGTGGGATTATGCTCGCCACGCGATCTTGATCCAGCTGTTTTCCCAGGATAACAGAATAAAAACTGATGTAATAAAAACTGATTTCCTCCCGAGGTAATAAAAGTTTTTATTTCGTTGTATCAAACTTGGGTAATTGAACCGATTAATATATAGTGATACGAAAAACAATATTCATATAAATTAAATCCAGACACTAAAAGGATAACTATTGCAATGGAAATAAGGAATGATTAAACAATATAAAACATGTAAAATAACAAAGTAAATTGAATATTGAAATATTGGCACCCAACCACTCGGATCCCACCAAAAGAACAGTTTTTTTGAAAAAGGATATCCATTATATACTTATGAATTGATCTCTATCTTTTATTGACATATGTGGAGATTAGGAATTAATGAATATATGATAGGCTTCATTTGGTAGGTCAGAATCACTATTTTGAAATAATAAACGTGAAATAATAGAAAACATCGCATTTCGCGACACTGCTGACCGCCAAAAGGCAACAGACCAAAATCTTTTAAGCCTCTGGAATATTAGAATTTCTGGACTGGATTACTGGACTTTAAATTTTCGGGCTTTCGGAATAAGAGAATTTTATTTTTTGGATGTTGGATTAAGAAAACAAAATTTGTGGAATTCCGACCTTGCCAGCCTTGAAGGACAAAAAATAAAAGGGAATGCTACTAGCATAATAATTAAAATATTACTCTTGAAATTATTAGATATTTTATATGTTCTATTTGATTGTATGTTGGGCTAAGGAATATTAATAATTCCACTGTAACTTAAACAGTTAATTTTCCAATGATTTTTCTTATAGGAAATACATTTTTTAATAACAGATTTATAGAGAAGAGCAAAAGACTGAAAAGGTTGATTTAGCAGCGGTTTTGAATGTGAAGCCTTTAACTAGTCGTTTTGCCTTTCCATCTAGGCACGATATTAAATATTTTAGTTTATCAACTGGTTGTAAATTGCTTGAATCGAATTCCCATGATGGCACCAAAAGAAATTTTCTTAAAAAAAGATATCCACTATATTTTATGGATCCGTTATATACTTATAAATTGATCTGTATCTTTTATTGAAGACCGTTATATGTGAAGACTAGGAATTAATGAATATATGAAAGGCTTCATTTGGCAGGTCTGGATCACTATTTTGAAATAATAAATTCGAAACAATAGAAAACATCGCATTTAGCGACAACATCATTAATACAGGGTAGTTGAGAAAAGATAGATGCAAAAATGTATCCGCCAGATAGATCCATAAAATATATCTCAGATATGAGTGGTCAAAAATTAATAGCTTTTTAATGTCCTCTATGTCCTCTACTATTGACGTAGATATATGGACGTGGATTTTCGTCTTTATGGTGATTTCGTGACGTTTCATAAAGGTTTCATAAACCAGAAAAACATTTTTAGTTGTCGTTGTCCAGGTTACAATTTCATTCTTTTTCTGGCAATTTGGAATTACAGTAGATATCAAGGTATACACTTCCTCATTCCTCAACCGATAATGAATTGATAAACGCATGTACCACCGGGTCAAAAGTAGCATTCGCGTCGGAAGGCGTGGACATTGCATCAAATAGACATAACTTTTTCAGCATTGAGTCACTTGGGGATAGAGATACAGATGAGTTCCCAGCAGCCATTCGGATTTTTGACATCTTTACTTACTGCTGTCAAAGAGAGAGAATAAAGATAATTAAATTTAAAATTTATAGATATTTCTAAAGAAAAAAGTGAAGAGAAATATTTATCAATTTATCATTCTAAAATTATCAAAAAGTTTAAAAAGGATTTAGCTTAATTATCGAAAAATATCGAACAATAAGATTTTAATCGGGAAATTGAGAATTAATTCAAAAAATTAAGAATAATTAGGAATAATTTGTTGAAACGACCGCTCGCAATTCTCGAAATTCATTAATTAATTTCTTTAATAATTAATAAATTATTTATTTTTGTTGAATAGATTTCTGGAGATTTAAAGAATAAAATAGTTTAAATTTTATATTTTTTTTACAGGATGGTGACGCAATGTTGTGGGATTTGAATGAAGGAAAACATCTATATACGCTTAATGGAAATGATGTAATTAATGCTTTGGCATTTTCACCTAATCGTTATTGGCTTTGTGCAGCAGTTGGTCCCGTCGTTAAGATTTGGGATTTAGAAGAAAAGAAACCTGTTGATGAACTAAAACTCGATGTTTTAAGTAATAATAAGGCAGGTCCTGCTCAATGTATATCGCTTGCTTGGTCGGCTGATGGTCAAACACTCTATGCTGGTTATACGGATAATGTTATCCGGATTTGGCAGGTTTCCGTCGCACAAATGCGATAATTTAATACAAATGATTATTATTGTTTGATGGTGTACTGTTGTCATTTATTTGTGAGAAAATTTGTGAAAAACTTATAATCTTATACAAATTCATATAATAAATAAATAATTAATATATTAGAAGAGCTCAGATCTAAAAAATGTACTGTTTGGTCAGTTTTATGGGCTAATGGAATACTTCACCGCTTGATACAGAGAATTAATCTTCATCAAGCGCTTCGGTTTTGACGGTAGAGTTTCTTCTAACCGTTTTCATCGTTAATGAGATTTATTGGTATTGTTACGAACGTTAATGAAAAGGAATTGTATGATTGGATATTTAGATAAACGATGTGTATCAAACGCATAGATGGATTACACATAGGGAATTAAAATATTTCCAACCTATTTCAGAGATTTGGAAAATTTTCGCCAATTTTTTTACGATGCCTTTTAAATAGGAAAAGAATGCTTGGCTATTTGGAGATACAAAGTATAGAAAATGAGGAATGCCTATCGAATTACAAATAAACGATGAAGTAAATCTTACAGTTGTTAACTGTGGGAAAGTAATTTTATCTTAAATGAATTTATCTAGTTTATTTAAAAATATATTTTACGTTTCATTTTCGGCCCCTTTTATTTAATTCCTTCGTTATTTCATTTCGAAATAATTTTTTTTTTTTTATCGAATAATTTGAATAGCGAATTTGAAAACGAAATCAATGCAAATTCTATATTAAATAAAATCGGTTGTAATCGTTGACTCCATTATTAAAAATTATTTTCAAGCAAAAATTTAAAAAAAGAATTATTGGATAAATGAGATTATCAAAGATTCTATTTGATTCTAATAATCAAATTTATATTTTCTTCTAAAAATAAAGTTAGAAGATTTGCTATTTCGATTTATCTGATTTTATTGATCTTTATTGACTTCAATGAATATTTCACCACAAAGTCATTTGGGAAAAGAGATATAGGTGAATCCAATCGAATTTCAGTTTCAATGACTATAAATTTAGTCTTATAAACGTGTAGAAATTGTTTGTTACTTCCTCTCGGCTGGCGCTACTCAATCATTGCAATGATCATATCACATCGTTATCTTTAATCAGTTAATTCATAGGGATAATCCATAAATTTTCGAGTACCACATTATTATTTGTAAGGAAGAGAATTGGAAATCAATAACAATCGACGATTATTATTAATCGACGTCAACAAAATCTAAACTGAATAAAAATAAAAATATTTCGAAATAATAAAATTTTATATTTTATTTTCTTAATGAAAAAATTATCTCATCTTAATCATGCGTTCTATATGTTCAATAAATGGTCACTTTCATATATAACATGAAAAATGTAAATTTTTGAGTTTTGAAGCGTTCAGTTTCAATCGTTTCTGAAAACTTTCTTTCGAATGCATAGTGAAAATTAAGGAAAAATTTAATTACCTGATCATGCATTAGCAATCCCCCCCTTTTCCATTTTTATTCTCTTCGTCGTTTTTCCCCATATTTATTTTCTTTTAATTTTTTAATTATAAAAATACTGCAAAAAAAAATATTTCATTTATCGTCAACATTTAATGTAATACGCCTTTCAAGTCGACTTAAAAAAAAATGAAACAATTAAAATCTCCAATTAAAATAAATATTATAAGTAATAGGAAAAGACAAAAACGCATATTTTCCACAGCGAAAATAATGAATGTTTTCGAAAAAGTTTTTTAAAAATCATGCCAAATGCCAAAAAATATCCCTAATTCCTTATGTGAATTTAATTTGTATATTTTAACTCCGTTTTATATTCTAATGATCATATAAATTAAACTTTAATTTTATGTAATAAATCAACAATTAAAGAAATTTTTTCATCAAGTTTTTCGCTAACGCGAATAGCGCGGACAATGAGAATTACAACGAATATCGACATAATATTGCAAGATACTTATTTAGGAATGAAATTCATGGAAATGAAACTTTTGTCTCAATAAAATGAAAAATTAAAATAATCCTATATAAATTAGAAGGCAATGGATAAAAATTCCAATTCTTTTTATGCATATTGAAATAATTTTTATTTAAACAAAAACTACACTATGACCGTAAAAATTGAAAAAAATAGTTGAGAAACTGCGAAGCAGCTAAAATATTTTGGCTCTAATTTCCCACTTTAATGTAATAAAGAAGTCATTTAAAAAACCCTATTTTTCTTGGTTTTTGACGAAAATGATAATCTACAATAACAATAAAGAATTGCAAAGGCATTTAATATTTTCATCCACATAAGCACAAAGCCAAACTGAAAAAACTTTTGGAAGGCAAAAATTTTTCTATTGTGGTTTCAAATCTTTACCGATTCTATACGCATATGCATTATTCCAATCAAATTTTGCGCCTGTTACAGGCAACTGACGCCGAAGTGCCTTAAATGTTGTTGAAGACATTTGTTGATAATTATCCTGCACCGCTTCCTAAAATCAATTTTTTGCAATTAAAATATGTTAGATATAATAATATAACAAAGCTAGCCGAATGGATAACTCAACTTCTTATGCTGTAGTCCAACTCTGATAAACTTGCAATTAAACTCGGATGATGCTGACGAGATATTTCTATCGCAAAATGACTACTAAAAATTTCTGTGCAGACTAATAACCAATGAAGTTAACCAAAAACAGTGGGCAAGAACCACTTATTTTTATTTTATTTTGAGGAAGGAATTTTAAGAAAATTTTAAATGATAAAATCAACTCCTTACCTGATACTTCGATTCTTCATCCCAAATTACTTTGAATATATCTTTAGCACTCTGAGTGTGATCGGCCTAAAATCGATTCTAGATTATGCGAAAAAATTAAAATAAAGAAGTCCCTTTGCAAAATAATTTAAAAATGTGAAAAATAAATATAAATGACCCAAAGAAATCGAATTCTATGACTTACTAATAAATTAATTTTAGCAGTTATATCCTTTGTTGATACCAACTGAACATTTCCATCTTCATAGTAATGAACCTGAACTTTAATAACTCCTTTCACCTCATGCTGGCCTGATTTACCGTCATGAAGTGGCAATGTCCATTGAGAACGCCAACGGCCATTCCTTCAAAAATTATCTTGATATTAAAAACAACTATTATAAAAATTCCCGAATATATCATTAATGATTTTAAAATCACGATTACCAAGACTGCAATATAAGGGGAGACAAAAATATAAGAGTACGCTCATACCAAAAATTTACAAAATTTACATACCAGAAATTCTTTGGCTGAAATTGATGACTTTCAATACATAGCACTAGACTATTAGCTGAAGGAAAAATAGCAGCTACTCCAGAATCTTCATAATGACTATCCATATATTTATCTGCTTCCTAAATATAAATCTGCTTTTTATAATGAATTATCGATTCCAGATAAAAAATTATTAAACAAACAAAGGAATCGAATACAATTGAATACGAGTAAATTTCAAAGAATATTTAGCTACCTCCTGCAAATATTTCAGCCACAACTCGACACTACTATCAATAGTATTATCTGGTTGAACATCAATCGCTTCTTTACGAAGATGATCAAATTTGAAAGTGTTTTTCGATCTGGCATCGAAAAAACGACCATTTGGAAGCTCATTGAATGGCGTTATCAAAGTCTAGAAAAAATTTGAAGGCTATGATGATAAAAATCATTTTTCAATCTTAATATTCTTGGAATTTTCTTTTTCAAATTTTTAATACTATTGGATTACAAATGCATTTAGAACCTGTTTTATAATACAGTTTCAATTCTTCCATCATCAGTGAAAACTTTTCTCCTTGAAATAGGCAAAAATGATATCAATAAAACCTTGTTTACTCAACCATATTTTTTTAAAAAGCTATCGAATCCCACAAAAAAAACAAAAAACGAAAAACATCTACAAGAAGTGAAGGAAAATAACCTGTTTTTCTACACCTTCAAGTCTAGCCGGCATAAATTGTTCTTTATTATACTGAGCAAATGCTACACCACAGCCATCTTTTAATAATGCATCATTGTTCAACAACATTCGTACATCATTAAAAACCTGCAAAAAATGCAATTATTTAAACTTTTAAATTATTACTGCATTAAAATTATTTCACATAAAAATAATAATACCACTTCTTCCAATAAATATTAATATTAATTTTCAAATAAATATGTAAATAGATGTTAAAATAAACATTTTAAAGCATTTGGAAAAAATTAAAGCCTCAAAATGAAGGCCAAGATGACGCAATATGCGACCATAGAGCCATTTTTTCTGAAGGGAAAAATCAACCACGTACTTTATTATATTCATTATTACTAAGAATTATTATTATTTCCGCCACCATTACCTTGAAAATGTTGAGAAAATATTGGAAGCAAACTGAACAGACAGATAATTTAAAAAACAAAGAAAAAAGAATGAAATTCTAAGAAACTAAAAAGATCGAACGCTTACTTCATTGAATTCCCCGGGTGGCGCATGTAGAAGAAATCCAGAGGCGATGCGAACCTTATCATTATCAGTAATTGCTGCAAGTTCTTCATTTGCCATAACAGTATCTTAAGTATTAGTGTTTTTATATCATATATTTTTAATAAATCTTTATAATATTCATCCTCGTAAAATTTTTCGTTAAAAAAATTTATTAGTTTTAGATTGTAAAAAAAAGGTGGCGAAATTTATAGAAGCAACAAATTAAGGTATACAAGAATATATTATTGTTACCAATTTAACAGATGGTGAATGAATATAATTTCTCTTATAATTTCTATTTAGCACCTATACGGTTTGCTGATAACGGAATCAAAATTTGTTCATTCGATACTTATTCTTAAAAGCCCTCATCATTACTAGTTAGACCCGCTCCCCTTATCGCATTAGACAAATATGCCAGGGAGTCCCTTGGCGATAGTGCAGGTGAGTCATCAGGATTTTTGGACAAGTTCGCGGGGAACAGAACCTCAGCATCGGCGCTCCCAATTTGATATTTACCGAAATTCGATATTCAACGATCGAGTGAAACTTTAAATATATAAAAAAACAGTTTGCACAGTTGCACAACTAGTGCATAGTTCTCATCCGCAAATGTTTCAACAATTCTCTCAGTGCGCTGCCTTATCGGACGAGACGAACTGTGCCCAATGAATCAATAGAAGTGCAAATGAGTCGCAAGCAAAACTCGAATTTGGAAGGAAAAGTTTACTTCCGCCAAGTGTGCAACCGCAGCGTCTCAGATCGCTCCCAAATGAGTGCAACAAGCCACTGAGCAATTCTCATTTTTATTAATTTTATTTTTGTTTTATTTTTATTTAATTTTTATTAAATTAAATTTTTATTTAAATTTTATTAAATTTTTGTTAGTTTTTATTGAAAATTTTTATTATTAAAATGAAAAATAAAAAATATTTTTATTGAAAAAGGATTTTACAAATAAAAAATAATTTGGAAACAAAATTTTTTGCAAAAAATCAAACATCTCCAAATACAAAACTTTTTCAATTCTCGTCCACTTTCAACTTAATGATACAAACTTCGTCCTTGACCATTCACTGAACGGATAAGTGGACATTTACAATTTTCATTCATGCCCGTTCAATAACAAGTATCAATGCCAATAACAAGTTGGCACATAATTGGCTTCTTTTTTTTTTCGAAAAGTTTCTGTCATTTTTGGAGGGGTCGTTGTACTGGCTTGTCAGACCGGATAAATTTCCCTGCCGGAGTCGGTTTCTTAGCGATAAAAGTGAGTCAAGTGAGTAGCCAGCATCGCTCGGTTTTAGTAGTGCTCGAAGTAGAGGTGCACCATCGACGTCCGGAATAACTGCAGAAACACTCGTTAGGCCATTTTGTCACATCGTAAAGATGGTCAGATAAATTTCTCCCGGCTTTCTATTCTTACTGATCATGTTTTATCACCGTACGTTTGTCACGGCCAGATCGATACGAATTTTCGTGTTGACATGCCATCATGCACTGTCATGAAAATATTTAGCAGAAGAGAGGTGAAATACTTCTCAGATATATCTAAGATATAACACGTCATATCAATTTTTCCTGTAAACTAATATCCTTCAGGATTACCTTGGGGATAGAATGGCTCAGTGGGTTGTTGCTCGATCGGGAGCACTGATGCTGAGCTTCGATTCATTCCCCGCAGAAGTAAACCTGTCCAAAAATCCGAATAATCCGGGCGACTCACCTGTATTTCTATCGCCAACGGACTCTCTGGCATACTGCTTAATAATGTGACAAGCCAGTGGAGTTTTAAGAGTGTTTCTTTGTCAAATTCTGCCACTACAATTCAACATATTGCAAGCCTCGCTGGTGATTTCGCAAAATCCGTAGTATTGTAAATTCAAAAAATTCTCTGAAACACTCTAAAATTTTGCCGCATTTTTTTTTGATTACATCAGCAACGTTTTAAGTTTTTCTCTACTGCTTTATTTATCCAAAATCCATTTCGTATTTCCACTCGTACGATTGGGCGGACGAGGTTCTTTAAGGAAATATCAGGAAGTACCTCAGTTTGCATACGATTTCACTCCCTTCTTCTATCCCCCTTTTCTTCCGCAGGATGAAACCTTTTTATTAATAAATTGCCATATAATTGCATTGGCAACGAATCTTAAAATATTAAGATAAGGATAGCTTCCCAAATGTTTTTTGACTTCATTCACATTTTGCCTTTAAGTCCTACTCTTTGCTATCTTCGGATCCATTTACGAATCCATAACCAATGTCAATTTTAGCGATCGAGTAGTCAACGCGCGAATCAGCCGAACGTGGTTGCATTTTCGGTTCCATTCATCAGTTATATTTGTGGACAATAAGGAATTTATTTTATTTGCGATTTTGGATTTGGACGTTAATAATGGTTGTTGATAGGGTGATAAGCGTTCTTAATTCAGCGAATGATTCCTTAGTTGATTTTAACGAAACATCTGATAATCAAGGCGCATTAACAGTGACTACTGCATCCACAAGGTTTTTTTTTTCTTCAATTTTATCATAATGATAAATTAACTTATTTCCGTGAAATTTTCTCAAAATATTTGCAAAATTTGTGTAGAAAAAATTTTCTCAATCTTCGTTTGACCAATTTGATAATGAATGTTTCGTTTATTTTGAATCAATTTTACTTATTTTTGATAAATTTCGTTGAATTTTGGCATTTGTTTTGTCAAATTGTTAGTTATAATTGTCGTTGTGCCATTTAAAAATAAGATAATGATGAAAAATCTTTGCGTATATTTGTATCAACGCTCCATGTTTTTGTATTTTCTCTGCAATTTATCATTTAAGATTTTTAATTCAGATAAAAAATATAGGAAAAGTAGTGATCATCTGGTGTTTTGCTTGGACTAAGATCAGTACTACTACAGATTCGGTTTAGTTTTTGACGATTCTCAAAATTCCTCAATGAGTTTCCATTTTCAAGCGATTCTATGAAAGCTTGTCATAACAAGGCAGTAAATAGAATCAATCAGCTGGGCCTGAAATGGTAAATAGTATAAAATAAGAAGAATAAGTAGGGATGTGTTTCAGAGGCTTTTTAAATTTCATTCTGAATCGAAATAATTCGACTGGTATTTTTAAAATGATGAATATTAATCGCATGGTGCCTGAAATAATTTATGTGAAGTTTTTTTAAATGATATAAACGAGTATAAATCCGATGAGGGATTAGGTGTATGCGGTGTTGCATTTATCATTAGGTGACATATATTATCAGAATTAAATAAAACTCTAGATTGAATTTAATTTCTTGTAAAAGTCCAGACAGTTGCACACATTATATTTGTTTTTTATAATTTGATCTGTTTGATTTGATTTGCAATTTATATTTTAAGATGATTCACCAGATAATTTTTTAGTGAATCCATAGCTATGCAAACGTTGACTTCAACGATGTCAGTAATGACAACTTCATTGACGAATCAAGTATCATCAAATATTCATTCTGTACAGAAAATTAATGATTCAGATTCTTCATTCTTTACACTAGCCATATTCTCGTCTGTTTTATTTGTAATATCAGTGTTATTAATCCTTAAGATCGTCGCAAGTTATAATAAAAAAAGGTAAGTTAAAGGTTACTTTTTTTCAGTCAATAAATTATAGGATTTTTATTGAAAATATGGATTTTTTCTTTGTTTTAGATTGAAACATTCTAAAAATATTTTTAGAATTATTTTGATCTTAATTTTGCGGAAGAAATTGATATTTTTTTTCAGGAGATCAATTATATCCGGAAGTCGAGTACAGTGGCGTTTAACAAACTTCTCACAGAACCGGCATGGACAAGGAACAACGCAAAATGTTTATTCGGCAATGCCAAACGAAGGTTCCATATTCAGTTCATTGGATGTACCTCATCCTGATGCTAGGTTATTATTACATTTTGCATCAATAAAAATCCAGTGTTTTATAAAATGGTTTCGCCGAGATTATTTTTTATTTTTTTGCAGATTGGATTGGGAGCGGCAGTTTTTTGATGAAAATTTGGATAATCCTCCTAATTGGGAGTTTCAGCCAGTTTGTTTTTTTTTTCTTTTAATGCATTTTTAAACGTAGAGTTAGTTTCTGTTAATCTTCTAATGATTATTAAGCGCATTATCCGTCAAATTGTCACGAAGAGTTTTTTCAATTTTTTTCTTTCTAAATTTTTTATTTTTACTTTTTTATGGCATAGCGTTTAGTAGTATAGTGGTAATATTTTGTATTTCAGCGAACACCATCACGTTTGCGCTTAGACTCCGATCGCCTACGTATTTGATTTTGTTGTTTCATGGAAATAAATTAATTAATTGTAGAAGGTTATATATTTCCGTGATCTTTATGCTATTTCTTTTATTTCTGAGGCGTTTGTATATAATCGGAAAAATTGTTGTTCGGCTTTTTTTGGATTTTTCATGGATCTGTGCTTTTTTCCGTTCAACTATCGCTCAGATCTATAATTTTTTTTTCTTTTTTTAGTTTAACTGGCTTTTAATGGGAAGTTTTTGGCTATATTTGCTTTAAAAGTTGAGATAAAAATTTCATATAATTTTTATTTTAATATAAATTTATAAAATAATGTTTATATATAGAAGATTTTCAACTATAATCATTGATATGTCTATAAAAATATTTGATATTTTTTGTTTATTAATATTTCATTATCAAGTGTGAGGCAAAATAATACTATGGGATCACATAGATATCGTATTCAAATTTATGGTTTCGTTTTCTGCCTTTAATAGGAGTAAATCTATCATTATCTGGGTGGTAATTCACTTGTATTTCTACCATCAAGTGACTTCTTGGTAAATATTCTTCAGTTAAGCGCTTGTTGATAATTCATTTATTTGTATTTAACAAAAAAGGCAAGCGAAAAAATGAGCGCGTGGAAAGATAAATTGGTGATGTGGTGACGATATAGGTAAAATGTCCTTGTACTGAAATACGTATCGCCAATAAATTTTTTCAGAAACATATTTGTTCGATATTATATTACAATAAATGAAAGAATAAGAACTGATACAATTCCCATAATAAGTATCATTATTATCGTCCAAAACAATTGAGCTATTCCATCGCAACAAAAGTTCGTCTTTGTCATACGTTTTTTGTCAGGCTTTGGTGACATCTAAAATTTTAAAGTTTTTAATTATAGTAAAGTCTAAATAAAAAACATTTTAAAATAATGATATTTTATTTTTATTGGTGATCGTTTGAAAATATTTCGATGAAATATATCGCCACTAGCATCGCTACGAAAATGAAGTGCGCTTTTTGGAAGGGAGTTTCATTGAAGTGTTAGGCTCTTAGATTTTCAGTAGTCATTCGGGTTTGATGATAAATTTACTCCTGTCGAGGAAAATGAATTGAAACAGTGAAGTTTAAAACTTACGCTTACTGGCTTTTGTAAATTTTGGCATTGTGGACAGGATAAAAACTGTGACTGAAATATAAAGAATGGTGTCAGCTGTGGTGAAGGCCACTGATAAGTTGGCGTTATAAAAGGTAGTGCATATCTCTTTTCATAAGGAACGACTGAAGAAGGATAAGCAAACGATTCATATCCTTGTTGAAGTCTTAAATATTAAATATTGTTGGGAGTTTTTTTGTTCCCCGAATAATTTCATTAAAAAGCCAAAACCAAAATTAAGGCAAAAAAAAGCTAACTGATTATAATTTTTTAGAAATTGAAAAAAAAGGATTGAAGAAAGTCCCTTAACTCTTTATTTGTTGACTCTGAACATGGCGCTGAATTACCACCTATCAATAATGATAAACTGCGATTATCACTTGTCGTAGGCGAATGATGACGCTCATTCTGTAAGAGTAATGACTCAAAATTTCTATAAGAAATTTATAAAATTCTAATTTTTTCTAAGACTCTAAACATCATTCGTTGAAAATTCCACATTCTCCAGCAAATTATCGCATAATCGCTTTTCTTCCCATATAATGAGACTAAGTTTCCTAAGTAATAATCCTCTAATTATCCTCGTTTACTTGCTCGTTTGGCTAAACGAACAGTACTTTTAATGAGACAATTAATCGAATCCAATAAATAAAGTGAAACCGATACAACATATTTGCAATGTTCAAAACAACTCAACAAACGTTGCATCAAAATCCTATGCGTATTGAAATATAATTAAGGAAATACTGTTTTAAGTAGCTAAAGACAATTTATAATGGTGTGACTATCACTGAACTAGCTGTCACTGATAAAGAACCAATACCTTAACAGTCAGCAACATGCAAAGAAAGAATCAATTAGCGATAAATTCATTATAGAAATATCTCAAACAAAATTTTTATTTTAAAATCGAATTTATTTCCTTCTTTAATTAAATTAATTAAATTAAAAATTGTGAATTTAATATTTAATATTCACAAATAAAATTTAATTTATTTAATTTTTAAAAAAAATATAAAAAAACCAGAAAAAAAAGAAAAAAGGAAAGAAAAAACTAACTAAATACGGCGAATTGTTCAACGATTGCATTCGATAGGCACACAAATCGTTTCGAACGACGAGAAAAGGCGTTAAAAAATTCGTTAGAAAACTCGAATTTCGTTCTTTCCCAGTGCATTGACCCTTTTTTGCATTTATTCTTATCAGTGCCGACCGTTTCGATAATTTTTCTTTTCTTCGCCGTTATTATATCCTTCAAGAAAAAAACCGATTCTCAACCGATCAACTCATTTGATTTTCCAAGAAATATACGTATAAAATTTCAAAGCACAAAGAACTGATTGTAACCTAATGTATAATATTTGTCGACTGGCCACTTCACACTTCTTTTTTTGACCAATTTAATTTCATTCGCAAAAAAACTTTTGTATGAGCAGCCAATAGTGCTTCTTTCACTCTCGAAACAACAGTATTAAAAATTTTTTCCAAATTTTTATCAAAAAATCAGTTTTATCAATATTATTGCAAATAATCAAAAAAGAAATGAAAAACAATATAGAACAAATAAAACAAAATAACAATGAATAACAACAAGCTGACAATTGCATTAAAAAACCGAAATAGAATCCATTTCTTTTCAACTTATTTAAAGATGACGATTAAATAACAATTTAACAAGAAGCAACTATTCCCTTAAAGCAGCAATGAGTATAAACAGAATATTTCAGGAAAAATAAACGATGAAAGTGAATAAAAGCCTAAGTTTAAATAATATTACCGGCATTTAACAAACGGCAGCTTTAACAAACGGTATGAAATCCTTGTATTTCGGTGGCATAAAGGGTTTAAGGACGTCTGGAATTCGTATACCCCCTTCTTCCTGATAAATTTCCAACAATGCGCAAAGAACACGAGTAGTAGCACACATTGTCGCATTCAACATATGAACGTACAACACCTTAATTAATATAAATTTAAATGAAACAAGCAAAAAACCGCGTTTTAAAAAAGTTGAATGAAATGTGGAAATTACTTCGCCATCCATTTTCTTCGTTTGTCCATAACGAACTTTCAAACGACGCGCTTGATAATCGGTGCAATTTGAACAAGAAACTAATTCTCTAAAATGAAATAAATTTGTCGGAATGACATTTAAATCTTGAGGAAAAACGGTGAAGGAAACAATACCTGAATGCTGCACTGCCGGGAAACCAAGCTTCAACATCAAGCTTTTTTGATGCAGCATTATTAAGTTCACCAGAAACAATGCATACAACACGATAAGGAATACCAAGCAGTTGGCAAAATTCTTCGGCATTGGCAATCATCTATTAAAAAAAGATTACCACTCAATAAATGAATTTCAACAAAAGATGATTTTAATGGTACAACGGGAGAATATCTTCATCATATGAAAAAAAAAATTTGAAACAATAACCAACCTCATCGAACATTTTCCAACTTATATCATCATGTGGAGAACAAATGACGAATTGCTCAACTTTTTCAAACTGATGAACTCGAAAAATTCCACGAGTGTCTCGCCCATGACTTCCCACCTACAATATGAAACACACACAGAAGAAATGTCAAAACCATCATATAAAAAATCATACAAAAAATGACATAGTAAGCAATTTATTGCTATTTACTACATTTTTTTATCTGTTCTTTCTTTTTAATTTGTTCTAAAAAACTGATTTTATTGCACTCACTTGCTGGAAAACCATAATGAAAAAGACTGAAAATGAAAATTTCAAAGGTGCCACATTATGTTCCCATTTTATTAAATTTCCACACTTTTTCATCTTCACAACTAATAACTAACTTCTTGACGGAAGCAAGTAGAAATTCCTGCATATTTCAGAGGAAGATCGGCTTGGTTTATCCATTCATTACGATGGAACGCAGCAATTGGTTGCTCGGATGTTGCAATCAAATATTTTTCATCAAAAAATTCTTCGCCGGTATCATTTGAACTTTTTTCCGTAATCTAAAATCAAAAGTATGGCAAAGAATTAAAATCAATATAATGCCAAGAATTGTGGAGATTTTGCAAATTTTCGGACAATAGAATGAATTTTTAACTTTCGACCTAAAAACACTTTAAAGTAATTTGATGCAATTTATAACAAAATTTGAAACCAAATTAGATGAATATTCGTGATTACGTTTCATTTTGATTAATCTAGTTGAAAATACCTTATATAATTCTTCATCAAATTGACTTAATTGAGCTACTTCTTGCATTACTTCCTTTCGCATGAAAAATGGAGTATAAAGAGGCATAAAACCTTTTGCATGCAACGTTTGTAAAGCGAGATTGATAACAGCTTGTTCGAGAAACACCAATGGACCCTGAAACGAAGGATTAAAACAACTGTATTAAAATTAATTACAGCTTCTACACTGAACTATTGTTACTTTTGATGTTTTCGAAATTTTATAATAATGCATATATTAAAGAATGTTAGAAATTTATGGCAAAAACGACGGCTAAAAAAGAAAAGGTAAAATGAAAAAAATAAAAAATAAAACTAGAAAAATAACAGATAAAATAAAAAATAAGAATGAAGAATGAATGTTGCAAAACCTTAAGAAAATATCCACGGCTACCTGCGACAGCTGTCCCACGCTCTCCATCGAATCCATCAATCATTATCGTCAAATCAATCTAAAACCATTCCTTAAAAAAATCTAAAAATTAAAAAAATCCCAGAAAATGTCAGAAATCTTTCATAAAATTAATAAAATTCATAAAATTAAACGCTTGTCTTACATGTGAATATTTCTTCTTTGATTTCACATCACCAAATATCCTTTCAACTCGATTATTTTCCTCGTCGTCACTAACTGGAACACTTTCATGAACAATATTACCAATTTGAATTAACGAATCATGACGTATCACTTCAAGTTTATCCATTTCTTTTTTCACCTCAGTTATCTTTTCATTAATTATACCACTAAGAAATTTTAACTGCATGATTGTTAATTCCTAAAAAATTTCCAATTAAAAACTACAATAACAATTATTCGGAAAAAATGAAAATTCCCTATCCATAAGAAAATTCATTCTTCAATTCATGCATTTTTCTTTCAAAATTCAGTTCAATTATGCTCTATTTTTATAAAGAAACATAGTAAAACCTTCAATGATTCAACGGTATGCGAGGCAATTTCATCAATAAATTTTTGAGGAACACTAACTTCATCGCCATTTGCTTCTTTTGCCTGAAAAAAATTGTTGTTGCTCAAAGGTAAAAAAATTTCTACGCTGCATATAAGAAATTCTCTTATGCAGAATTTACACCATTATTCCTACCAGTATGTGCATTAAAAAAAATGAAATGTCTAACTTTGATTTTCTCGCCAATCACTTTACTGCAAACATTTTTCACTCGATTTAAATTATCGGCTTCAAATCTTTCTGCAAAAAAAAAACGACATTAGTAAAACATTTCAATGAATTTTTTTATATCACAGCAGTAAAATTTCGTTGAATTTCACTTAATTTTAATAAATTTCATTGAATTTTTGTAATATTTCGTTGATTTAATTTAATTTAATTTAATTTAATTTTAATCATAAATATCGTTTAATTAAAGTCATATAAATGATAAAATTTTGTAAATTATCAATGACGTTCAAGTTCAATTAATGTTCAATCAAAACGTAAATTTAATCGATTAAAAAAGTTCTAAAATTCATTTTACTGCGACACAGCAATTTAATTAAAAAACAAAATTCGATGAAAACATACTTTGTCGCCACTGAACATCGAATTTAATAACATTATCAACATGTTTCACGTCTCGAAAACGTTTTTTTTCCGATTCATAAATTAATTTCGGATTTCCTCCTTTTTCCTCGCGGAATAAATCAATATCAAGCACCATAGTTAATACCTTAAATATTAACGATTCCATTTTTTGCGATAATAAACTTTAAATAATTTTTATTTAAAACAAAATTTACTAAATGCTGCGAACAATTTCAATGAAAATTTCAATGAACGACGCATAGAAGTATTTTATTCCTCTTAAGTGAAATTTCCAAGAATAAAATATAGGAAGAAGTAGTAGACATATGCCGAATGGCCTTGTCGCTCGTCAGAGCTAAACCTGTCGTATGAAAATTAGCTGCTACTATCCATCGGGAGGACGCATCTACATTTCTGTCGCCAAGCGACTTCCTAGCGAAATTTTCAACGAAACGACGACCTCTAAGAAGCCACAGCTATTTTATTTCTTTTCTTAACGTCTTAAAAATGTACAAAGAGATTTTTTCATAACTGAAATTCGTATATCCCTAAACACCACAAATCCCACAATCCCAAAATGAATGTATAAAAGAAAAAATTCAAAAAAGGATGATGCAAAATGGATTTGACTGTATTCACGAAATCGTTTTAAGAGAAAAAAATTTTGAATCTTTGAAATTTTCAAAAAAATATTAAATAATAAATATAAAATAATAAGTAAAATTAAAGCAATAAATGGAACACAAGAAAAAATGCATTTGCCATTATCGAATTGGAAATAAAACTTATGAACATTTATAAATTTTGTTTTAAATTTAAATACGACAAATGAATTGAAAATTATGCATAAATATTCTATTATTATTGTTTATTATTATTACCATTAAAGATTTTCGTGATAAATAAAATTATAAAATAAAATAATTAATAATAAATTTTGGAATTACTAAATGGCAGTAAAAAATAAAATAAATTAATATTAAAAAAAAATTACTGTGAGAAAAAATAAAAAATTTAATAACTAATTTATAATAAAAAATTTTTAAAATAATTTATAAATTATAATATAAAAACTAACGATGAAATTAAAAAGAGAATTTAAAAATAATTTACTAAAGTGTATTTAATTTATTTCTTAAAAATTATGAAAGATTTTTGATGAAATATTTTAAATATTATAATAAATATTTAATAAAAATCAATAATAAATATTTGTAATGTATATATTTGTAAACAATTTGATTATTGAACAATTATTGAAAATTACTGTAAAATTTCAACTCCATAAAAGTTTCACTGAAAAGAAATATTCTTTTTTGGCTGTTCAGTGCTTCTCTTCCAAATGTACTTCGATCGCCAAGTGAATTTCCATTGTTCAAAATTTTTGTTCTTCAATTATAGAACAGCAACGAATGCAGCAAACGGTTTAAGAAATGGCGAACAAAAATAATTTTTTCTCTAAATTACTGCATTTTCAATTCATTTTTTAATTCACCAAACAATTATCTGAAAAATTTTCAAATATTTTTGTTTTTCAAAATTTGCAAAAAAAATTCCAACGAACATTTCTTTATTTATTTATTACTTTACAAAATTTTCTTCGTTTCGTAGAAATTTTCGTAGAAACAAATTCGATTGAATTCGTTGTACATTTAATAATAAATTTTTAAAATTTTCAACAGCAATAAAAATATTGCAAGAAAAAAACAAACAAACAAACGAATTTCTTTGAATGAAACAAATTTTTCATTTCATTTCTTTGCGGCAAACAAAAATTTTAAAGCATTCGAATTCTTCGTTGGGTGAATTATTTTCGACAAAAATATTTTTCAAAAATATTTTATATTATTGAAATATTATCGAAATAAATTATTTTATCGATTTTATGCAAATTGATGCTAATTGATTTTATAAATTTATTTAAATTTATTAAATTTATTGAATTTATTTGCTGTTTTTTTAAATATACATAAAATTTATTTTAAAAACAATTCCCTTTTATTTTGAAGTTTAATAATAGTGATTATAATATTATTTAATAACAATAACAAGAATAATAACATTAATAATAATTATAACTACAGTAATGCTAATAATTATGATATTAATAATAATAATAATAATAAAATAATAATAATAAAAAAATAGGAATATTAACAATAATAATAACGATGATAATAATATTGATAATGATAATAATTATCATAATAATTATTGTTGTTTTAATAATAATAATACAATAGTAATATCAACAGTATAATAATAATTACAAAAAAAATAGTAATAGTAATAAAATAGTGATAGTAAAAATAGTAATAGTAAATAATAATAATAATAATAATAATAATAATAATAATAATAATAATAATAATAATAATACTAATAATAATTATTGTTTTTTTAATTTTAATACAATAATAATATTGATAATATAACAAAAACGTTTACAAAAAAGGATTGCGATTGGATGATTGTCTATTATTATGTAATTTTCTCGACGTATGATATAATTTATTTGACAACCGATTGATAAAATTAGCTGATAGTAGATTATTTGTTTCATATTGCTTATTTTTCTTTTGTTTTTTTTTCAGTCTTTTTGTTGTTTTCATAAATGTGGGTCATCCTCAACCTCAAGTCCTTTACCAGAGGCCTAAAGTTCGAGATAATGTAGATAAGCTTTCAGAGAGCCTCGCTTAAAGACCCTCACCGGAAAGATAGAGAAGACGAGTTTTTTGTTACACTCCATATTAATCATCCGTTTTAACCACTGCCTTATTTCGGCGCTTAATGAAATTCAGTTAAATTCACCTTAATGAGAACTCGAGAATAAAAATAATATTGAGTTGATATAATATAAATAATAATAATGTTTTATGATCGCTATAGGAGGGTTTCCGATAATAAGGACATATGAACTTGATATAAGTTCACTTGCTTGTTCGACAAAACTGATAACTAATATAATATTTTCCTTATCGATAACGATGTCTCATTCGTTGAATGTAAGTTTTTAATTCTTTAAAATATTATTATAGAAAAATTTGAATTTTGTATTGATAAATATCTCTAATCTCTAATCACATCTAAAATCATTAAGAATTTTATTAAAATTTTATAATAGTTTTATTAGAACTAAAAATATATTTGATTTATTTGAAATACTTTATTTTTTTCAGAAATATTTTTCGCGATACGAAATGATCAAAAATTGGTGTATTTGTGTCTGGAATGTTTTTATTTTTTATATTTTTTTGGTAATTTGTCTTAGAACAATTACGATTGCTCAATATGGATTTTATGAATTACCAAAAGGAACATATGACGAGGCTTATTCGAAAATTGTCAAAGCATTTCAGTGAATTTTTAAAACTTTACAGTTTTTTAGAAGAGTTTTAACACATAAATTGTATATTATTTATCCAGTTACAATACAAAGAACTTGCTTGTCATCTTTGAATGTCATCTTTTTTGAAGCGTACACACCTCAGTTTTCTCTCAGATGGCCTTAAAATAAGGTATATTTCACTGAAGAGTGCTAAAAATTGGTCTAAAAATGTCATTTTTTATTTCTAAAAAAGTTTTAACTGGATTCAACATGGCAGATAACTGGCTGATATTATCAGTTATACCGTACTAAATTTTTGTGCAATCAAAAGGAAGTAATTTTGCGTATTTAGTGCTATAATCTACAAATCTATAAATAAATCTATAAAAATGAATGGTACTCAATTTATTCCCAAATTCGACTCCCTTTTTCCATATATTCATATATTCTTATAAAGTCTATTCTTTAAAGCTGGAATTTTATGCATGGATATGAGCGAGAAGGAGCAAATTTAGCAATTTATCACAATGGAAAATCAGTAGTAAATATATGGAATGGTTATTCTGATGCCGAAGCAGGAAGAAAGTGGACTTCAACAACAAAATCTGTTTTATTTTCGTCCAGCAAAGTTTCATTTTCAGTTTTTTAGAAACTTTGAATAAATTTAATTTACGCCAATTGATAACCATATAGATCTTCTACATCTTCTACTAATATGATTTGTTTTTTGACTGAAAAATTATCTATATGACAATATTCGTTACTTATTGTTGGTTGTAGGCATCAACTGGCAACCTTTAAATTACCAGGTGATCATTTTTAATAGAGGTGCAAGCTTAAATGATTAGGGCTCATTATTTGGCAACTTTTGTTGTTAAGGTGGTTCGAAAAATTTTTCACCATTTGGCGAAGAAATAGATCACCAATAGCATTTTAACTTTTTTAGCTGAGAATTCTGCTTTTGTCGAAGACAGGAACCGAATCACTATTTCTTAACCTGAATCACTATCCACTCTGTTATTCTGTCCTATTAAGCTATAGATTGTCAATTTATAGACTCTTTTCATATATATTTTTATTATGCTATAGCATTCTTGCCTACAACTTTGCAAGATTATATACCATTTTGCGATAAATTATCTAAAAATCTCCCAAATTTTCTTTCTTTAAATTCTATTCGAGTTAATTAGCCAAATTGGAACCTTCAACCTTAGCCATAAACTCGGAAATGATGAAACCATACTCCATTTCCGATTTATCCTCATATTTTCCATTCTTCTTTGAAAAATTGAGAATAAAATAACAATTTAGGCAGTGGTGGCTTTATGTATGGCGATGCTAGTGGATCGAGGATATCTCTCCTATGATGATTTAGTAATCAAATACTGGCCTGAATACGGCAAGAATGGCAAAAATAATACAACTATCGAAGATATTTTAACTCATAAGATATTTTTTATTTTATTTTCAAAAAAAATATTTTTTTTTGAAATTTTCTATCATTTGTGTTATTTTCGTTTTTTGGATTTTTCAGTCCTTGGAATAATTTTTTTATTAAACTTAGCTTATATATCTATTCAATTCTGATGCTAATAATTTTAGGCTGGCATACCTTATCTAGAAAATATCACCATTGAAGATGTGAAAAAGCATGATGTGATCATGCGCAAGCTTGAAGATGCGCAACCATTATGGGAACCAGGATCCACATCCGGGTTTGTTGTTTCGTTCATTTAACCTTCGGTAATTTTCTCTTGAGAGACAAAAAGGCTGAGGGGCTTGTTGTGCTCATTTCATTGCTGATGAGATTTTATTCCTAGTAGAAGTAAATAAAAAAGAAACTTAGAAGTAATCTGTTAAACTTAGAACTTAGAAGTAACTTGTCCTCAAACCAATTGATGCTTCTTTACTTCTATTACCAAATGAAGCTTCCTAGCAAAGTTTCTCTGGTCGACAAACCAGAAGCCTAAATGGACCAACCAGAAATAGCAATGCAGATAGAAAAATAAATTTTAATTTCAACAATTTTAACAATATATCATAAACTTATAGGAAATACTCGACTTATAAATTCATGCAGTCTAATAAGACTTATCGGTTCATTAATTGTGTCAAGTAAGCTTATCTGTAATCTTATCTCTTAAGGTATCACATAGTGACTTTCGGCTGGTTGGTAGATGGTATTTTTCGCAAAGTTGATAAGCGTGGTCGCGATGTTCAATCATTTCTGAAAGAAGAAATCGCTGATAAATATGGTAATAAAATATTATTTTATATTAAATATTATGGGCAAAGATGCCATAAAAAATAGTGAGTGATAGAACTTTTATATTTTTCTCTTCAAGTGGCCAAGTAATGCGGAAAAATTCGAACGTAATAGTTAACCGAATCAGGTAAAACAAAGCTATCACCGCTAGTAAGCAAGTCTAGTCAGCCAAAAAAGTCCATACCGTATACAGCTAATTCTTAATCAGCTTTAATTAAGGCTTAAATGTAAATATCGGACTGAATAGAGAGAATTTCGCTGATCTGGCTCGGTTTTCTCAACCAGGTTTAATAGAATACGCTCGTGATATGCTTATTGATCCGCAAATATTGTTAATATTAATTGCGATGTTTCATCCTTCAAATAAAATTGCTTGGAATCTTCTAACTCATTCCGCTTGGTTACCTATTAATTATGTGAGTTACTCGATTGAATACTCGTGTATGAGATTATCGATGCTTCTAGAAAAAAATTGGCTTGAAGGATTTAGTCCTACTAAAATAAATACTTAAGTCGTCTTCTAGGACACGGTGGCAGTTAATGATCCTGATGTAGTCGCATTGAATCTAGCTGCAGCAGTCGGTGTTGCAGATGCTGAAAGTGTCGCTCGACTATTTTCTCTCGCTCTAGATGGTACCCTTTTAAGCAATGCGACATTGCAATTAATTTCTAAGCCTACGTTGTCACATTGGTATATTGAGCAGGTGAAATTTTTCGAATTCACTATCCTTCAAAACAATATTATTATGGTTAACGAAGTGAAAAAGCTATTTTTGCTTGAAGAAAGAAATTAGCTATTTCCAAAATATTCTTCTTCTAATGGCTCTAACCATTACTACTAAGGCTGACTCCGCTGGCTACTAGGGTTAGATCCTTGATCCTCTTGGTCACCTCTTGATCCTTTCACCATTGAATCAGTTACGATAGAGTAACGGGTCGGTTCCTAGTAGCCATCGAAAATATTTCTATAATTTCTATAGGTTTATCATATTTACAACAGATTACATGCATATTTCAGGTGATTATGTATCCTTTTCTTAAAGGACGGGGATTCTTTTACGATGAGCATCCTACTGAAAAGGTTTAATGCATTTTTTAAAGTTTTCGATCGTAAAAGTAACAAATAATAAACAACCTCTTTGCGTATCATCGGAAAAATCCCACCATTTTATTCACTGTTCTCTGTGCACTAATCAAGAGTTCTTCATCTACAACCTGTGGTTCCATGATGGACCTGCAGGCAGAAATTGTAAAAATGAAAATGTAAAATGTAAAAAAGGCCGTTCACATTTTCTTTTTTCTAATGTTTAAAAACTGTAATTTAGAATTTCCTTTATTTATGAATTACAGCACTTGTGACTTATGGATTTGCTAGTAGGACATTGCTTTCCTAATCTTTCCATTCCATGCATTTGAAAAAATTTATTATTTATTGAGAAACGAGATTAGTGAGTATCAAAAGTTTCTCCATCAGACAAAAAAATTCTAAGAGACCTCTATAAATATATTTAGAAAAAATCTAATTGTTATAATGCAAAATATTAAAGTTTTAGGATGAATACTTAGCCGGTCATCCGGGCTATGGCTGTCAAGCTATAATCATAGATATCAAAAATAATTTGACAATGGCTTATTTAACGAATGGCCTAAAAACTAGTACCAGTATTATCTGTCAAAATTATAATCGCCTATTAAAAACATTATACCAAGTGATAACAGATCTCAAAAAATCTTAGCGCTTTTTTCGTCGATTTCTGCTGCCCAAATAATCATAATATGTTTATATTATTGCGTTTATATTCGCTTTTCTCTTAGCCAAATTGATTTTTATTTCGTATGGTACCAAATTCTAGCAATATTCTTTACTTTCCTTAACCAATCTTCCAACATTCGTCGTTTCATGTTACTTCAAAATTTCCTTGGAATCTTTATTTTTTCCCCAAACTAGATTTCGCTAGATTTTAGGGTGATATTCATTCAGTAAAATTCAGTAGGAAATAAAATTTGCATTCGAATTTCATTTTTGTAATAGATTTAGTCTCGTCGAAAGAACATATCTTATTTAACCTCTCTTGAAATAAAAGACTCCCTCTGCTCTGTTTGCTTTCATTTCATTTCTTGGTTTCAATAAAAATTTCTCGATTATTTTAAAATAAATCTTTTACAATAAAGTTTTTTTCTGAATGTGAAAGGTTACAAACGGAAAGAATTATTTTAAAATAATATCAGGCTTTTGTACAAAAGAATCTACTTCAAAAATATTGGCAAATCTTTCTAATTGGTCAGCATCAATTGACAATGTATGAATTATGTATCTAGATTTGGCTAAAGCTTTTGATACTGTTTCCCATAGCAAATTACTGATCACTCTTAATAGTTATAGCATTACAGGGGCCCTTTATAAGTGGGTATCAGATTACATAAAAGATCGTCACCAAGCCGCATATGTCAATAACACTCTTTCTGACACAACACCTGTTAAATCTGGTGTTCCCTAAAGTAGTTGTATTGCGCCATTCTATTATATATAAATGATATCACTAATGTGGTACTAAATTCTACTATTTATCTTTATGCTGATGATTGTAAAATTTATTATTCTCATGGTAGAACAGGTAGCCTATCTCCACTGCAAGAGGATCTCAACAGAATATGACGGGCAAATCCTTTTCTTCCTTTTCTTATCAGTGTGTAGCGTTCTTCATGTTAATTTTAAAGGATTCGATTTGCCTAATCTTTTTATTAATGTTAATATAATCACAAGAGTTTCACACATTTCCAATCTTGGAATAATCATGGATGAAAATCTCGATTTCAACCTTCGCTGCAGAACCATGGTAAAGAAATCCTCAACGATAATAAATTTTATTTTTCGTTCATTCAAGAATAAAACTCAAGATTTCCTTATCAAAATGTATAAAGCGTTCGGCCACTTCTTGACTACAATGCTACATGTTACTCCACGAAATATCGTAAATCAAATAAAATAACTGAAGGACTCCAAAAATATTTTATACGGCATAATATTTTAAATATTTTAAAACTATTTTAAATATTTTATAAATATTTTATCTCTCCTAATTGCAATTTTAATTATAAAATTATTAAAATTATTTAATTATTTTAATTATAAAGAAAATTTCTACAATATAACCTGGATTCTTTGTCAATTCGTCGTATTAAACAAGATTTAATTTATACTTTAAGATTTTGTAAGATAAGACTAGATTGTTCAGAATATTATAATTTTAGGTTAAATTTAAATCTAACAAGAACTAATGGGCTAAAATTACTAAAACCTATTTGCAAAACTAAACTAAAGACTCATGATTTCTTTATTCGTAATATTAATTTCTGGAATAAACTACCGAACGATATTGCTTGTGCGTCATCCCTAGCTATCTTTAAAAAAAGATTAGATCATATCATTTAAAAAGTTCACATCATGCAGGAAGGTGAAATCTCGATTTTTACCAGTCAATTATTTATTTGTTGTTTCGAATTTTGCTATATTATATTATTTTGTAATTTCCTCTTTATTTCATCTTTAAATTGTTTTTGTCCTTAATTCTTATTATTTATTATTTCAACTGTTGTTATTAATATAAGCACATGGCATTTGCGCCTTGCTTAGTTAGTTTTTTGGTTTTCAAGAAATGAATAAATATCCTTTTATCAAATTATTATTGTTCATTTGAACAAAACCGAAAAAAATGGATACAATGTGGATGACTTTGACTCATCCTGCAAAAATATAGTTCCAGGCAGAGCCTCCGAATTTTTTCATATGAATTGACCCAATGCTTGACTATTATTACGCTGTTAAAATTTTTGATCTTTGTATTGAAACGAATTTCAGATTACTATTTTTTTGCTAAAACAATGTGCTAATACTTTAATACTATTTGTAATAATTGTGGTGATGAGCGAATTTATTTGCGTTTGATGCTAATTTTCTTTGTAATTGAGTTGACCTGTGGAACTATCTCAATTTCATTTCTATTTTAATTAATAAATTTTGTGTTTTGCTCTCAATTTTTGATTAATAAATTTTTAGATTACGAATTTAAAATATTTTTTATTTGTTAATTTATTTGTTAATTTAGTGATATGATCAAAAAAAAAAAAATATTGGACAAATACGAAAGCTGTTTCAAAATTTCCTTGAAGTCTTTATTTTTTCCCTATGAAAAAACCACAATAATCCTCTTAATTTATTTTGATAATTTATTTAATTTAACAATTTAGTTTAGTTTCAGTTTAATTTTTCGATGGGCGATAGCAAAAAATTATTCGAATATTTTGCAATTGTTGGCTTAAAAGATGACGCAGAAGACTTAATACCTTCGGCTCCCGAATGTGGATGTCGCAATTCGGCGCCGTTAGCACCGATCACCGATATTTGTGTCATTTTTCCTGGACTTGGAGAAACGGTTCATCTTTTTTTTTTAGAAGAAGAAAGAATACTTGTGGCTATATTGTTTTCAATGTTCAATGCATTATAAGAAACCACCATCAGTGTTATAGAAGAACAAACCAATCTTAGCAAAAATAAATATGACATTCGAGCTGTCATTAAGTAATAATATTATTAAGACGTTAATTATTTTTTCTTCTTTTCTTCTGACAAGCATTTCTAGTTTGGCTGCCTTCATTCATCGCCATATTCTAACGCTATCTTGTCAGAAAATTGCTATATAGAAGCGCTGATCCTCAGGGCCACCTGGATTTTTAATGACTCATTTGTGTCTTTATTTTTTCTCCCAACACGCATTATCCCAATGGTTTTTGTTTGGATTACAATATCGAACATTCTGATTTGCTCCGGAGAAGCGAGCGCGTGCCTATCATCCAAAAGTTTTATTGACACTGCTGAAATTGTTACCTTTGTGTTCATTTGACTCTATCCTATCTTGCTAATTACCAGTGGAGCGAGCATAACCAAAAATAGTGAGACTTGAACATCTAATTTGCTTAATTATCGACTTATTAACGTGGCAATATAGAAGTGGAAATTGTAACAGCTTGATCAGTCGAAACAGCAATCGACTTTCCTGGCCATTTATTTATGGAAATTCGCTATATATATGTTTTGTATTTTTCAAGGTGCCAGAAGGTTTCGAAGCTATTGAAAGTACTCCTTTGGGATATCCAGCTGATCTAAATCACGGCTCATTACGCGCTCCTTCCGTTTTTATTTGTTTTCGCCGTGGTTATCATAAACCACCTTTGGTTGATATTGGTATACTTTTGCTTTCATTTTTGTTATTGTTTTACCTCCAAATTTTCATTTCATTTACATTTTGCTTCATTTTTTTAAATCGATTATTGTTATAATTAATTAATCACTAATTTTAATCACTGAAATGTTTGTTTTTGTTCATATTTAACAAAATTTAAGGTGTTTTGGATGAAGGTCGTGGCGAAAAATCAATGCTCGATTCAAATACTGTTTTAACAACTCCATTTGGTCGTCCAGCCAATGTTAATAATGCATCACAAGGTGAAATATTTACATTTTGAACTGGGTTCTTGAATATATATATTGAATATTTTCTTTTTTGAGAGGAATAATCATGTTTACCAAGGTATTACCAAGGTTACCAAGGTGATTAGTTTCCAAATTTCCTGATTCGATGCCATACGTCGGAAATTAATTGACCATTGATTTATAATATTTTTTTTATAATAAAAACTGCGTTTAAGTTTTCCAATTTCCTCTTTTTTAAGCGCATTAAACATGGAAAGAAAGCAAATTTTTTTTCAGTTTTTGAAATTTAAAAAAATGGTTTTCTATGGTTTTGTCTATTTTCTTGTTTTCTTATTTTTTTTAATTTTTCTTTTATTCCCTAGGTTTATACTTAACGTTTCGGCGGGCTCAAGATAATAGTGCTCCAAGTCAGCTTGTTGTTATGCATATGTGTGTTATATTAGCTAACAAAGGTGAATCAGCTCCACATACTTATTATAAGATCCCCAAGAATTTAAACAAGGTTTTTTTATAACTTTTTTATCAAATGGAAATTTTACAATTTGAAATTTTGTATTTTTTTTACCAGTTTTTAAGTCTTAATTTTGTAAAATCTTTAAATTTTGATAGATTATAATTCGTGATTCTTTTTGTATTTAAGGGTATGGTTGGATCTCATGTTTATTTATGTTATAAAAAATCGCAAGGGAGCTCCAAGCGATTGGCATTTAAGCCAGCCGTTCTTGATTCCTTTCCAAAAAGTGAAAGTTTTTCACTGGCGCAAAATATTCCAATGTTTTGTCTTCCTATGGGCGCACTTATCGAATGTTGGCCTTCACGTTGTCAACAACCTGATAAATCATTTTCAACTTTTGTTCTTACTGACCAGGTATTATCCATTTCTTACTGACCAGGTATTATCCATAATGAATAAGTAGAGTATAGCTCACTATGCTGGTCTTAGAATATTGAAAAATAGTATTGAAATAGTAATAATCTAAAGTATGGTAGCATAATATCAATAGCCATAAAATATGATCTTTATCAATGAAATGAAATCTGTTGTGTAACTCAGCATTTATGTTGCTAAATAATTTTATAAATGATAAATAGGCTTTAGCCTTTTTTTTCAAAAACTAAATATTGATATTGTCTATTAATTCCTAATGATTTCCTTTATATCCTATAGATAACCAGCTGTAATCCATTATGCCTATACATTTGGTTTTAAACTGTTTTTGTTTCAGTTCATGGTAATATAAATTTTCATCAGTAAAAATTTGATTGAAAATTTGATTTTTAAAAATTTTCTAAAATTTTTTGATTTAACACTTATAACACTTATAACACTTAGCGATTTTAAATTAGATTGTTTAGGCTTGAAATCGTTAATAAAATAATCCGAAATTAGTATATTGTTAAAATCGAATATATTTGAATTATTCTTTTAGTTTGTTTAGGCTTTTATTATCAGTGGAACAATAGAACAGTGGAATATTTTATTTTAAAACATTCTCATTTCGTTTCTAGAATCTTTAATGGCTAATAGTTCTAAAAATATTCATTTTAATATTTAAATTAGAAAAATTCTACATTGTTTCATTTTTCTTTTGAATATTACTGAATATATATACCGGTGGAAATGAGCCGCCAGCTTCAGCACGATTTTTGGAGATAAATTTACTCCTGTGACAAGTAGAACATCGGTTCTCTGAAATGAGAGTAACAATCCATTCATCCTTCTATTCTCTCTGGTATATTCTATTTGCTTTAATTTTATCTTTTTTTATATGTTATAGGATGGAACGAAATTTTATGGCTCCTCAGTATCATTTTATGAAAAATATAGAGGATCATTAAATGAAGATCAGCTAGATAAATTAGAAATGTCAAGCGCAAATGTAACTCATGGAGCTGTAGAAGATTCGTCAAATACAAATGATCCAGCTGAAAAGGTTATAACTTCTTCAAGTTGTCACACTCTAAAAAAATTTTCTCTTGATTTGATTTTTAGAGATAGTAATTTGTCTTGATTCAGAAATTAGGAGTTAAGTTTTTGGTTATGGAGAAAAATAAATGTAATTTCTTAAGATTTAAAATAAATATAGGTTCAGATGTCGTATTATTGTAATGTATCTATTTGCATTATATCTCGTTATCCATTCTTCAATGCATTCAAACGGTTTTTATTTTACTTACATCGGATGTCTTTGTCATCTACTCATACTATACCCATTGAGCGCTATCTGTCACATTTGGTATGGTTTAAATATTTTTCTCATATCGTTTATTGTCGCGGTTTTTTCGCCTCATTTTAGCTTCAAGGAACATTCATTTAATTAACTTGTATATTTTATATATTTATTTAGTTTTAAAGGCACTCCAATCTATATTTATAATTAAATAAAAAAATAAATTGTAAAATTATTATAATAATAATTATTAAAATTATTATATTATAATTATATTATATTTTATAAAGCAGACTTTGTTTTTAGATGTTTGAAGTATCTTTTCCATCTCCAAGATGTCCTAGAGTTTTGGTTCAGTTGGGTAATGAGACAGTTTCTTTCGAAATTCACGATGATAAACAACTTCCTCTATCGGGTGCTGCGCTTTTTGATACACTTAAATGTCTCGAACCCGATAACCTTATGTATGTTGATGATTTTGCGAATTGTTCAGGCTATAGAAACAGAATCATATATTTTAAGATCACTGGTTCATTTTTTGAGTATTTTAGGTATCTTGTTCTATTGGCACTTCTTGAGCAAAAAATTTTGGTGCATTCATTACGTCCATGGCTATTAACTGCTGTCGCCGAAAGTGTTTGTGCTCTTATGTTTCCATTCCATTGGCAATGTCCATATATTCCTCAGTGTCCGTTATCGCTCGCTGGTGTACTTCATGCGCCCTTACCATTTATTGCTGGTGTTGATTCACGGCGCGTTTAATCTTAAATTTTTTTTATTTCATATTTAAAATTTCCATATAAAAAATTGATTTCATCGAATATTGCTTTGATAACATTCATTTCTATAGATTTTAACAATGTTTCAGCTATTTTGATTTATATGAAGATCCGCCTTCTGATGTGACATGCTTTGATCTCGACACTTCTACAGTTAGCATTTCATCGGCTCGTCAAACAATTAAGCTCAGCATTTTGCCAAAAGTAAGTTTCATATTATATATATTTTTTATTTACTATCCGTAATTATTCATGAAAACTTATTTCATATTAACAGTTCTTCAGAAAGCGTCTCGTCGACTTAGAAACACCCTTGAAAAATTATATCGACGTCTTTACCAGGAAGAATTTGATGTAATCGCATATAGAAAAAGTATGGATTTTATGCCGCTTGATGTTGATTATCAAATTCAGAGAAAAAGGCGAATGCTAGAAGTAAAAATCCAAGATGCTTTTCTCAAGTATTTTTTTATAATGTTCTAAAAAAATTCGCATCACTAAAATCAAATTAATTTTCAGCAAATTTTCTCAATTTCTCGAAATATTGTTTTAATTTTGGCTTTATATGGCTTTTTTGCAATAATTTGCCAAATAATTTAGTTTATTTATTTGGTTATTTAAATTACCATCATTTCATTGCAGATTTATGGCGTCTTTGATGCAAGGTTACACTTCTTATCTGCGGCCTATCCGAAGCGAACCGCGCCAGATTGGTGCCACAGATACTGGATCACTTTTTGATCTTGATGCATTTTTGCGCTCTAGGGATAAGTCAGTTTTTAATACATTGATTTCACTTTCTTATCAGCTATTTTTTGATATTTTCTTTTTTTAAACCTTGAGATGTAATGGAACGAAAACATAAGAAGATAAAAAAGAAGAGAGTTTAATTATTGAATCATTCTTCAAGTTTGAATTTTTTTTGGTATTATTTCATAGAATAAGTTTAGTATATAATATAATACAGGATTTTTTTTTGCATGTCCTCGCTGGAATTCTTCAAACGCTTTAGTGAGACACAATCTTTCAATCGATTTATTGAAGAACGATCGTTTGCTTCAGACAAAAATGCATATAATGCTTTTTTCGATGATTGCATTATCAAATTAAATTCTATGGGTAAGACTTTAGACTTTGTTTTTATTTATTTTCTGTTTCTTTTTTCATTTTTTTAAATATATTTTTACTAAGTGATTTGTTTTTTATCCCTTTGATAGGGTTTGATCTCATGAAATGAGATGTTTGATGATGTTTTATTTATTTATTTATCTTTCAAGAAGACCGTTCCGCAGAGGTTTCTTTTTTGGATATCGATTTATCGAATAGTAATCAAACAGAATTCACACCACCGCTAGAACCAATAATAGATCCGAATAATGAAGAAATGTTATTCAAATATGATCATTTTCCTCGAAAACTCGATCCAGCTTTATTTCAACTTGATAAATTATGTTGTAAACCTAATTTAGATGGCAATTCCGCTTCTGCTTTACCTACAAGTAAGTTTTTTTTTCGTTTTTCTTCAAAATTATAAGTATTTATTTTGAAAAGAAACTTTATTTTCTTGCATTCATTAGATGGTCTTGAAAGTGCTCTTTTCCGTACGAAACAAGAATCGCGAAGTTCTCTTGAAATGGCTGCACACAATATTAACCATTCTCCACTGGCATGGCCAAAAACTTTATTGTTTTATGCTTATTCCATATGGTTCATGTTACTTCCCTCATTATTACAAATAGCGAAATGCAAGCGTAAAATTCTGCGACTCGCTGTTCATGTAAGTTTTTTGTCTTTAAATTTATTTAAATTTTTAAATTTTTAGTTCTATACATTTTGAAAAAAAAATTTCACTTTGTCTTTGTAACAAGGTTTTCATTTGTCTTAGGTTTTGTACCGATTGGAGGAGAGTGGTATTATACCACTGGATCAAGTGTGTTATCGAATTGTGATACAAATGTGTGGTGAATATGACCAGCCATTGCTTGCAGTCAAAGTACTACAGGCCATGCAAGTATCATATTATCATTCCTTATAATTAATGTGTGAAAAAATTTTCATCGCATTTTATAGTATTTTTTATCTAAATTAGTATTTAGTATTGATTTCATCTATTTTTAAATATATGGTAAATGGTTTATGTAGCGCAATGGCTTGGAACAAAATGCGGTAACTTATGGAATCTATCATCAAGCTGTTTTAAAAGCCAATTGGCCTACTGGATGTAGACTTGCTGCTATTAGAGCTTGGAATCGTATAGCTCTAGTATTGCGCGCAGTTATTTTTTTCAAACAAAATCTTACAATGTATTCAGGGCGATCCAATAGTAAACAGGTAATTTATTCGGTTTATTTTTATATTCATCTCGTCATAAATAATAAATAATACACTCTTCGGCTTTTTTTGCTATTACTCATTTCATTCTGAAATTTTAGGCATTAAATAGTAATGATGTGGAGTTAGATATTAGTGGTTCTACAAGCGATGGGAAAAAAACTATACAAGAAAATGAAAATCAGGTTTCCAGTTTTTAAACATTTTGAATTTTTAATAAATAAAGTGATAAAATGAAATTGATCTATGTCTTTTTAAGCTTCAAAATTTTGGTATTCTTTAGAATGACGTGACACCTTCTGTCGAAATTGTATCCAATACGCTTGGAGGAGCATATAATGCGCAATCGATTGATGTAAATTTTTATTCCTTGCATTTCTTTTTATTTTATTTTTATTTTATTTTTATTGATCGTAATATATAAATAAACTTTAAAGTCTATTGAAGAATTTTAAGAGCATTTGTTCTTCACTTCTTTTTAACTGCAGCTATTAAATGCGATTTCGTTCAAAGCAAGTAAAAATTTTATTTATAGAAATTACAGGTAAATGGCGATGCTCTAATTGATCCTCTAGGAGCTCTCTTGCTCAATTCAAATAGTGAAGAAAAAAATTCAGATCTAATGGCAGCAAGAGAAACAATGAGTCCAAGTCGTGCGCGTTTTATCAAGGAACATAGTAGTTCACCTTTCGCTCATGTAAATTTTTTTCTCAGGTGAAAAATAATGGGTGGTAAATATTGTATATATCATAAGATTTCCTAATTATTTCCAATTATTGCCTTTTGATTCTTCGATTCTTTTCACAGTGATTTGCATATTGTTAAAATCTGCTTAAGCATGTTTTAGATAGACTGCTATTTGATTTCATTTAGCAGGACTGATGTATGAAAGATAGAAATGCTTATTCATTTATTATCATTTGATATTTCGTTATTATTTGGTTTATTTTAGTGGAACATTTTATGCAAATTTTTTGGCGTTTTAACATTATAAAAATATGGTGAAAACAAAATACTGAATGAATAAGATAAGATTAAAATCATTTTTTTGACTTGATTTGATTGGTTTTCTTAAATTTTTTCAGTTTTCTATATCCAATTCAACTAGCAGTAAATCTGTTGATAAATCTTCTTCATGGATTCGTGGCATTACTGATCCTCTTGTTAACAAGCTTATGCGAAGCGGCACAATAGGTTAATTTTCCATGAATAATTATAATTCCTCATAATTTGTTAGTTAGTTATAGGAAAAAAAGTTTCACAGCCGTTAAAAATGGTACGTCAGTTATATTCTATTAACAGCTGTTTAAATTTTTCATCTATCTTGTGTTCATTGGTTTTTATATTTGAATTTTACTTTTCCTCTTACAAAATAGAGAATAGGGTAATATCTAAGAATTAAAATAATGTCAATTTAAGATATTTTATTTATTTTCTATATAAAATTGTCATTTTCAGGTAATTATGATTCTACATCAGAAATCAACGATTCATCAATGACACTATCACCAACTTTAACATCTATTGTAACTCATATGAAAAAAGGTTATGGTAGCGCTGTGCAGAATAGTAGTTTCTCATCTCGTTTGAGAGAAAGCGTAAACTCTTTAGTCAATGAAGTACGGAGTCTTAATCGTTCCTATGCTAAAGAAGGAACTGAAAGCAGTTCATCTTCACATAAAGATGATTATGAGGATCCTTTTCAAGTTCGCAGTTAAAGTTTATTTAATCTTATATATAATTTCATATTGCATTATTGAAATTATTTATTTAATTATCTATTTTTATTTTCGTTTTTTATTTTCTCTCGTACTTTTTTTTTTCTTTTTCAGTTGTAATGTCCTTCCATATTTTAGGATGCAGCCATGATAAGCGATTTGTTTATGCTTGACAATGGTATTCCTAAATCGGGTTTAATTTCGGACTGGTGGATCGCTGACCAGTTTGTTGGATCCACTTCCAACACATCAGCTATTCTTGATATCACTGTTGCTTCATGTTCTATGTGTCCGAATTGCAAAACGGTTTTCTTTTTTCCTCTTCTTTAAAAAAATCGTCATATTTATCTCATGTTCATTTTATATTTCCATGATTTTTTGATGTGAAAATCGCGAGCAACATAGTCGAATGGTCTCTTGCTCCGATTTAAGCATCATCATTTCGACTTCCTTTCCACTGTCAGAAATAAACCTACTGGGGGGAAGGGAATAAACCCATTAAAACTTTACACCCAATATTATTTCCATTTCTGACGAAGTGTCCACAAAAAATTCTCAGTCAGTGTAGCATCATATATGTTGAATCCTGTTAAAAAAGGGAAAAATATGAAGACTCATAGAGAATGTGGATTTTATTATCATTTTGCTTTTCTTTTATAGACTGGCATAGATTTTATAGTTTAATTTTTGTTGTTTATGTTGTTTATAATTTTTTATTTTCGATTGTTTACGATGAAGATTTAATGGCTGGATGGGCTATTGATGAATCTAATTTGAACACAACCTGTATTTTTTGCAATTTCGCATTTGTTCCATCGTTGACAATCAAAATACGGCATCAGTCATATGTTCGGCAGAGTTGGTATGATCTATTAATTTTTTCCAGTGATGGCCCGGGAAATTCGGAACAAATATCTACTCCCAGCTCAGATGATCCAGATATCGACGTTCAGTCGCAGATTTCGGTAATAAATTTCTTTTTTTCAGATCTCTTTCCATCTTTTATCTTTCTTTTTTTCTTTTCATTTTTCAAGATTTTTTTCGTTGATATCTGCAATTTCAGGTTCCATTCGTTAGTCCTCTTGTCTTGCGGCGTGAACTTGAAAATCTTTTGAACAATAATTTCTCACTTTCAATGAATAAATCTTTACAACAGTCACATCCAATAGTTTTCTGGAATGTATTGTATTATACACGTCGTCTTTCTCTCCCCACCCATCTTCCTAGTTGGCTCGGTACCAAAGTGCATGTTCGTTGTGTCTATGATGTACCTGAAATACACACGGATAAGCCTCCCCTTTATTTTGTTAATCCCGACCATCCCGTGAGTTTTTTTTCATACTTTTTTTCACGTTAACTTGAATAAATTGTGTTCGAATCTTTTTTTTTTCACTACCTTATTGTGAACCTTGCATTATTTAATTTACCAATAGGCTGGCGTATTTCCTTCCATAAAGCGTCCTGTTGGAGTTTATTGGCATGTGGTTGAAGCATTACAACAGTCAAGTGTGTATCGAGCACTTCTTACTCTTTTAGTGGAGCATCGACATATTGTTGGTGATGTAAAAATTCGTCAGCATTTTCCTTTCTACAGGTTTTTTTATTAACTTTTCTCCATTATAGAGATTTATACTCATCATATTTTGTTGGAATTGTAAAAATCGGTTGTTTGGATATATGAAGGTTCATGATTTATTTTATTTATATATTTTTTAGAGATATACAGTTTTTGGCAGCGGATCGTTACGGTCAAGCAGTTAATAGAGATCAGTTAGATTTGCGATACCGATTTGATTTCGAACGTCTTCCTCCGAGAACTCTATCTGTATTGCCAATTGAAGATAGACCACAAAAGAGTCTTTGTATTGCTTGTCGAAAAATATTTTTGCCGCTTGATCTAATCTAACTAATAAATATCGCCTTAAAATCACTTATTCTTTATGAAAGAAGTTCTCGACTATTTTGCATTTTTCTCTTTGTATTTATTATTTATCTCTTTCCTCTACGGGTCTATAATAATTCTGTGACCTGTTTTTTTAATTGATGTCCATATCAGTGAGATGATTTTTTTAAAATTTTTAAAGAGATTTAACACTTCTGTTTCTAAATTGTATTTGTTTATTTATGTATAATTTACAATATATATACAATATCGTGCATGTTAGATAAATGTGAATTTTTTTCTACATTTTGACTATGATCTCTTATGTGAATTTAAGCTGTAAATAAGCATTGCTATTCAACTATTGCTGTTAAAATTTATTTTTGTTTATTCTTTGTAGAAATAAAAGATAAATCATGATTTCTCGCCATTTTTTTAGGGATTTAGAACCAACAATTTTTCATTTTTCACTTTTCTCTTCTATGAATTTTTTTCATAGTCAGTTGTTTCGTTAAAGAACCCAGGAAGATGAACACTCAATTTGAGGATAGTGAAAAGATAGTATGGCGTGAATTATTAAATAATGGCAATCATATAGTATGAAAAATGTCTCGCTGCAGAAAAATTAAGAAAATCGAACAAAACGGAAGTGTTAGAGGGCCAACTTCGAGATGTTTAGCATGAAAAAACCCTTTTTTTGTCCCAATTTTTCTTAAAATTTTGAAAATCATTTTCTGCGAGAAAATATAGAATTTTGAGTGAAATTAAATTAAATTAGGTTTTTTCTCGAAATCAGAGTTTTTATTAGTATTGATGGTGCTGAAGGAGATGAAAAAGAGCTGGTGGCATAGTACACGGTGTATTGTTTTACCTGAAATCGATTGAGTTCAAGCAAAATTATATTTTTTTACTAAAAATAAAAAAAGAATGAGAAGCCGCTTGTATTTTTATCTATGAGCAACATAATACTCTCACATAATAGTAATAGTCTTAGTAGTAATCATTGGAGTTAAGCAAGTATTGTGCACTGTTGTAAGCAGCAAGAACAGTATTCACTGAAAGGCATAACCAAGTAGCTGGTATCTGCACGGTATATGGCTTAAATTCTACCAAGATTAAGTGGGAAATTCCTTAGAAGATCGTGGAGAATTGTTTTATTTATTGTATATTTATATATATGATTGCAGATAGTTTATGAATTCAATTTTAAACGATGAACTGTGATGATAAAGCAAATGATAAAGCACTTCGTAAAACGCGATTTATGAAAGGATCGAATGATGATCGAATTAGAAATAGGTTTGCTCTAAGTTTTTTTTCAACTCATATTTTGTTGGTTTAATTATAAACGAACGAAATTAATCATTGCAATTCAGAATCTTAAAAGCACTTATCATTATCAGTTTTTTCTGGAAAAATAAATTTACTTTATGCATCATTAAGTCAACTATAAGATAAAAGATACTGCCGCGAAATGACGAAAACAAAAAGGCTATTATGAGGTAAAAATGGAAAATGGATTCGAATCAACAGTTTGCCTTATCAATAAATTAAGTGTCGTTCTTTCAAAGATCAATGAAGAAGAAAGATAAGGCAGTATTCTTTAAAATAGAATGATGTATCGAAGTTCACTGGCATGCTGAATAGCAAATCATCAAAGGGAATTCAGATATATAAAACTATGGCAATTCATGAAGAGAGTAAAAGGAAAGTTGGACAAGGGTCAATGAATTGCAAAAAACACAAAAGATGATACGGTAATGTCCATGAGTGACCAGTGAAAGAAGTGAATTCTCGTAAGCGGGGCCTAAGAAAAGTGGAAGACCTCAAAAATAGCCTTTCCCTCTTTACAGTTTCGCGATAGATGCAATATGGTGGTTAATAGCGAAAGGTTTGTTATAGCCAAAAAAATTTTTGAAAAATGCACGAGGAATTTTTTTAGTGAAAATATTTTGATCGCTGTATATGAACCCGATCTACCTGTTCTCAAAATTATACAAAACCGTGTAAGTTCTTTTCTTTTTTAATATTTCATTTTCTTTTCCTCCTCTTACCATTTCTAGAGTCATTTAGGGGTAAAAGTATATAGAGTTATTTACGGATATATTCTCACTACCACCCTGGTTCCACTTTATTTCAAGCAATATTTGAACTCTTGCTTGTTGTCATAACATTTCGTCCATCCTCCTTCTTCCGTTGAACAAGTAATTTTTTCCTTTTTTCACTAAAGCTTGTTGTAGACTATGGCGATTATCTTACATTATGTATTTTCAGACATCACGTACGGCAACAATGGGATTACCATACAAAGGTAGTCACTATTTATTTCCTGAAGAAGCAGTGTGGTTGATGGAGGGAGCGTTTTGCTTAGTATTTAGTGATCAATTACCTCTTTCGGTGCAGCAAGGTAAATATTTTACAGGTCTTTGCTATGAATTGCATTAAAGTAGCATTGCTATTAACTCTAATAAGATTTATTATAAATAAATAAATTAAGATTTCAAACGAAGAGTTATAAAATTATTCTTTGATTGTCTTGCAATTTTCTAGCTGATTTTTGTAGTGATAATTTATTGTAGATAATTTTTTTTTTTCTTTAAAGGTTATTATATACTCGAAGATAAACAAATTTCACCCGCTAAATACAATGTTTATTGTTATTTAAAACGCGCCGGATATGTATTACTTCCACATAAGTAACTATTTTTCTTTCATTTCCTACATTTCTTGTAATGATATACTATTTGGATTTCGATTCAGGTCTTATTTTCTTATGATTTGACCCGGTTTGAGTTAAATCGCATATCATAGCCTGTAATTGAAAAAATAAGAAGCTATAAGGTTTGGTTTGTTAATTTAATCGCAACAGTGGTAGTTAGAGCAGTTTATTTTAGTCAAAATGTTGCCTTGGCTTGTTGTTCTAAATTATGAAGAATTATGAATGAATTATTGCTTTTTCCTATTTGGCTTGAATATAATTCTCATCTTTATCATTGAACAATAATTTTAGTACCAGTTTTATGATCTTGGATTTTTCTTGTCTTGTGGATTTTATATTGTTTATGATTAGAAGAAATAAGTCATTTCTATCTTTTCTACTTATTTCTATCGCCGGGTTTTTAATAAATTTAGATTTTGAAAAATTTCCCACTTTCGATTTTCTCTTTATTTATTTAGTTAAAATTTAAAATTTAATTCGAAAAGGAGTATTTTTTTTTAGATTGAAACCAATGTGCAATACAAGAATAAAATTATGATTTATACGGATTTTTCTTTTGAAGCAAGAAAATTTCAAAAATAATTTAGAAGTGATTTATTCTTACGATTTTCAAATATGAAATATTTTATTTTTTCTATTGCAGTCGTGCTAAAATCTGTGAAAGATTAGGCGAATGTTTACGCTTACGTATGAAGTGTTCTGTTGTGGTCGATGAACAACCAATTGCGAGATTCCCTTCTTATTTATTAGATCGTTTTCCCCATATTACATCTGAGAAAATATCTATGACATCAATAAATTCAGTTTTTCTAGAGAATTTTAATATTTCATCCAATTTTCCCCAGTCACGACTTCTTTCTTACCTCACAACGCCTGAATATCGTTTTGAAGCCAACAAAAAGATGAAGGTTCTTTTATTTTTTGTAAAATTTTGCTTTTAACTTTTTATTTTTTAAGTCACTTGTTGTTCATTCATATCGCTGTGAAATATTGAAAAAGAAAGTGGTTGGTTGTATTAAATTGCTGTAATTTGATAATGGACTCTAGTTGATATGATCATAATTCTCTCTAATTATTTGCTAGGAAGGCAGAAATTTTTTTAAATTCTCTTTTTAATATTTTAAGAAATTTGATTTTCCTGTTGATTGATTGTCAATTATAATGAATTAACTACATTTTTTCACTTAGAATTCAAACTATTAAAGGAAGAAATTCGACCAAGGTATTGGCCAAGTTTTGAAAAATTGGTTAAAGGTTCGAAAAGCTGGGTTGAATATCGCGAAGAAAGGCGAAAAATTTTGGAAGAAAAACAAATATTATCCCATGAAAGGTGGTGTTCTTTAAATCTGTGAATTAAATAAATTGGTGCTGCTTACCATTAACTGATGCTGCATTAGCGATATACTTTGTTAATAGCAGAGAAAAAATTATTCAAAAGCTGGTTCCCCAAATTTCGTCAACTTTTTCTAGAATTTTTGTTCATTCAAAGGATTTTTCAAAGAATTTCGATGATATTAATCATTTGTTAGTTATGTTATTTTTTGTGGAAAATCATCTCGGCGCTATTAGAATTAACAAAAGGAATTGATGAACTTGCACTTTTTTCTATGGATTTTTTTACGAGAAAAAATATTGTGGCTTAAATATTTTAGATAATAGGAATTTAAGGACCAGGAAAATATTGGAAATTTGAAATTTGAAATTTTGAAATGAGATTTTAAAAAATTTATTCGATATTTTTTTATAATTTTTTTCAATGCTATATTTTTTATTCATTAAAAAATCATTCGCTTTATAAGTTTTTTATTTTTGATCTTAAAAGAATTTTGAAAACTTAAATAATGAAATCTTAAATATTTCAAAAATAAAGAAAAAACAATCTTTATATATAGCAACAATATTAAACAATATTTTACTTATCACACAATTAGGATATACAATAACTTATTCTTATTATTCTTATAACTTATTCTTCGGATAACTTGCGAGATTTCTGGATCGTTTGAATACTTATGGTAAGCCATTTCCAAATTCGTGGTCCTGATCATTGCTGAAATTAACTTAGTTATTGCGGTTGGAAGAGGTGAAATTAAGTAAAAATTATTAGAATCTGAAAAGCTGTGAAAAAAGAAAAAATTAAGTTATCATTAAAATTAAAATTTATTATTAAGTTAAGTTATCATTAAAATTAAAATTTAAAATTATCAATCTAAATCTGTTAAATCCTATAAAAATCGGCTTATTTTTTCCTTATTTTTAAAAAATTTTACTTGCAGAGACGATGTTATGGTCGATTATGATATATATACAAGTATCGGTTACTGTCATACATTCCCACCGACTCCGTTGTATGGATTACGAATAGTGGAGTAAGTAGAGTGGAGCAAAATTTTTTTATATGAATAAGTTGATATATATATATATATTTTCAGCAATTAATGCCTCATTTGTTATTTATAAATAATTTAAAATTGATTTATCATTTTTATTTTTTAATAAATTTCTTATTTTTCATTTTTTTAAAAGTTAGAAATCCATTTTAATTTATTCAAATTTCAATTTATTTAGATTTTTAGATTTTGAACATTTAAATTTTTAAATACGTAATATTAATATAAATATTTTTATATTTTAAATTATATTGTATTTCAATATTTAAATTTTCAAATATTTGAATATGTAAATTTTTTATGTTCAAAATTTTTTGATTTTAAGAAATTTAAGAAAATTAAAGAAAAGAAATTTGATATTTAAACATCTTATGGAATATTTCAGTTTATTTCTTTATTAAACTAAAAACATTGAGTATGAAACATTTATTTCTCGCCTGTTCGAAATTTAAATTTTTTCATATCAAATTGCTTCTCTTGCAAATAATATTTTATGTTTTGTACTGAAATTTTAGTAGTTCACGTGAAAGTTTGCCATCAGTTTTGGAACTTCAACAGCTCAGTGCTCGAATATCGCCAGCTTCATTGGTGATTTCACTTGTACAATATGCTACAATCACGTTTTACATTGCTAATGTTAATGGTTTGCGGGTGATAAATATGTAATAATTTATTTAATTGACATGGCATTATTGATCATCATACTTCTCGTTGTTTTTCGTATTATTGCTGGTCTTGCCGGTTATATTTTGGCGTTTTGAATAGTAAATTGGAACGATTTTGATGGATAGCCTCTTAAAATTAGGTGTACTGCATCATGTTTCAGATTTCTAATGGTCGATCGAGTCCGTATATTGTCATCATTTACTGTTTCAACGGTGATTTTTGATGGTAGTAGATTTATTGTTATCAATATTAAATCGAACTTCCTTGCTTTACTTTTTGCTTTCAAATGATGCAATATACGACTCGACTGTCGTGCGCCCACACGTTATAAATCATTCGATACTAGTCTTAAAATTGATTAACATAAAATAATAAAACGAATGCATGGAGAAAATATAGACGAGTGTTAAACAAGTTGCAAAAGAATTCCGTCAATCATCCGTGAGCATAAAGCATTTGATTGAACAGAAGTAGAATTATCAGCATCATCATCGTCATCATTAGCAAATATCATCATCATCAGTAAGCTAAAACAGCAAATGGCTGGCCATTTCTGATTATTTTTAGAGTGTAAGAGAAAAGCTTTGTTTAGAGCAAACTAACAATGAAGCAGAGAGAGAAATTTTTGAGGTTGGAAGATATTGGTGCTATATTGAAGAAGATGCAGAAGATGTTGTAAAAAGTTTGAAGAGATCGAAAACAGGATTTGTGATGATCATTGCTTATTGAAATAGCACCAGCGCCTAGCTCATCTGTATGTGAATTCATTCAAAATTGCCTTAGTCATGCCGGGAGCTCCTCGTTTCACGCAAAAACCATCAATTCAACAGACTCCACAAGGAGATCTTTTAATGGAATGCCATCTCGAAGCTGATCCTCCACCTGATATTATTTGGCATCACGCTGGAACTCCGATTTCTGCTGGACCTCGTGTTCTTCTCTCATTGACTAATTTACAGGGCAATTCCTATAAAGCTAATCTTATTATTAAAGTAAGCATTTTTCTTTTTTATTTTATTACAAACAATTCGATTCTCATAATAATCAAAATAATAGAAAGTAAAGTCTTAATTGCGAATTTTCAAATGCAATAAAATATTTTGCTAGGATAAAATAAGATAAGAGGCATAAGCGAAAAGGTTGATAAGATGATAAGGTAGAATAGACTGAATTTTTCTATATCGTAGTTGACGTGTTATTTTGATGATTTTAAAGAAATCCGACAGTGGATAAAGTTGTAATATATCATTTTGGATTTAAATTTGGATTTATCACACATATATTAGACGGATTATGGTTAATTAAAGCCGTTTATCTTATCTTTATCTTATCATCTATTAAAATCATCTACTAAAATTTAAAAAACACCATATAAAATTTCTAATTTTAAATCCTCACTTTTTTCGTTAAATATTTTAAAAACGCTTAATGGAAAGTGGAAAAAATTACAGAGAAAACTAGTTGGTAAAAATTTGATATAAAGTGGTTCTCTATTAAAAATTATCCACTAAAATTTATATTTTCTTTTTTTTGCTTCATTTTCTAAAACTCAAAAAAATTTCGGAAATATATTCAAAAATTTTAAATTTAAAATTTTGCTTTAAAAAAAATCGTTAATCAAAAATTTATTCGAAAATTTTCTGGAAAAAATTGATGAAATTAAAAATATTTTGAAAGGGAAGATTGTATTGAAAAAAAGGAAGTTAAATGATAATCAAATGATAATCAAAAGGAAATCAAATCTATAAAATCTTAAAATTGAAGAAATATTGAAATATTTATAAGAAATGAAAGGATTTGTGCTGAGATTACAATAATTTTGAAGAAATAATTTGGCACGTTATTATTGTGATTGTGTTAAAAGTTATTTTGTATTGTCTCTAAAATTTGATAAAAAAGTACTTAGCAACCGACGATAACAATGATGGATGTGATTGGAGCGAGATAAGGATGAGTTGAGGTGAATCTTAGTAAACTGCAAATTATGCTTTAAAAAAGAACAATGACGAACCGAGAAAAAGAAAAATTTCTTAGGAAATTAGCAATTATTTATATGTCGATAGGTCCTAAGGCATGTTTTAGTGATGGTGATTATCGAACTTTTTTCCACGAATCTGACAAATCCATAAGCTTGTAGTATAGAAGACCACTGTGTTAAACTAATTAATTTAAAAATAAATAAAAATTGTAAACTATTATCGGATTATGCATAAATAAGTAGCCAAAAATGAGTGATTAACTTGTGATTAGACCTTTTTTGTAGTGTTTTTTTTAAGAATTGAGACTTAACTGTTGGGATTCTTCTCCTCACTAAGGACTCTTTGACCAAAGATTTTTACTCTAATTTTCCAGTGGACACAATGAAACCACAGCTCACTCTTGCGTGAAGAAAGAAACGATATTCTTTTATCGATAATTTAAATTTTTTACCACTTTTATGAATAAAAATTGCAGTTGCTGATTTTAATAATTACCACAATATTTCATGTAATTAAAAAATGAATTTTGCAAAGCCATAAAAAATTTTCATCGAACTATTATAAGGTAGATTCTTTTGCGAAAATTAAATTGGATTCAATCGAACAATAGGAATTTAAGGAAAATTCAAAAATCCGAGAAAAAAAAAGCGATTGTTTTATTCCAACAATTTAAACTATTATTTTATTTAATATTTATCGTTAAGAGAAATTTTTAACAAATATTATTAGAACATATAACATATAAATTATATATATGTTAAGATATATTAAAGAAATATTGGAAATATTTTTTTAAGGATCCAAACGTTGGTGATGGTGGTGCATATAAATGCACCGCAACGAATCAATTCGGTGAATCAAATGCAAATATTAATTTGAATTTTGCAGGTATTGTCTATTGTCTATTTAAATCAAATATTAAAAAAAGAAAAAAAAACAATATTAGAAGGGAATACAGAAAATATTTTATCTAAATTATATTTTATAATTTTATTTTAATTTTAAAAAATTAATTAAAGTAGGAGTTTGGAATGACTTTTGTGATTAATTGCTCAGCTGTAAAGAATTTTAAACTTTTTAGATTTATTAAGAAAAATTTAAAAAAAACGCTGATCAAAATTTTTAAATTTCAATTAGACTGTTTGCTGCAATAGTTTGAAATTTTTGCTAGGATACATAGCAATAAAAGTAAAAATGGTTCACTAATATCATATCATTTCTTAGTGATAAGGATTGACTTACGCCTGCCTCGGAGATAAGGCAAAATGGCTCAATAGATTATCGCTTCATTCCGGAACGCCTAACATGAATAAATCAGTCTTTCAAAATTGGGGACAATGTCTGCTGCGTATACTTCTATTGCCAAATGGCAAAAATGGCAAAATTTCTCTGGTCCGATAAGTCAGCACAATAAGTCTTATAGTGGGCGCTCTTAGAAAAAACATAGGATACGGATATGAAGTCTGGGCCCAACTCATATTCTAAGCAACTAACTGTTCGATTTTACAGTTTTTACATATTTTGAATTCGATTTTACAGTTTAACTGTCCACGCTGCAATCTCATTTCTCATGGATTTTATAATAACCCTTTGTTATTTTGAATTCGATTTTACAGTTTAATTGCCGTTTATTATTAATATTGTAATTTTTATATTTATAATTTTTTACTAACCATTTATACCATTTTTCAATGCTAAATACTCTTAAATTAAATTTATATTTTAATTTTATATTTAAATTTTTTCATTTGTTTTTCAATTTTATTAATAAATTCTAAAATTCTAAATTTATAAATTCTAAAATTTTCAAAATTTTAAAATTTTTATTTATTTTTTAATTTTTTATTTATATTTTTATTCAAATTTTTATCTTTATTATCTAATTTTTAATATTATTCAAAAATTTTTGATAATTGAAGAAAAATTTAAGTTTTCCGAAAAACATCGAATAAATAAATATTTAACCGTTGACGGAATGTTTTTTCATAGTGTTTTAATTTTAATTTTAGTTGGCTCATAATTTTAGTTTTCCAACTATAAAATCAAATTAAATTAAATTAATTAGTAAGATAAAGAAAAGAGAAAAAATTTAGGATAAATACATCGAAAAAAAATTTAAAAGTTTTTTCTTATCATTTGGCTAAATTCACTAATCGTTGATAAATATTTTCTAAAATCCATCAAAAATTCATCAAGAAATATAAAAAACATGGAAAATCTGAGAAAAAAATTGGATTTTTTTTCGAATTTTGCTGCTTTCTTGTCTTTTATTGCATCTATATACTTAAACCTTGCACTAAAATTGTTCGTCATTTGTTAAAGCCGATTAGATAGCTCATTAGACCAGACAACTTGCCTAATAAGTCATTTGACAATAGAAGTACAGATGAGTCGGTAGCATCAGTTGGATTTTTGGAGAAGAAATTTATTCTTATTAAAAATAGAACTCGAGCATCGTTGAGAAATTCTCTAGGCCGCTGTGGCATTCCACAGCAATTTTATAATTGTAATTATAGTTTTAAATAGTATTTACATATATACTGAATCTCTATAAGCGAACTAATTTGTCGGTCCTTCATTTACTATCGAAATTAGTTTAAAATAAAGTTATACTATTCTATGAAATACCGATAGAATACAGAAGTAGGCAGTATTATCAAGCAGTCAAGCAGTGTGAATGTTATTTTGAGCAAGCAAGGCGAAGACCTTAATTCTTATATTTTGAGACTATTCCGTATTAAAACCAATGAAACTAGTGCGCTACTGGGAATTCACTTGTGCTTCTTTCTCCAAGTGATTTTCTGTTCCCGAGGACGATAGCCAAAGCTAAAAATGGTGAAAGCTATTAGAGAACGAAGAATACATTAGACACTGAACGATTTACTTTTATTCTTTCTAATGAATCCGGGTGATGCTGGCGACTCACCTGTACTTCTATCGCCAATGGCATATTGCTTAATGTGACAAGCCAGTGGAGCGAATTTAACCAATACTGGTGAGAACTCTTAAAAAAAAAACTTTCTAATGAATGAAAAAAAAATTTCCAAGATAACTATAATATTGTGGATTAATAATTATTTTTTTATCTTATATTGCTTACTTTAAATGATTATTGACAAAAAAAATAAACGACAAAATTGATTAATTGATTAGTATTTTCCTATTTTTTTTAGTTTGAGAAAAATTTTTTACCAACGATTCACTTAGCGATAGACGTACAATTAGCAAAACGCCAAGATTTCTTTATTTTCTCTTGCAATTTATCATTTTATCAAAAAAAAAGTTCCGAGTTCAATTTATTAGCAATTAATATGATGAATTATTAATTGAAATATAGTTGTTCATATTAATATTTCCTCCATGAACTAAGCGGATAGCCATTAATCGAATTTCATCCAAAAAATCTTAAATTTTATGCTAATGTTTTCTTAACGAATACTAATTAATTATTAAATTAATTTAATTTATATAAGTAAATAATTTAATTATTAATTATTAAAGACAAATAATTATTTATACAAATTGATTAAATATTTCGTTCGAATATTCATTCATTAAAATATTATTTTTAATAAATAATTCGAGAATTTGAACTGAATAACTATAACAATTTCATTTCCACCTACGCTTTCAATAGATTGTGTAAAAATGAGCTTTGTTGACCAACTAATTAATATAAATAAACCATGTGTGTAAATTTATATTCATTGCTATCGATTTAATTATAATTGTAATAAGATAATTATTTAATTATTGGATTAAATTAAAAAAATAATTCATATAATTCTTGAAAGAAATTTAAGGCGCTGGCGACGAAAAAGCGAAAGGACCAACATTTCTCAGTAAACCGAGAATTATACCTAAAGATGATGGCGCTCTTATACTTATGGAATGCCGTGTAAAAAGCGCAACGAGGCCAATCACTGCATGGTTCAAAGATGGCATTCCAGTTCAAGAAGGATCTTTGTATAGGATTGTTTTATCGGATTTGGGCGACTCATCCTATCTTTGCTTATTAGAAATACATGTTATCTTTTTGAATGCTTATTTCTGGACTAATATAATTGAATTATCAAAAATCACGAAATCACCATAAAGACAAAATTCCGCGTCCATATAGCTACGAAGCATGGCCAATGAGAATGGAAGATATTAAGAAGCCTTTGACCACTCATGTCTAAGGTACATTCTACGAATCCGCCGAGCAGATAAAATCGCACATGATTGTGTCCACCTTCGCTCAAATATCACTTGCATTAATAATATTATCACAGATCGTCGCTGGTTAGAATACGTTCTCCGTCGTCCACCACAGGAGTTGACTCATATTTCGTTATTTGCTAAACCCTGTGATGGTTCGCGTCAAAAGAGAGGAGTACCAGTCAAGACCTGGACTGATACAGTCCGGAAAGATTTTAAAGGTATAGGGAGACCAGCGATGGACTTAGATGATGGAAAAAGGAATGGTTTCTATTACTATTAGTGATGGCGTCGGAGCGGGCGTTTTACTCTTGTAGCCAACCTAACCAGTAATGGTGAGAGTAGTCAGAAGAAGAAGAAGAATTATCAAAAATATAATTTTATTTAGAAAAAGTTTAATTCTACTATTATAAATTTACTTTAAAAAATATATTTAAAATTTATATTTAAATATATTATAAAATATAAAATATACAATATAAAAAAATATAATTAAAATAAAAAATATATTTAACCTATATTTTAAAATTTAGTAATTATGCAGTTTTCTCTTATTCTTTTATTTAAGTAAGCAAAGTTGGGGTTCATCGTTTCAGATTAAATTAACCAGCTAAAGTGACTAAGGTGAAAAATTGGCAGAGAGTCGTTTAATTCGCAATGAACAACTCGTCGCTTAGGGATGATAGGAATGAATGCAATCAGTGCGGCTCGAAAATTTATATTTACTTTGATAAAATTTGATTAACAGATTGATCAATCAAATTTGAAATTAAACATCCCTAAGCAAACACAACAAATTATCACTCGGCGAATAAATTTCAAATGAAAAAGCGCTTTTTTTTTTAATTTCGCTAAATAATTTAATAATTTAAGCTTAGATCGCAATGGATCTCATAAATTGTAACATTTTAACATCCATTAGATGAATTTTCCAAAAAAAAATTTAAATAATTTAAATAATCAAGAAAGAAATTCAATGAAATTTTTATAAATTTAAATATTTTATAAATATTTTTTTCCACTTCAAAAAATTTTTAAAATAATTTTTCAAATTTTATTTTTAGTAAATTTTTTCAAGTTATTTTCGCATAGAACCATAAAACTTTAGCTGAAATTTAATATTGATAATGAAATCCATTTATCCTAAATTCTTTTATTTCCTTACCGTATACCGTATATAATTCTTACAGAATCCTTCGACGAGCGATGCGGGACAATATCGATGTAATATAAAAAACGACCAAGGTGAAACAAATGCGAATTTATTGTTAAATTTTGAGCAGGATGAAAGCGAACCTCAACAAGAGAAGAGTCATGGAAGAAAATCGCCTCGAGAGAGAAGAGAAAAAGAATCAGCTTCACCACGATCAGGCAAAAAATAATTTACATTCGCTTCTGCAGTTAATCTGCTCAAAACAACCCACATGAATAGTTTGCGAAATCATTTTCTTGCATTTTATGTGGGAAAAAAAAATTATTTTTAAATTATTTTAGAAATAAACAAGTAAATAAATAAATATATAAAAAATTTATTAGGGACACCAAAAAAAGGGCTGAAATCTCGTGAAGGTACACCAAAGAAATCACTAAAATCTCGTGAAGGAACACCTAAAAAGTCAATGCGATCGAGAACAGCGACACCTACGCAAGAAATCGAAATGGCAGGTATTGAAAATGGCGCATTAAAACCACCAAAGGTTGAAAAAGTTGAACCGATGGAAGTCGACGTTTGTACGTTTTTCTTTCAGGCTGATTAAAATTCGCTATTTAAGTCCAGAAAAACAAATAATTTTGAAAAATTTCAATACCAAAAAACTGCGACTAAGTTTAAAATTTAAATTTTTATGATTTTCGAAATTACCGGGCATTTAAATGAATAAAAAAGTCCAAAAATTTTTAAATTGAATATAAATTTTAGAAATGCAAATAAAAAAATTTAGCACCAACGAAAAGAAAGAGTGATGCCGCAGCACTTGCACCAAGTGGTGAAAAAAGACCACGCGAAAAAAGTGCAAGTCCTCGACCAAAGAGTCCACGAAGACATAAATCGAAATCAAAATCTCCAGCTCCCCGAGAAATGAAGCAGCCTCCAATTATTATAAATGCGCTTAAATCGAAGGTACATATTTTCACAAATATAAATTTTTAAATTTTAGAATTTTTACTAGAAATTGACAAATCGGAGATTTACTTCAATCACTTCTGATCACTTTCTCTCAACCCTTTATAGAATAATAAATACGTATTTATTTTTATATATATTATGATTTTTATTGCTATTTTGCAATTTAAGAATTTATAAACCAAAATAAAAAATACAAGACAATAAAAGAATTTTAACAAATAATGAATATTCAGTTGAAATCGAATTAAAGAAAAAGAAATTATAGAAGTTTTATTCGTGAAAATCAGATTAATATGATGAAAAACTCCATAAATTTTTTTAAAGATTTTAGAATTCACAAATTCACATCACACAATTAAAGTTATATATAAATTTAAAGTTATCACTAAAAGTAACCACTGAAGTTCCACTTATAAGCTCGTATTATTCACCATCTTCATTATCGTATTTAGTTGCAAATGTATAATTAAAGATTGATAATTGATAAATTTTTTTTTCGAAAGATTGGTAACGCTTTTTATGATGAAGTTATTAGATTTATATATACCACTATTCTAATGAAATAATCACTAAAAGTTTATCCCGGGCTGTGTAAATTTTTAGGATTGCTAGGGTTAGAAACATTGGTTCTTTCAAGCATTTAAAGTAATCTTTTTAATATAAAAAAAAATTTTAGAATTTTATTTTTGCCTATTTTATTTTATTTATTTTCCACTTTTCTATTTAAATTTATTGATATTATCACTGATATTTGTTGATTGATTAAAAATATATTTGTTGATCATTTGCCAACATTAAATGAGTTTATTTTTCCGTTTTTAAATTTTTGCTCATATTTTTTTTAAAAAATAAAGAGAGGAATACTTTAAGATTATTTGTTTTAAAAATAATTGCGAGAAAAATTTTTGCTGCGAAACCCTAATTTTTTTCTTTTTACAGAAAGCTCATCAAGGTGAAACTGTTGTATTAGAATGTGAACTACAGTGTCATCGATCGACGAAAATTACTTGGTTCAAGTAGGCTTTTAACAAAATAAACTGATAAAATATGATTTCTCTTTTCGAATAGTGCTAGAGGCTTGTGTCTTTATCCTTAGGCAATTCTTTGGTAACAAAGCACCAGAGACATTGGTGGAATCGATCAAATCAGTCTTAGAAAAAACAAACCGTCCAAACCAAAAATAACGAATAGTGTTTTTAGGAGGAGAATATCTATATTCATTGGAAATAAAAAATGCCATTTATTATTTTTTTTCCACAAATTATTTCCATTTTCCTTCATTGTTTGTCTATTAAATTTTTTTTTATTTTCCTAACTTTTCTTTTAAAAGTGGAACATTTTAATTATTTAATGACAAACGTCGGGCAGCTGCTATTTGTTTCATTTTAATCATTTTAATCATTTACACTGTGGAAATTGATGGCATAAAAATTTATTTATGCATTTGTACTTTTTTAAAAGAGATGTTAATTTTTTCAGAGATGGCCGACTAGTTGAGCCAAATGCAGATTTTAAAAGCGATTTTGATGGGCGTTTCGCAAAATTAACCATTAATAAATTGACTAGCGATAAATGTGGTTCATACAGGTGCATAGCAAATAGTGATTATGGTGAAACAAAAACTTCAGCATCGGTCACATTAGATTCAACTGGTATTAATTTACGCAACATAAAAATTTATAGAAATAATCGTAGAAAATCGCTAATCATAATGAAATCTCATCGAGTAGCACAAACAAATTTCGCTTATATTATTGTTACTGAAATAAGTTTTTATTCGATATTAATTTAGTTGAGAAAAAAGTTGTGCCTGAAATCGACATTCAAAAAGTTGAAACAAAAAGCGCAAAAGCTGAAACAGAAGTAAAAAAATCAGCGGACGATTCGAAATTGACTGATAAAAAAGCGAAAAAATCCAGTCTTTTGAAAGATAACAATAATTTGAAATCGGAAATGGAAAAAGATAACGAAAAAAAGGTTAATTCCTTAATTGAGAATAATTTTAATCATTGACAAATCTATTAGATTATTAGAAAATTTCTCAGAATAAGACAATAAAATATTTTATCTTAAAAAACTTTAAAAAAACTGTGTGAACGATGGAATTTAATGTTTTGTTTGCTTTAGGGAACAATTAATATCGCCCATTCTTTTAAATAAAATAAACCATCCATTAGAAGTGATAAGAATGGATGCTACTACTTTAACAATTCTAGAAATCCATTTTGTCATTGATAAAGTAGTTCCTTGAATTTCCCCCTAAGATAACTGATATCTTTGCTTAAATCGTTTTTTTTCCCTTGGATAAACAATGATTATTTTAGCGAACTGTTTCGCCAAGGCCTTCAATAACGAAAGAGGAAAGTGATGAAGTAAGATTTGATTTGATTTCATTTCGATTTTATTAATAAAATCTTAATAAAATAAAAATTCTATCGAAATTTTTGTTAAACATTGAAAAATTATTAAATAAATCACTAAATAAATAAACTCAAAGTGGAAACAATTTTTCTTAAATTTTTAAATGAAATTTACATTAGAGAGAATAATTTTTATATAATAGAAAATTTTTAAAATAAAAAGAATAGAATAAAAGATTAATGAAAAAACATCTTTTTTTAATTTTCCTAATTTTTTAATTTTTAATTTTCTTTTTAATTTTAATTTTCTGCTAATTTAAATTATTTTATACGAATTTTTTATTTAATGATCCAATTATTATTATTATTGTTATTATTATTGTATCATTATTATTATTGCGTTGTCCGTTGAATTGCGTATAAAGAATTAGAAAGATAGATACAATGATGTAAAAAAATAACCTTATTAGAAGACAATAGTTTTATAGTTATCATTGATAAATGTTTAGGAATCACAAGCAAATGATGGAATACCATCTTCTGGGTTAACTATACCTCAACACTTGAGAGCAAAACTAATGGGCCAAATGACTGAAAGCCAGTCAATGACGATTGGCGATTCAGAAGACGAAATGACAGAGTCGATTTCTGAACTTCCATCAATAACCGTTCAGAAAGCGAAGAAGCGACCATCAGCGGTCAGTTGTAGTCCGTTTCAATTTTGTGGTAATTTGAAAAAATCGCGAAACACGACAAAATAGCGAGTTCCCGCTCTTATTTAATTAATAATTTACATCGAGATTAACACTTATTTTGGGAAAACAATCAAAAAAGGACCGAAATAAGACCTTTAAAAAAAATTTTAGATGGCCGATCAAGCGATTGGTAAAAGATTATCGCCGAGACCAAGTGAAAATGAAAATCGCGCACGGGTTAATTTTTTTAAAACAATTGTTATTATTTTTTCTCACCAATGAATAATATTCTTTTATTATAAGTCATCAAATCTTGATTATATTAATAGCTTTTCTAGCGACGAAGTAGCATTGATATGCGCCAAGAGAATTTCCAGAGTCTTATAGATAAACCATCGACTCCACTCGTTGCAAGCGGTCCTGTCGGTCCACCCCATATCGTTGAAATACCTGAAAGTGTCACAGTTGGTGAAAGTTCGTTATCCATTTATTTGTCCTATTTTCTTTTAGATAATTCTGAACTTTTAAAAAATACGGCATTTGTCTTAAGAATAGGTCAAATTAAATCAATGAAGATTTATAACTGAGCTATGAAAATGATAACTTTTCTATTCAACCAAAATTTACTCAAGTGCATTTGAAATTACAGATGATACAGCTGTGATAAAGTGCAAAGTAGAAGGCAATCCTGTGCCAACATTCAAATGGACGAAAGGATTGCGCGAAGTAAGAAATTTTCCGAATTAAAAATCTTTTTGCTTGGCTCACCGATAAATTTTAAATTATCTTAATTGATGAATGAATAAAACGATTTGGGAAAAAAATCGAATAAATGAACCAAATTTAAATAGAAATATATGATAAAAAGTGATAAAAAATTTATTTGCTTCACTTTTTTATCAATTTTTTTCAAAAAAAACTATCTTATCTTAAAAATTATCTTAATTTTAATTTTAATTTTAAACAATTTCAAGTAAAAAGTAAAAATATGTTAAGTTGATGAGTGGAGGCAGAATAAAAGAAACAACGGATAGCAATGGAACAATCACCTTAATAATGCAAAAATGCCGATCGCAAGATGATGGACCATACACGTTAACTATTGAAAACGAACATGGAACTGATTCTGTAACTGTGAAACTTCTTGTTACTGCCTCTGAACCTGGATTAGATTTCAGAGCGAAATTGAAGCATAGGTATACCTCTGCATTTTCAGTCAGACAGGCACTTTATTTGAAAATTTGAAAGGATTATCAAAAATGTTTATTGATAACGAAAATGATTGCATAATCATTCAGAGAATCGTCAATGTCAACTAGAGACGATTCATTATCGGCAAAAGGAAATGAAAGGCAAATGAGTGAAGCAGAAAGAAGGCAATCTTTATTTCCGGGTAAAAAATTAGAGAAATGGGAAGTTCCATTAGAGGATAAAACTGTTCAGCAGCAAGTTGATAAAATATGTGAATGGAAATGTACATATTCTCGACCAAATGCGAAAATTCGATGGTATAAGGATAAAAAAGAAATATTCAGCGTATGTTGTTTGTTAATTATATTTGAAAAATTTTATATAATTTTATAAATTTTATATTTATCAATCAACTATGATCAATTATTTAATGCTTATAGGGTGGATTGAAATATAAAATAGTTATCGAAAAAGCTGTTTGTACTTTGATTATAAATAATCCTGAAGTGGAGGATAGTGGCAAATATACGTGCGAAGCAAATGGCGTACCTACTACGGCAATATTAACAGTAGAAGGTTCGCATAACTAAACAAATTCTTTAGTATAGCATTAATTTTAATTTTAAATTTTATTACTAAATTTCAATCGATTTTTAATTTTCTTAAACTTGAAATAGTTCAAGAACATTGTTGTTATATATATTGCAGCTTTTTGGCTGTTTTTTTTCAACTGAAACTTCAATTTTTCATTCCAATCTTTAAGAATAATTTATTTGAATCTATTTTATTTTTGATCAACTTTCGATATTCATTTTATTTTATTTAAGAGCCACCAATGAAATATAATTTTATTAATCCTTTACCAAATACGCAAGAAATTTATCGAACCAAACAAGGAATCCTTACTTGCAAAGTCAACAATAAACGAGCACCTCTTGTTTGGCACCGCAATGGAAAAGCTATATCGTATGCATCGAATTTATATTTATACTTATTTATTTTATACTTACTTGAATAAAGCTGAGAAAAAGCATCGTACAATAACTATTTTTCATTAGTTATTTTAGATATTTCGAAAATTTTTTTCAGCGAAAGCGATCCAAGATTTATAATAGAAAATGATGCAGTTGGACGATTCACAATAACAATAAAAGAAGTGATTCAAGAGGATCAAGGAGAATGGATGGCAAAAATAACCAACGATGTATTTAGCAAAGTTCAAGTATACGTCGAAGGTATTTTAAATATAATAAAAAATTTAATAAAAAATTAATATAATAAAAATAATAATGATAAAAAATAATATGAAAATAATATATATAAAATATATATAGAATATATAAATATACAAATATGTAAATATATAAAATAAAAAAAAATTTTTAATATTAATTTAACAATTATTCATATTGTAGAACCTCGAACAACTTTTGTAATTCCGATGAAATCACAAAAAGTAACAGAAAATGAAATAGCGGTATTCGAATGCGATGTAAATGATAAAGACGGTGAGGTTGAATGGTACCACGATGGTATTAAAATCCCAATTGACGGTAAAAAATATATCGCTGAGGCAATTAATAGAAAAAGAAGACTTACAATAAGCGGAGCGAAATTGGAAGATCATGGTGAATATAAATGTACGACGAAAGACGATCAAACTCTTGGACAGCTTATTGTCGATGGTTTGTGACTATATCGCTTTCACTTAATTAACACAAAATAAATTTCAATAAATTTTTTTTCACAAATTTAATTTATATTTATTTTTTAATTTATTTAATTTATAATTTTACAGCTTTGAATAAATTTATTGTAAAATTGAAAGACGTCGAAGTGTTTGAAAAGGATGATGTCGATTTGCGTTGCGAAACAAAGGCAAAATGCTTTGCTTGATTTATTTTATTTATAAATAAAATAGGCCAACGATAATTTAATATTTTAATAAGGCTGTTCGTCGACTATCGCAGGAATTGTCGCATATTTCATCACTTTGCTAAACTTTGTGATGGATGGCGCCGAGGATCAAATCAAGACGTGGACCGATGTAGTTCAAAAGAGATCTAAAACGCATAAGGCGTTGAGCGATATATGGGCATATACAGGAGTAGATTTTGCTACTGCTAAGAATGGCATTGAAAAAATCTTATTCTTGCAGTCAGTGGAACTAACCTAACCAATATAGCGAGCTATTAGAATCATAATAAATATTTAGTATAAATATAAATATTTATAAATGTTTAGTAAATATTAGCGAATTTTTTGAGGTATTTTAATGTATTTTTTATAAAGATTTCGAATGGATTTAAAATTGATTCAAACATTAATGAAGAATGATTTAGGATACGAAGACGCCTGGTATTTGGTCAAGGATGGGTAAAATAATAACATCAATGCCCGGAGGCAAATATGAAACATCATCAAGAAGCGGCGTTCATACGTTAAAAATTTCAAAAATCGAGCTTACAGAAGGTGAAACCTACGAAATTAATGTCGGCGGTTTAGAAGGATCTTGCAACGTTACTGTACTTGAAGCCGAAAAAAGACCTGTATTGGATTGGAAACCTAAAAAGGTCAGTAACATATATATTTTATTATTCTTTCTTGAGTATTTATATCTCTTAAATTTTGTGGAAAGCATAATGAATATTTTTTTCTCTCAGAATCCAATTTTTTCAATACTTTTCGTATAATCCGACTAAATTTTTTAAAAAATTTTTTAAAAATTGAAAGAATACAGATTGAAATGGAGGTTGGTAAGCCAGAAGAGATCAAAGTACCATTCTCGATTAAAGGAGCTAGAAGAGGTGATCCCAAACCTGTCCTACTTCGTAATGGCAAGCCAGTTGATTTGGAAAAAATGAAAGATCTAATTGAAGTTGTCATAAATGGCGATGTTGCAGAAATTAAATTCAAGGTTTTTTTTGCATCTCTTATAAAAAACGCACCAATATTTATTTAATATCTAAAAAAAATCGAGCATTTTAGTGATTAGATATTAGATATTTTTATAATTTTTTCGATTCCAGAATCCAAAAAAAGAAGATACTGGTAAATGGGCACTGGAACTATCAAATTCGGGTGGAACTGCTCTGGCTCCTTTCGAAGTATTTGTTAAAGATAAACCAAAACCACCAAAAGGACCACTTGAAGCGAATAATATTTCTGCCAAAGGATGCGATTTAAAGTGGAATGCTCCTGAACCTCAAGAGGGTGTACCTATTAAAGGTTATATAGTAGAAATTCAAGAAAATCAAGGAAAATGGACGAAAGTTGCCGAAACAAAAACCACAGAACTTCAGGTAACATCGAAACAATAGTGATAGACGCTTCGAAATGGAAATATTTGATTTGATTTGAATAAAATCTATTTGTTGTGTGTATCCCTTCATTTTTAAGATGTTAGCAGGCTTAAGGCCAGCGAACATAAATAAATAAATAAATTTTATAGGTGCGAGATCTTAAGGAAAATGGTGAATATAAATTCCGCGTAAAAGCTGTCAATGAAGTCGGAGAATCTGAACCATTAACTGGGGATTCATTTATTGCGAAGGATGCTTATAGTACCATTTTTTTAGTTATCATTATAGAAAATTTTATGCTAATTCAATAATTCAAGATTTTTTTTTTTTTTTTAAGTGAATATAGTTTGGATTTTCATAGAAAATTTTTGGTCTTATCAAGTTTTATTAAAAAGTTGAATTAATCAAATTATTTCCTTTTTAGCACCGCCTGGTAAGCCAAAAAATATGGAAGCAGTTGATATCGATAAAGATTCACTTACATTACAATGGCAACCACCAGAAAATGATGGTGGTGCACCAATCGAAAAATATATCGTAGAACGAAGAGATAAATCCATGAAAACTTGGGATGAAATTGGAACAGTGGCTGCAGAACCAGAAAAAACAGTTTTTAGTATAGTAGACAACACGGTGGCCGAAGGCAAAGAATATTATTATCGTGTTAAAGCTGTTAATAAAGCGGGACCTGGTGATCCATGCGATCATGGCAGGCCTTTTAAGATAGTTGCAAAACCTGGTAGGTTTTTTTGAAATAAGTGTTTGTTATAACATAGTAAAATATAAAATATAAAATTATAATAATTAAATTATAATTAGAATAAATAAAATTATAATAATAATTTTATACAAATGAAAAAAAGGTAAGATTCATATTTTCAGAAGCGCCTGGTTTCCCTGGTGGAGGAATTCATGATCTTCGACTGAAAGTAGGAGAGACCATCAAGTACGACATAGCCATTGTTGGTGAACCTTTACCTGAAGTAACTTGGATTGCTTGTGGCAAGCCTTTGAAGGCTAGCGAGCGATGCAAAATGACAACTGAGCGTGGAAAGCATGTTTTAAAGGTTGGAAAGTAGCACTAGATGATTATATAAATATTTTCTGCGAATTGTCATCTCATTCTACACTTTTTTTCTAAATTAATTAATTAAGGTTGAAAATGCAAAGCGTGAAGATACAGGCCAGTACACGATAACTTTAAAGAATGCGAGTGGCAAATGTGATTCTACTGCCACTGTGACCGTCGTTTCTAAACCGCTCCCACCGAAAGGACCTTTAAATGTGACTGATATTTGTGGTGATGGTGCTGTGCTTGATTGGAAACCACCTGACGACGATGGTGGCGAACCCTTACTAGGTATTATAATTATGGTTTTTGTGCTTCTTTCTTTTTCCACAATACATACATATTTTCTCCTTGTTAACTCATCCACTCTTTAATCCTTTTTGTATTGCTTGCGTTTGTTTATAAAAATCCTAATTTCTAGAATACGTTGTGGAAGCTCAAGATATTGATAATAAAGGGCATTTTGTCCCTGTTGGTAAAGTATCGGCCAACGAAACGAAGCTGAAAATCACTGGCCTAAAGAACAAAGGCAATTACAAATTCAGGCAAATTTTAGACTTTACCTCGTTATTTGTCAATGCATTGATTTTGCACAAATAATACTTCTATACTGGCCATTATTAAAGCAAGGAAATACAATCGGTGAATGAACTCTTTAGGGTAAAAGCTGTGAATAAAGAAGGAGAATCCGATCCGCTTTCAACTGATCAATATATATTAATCAAAGATCCATGGGATGAGCCTGGTAAACCAGGTAAACCTCAAATCACCGACTATGATGCTGATAGGATTGATCTAGAATGGGAGCCACCATCTAAAGATGGCGGCGCTCCAATTGAAGAATATATCATAGAAATGAAAGATCCTCGTTCGAAAAACTGGGTTGAATGTGCTCGATCTCCGAGTAAGTTTTTATTATTATTGTTGATATTCGAGAAGTTTCTTTAGTTCTTATAATTATTTTATTGTCATTTCGAGAAAGTTCCATCTATTTCTTATTAAATTTTTCAGTAATTTCCTTATGGAATTTTGATTTGCTAAGAAATCTGGAATTGAAGTATAAAATGCGAAAAATTTTTTTTCTAGCAACGAATGCATCCATAAAAAATTTGAAAGAAGGCAATGAGTATCAGTTCAGAGTAAAAGCAGTGAATAAAGCTGGTCCAGGTCAACCTAGCGAAGCATCTGAGCGACAAATAGCGAAATCGAAATTCGGTTCATGAAAATTTGAATAATTTCATTTTTTTACGATAAATATTTTATTAATTTTCAACAATCATACTTCAACATTTAATATTATTTTATTTTATCAACGCATTATTATCTTATCAGCAATATTTTAAAAATTACTTTATAAATAATTTGATTTCAGTTCCTGCATGGTTGAAACACGAAGCATTACGAAGCATGACAATTAAAGCAGGACAAACAGCTCATTGGGATGTCGCCATTGGCGGAGAACCACCACCAGAAGTAAACTGGTTTAAAGGAGATATTCCTTTAGCAAAAAATGATCTAATTCAGGTGGTTTTTGATTACCCTCAGAAATTTATAAATAAAATTATTATTTTCTTAAAAAAGAGAGAGAAATATTTTTTTGTTAATTGTTTTAAATTAATTCAGATTGAAATTATAAAAAATGAACGTACAATCCTTTCTGTTCAATCAGCAACTCGTGCTGATTGTGGAAAATATAAGTTGATGGTTAAGAATTCAACAGGAAAAGATGAAGAGGCTGCTGATTTAACAGTCTTAGATAAGCCGGGCAAGCCACGTGGTCCTCTACAGGTTTGAAAAAGTTTTTCTCACTAAAATAATAATAAATTATGATAAAATCAGGAAATTTATTAGAAAACTACAGCAATTACTTTATTTACTTAAAAATGAATATATGAATATATGAAATATAGAATATTATGGAATTTTAAACAAAATAAAATGGAATGTTAATCGAAAAAAATGAATAGATTTGTCATTATTTACAGTTGAAATTTTATATTTCGGTAAACATTAATAGTTCCACAGTATAGTTGGAAAGTTCCACAGTTTAGTTTGATAGTCGTTTCTTATTCTTATATTTAAAATTATCTCAATGAAAATTTCAATCAACTGGAATTCGGAAATGGAAAAAATAGAAGAAAACCATGGAAAAATGGAAATATTCATAAAGTACCAATGAAAATAAATACATATATATATATAAATAAAAATAAATAAATTAATTAATTAAATTAAAAGAAAATTAAAGTTTTCCAGAACCACTGAAAAAATTAATTTTCATTCTTTAATATTTTAGTAGCCAATTAAAAATCTCCCTTAATATTTAATTTTACTTACATACTAATATAGGTATCAGATATATTCGATTCGAACTGTAATCTAGCATGGAAGCCGCCAGAAGATGATGGTGGAGAACCAATTGATCATTATGAAGTTGAAAAATTAGATGTCGAAAGTGGTCGTTGGGTGCCTTGTGCAAAAGTAAAAGATACAAAAGCACATGTGGAGGGACTTAAAAAAGGCCAAACTTATCAGTTTCGAGTTAAAGCCGTTAATCGTGAAGGCGTTAGCGATCCACTCGCAACGGATGGTTCTATTGTCGCTAAAAATCCATATGGTAATTGTAATTTTTTGGATCTCTACTGAATTCATAAGGAGACTTAAAATTTCTTAATATGTGATTTCTCAATCATCGGTGTTATATTCGATTTAAAACTTAATAATTTTAGATGAACCTGGAAGAACAAATGCACCCGAGATTACTGATTGGGATTCCGATCGTGTTAATCTTGCATGGGATCCACCAGCTAATGTAACTATCTTATTTTTTATTAATAACTAAGAAGCTTACTAAATTTTATTACACAAAAATTAGAGACGGAAAATAATTTTCGATTTCGGATTGGAGAACATGAAAACTTTTTGTAGTATTGAGTAACATTATAGTAACATTTAAGGATGGTGGTGCACCTATAACAGATTATATTATTGAAAAGAAAAGCAGACATGGCCGGGAATGGAGTGAATGCGGTAGGACGAATGGTCCTATTTGTGAAGCAGAAATTCGAGATCTTAAAGAAGGAGAAGAATACCAATTCCGAATTAAAGCGGTGAATAAAGCTGGTCCTGGTCAACCTTCAGATCCTAGTAGGAAAATTATCGCAAAGCCTCGAAATCGTTAGTAATTTTTTTTCCATTACTTTATATTCAATATGAATTGCAAGATTTTTTTCATGAAGAGTAAAGAGTAACGAAATTATTTAAGTTAAACCACGTATCGATCGTAACTCTATGAAAACTGTAACGATAAAAGTTGGCCAAGGTCATGAATTCAGTGTTCCAATAATTGGAGAACCACCACCAGAATTAAAATGGTCCTTTAATGATAAGCCAATTGAAAATGACCCAAGAATAAAGGTTATTTTCCTTTTTATAATTGCAATCGTCCATAAATTTATAAATTTAATAGGGATTATATAATCAGCTGATTATCAATGAATTGTCACACAACCATTGAATTTAAAAGATTATCACGCATGATTATCATTAAATTTAAATGAAATTATAAAACTTACTGGAAGATAAATTACACAGTTTTTTCCAAATCAGATTGTTAATGAGGACTATCACACAACCTTTTCTCTAACAGATGCAACTCGACGTCATGCTGGTAAGTACACACTAACAGCCTCAAATATCAATGGAACAGACACAAATTCTGTTGATATCATCGTAATTGGAAAGCCGTCAGCTCCAGAAGGTAAGAGATACGTCTCAAATAGAAGCATCAAAAAATAAATCAGGTATAGCTTGAAATATGAAATCATATAGTCATATTGTTTAGGTCCTCTGGAGGTTTCTGATATCCATGACACTCATATGAATCTTGAATGGAAACCACCATTGGATGATGGAGGATGTCCAATTGACCACTATAATATTGAAAAAATGGACCTTGCTACTGGACGTTGGGTTCCTTGTGGAAGAGCAGATGGTACCAGTGCAACAGTCACTAACCTACAACCTGGAAAAACATATCAGGTACCATAATTTTCCGAAAAATTCAAAAAGCAAATTATTAATTTCTTCTTTAGGCACTGAATTATGAAATATCCAAAATATCCAAAAATATACAATTTAAAATTCTCAATTTTACTTTTATTCTTTATTCTTTAAATTTTATTCTTTCTTTACACTATACATTGTCGCACTATTTTATTGTTCCTTTGTTTCCTTCTTAAATTTTCAGCTGTTTTTCAGCTGTTCTTAATTTAATTTTATTTAGTTTCGAATCAGAGCAGTGAATAAAGAAGGTGAATCTGATCCTCTTACTTCCGAAGGTGATGGATTCTTGGCTAAAAATCCTTACGATGTACCAAATAAAGTAAATAAACCAGAATTAGTTGACTGGGACAAGGATCACGTTGATTTGCAGTGGCAAGCTCCTGATGATGGTGGAGCACCTATACAAGAATATATAATTGAAAAGAAAGATAAACGTGGTCGTTGGGAAGAGGCGATGAGGGTAATTTTTTTGAAAACTGCATTCAGATAACTGACATGATAAATTAAATGAATTTCGTATTATTCATGAAAGAGAAACTTGATGAGAAAAGATAGAATGTGGCTTTGAACTGGTTTAAATTTTAAAGGTACCAGGTGGACAGACATCTGCTACAGTCCCCAATCTAAAGGAAGGCGAAGAATATCAATTCCGTATAATTGCCAAAAATAAAGCCGGCTTAAGCGAGCCTTCGGATCCTAGCGATCGAGTAATTGCTAAGCCAAGACGTTGTTAGTTGATATTTTCAATTTATATTTGCATCAAAAAATCAACAAGAGAAAATCAAAAGAAAAGGTTAAAGGCAAAAAAACCGTTAACCATTCAACTTTTTTTAGCTTTATAAGGCTAGGCAGTTTGGCATTTATAGTGAAAGTCCTAAGGCTTTCTATGGATTACTTAAATGGTTAAATAGTTAATTTTAAGTAGCACCACATATTCACCGTGAAGATGTTGATGACACGGTTGTTAAAGTCGGTCAGCCAGTCAAATTTACTATTCATATTGATGGCGAACCTCCACCAAAAGTTTCATGGACATGTGATGGCAAATCAGTACACGCAGATATAGGAATTGATAATGCCGATTATGTGACAAAATTTGCCATTTCAAAAGCTGTTAGGTATATTCGTCTATTTATTTTTATTTAGAAAACAAAAAATTTATCAAACGAATATATGGTCTAAAAAAAAGAGCTATTTGTAATTTAATATTATGATATTTTCTGCAGAAAGCAATCAGGCAAATACACAATTACTGCCACAAATGAATATGGAACAGATTCAGTGACCTTCGACATAAAAGTGAAAGGCAAGCCAGGCAAGCCAAAGGGTCCTTTAGATGTGACTAACGTTTTCGAAGATCGTGCGACTCTGAACTGGCAACCACCTGAAGATGATGGTGGTGAACCAATTGATCATGTAATTTTTTCCCCAGTTATTGTAATTTTATCTTGAGCTTATCAAAAATTCTCAAAAGAATTTTCTAGTATGAAATCGAAAGAATGGACACAAAAGATGGAATATGGGTGCCATGTGGACGAAGTAAGGACACAGAATTTCTAGCTGATGGCCTCACAAAGGATAAACATTATAAATTCAGAGTGAAAGCTGTTAATATAGAAGGAGATTCTGAGCCATTAGAAACTGATAAAACGATACATGCCAAAAATCCTTTCGATAAGCCAGGTAAACCAGGAAGACCAACACCAGTTGACTGGGATAAGGATCATGTTGATTTGGAATGGGCAAAACCAGTTGACGATGGTGGAGCACCGATTCAAGAGTATATCGTTGAAAAACGGAGTAAATACAGCAGGTATGAGCTTTAGGCTCAAAATATTTTAATGGATGATTTATTTTCATTACTTCTATCATATCTGATAGATTTTGAAAAAATAGGTCAATGTTTAAAAAAAAGAGGAGATAAAAAGGGAGTAAAAACAAACTACGGAATTTAATATGCTCTCTGATTCAAGATGGGAGCCCGCTATAACAGTACCAGCTGATTCGACATCGGCTACAGTACCAGATCTAACTGCTGGTGAAGAATACGAGTTTCGCATAATTGCTGTTAATAAAGGTGGAGCCTCAGAACCAAGCGATCCAAGTCAATCAGTTATTGCGAAACCTAGAAATCGTGCGTTTTATTTATAAATCTTTTCGTGAACCATTTTGTCGTTTAATATAGGTTTATTACCTATTATCTACACTTCAATTTCAGTTCCACCAAAGATCGATCGCAGCGCTCTCACAGCAATCCAGGTGAAAGCAGGCCATACGATAAGTTTCGATGTTCCAGTAGAAGGAGAACCACCGCCAACGATAACATGGATAATGCCAGATGGTCGTGAATTGAAACATGGAGGACGAGTCAAACTCGATAATCCAGATTATCGGACTAAACTGCAAATTCGTTCCACTGAAAGAGGAGATAGTGGAATCTTTACGATACGTGCTGTCAATTCCAACGGCCAAGATACTGCCACAGTTGAAATTAATATCACTGGTGAGCTTTTTACTTATATTCATGAAGGCGTTTAATGAAGGACTTGATTAACTGGTTTATCCAAAAATTTTAGATAAACCTTCATCACCCGAGGGACCATTGAATGTAACGGATGTACATGCAGATCACGTTACTCTTGACTGGAAGCCTCCTTTAGATGATGGTGGATTACCCATCGAAAATTATACTATAGAGAAATTCGATGTTTCAACGGGTCATTGGGTGCCATGTGTAAAGGTTCGTTATTTGAATTTCTCTGGACTAATCTGACTCCAAAATAATTCGTGATTTACAACTCATTTTATTAAGGTTGATGGGGGACAAACAACGGCAGTTGTTGATGGACTCATTCAAGGACATGAATATAAATTTCGTGTTTGTGCTGTTAATGCTGAGGGTGAATCTGAGCCACTGGAAACAATCGGAAATACTCTAGCAAAAAACCCATACGATGTTCCAGGTATTCACAGTCAACTTGTTATCTCTTAGCTAAAATGATTTTTTTTCACAAAGTCATTCTTCATTCTATTAGCACCAATAACATGGTAATTCTTATGATTTAGGTAAAACCAGCAAGCCTGAAGTAACTGACTGGGATAAAGATCGTGTCGATTTGAAATGGAACCCACCAGTAAATGATGGTGGTGCTCCTATCGAAGGGTATATAATTGAAAAGAAAGGAAAATTCGATTCATCATGGAAAGAAGCGAAGGAAGTGCCAGCTGATCAATTAAGTGCGACAATAGATGGTCTCAAACAAGGCGAAGAATATGAATTCAGAATACGTGCAAAAAATAAGGCAGGTCCAGGAGATCCATCAGAACCATGTGATCCAATTGTAACTAAACCACGCCATTTAGCTCCTCATATTGACCGAAGCGCTATAGAAGAAATTAAAGTTCGAGCTGGAACAGAGTTTCAGCTCAATATTCCTGTATCAGGTGAACCACCTCCAGAGGTCACGTGGACTTTTAATGATGCTCCTGTTGAATCTACTGATCGAATGAAAATAGACAACATTGATTATAGAACTAAATTTATAGTTAAACGAGCACTACGCTCAGACACAGGTACTTATTTGATTACTGCAAAAAATGATAGCGGAATGGATACAGCGGAAGTTAAAGTAACAGTATTAGATAGACCGGGAGAACCAGAGGGACCTATTAAAATAAGTGATATCAATAAAAATGGTTGTAAATTGGAATGGAAAGAACCGAAGGATGACGGTGGCGCTGATATTACTCATTATGTTATTGAAAAACAAGATGTAAACACCTTACGATGGACGCCTTGCGGCGAAGCGCAAGGCACTTCATTCAACGTGTCTGATCTTACTGCTGGACATGAATACAAATTTCGAGTCAGAGCCTGCAACAAATATGGTGAATCTGATCCACTTGAAAGTATAACGCCAATCACTGCTAAAGATCCCTTCGATACTGCTGGAAAACCTGGTACTCCTGAAATAACAGACTGGGACAAAGACCATGTAGACTTACAGTGGACGCCACCCTCAGATGATGGCGGTGCACCTATCGAGAAATATATTGTTGAAAAGAAACTGGCTAGTGGTGAGTGGCAGTTTGCCGAAGAAGTACCAGCCGATCAAACAACTGCAACAGTTGGACACCTAAAACAAGGTGCAACATACCAATTCAGAGTCAAAGCAATAAACAAAGCTGGAGCTTCGACACCATCGGATCCGAGTAGATCAATCGTTATGAAACCACGTCATCTTCCACCGAAGATTGATCGCGCTGCACTACTTGAAATTCGTATTAAAGCTGGAGAAACCATTGCTTTCAATGTGGGCGTAGAAGGAGAACCAAATCCGAAGGTTTCATGGTTTATCAATGACACACCTCTCACGACTTCAGATCACACAAAAATTGATAATTCTATTGATAACAGAACTATCTTAAAAACGATTAATGCTACAAGAAGAGATAGTGGAATTTACAAAATTGTTGCAGTCAATGATAGCGGCAAAGATGAAGCAGATGTCAAGGTAATTGTTTTGGATGTACCTGGTGTACCTAACGGTCCACTAGATGTTAGAGACATTTGTAAAGATAGTTGTACGTTGAAATGGAAAGAACCGGATGATGATGGTGGTTCACCCATATCTCATTATATCGTTGAGAAACAAGAAGGAAATGGTAGATGGGTGCCTTGTGGTGAAAGTTCTGATACAACTCTTCGTGTGAACAAGCTTATAGAGGGTCAGACATATAAATTCCGTGTAAAAGCAGTAAATCGACAAGGGCAATCTGAACCACTTACAACTCTTTCATCAATTACGGCGAAGAATCCGTATGATGAACCAGGAAAACCGACTGATGTGAAACCTGTAGACTGGGATAAAGACCATGTTGACCTTGAATGGAAAGCACCACAAAATGATGGAGGAGCTCCGATTGAAAATTATATCATTGAGAAAAAGGATGAATTCGGTGATTGGACTCCTTGTGCCACAGTACCGGGATCAATGACAAAGGCAACAGCTCCAAATTTAATTGCTGGCAGAACTTACCAGTTTCGTGTACGAGCTGTTAATAGAGCTGGAAAAGGCGAACCATCTGATCCAACTGAAGGAATTGTTGCCAAACCAAGAAGGTTAGCACCAAAAATAAATTTAGGTGGATTGTTTGATCTTAGAATCAGAGCGGGAATGCCTATTCGAATAAATGTTGATTACGAAGGTGAACCAACACCTAAAGCATTTTGGAAAATAAGCGATAAATTGGTCACTGATAATAATAGAGTTAATATCACGACGAAGGACAAACATAGTGAAGTAGTCATTCCATCTTCTGTAAGAGGAGATAGTGGAGTTTATACAATCACAGTTGAAAACGAACATGGAAAAGATAAAGCATCTTGCACCGTCACCGTGCTGGATGTGCCAAATGCACCAGAAGGTCCCGTGAAATTTGATAATATCACTAAAGAAGGGTGTATTTTGTCTTGGAAACCTCCGCTTGATGACGGCGGATCTGATATTATTAATTATATAATAGAAAAAATGGATACAACTCGTGGAACATGGCAAGAAGTGGGAAGATCTCCTACGTGCGAAGCAAAAGTCAACAAATTGGTTAATGGGAAAGAATATAAATTTAGAATTAAGGCAGTAAATTTACAAGGTGAATCGAAGCCCCTCGAAAGTGATGCAATGATTGCTAGGAATCAATTCGATGTTTCTAAGCCTCCATCGAAACCCGAAATATCAGACTGGGATGCGGATAGAATCGATATCGAATGGAAACCACCAAGCGATAACGGTGGATCGCCTATAAAAAATTATATAATTGAGAAAAAAGAAAAAGGAAGCCCATTATGGACTGAAGCAGGCCAAACTAGAGGTGCAAAAACATCTTTCTCGGCTACTGGTCTAAAGCCCGGTGCGGAATATGAATTCAGGGTAATTGCTGTTAATGAAGCAGGGCCATCAAATCCGTCTGAACCATCAGATGCTCAAATGGCTAAAGCCAGATATGTCAAACCAGAAATTCTTACTCAGCAACGAAAGTTCAAAATTAAAGCAGGTTTATCGTTAACTATCGAAGCTGAGTTCATAGGCTCACCAGATCCTACTGTTGAGTGGTCATTCAAAGAAAATCAACCACTAGCACCTCAGCTTATAGTTAATTCTAAAACTGGTGTCACCACAATTTTTATACCATCTGCTAAACGATCTGAAAATGGTAATTATACTTTATATCTGAAGAATGAAATTGGAGAAACCAGTGGTATTTTTGAAGTTAATGTCCAGGACCGACCAGCAGCTCCTAAAGGTCCTATCGAGGTTAGTGATATAACCAAAGATAGCTGTGTGCTATCGTGGGAACCACCAGAGGACGATGGTGGTGCAGAAATAACCAATTATGTTGTAGAGAAACGTGACACTAATTCTAATACTTGGGTGCCTGTTTCAACATTTGTTGCTGGAACATCAATCGTGGTGCCTAAGCTTCATGAAGGTCATGAATACGAATTTAGAATAATGGCGGAAAATATAAATGGACGCTCTGATCCACTCAGTACTGAAAGTCCGGTGTTAGCCAAAGATCCATTCGGAACACCAGGTAAACCTGGTCGTCCCGAAATCACTGACACTGACGTTGATCATATCAGTCTTCAATGGACTCCACCTAAAGATGATGGTGGCAATCCTATTTCGCATTATGATATTGAGCACAAAGATTTAAAAACAGGTAGATGGATAAAAATTAATACAGCTCCGGTTAAATCGACAAGCTTCACAGATGATAGGATTCAAGAGGGTCATACTTATGAATATCGTGTTATTGCGGTAAATAAAGCTGGCCCAGGCAAACCATCAGATCCTTCCATTCCAGCTATCGCTAAACCAATGTTTCAACCCCCCATTTTTGAGCTTGGCATTGATGGAAAAGAATTTCGAGTTCGTGTTGGTGAGCCACTTGATATCACGGTACCATATATTGGCTCGCCCACTCCTATAATCAAATGGTTAAAGAATGGCCAAGAATTAGCAAATATCGAAACAGATGATTCTAAAACTCGATTATATATACCAGTTAGCAAAAGAACAGATTCTGGACCATGTAAAATCAAGGCATCTAACAGCTGTGGTGATGCGGAAGCAAATATTAAAATATCGGTATTAGATAGGCCATCCCCTCCCGAAGGTCCAATAGCTTATCCAGAAACTTCACGTCGCACCGTTACCCTTACTTGGAAGCCTCCGAAAGATGATGGTGGTTCTGAAATCACAGGCTACCGTATCGAATATCAACAAACTGGATCTAATGTTTGGGAAAAAGCACTTGATAACGCTATGTCTACAACTTATACGGTTAAATCACTTGATCATGGCAAAGAATATCGATTTCGTGTTCGCGCTGAAAATATGGTTGGCCTTAGTGATCCACTAGATGGTTTTCCAGTGATTGTAAAAGATTCTTTCGATCCACCTGGAGCACCATCGACACCAGAGATTTTAAAATATGATACTAACTCTGTCAGCTTGAAATGGAATCCCCCTAAGAGCGATGGAGGCTCTCCAATTCTTGGCTACATTATCGAAAAATTTGAGAAAAAAGGTGGCGGTGATTGGTTGCCTATAAAAATGGGTCTTATTAGAGGTACAGATGCAATTGTATCTGGTCTTGCTGAAGGTGAAACTTATCAATTCCGCGTTAGAGCAGTGAATGCTGCTGGTGAAGGTATCCCAAGTAATGGAAGTGAACCGGTTACGTGTCGGCCATATATAATGCCTCCGGGTCCACCAGATCAACCGCGTGTTGGCAAGATAACAAAAAATTCTGCAGAAATAACATGGCTGAGACCCGCAAAAGATGGCGGTGCTCCTATTAATGGCTATATTATTGAAAAACGAAAACCTGGAACTAGCGAATGGATACCTTGCAATGATAAATTAGTTAAAGAAACAAGACTAGTAGTAACACCGCTGCCAGAAAATGATCAATATGAATTTCGAGTGAAAGCAGTTAATTCGGCTGGAGAAGGCGAACCATCGAAACCGTCAGATATAGTAACTATACAAGATCAGCCAGGAAGGCCATGTTTAGATTTATCAGGTTTAAAAGATGTTACCGTTCGAGCTGGTGAAACTATCGAAATTAAAATACCATATTCGGGTGGCAATCCAAAACCTATTGCCGAAATTTTCAATGGCGGTAAAGAAATTTTTGAAGATGATCGGACAAAAATCGAGGTTTACTTATTTATTTTATTTATTCATTTATTTGTATCAAAATTTTCATTATAAAAAATAGTCTATTAGATAGAAAATTGTAAACTTTTTTATTTTTTTAAGGATTAAATATGGATTAAAGGATTAAGGATTTAAGGATTAAGGATTAAATGGGTTCGACTAGCGCCTTTTGGTGACAATAAACCTCCCCACTCAAAATGGACTCCCACTATTGGATATTAGTATCTTCTTTTTAGCGAAACAGCAACCGTCAATAATGGGGAAGGAAGAATAAATGAAAGTGATTTTATAATCTTAAGATAAATGGAAGTTAAGCCTTAAATTTTATTTAGAAATCCTAAATTCTAATTTCTCCTTTTAACCTATCTTTATTAGATCTCGTGACTTTTTTAAGGTTGGTCCCGACTATGTAAAATTAACAACTGTATCTTCGAAACGATCTGATGCTGGACCATATCGTATTTCACTTTCTAATCGATTTGGTAGAGATAATGGAAAACTTAATGTGAATGTTTTGGATGCACCTGGAAAACCAATTGGTCCTTTAAGTGCAACAGATATTAGTGGCGATGCAATGACGCTTCACTGGAGTCCACCGCTGGATGATGGCGGCGGTCATGTAACGAATTATGTGGTCGAGAAGAAAGAACCCAATGGCACATGGGTGAAAGTGGGCCAGCCTATTGGCACAAGTTTCCGAGTTCGTAATCTTGAAAATGGCAAGCCATATGAGTTTCGTGTTTCAGCTGAAAATCAGTACGGTGTTGGCGAGCCTTTACAAACAATCGAACCTATTATTGCTAAAAATCCATTCAGTAAATATTTTTATTATAATTTCTTACCTATTTTAAAAAAGGGAAAATATTTGAAGGTGGCAGTTGGCTCATATGATTCCTTGTATTGCCTTACTTTTGACGATACACCACCAAAATTACAAAAACTATAAAAAAAAAATTTTCCATGATCCTGTAAGAAATCTTAATAATCAGATGGATGGTCCTTCGTACGATATGAATATTATAGCATAAATTTGTTCATTCGAAATATATCCCTTTAATTTGTATTATATCGTTAGGAATATCAATATTTTGTGCTGTTTGGTCCTTAGACCTGGTTTATTTCAGTCAAACAATAATAATTCCAAACGACTGCTTTATTTAATCGATTTAAAGCAATTCCACAGAATTACAATTTTATTTTCTAAAAATTAACAATTTACTCTATTACGATTTCAGATACGCCTGGACCGCCGGGTCAACCAGAAGCCATCGCAACAGCTGAAGAAGCTATAACATTGCAATGGTCACGGCCACTATATGATGGTGGTTCACCTATCACTGGATATATATTAGAAAAACGAGAGGAAGGAACTAGGGAATGGTCCAAATGTGTATTTGGTCCTCTTAATGATATTCGATATAAAGTAATATTTGAATTTTTCTCTGCAAAAAATTCGAAATTACTGTGAAATAATATTGACAAAGTTTGCCAAATTTATATTTCCTATAATTAAAATTTTGTTTTTTAATGAATAATACAGTTTATTCAATATTTCATTCTTTTATAGATATCATAATATTCGAATTTTTTTAGGTGACAAGCTTAACTCCACGCAAAAAATACGAATTCCGAGTTGCTGCAGTCAATGCTGCTGGACAAGGCGATTATAGTGAAAATAGTATTCCTATAGCAGCACAATTAGAAGTCACGCGACCGCGTGTGTTACCATCCTTGTTAGCACATGATGTTATTGCGGTTGCTGGAACACCAGCTAAGGTATTAATAATATTTAATAATTTTTAATGAATGAAAATATCTAAATGAATGATCTGATGATCTTCCTACATCTCTGTATCAGCGGTTGATTCTCTATTAAAGGCTAACGCCTAATTCCACTGGCTGTTAGTTTAATCAGAAATTTGGAGTCATCTGGCGATGGAAATGCCTTAGTATACAAGAGCCGAGCAAACTTGAATTAATACATAAGAGAAAAAAGAAGAGAAGTTTTTAGCGATAAGAAAAACTTATTGATAAGAAAGAAAAGGAACGTTTTTCACCTTTTCAGTATTATAGTATAAAATGGGAAGAGAATTGAAGAGATTCATCGAATATAACATCGAATATCCGAATATTTTGATTAAGATAATTCATTTTTATAATATGACTGCTAGCAATGCCCTGAAATAAAGCCTTTTGTCTTTATTATTTAGATCTTAATTCCTTTCGCATCGAGTCCTGCTCCAGAAATAATTTGGAAGAAAAATGGAATATTGATTGATGAAAATAATAAAAGACCAAAAGTTGAATCAAATGATTTTCTTACACAACTTTCATATGACAAATGTGAACGTGGTGATTCTGGAACTTATTCCGTTAAGGTTTCTGGCTTCTAAACACTTTCTTACAATTAATTTAATATTTTTTACCATTTCTGAGTCGGCAAGTTCGACTTTTACGAAGTTGTTACGACTTTTTATCAGGAATCATCTAGCCATAGAAACGCCAGTATCTCCTGTTGGAAGCAGGATCCGAAAACGCTGGCTTCCCAACATAATAATTTAACCCTCATCCATTTGGGTGTTTCATCTGTTTTATTTATTACTAAGTATTTATTTATTACTAAGTATTTTGATTACTATTTTTCAATTATATTTATTTTTAGCTTGAAAATGATGCTGGATCGGACAATGTCAACATCCATTTCATAGTTGTTGATAAGCCTAATCCACCAAGAAATCTGGCAGTGTCAGATATAACACCAGATTCATGCATATTGAACTGGGAACCACCAAATGATGATGGAGGATCACCCATCACTAATTATATAATCGAAAAATGCCATGTTCGTTCTGGACTCGACAACACATGGGAAAAGGCTTGCTCGTTTGTTAGAGGAAATAGTTATGATGTTAGAGGGCTTATGGAGAATGAAAAATATAAATTTCGAGTTAGAGCAGAGAATCAATATGGCATATCAGATCCAGTGGAAATTAAAGATGCAATCACCGCGAAATATCAATTTAAAGTTCCCTCGCAACCTAATGCACCTAGTGTTCGCGAAATGGACAATACGTGGGTGGATTTAGAATGGGATGCTCCCTCGGACGGTGGCTCTAAAATTCTTGGCTATAACGTTCAGTATAAAGAAGCTTCGTCAGGGAAGTGGATTCCAGCAAATATGCAGCTTATAAATGGACAGAATTTCCGCATTAATAATCTAAGAGATCAAGGAGAATACGAATTTCGTATCATAGCTAAAAATGCTGCAGGTTTTTCAAAACCATCTGAACCTTTCAAGCTTAAACTTAGATCGAAATTTGCTCCACCTGGTCCACCAACACAGATCAGCGCTGATTCCATTGGTCGTAACCACGTCACATTAAAATGGGTTCCTCCACTTGATGATGGTGGTTCAAAGATTACAGGCTATATAGTCGAAGCGCGAGAAATTGGAAATTCATGGCGTATTGTTAGTGACTACAATGTTATTCAGCCGGAATTCACTGTATCAAATCTAATAGAATTTCACGATTACGAATTTCGCATAACTGCTCTGAATAAAATAGGGAAAGGGCCACCTTCGTTACCATCGTCACCAATAAAAATTCGAGAACTTGGAGGATCGAAACCGCAAATCGTTGTTAAACCCGCTGATATTACGTCTCCATATAATCGCAGAGCTATATTCATATGTGAAGCTGTTGGTCGACCAGGTTTGGTTTTTTAGCTTCTTTCCTCCTTTTATTCTAACTACGAGATGAAAAGCAATTATTGGTAAGTTTATGTGGAAAATTTCAAAATAATTGTTCTCCTTTTTTTTGTAATTCCTTAAATTTTTTGTTTTATAAATTGAATTTTAGAACCAGAAGCTAAATGGTTGCGTAATGGAAGAGAAATACCTGAAGGAGCGCGATATAGAACGGAATCTCAAAATGGTGTTTTCCGTCTCATTATTCGAGAAGTGTGGGATATTGACTCTGGTGAATATACATGTGAGGTGTCGAATGTCTTTGGAAGTGATTCGGCCACAGCGAATCTAATTGTTCAAGGCAAATTTATCCTTTTGATAAAAGCGTGAAATGAAATGAACGAAAATAAACTGATGTGAATAAAAATTAAAAGAAATGGATTTCAGCTCCACCGGTAATTGAAAAAGATATTGGAAATGGAATTTATGCAGATGGTGAACTGGTTCGATTAAAAGTTTATTTCTCTGGAACGGGGCCATTTAAATATCAATTAACCCTTAATAAAGAAGAAATTAGTCCAGATCATCCAAATATCCACCTTGTTGACTTCGATAATCATGCCATTTTGACTATTCCATCAATACATAATAGCGAAGCTGGTAGATATGAGTTGACTATAAGTAACGAAAGTGGTGAAGCTAGCACAAGTTTCTGGCTCAATGTTACCGGTCTACCATCTGCTCCGCAAGGTCCACTTTTGATCAGTAGTATCAGTAAGAGTCAAGCAACACTGTCGTGGAAGCCACCTGTGGTAAATTTTATTTCTTGCTTTTCTATATATCTTGTCTAAACATATTTTTTTATTTCCCATAGAGCGTTAATGATTTATTGAACAGAATAAACTTCAGTTCAATTCTCTTCGATGCGTTTTGACTTTTCAGCGAAATTTTTATTACCTTTGTCTCAGATGAAAAATTTCTGCTGCAGAAGGAATAATGCATATATTTTTGCAGAACGATGGTGGAGCTCGGCTATTGGGCTATATCATCGAGAAGAAGGATTCAACAAAAGAAGAATGGACTGAAGTTGCTAATTTAATTAAAGACATCAATCATCTTGTTTCTGGCCTTTTTGAAGGTCATGAATATGAATTCCGAGTGAGTGCTGTGAATCAGAACGGACAAGGTCCTCCTTTGATGAGCGATGGCTCAATTGTTGCGCGATTGCCATTTGATCCGCCATTAGCACCTGGAAAACCTGAGGTCCGCAATCCTATCATAGTACATTCTTATGAAATTTTTCTTTCTTTTACATCCATAAAATTGAAAGCGATCAGATATCAGATTTAATTTAAGGTGACAGAAATGCTCGATGATCAAGTCATGTTGACTTGGAATCGACCACAATCAGATGGTGGTGGTCGTGTGCGTGGCTATATGATTGAGAAACGTGAAATAGGATCTGAAATTTGGCAAAAATGTAATCAAAATCCGTATCCATCAGCAAATTACCGAGCGAATAATTTAATCGAGGGTCGTGAGTATGAGTTCCGTGTATTTGCAGTAAACGATGCAGGCAGTTCAGAGGCATCAACTAGGTCATTGCTTATATATTATCTAAATATTTCAGATATTTCAAATGAGAATAAATTTTTTATTTAAAACTTTATCTAAAATTTTAAATAATTAGTTAATTTTAGCTAAAAAATTTAAAATCTTAGTATAAATTATTGAAATCAATGACTGGAATTATTTTTCTAGTGTTATGTTCAAATTCTCTTCATCCTCATCTGGGAAAGCACCAGAAATCACTTCTCCTTTATCTGATATCTCGGGTGAGAAACATCGATCAGTAAAACTCGAATGTTCGTTTAATGGAATTCCCACACCCGAAATTCGATGGTACAGAGGATTGAAAGAACTTGTTGATACATCTAAATATACTATAATAAATAAAAGAACTTCGCAGGTAATATTAATTATATTCTATTCAATCGGCCATATGGGACAATCACGATAGATTACTGATAATACCTAAGATTAATGATAATGTATCATAGGTGGGCCTTGCTAACTGTAGACTGTGGTTCGTTGCCTATCCTCAAATTCATTGAAAATGAGAATGTAGTAAAGTTCGTGAAGTATGATTTTTGATTTGTTAATTTAGATGCTAATTATCAATGATTTACAATCGGAAGATGCAGACGAATATTCATGTCGTGCATCAAATGAATTTGGTTGTCGTTCAACGAAAGCACAACTATCGATACGTTCCAAGCCTCGAATATTCGTTCCACCACGATATCATGGAGGCTACGAAGCTGAAAAAGATTCAAATATTGAATTTAAAGTACCTTTCAAAGCATCGCCACGACCAACTTCATATTGGATGAAGAATGGTGAACGTATAACGGAATCAGAAAAATATAAAATAATTACGGATGAAAAGTCTGTTAAATTTTTTAAATAAATTTTAAATTTATTGTAAAGTGAAATTTTGATTTTTTTTACATGAAATTGACTTAAAAATTATAAATAGAAACATATAAAATAAAATCGTTAAGACTATTAATTAATTTAAATTAAAATCAAAATAATTAATTCAATAATTAATTCAAATAAAATAATTTATGATTTTGAAATAATTTTGTGAATTTTGCTATTTTCGCTTTTTTCTAAAATTAGTAATTATTTCAGATTTTCAATACTACAAATCTCGAATGCATCAAAAATTGATTTGGGTGAATATCGCTTGGTAGTAGAAAATGAAATTGGTTCTGATTCAGGCTATATAAATTTAAAAGTTACTGACTTACCAGATCCTCCTCGCTTTCCAGTTGTTGAAAATATTCTCGATGAAGCCGTTATATTATCGTGGAAACCGCCCGAATTCGATGGAGGAGCTTTTATTACAAAGTGAAATTTTGATTTTTTTAATTTACATAAAATTAATTAATTAAAATCAATTAGAAAAAAATAATAGAAAAATAAAATAAATAAGTAAAATAGTAAAAAAAAATTTTTCTCTTTACCACAATAGATTAGTTGATTAAAGGCTAAATTGCTTGAGGCAATATTAATTTTATTTTTTCAGTTATATCGTTGAAAAACGAGAAAGTGGTACCGAAAAGTGGACACAATGTTCGAAGACTCGTTATACTTATTTGACCATCGAAGGTTTACAGCCAAAGCAAACTTATCAGTTTCGAATTAGCGCCGTAAATAAATATGGAACATCGAAACCATGCGAACCAACTACACCAACAAGTATACCTGAGGCACGCTATAGACGAAAAGGATATGATGGTAAAACAACAACTAATAATATCTATAAACCTTACTTAAAACATGCATATTCACATTTGTACTGACTCGAATTATTACTACTAACTGAACTGTTGTTTGTTTTTTCCTGAAAATTGACTCATTTGCTCAGTGTAGATTTTTAATAAATTAATGGTTTCAATAATTTTAAAATGTCTCTTTTTTGATAAATGATAATTTTCAATTTTCAAGGAAAGTTTTCTCAGATAATTATTGTTTTTCTAGTTAAAAATTAAGAGAAATAAAATTAAAGCTGATAAAAATCGGAATTGAAATTCATAATTGTTGAGATTTGAAAGTTTTTATATATTTGTGGATAGGGATTATTTCTGGATTTTTGAATTTTCTTCTTCTTGGAAATATTCTTTATTTGCTCGTGAAATGCAAATTTTCTTTCCTATCATCCTGCTTTTTTTTCCCTTTTCTTTTTCTTTTCTTCGAGCTTTTCATGTTCTTTATGCATGTATTCATGTTACTCCTCTTTTAGTTAAACATTTAGATATGAAATTTTGTATTCTCAGCTTTGGTACTTCTATTTTACTATTTTCTTTTGATGCTATCTATTTAGTAAAATTTCTGTGCGTTTTGGATTGTATAATAAATAAAATAATATATTAAATTATAGGAAAAATTTTTGTCTCTATCCTTAAGTCATTTTTCGACGAAAATTTTAGTTACGCAAGTAGTAATAAGTCGAGCCAAACGGAAATAGTGCGTAGTGTTAAAATTTTTCATTTTCTAGAAACTAAATTTATTCATAGGGGAGCCTTTTTTTATTAAATGAAACTTTTCTTTTTTTAGAATCAAAGTTTTTTCATCGTCCATGATTCAGCTATTAATGCCAAGCATTAATAATGGTTATTCCTTCAGCCCTTTGCTTTGAACTGCTCTCATTCTCTTTGTATCGAAAATATTTCTTTTTTTCAAATTTTTAGAATATTTATTTACACTTTTGGTATATGTGTATGTCAAAATTACAAGTGATTGTTATTATTATTATACATACCTTATGTGTGAATAAATTCTATATATAAAAATATATATATATAAATATATTGTTCATCTTATAAAGTAAAAAAAAAGCAGTACATTGCAATTAGTCAATAATTTTAGTGGACGATCTTGGCAAAATCGTTTATGGCAAAGGTGTGCCATCTGGAAATTATGACAGTTATGTGTTTGATGTTTGGAAGGAATATTATCCACAACCAGTAGAGACGAAACGAGAATCTATTTATGATTACTATGATATTCTCGAAGAGATTGGAACGTAAGTAATGGTCAAATGATGCATCTACTTCAATATTTCTTCCTATATTTCTAAATATAAATATATATATATATATATAAACAAAACAGAAAAACAAGCATGCATCAAAAAAATATTTCAGTGGAGCATTCGGCGTTGTTCATCGATGCGTTGAACGTTCCACTGGTAGAACGTTTGCTGCAAAATTTGTTAATACACCAAATGATTCTGATAAAAGTACTGTACGTAAAGAGATCAATACGATGTCGGCCTTAAGAAATCCTCGTTTAATCAATCTGCATGATGCATTTGAAGAGGACCAAGCAATGATTATGGTGTATGAATTGTAAGTTAATGTTCAAGTTAATTATATATAAGGTGGACGAAAAGTAAGTTGGCTGCCAGTTTATTAAGTAGGCAATCCATACATACTAATCATATCGCTCGTTGCACATGCACATCATGCACAGCACATGCACATCATGCACATCATCATGCATCATCATTATATGCATATCATTAATTCAACCACTAGTTTCAATTCATATTTAATTGCAAATTTCTTGGTTCATTTTGCTATGAATAAATTGCTTAAAATCTGAAGAGAAGTAAGGAAAAAGTTTTGCTAACTTAACATGACAAATACAAGATTACATTAATAGTGGCTCATTGGCTTAAATAAATGCCTAAAGTAAGTAAATAAATAAGTAAAGAGGATAATAGCTCAGTTGAAAATTAGTGATATAACTGAGAAGAGCTAAACATAACTGAAAAAATAACCAAATACTTTTTCTTGTTTTCTTATACTTTATTCTAAATGAATATTTGACAACGACAAACATTTAATATCAGTGAAAAAAATTGGCTAAAAATTCTAAGTGAGCCACCAAAATCGGATTTTCAAATGAGACAATGTAAAAGGATTATTTTGTCGTTATCATTATTATTATCATTGATGAAATATCAACGTTTTTTTTTTAAAATTTTTAGTATGTCCGGCGGAGAATTATTCGAAAAAGTCTCAGATATAAATAATCATATGTCTGAAAAAGAAGCTATCGAATATATGCGACAAGTTTGTGAAGGCCTTCGACATATGCATGAAATGAATTACGTACACCTTGATTTAAAACCCGAGAATATTATGTTCACAACGAAAACCAGCAATCAACTAAAACTGATCGATTTTGGCCTCACTGCAAAACTCGATCCTAGGCAAATCGTTAAAGTTACCACAGGTACTGCCGAATTTGCGGCTCCTGAAGTTGCATCAAACCAACCAATTGGATTTTATACAGACATGTGGAGCGTTGGAGTTCTAACTTACATATTGTGAGTTATTATTATTGCTCAATACTATTCGATGTTGCTCAATGGTATCTGTAGATTCAAAATTAGAGATTCTATTATTAGCGATTATTATCGCGACAATGGTGACAAAAAGAAATGATCCAACGATAATGTAAATCAAATTTTTAGGCTGTCTGGTCTATCACCATTCGGTGGTATAACCGACGATGAAACACTGAAAAATGTCAGAAATTGCGATTGGAATATGGATGATCCATGTTTTGATAATATTTCGCAAAATGCGAAAGATTTTATTCAAAAACTACTAATTTTAAATCCCGGGTTTTTAAGATTGACAAAATTTTAACCTATCTTTGACAATATAAAAATTTAACAAAAATTTGTCTCCAAATTAGATTTTTGTGAAATTCTAGTTGTTCACTTTTCTCAATAAATATTTATTTATATTTATATTTTACTAAATAAATTAACAAACAAATTTAATTAAGTAAATAAATAAATTTAACTAATTAAATAAATTCATAAATAAATTTAATTTATTGTTAATAAATTGAAGGAATCGCATGAATATCCACGAAGCACTTCAGCATCCGTGGTTAAATGATATTCCCAAAAAATCCGAACAAATTCCAAGCGAAAAATATTATTCAGTTCGTGACAGTGTAAAACAACGATACGTTCGTTTTTTTTGGACTTTTTTTGTTGAAATATGAAAGAAATAATAGAGAAAAACTTCGTAAACTTATAAAAAATTGACCTATAAGCCTATCAATCAAAATTTTTAATCAGAATTTTTTAAAAATATTTCTTATAATTTTCACTGTTAGTAATAATATTTAAATGCTAATAATACATTCATAAAAAATTGATGGATAATTCATCAACTTTTATCATTAGATTTTCAAGAATTATTTTATCGTTAAATGCATAAAAAATACATAAATTTAGAGCGCTTGGCCTGAACCGAATCCATCACTTGGTAGAATTTCAAACTTCAGTTCATTGAAAATACACCGTCCAGATGAGTATCGCATTCATGACGCTTGGTTTAATCGTGAAGAGGGCCAACCTCGCTTCATTATGAAGCCGCTTAATGAAACCTGCTATGTGGGTGATACTGCTGTTTTTAATTGCAGGTTAGTTCCTTTCAATAATGCTCCATCTCTTTAATCACTTTCAAATAATACATAAATTTAATTTTAATATTTGCGAGAATATTTTGCTTTCTATTTTTTCTCTACTCTTTACGATAAAAAATTTCAGAATAATTTCTGCAACACCACTAACCGTAACGTGGCACAAAGACGGTGTGGAACTAAAGCAGTCAATGAAATTTATAAAAAAATACGATTCAAATAAATATACGATGATAATAAATCGAGTTAAAATTGATGAAGACGGTGAATATATAATAAGAGCTAAAAATTCTTATGGAACTACTGAAGAGAAAGTTTATCTAACTGTTCTTAGTACGTTTTTCCTTTTATGCTAATATTGCCGTAAAATTTATCAAATTTTGTTAGGTATGAACAAGCCATTAAACTTATAAAATTCTATAGGGTGCAGTTGGTACTTTCAGCCATAAAATTTTTTCTTAGGTGAATATAAACGATTATATTGATACAGTGGTAAATTTGTCCATTATTTTCAGAAACAGCTGAAACTGAAGCACCAAAACGGAATGAAGCGCCAAGGAAAATCAACCGTCAGAAAGAGATCATTTCAATTAATGAGCTACGAAATGCACCAAAATTCAGTTTTCATTTGCGTCCTCGTTTAATACAAAAGAATCAATCATGCAAATTAATTTGTAATGTGCAAAGTAATCCACCTCCGAAGGTCATAATTTATTAGCTTATAAAAATTTTAAATATTCCTCCCTACTTATGGATATAAGTCGAAAAATCATATCAGCAAATCTTTTTTCGACTAATTAGGATAGTATCCACTTCTTTTCCCAATGGCTAATACTTTTCTGGCCAAAGATAATCTAAAAGTTTTTTCCAATTTACGAAATACAATTGAAAGAAAAGAATGGTTGATTTTCTGGATTTTTTGGATTCCAACCAAAATTGGCATTTCGTATCATATTTTTCGCCAAAATCTAACCTTCGTTTCGTTTCCATCGCCTAATTTCGACAATACATTATTTAGATTGAATGGTTAAAGGATGGTGTGACAGTCAACGAAGATCATTTACAAATCAGCTACAAAAGTGGTGTTTGTACACTCGAAATATTTCGATGTAAACCTAAGGATTCTGGTGTATATACGTGTAGAGCGACTAATGAATCGGGTAGTGATTCAACCGAATGTAATGTTATTGTTCAAGGTAATTTCTTTTTTTTTAGATAAATTAGGAACATCGGATTTAAAATAGAGAACATGGAAATCCAAAGCAAATTCTCAGTCACTAACCATTGCTAGTTAGGGTTAGGTTTAGTTCGATGGCTTATCGGGCAAATTTTTTTATGGAGTTTATTTAATAACAATAATAGTAACGGATCAGCGCTTATCATTTCTAGGCTCGCTCCTTTGATTGACTATAGTTTAAAACATTTTCCACTGAGACTTGAAGATAGAAAACAAATTGGCTCACCGGCATTGCTTGAAATGAATCTCTTGATGATAGATTCTAGCAATCCTAGTAGTAATTGAACGACTGCTTCTCAACAGAATAACCATTCAGTTAGCCTCCATTATGATTCTAGAAAAGCTGAAGAATGCGCGAATATTAGACCAAAAAAATTTTATAGATCGAAATAGTCGAGTTCCATTGACACTGTTTCGATCAAAGAAATATCATTCGGCTGATATCAGTGATATAAATTATCATCGTTCAAGTATTCAAGATGAAAGGAATGAAAGAAGTATGTCGTAGTTTGAAAGATAGCTGAATTATTAAGCCAATCAAAACATATCACCATAATAAAATAAAATAAAACTGGGGCCAAAATAACAAAGTTTTCGTATGTTAAGCATTTGCCTTATTAGCCTTAAACGCTTTTCTATGCAGCCAGTTCACTAAAATTTATTTTCCATATTTTTTCCTCATTCATAAAATTTTAGAAATTTTTTATGAATTTTATAATTTTATAAAGTTTTGTAAAGAAATTATTATTTATGAAATTTTTTCACTAAAAATCATTTGTACTGTTGTTTTTGATAATTATTATTTGATTATAATTAGTTTTGATTATATTATTATTTGATAATTAACATAATTATAATTAGTTTTAATTTTTATTTTCTTAATTTTTTATTAGCATTATTTGTAAGAAATGAGAAATTACGATTAAAATATTCACGAATATATTTATTCGTGCTGGCAATCCACTGGTACTTCAATCGTGACTCCTTTCTCTAGCAGAATAAAATTTCCTAATCCAATAAGCCAGTGGAGCAGACCCAAGCGAAGGGAGTGAACTCCCTCAGAAAAAAGAAAACTATGTAAAATTTATTTATTTATCATAAGATAAAAATATTCCTTATCGTCAAAAACAAATGCTTTTTGCATCTTTTTGATAATTTTATATTTCTGAATGTTATTTTTTTGGAATCGAAACGTTATCACTTCAGGTTTATTTACTTTAAAATATAAATTTTTTAATTTTTATAATTTTTCTATTTTATTTTAGATATTTATGGAATATGTTTGAATATAAAATATATAAAATATAATTCATTAAAAATTAATTATAAAATGATTTTTCGAAATTACCTTTAAACGGCTTAACGGCTTATGATGCAGTAATTTTTCACAATAATTTATATAATAAATAGCCAAATCTGAATTGGCCTAATGAAGAGTTTTCTTGCAAAATGATGTTAGGTTGAAGTGAAGAAATTCTGATAGGCACCAGAGGATATGAGTTTGACGGTGCCTAAAGTGGCATATTATGAGACTATTTGAGGGTGGCCATGAAGCATGCTAGTATTGTTTGATAAAACACATATGCGAAGAGTCCGATAAATATAAATTATAGTTGTGCTAGTGAAAACGAACAGCCTAAAATGATTTGAAGGACGATTCAATGCGAAGAAACCAAAAAACCGACTTATAGAGAAAATCTCATTATTTTCCACACCAAATCCTCGCCATTCATTGCAACATTACAAATGCTAAATCCATTCACAATAACATGGTACCATGGAAATTATCATGCATTGCAGTAAGACATGAGCATTCTTCGCAAAATTTCCATCTCATATTCGACAAAATTTTAAATAGTAAAAGGCGAAATTTTCGACGATATTTATTCAAACAATTTTCAAAAATATTTCAAAAATGAAAGCGAAATGTTCAAATTTGAATAATATTCAAATAATAAAATAAAGCAATAACAACCTTCAAAAAAAAATCTTAAATAAGATAATAAATCTCTAAAAGGGGTCAAATCTTTTTCATTCTTCATAATTTATTTTAAAAATAGATTAATTCATAAATTCCGATTTATCAAGCATAAATAAAATCAAATTACTCTATTATAAGGCTATTATACGTTCATAATTCACAGACTATATAGCGCATTATAAGAGCCAATGGTACTTTAATGTTTAAAAGCATTAAAGCATCGAATCACAAAAAAAAGCAAAATAAATTAAAAATGAATTTCAATAATTGCAACAATAAATCATTGCAAAAAATTTGAGACGTGGCGAAATAAAATCAGTGAAAAAATATATCAAACTAATGTGTGAAGAGAAAATTTGTAATTGTTCCATAAATTTGTGTAAAATTACGAAAAGCTAAGAAAAAAATTAAAAATAATTTTTAAAATTTCTTAACAAAATTTTTTTTCTACGATGTAATTCACATTTACTAATATTTTTCTAATTTAATTAAGCAAATTCTTTTAAAATTTCATTTAATTAAAAACAATTTAAAATAGCAAATACAAATTTTGAACTATACATCTTCGAACTATAAATATTTAATAATGGAATTTCAATTAATCATTATTTCGTTAGATAATTTTGCAAATTTATCGAGGAGTTTTGGAATGCTGAATCAACCACTGCAGCGTTATATCTAAAATTTTAAAATTTTAAAAATCAAAAAGAATAATTCTTCTCAATAAATTTTAGAATCTTACTTTTGCGATACAATTAGTAAAAATGTAAATATATGAAAAATGAATAAATAAACGAGAAATAAAAAATGGATATAAATGTAATCAGTTAACAAAAAGGGCAATATGCCTCAAGTGCTGAGGACGAGCAGCGCAGGTTTGACTGCTAAGGAAAAAACCTGGTAATAAAAATTTGAGTAGTTTCTAGTAGTACCAAAAGTGCATCTCTGGTGCCCGGCGTATAATGTTCCTAATAGTTGATAGATTCAACCAAGCCGGAAATATTAAAGCAAGAAGAATAATTAAAAATAGAAAGAACAACACTCAGTTCCATAAGGAGGACAATTTAATGAAAAAGAAAAAAATAAGAATAAAGAAAAAACAATAAAATCAATAATTGATTGCATACTGGATAATATTTAAAAATTCCCTGAGTATTTGCAAATGCAATAGAAAATTCTAAACGTACCTATATTATCTTTTTCTTTACATGATATAGAATAGCAACAAATTTCACGATTCTGAATCGAAGAAAGATTCCTGTAAATAAAATCCATGTTTAACATCTGCATTTTATTAATCTTTGAAAAAATTGATTTTTTAAAATATTTCATGATTTTATCAAGTTTTTTCTTTATATACAGTGTAACGTTGCGCTACCGCTAAAGTACCATTCACAATATTTTCACAATCAAAAACCATCACATTATCATGGAGAATAATCATATAATAGTTCACTACTTCTTATCATACTTCTCTGATGTTGTGATTAAGAAAAGCAGAAGTTATGACAAAGCAAATGAAATCGATTCTTTCTGCGCAAATTATATGTGCCCAAATTAATTTTTCAAGATTTCTTGCAAGATTTTATCGACTATTTTTAAAAAAAGATAATTAATTCTAGAAAATCCTTAAAAATTCTTCATAAACTGATACAATTGTTCTAAAAATTTCATCGGTACTAACCTATTTCAAATCGAAAAACTTACATGCGTTCGATTAGTTGCCGTTCATCAAGTGCACCAGGAAGATCTTTTTTATTAGCCAAAACAAGCACTGGTATGGAATCTAACTGTGGCTTGTCTAAAAGCTGTAAAAGTTCATTTCTTGAAGCCTCCATTTTATCTTCGTCAGCAGCGTCAACCATAAATATAATAGCATTAACTCCTCGGCAGTACCGTTCCCACATAGAACGAAAACGCGGTTGACCTCCTATGTCCCATAACTGCAATATTTCAAAATAGCAACATTGTATAAAGCTTTTAAAATAACCATAGCGGAGCCATAATGGAAAGGAGAAATCAATCAACAATAAATAAAATTCAAGTAACAAGGAAACAAGGAATAAAAAAACTTTCTAAAATAAAATATATTATTTATACATTATTTATTTCTTTTAAAAACTGCGAAATCATGAAAAATTAATTTGGGCATATCTAACAACGAAAAATAGAGCAAATCGATAAATATAGATTTCATTTGCTTTGTCATAATTCTACTTTTGCAACAAAATTTGACACCAAAATTTAAAAAACAACCTTAATCGTAACATTTCCTTTAGTTATTTTTCGCATATTGAAACCAACAGTTGGGATCATATCTTCCGTAAATTGACCACTCTAAAAAACATTTCAAAATTAGCATCTTTTTTTTAATACCAATATTATTTTTTAAAAACGAATTTATTTACTTAACGCTTACAGCTGAAAAAACTCAAGATAGCAAAATATATATGAAGATCAGTTACGAGAAGGAGAAAACAAATCGAATTTAAAAAATTGATTTGGTATGCAAACCATTAAACCATTAGTTTATAATATTGTAATAATATTGGTGTAATATATGAAAAGCAAAGATAAAACGGTTGAAACTATCGAATAATTTTGTTTTGGATCTATCCTTAAAAAGAATATTAAGCAAAGTGGCTGGTACTATCCATCATTTCTACAGTAATTAATAAAAACTGGTACCACTTCTTAGTGACACTCAATTCTTAGCCAATTTTTTTTTATTTCTAAGAGCGCTCAACATTTCCGACTAAGATTTGCTCCGCTGGTTCGTCGCAAATGACAAATTTCACTTACCGATATAAGCATAAATCAGTTGTCATCATCACCCAGACTTTTACAACAGTTTTACTCATAGCAAGAGTAGAGACACTACAGTAGAGATGCCTCAGAATGAGATCAATTCACTAGGCTATTCTACTCGCAGAAATATGTGATCATAGCTCATTTCCACAAATGTTTCAATTCATAATTATTTAGTTCATTTCAGCATTTTCAGCGAAATTAAAATCATCTCTTTTAGGTTGATACACCATATTGGAACTTTGCAACGAAATAGTTCCAAGATAGTTTTTTTGATAAGGAGAGATCGAAAACAAAATGAAATAAATATACCGCTATGACATTAACGAAAGTTGTCTTTCCAGAATTTTGCAAACCAACTAATGTTAACTCCATTTCTTCACGCCAAAATAAACTACGAATCCAATCGAGAACACGATTTATCATCGCCAACATCTTTTTGAATCTTCCAAGTAATAATATTTAAAAATCCAGATAAACTGAAAAAAAAAACAAGAAATGAGAAATTAAAATATGAAAAATTATTAAAATTATTTTAAAAAGAGATAAAAGGCTCGATATAATTAAAAATACACTATTTTTTCAAAATAAAATATGAAAAAAATGGTAGAAAAATTGAAAAAAAATACTAATCGAATATTAGAAAAATAAAATATGCAAAAAAAGAGATAATAAAAAATAAATTATTTGATAAACAAGAAAAAAAAACTGATGGTTGCAATACTGATGGTTTATTACTACTAATATTTCGTAAAATATTCATAAAAAATAATATTTGTGAGAAGATTTACTTGGGAAAGATTTGGTTCATGCTTATAGCCTACCTAGCCAGTCGAACCAGTAGAGGAGGTAGGAGCTGTTATAAGAAGAAGGAGATTTGGGATGTGTTGGCCAATTTCTGCAGATAGAGTGCAGTACGGCGATAAAGGTCATTGTTTACAGGAAGAGAGGTCACGAAGAATGTGAAAAAACCGAACTTGATCCACACTTTCAGTTCTCGTCCCGACTTCTCCAATTTCACTTGATCCATTCATTTATCCATTTTCTTTCATTTCTTCACTCAATTCCTTCACAACCCTTATAATTTTCTCGATTTCCTCGACTCCTTCGGACTTCTTCTATGAGTCCTTCCTCTCCTCCTTATCCCCATCATTATCATCTAATTCACCAATTCCTTATCATCTAACCACCAATCCTTTAAAACCTTAAAATCTCAAATTATTTAATCGTTAAAATTGGACAATCATCATGGCCTCCCTTCGACTTTTCATGGCTCGGTAGGTGTAAAGTTCGGCCCCTTTAATCTGCGCATTTAGGCAGCTTCGAAATTTGAAGGAAAGTTAGGCCTAGCATTTAGGCTTATCACTTCAGACTTAATCATAACAATTCAAGCATAAATTTAGTTTTTAAGCTTGGAGTTTAGGCTTACAAATGGTGCTTTGGTTTTTCTTTATTAGTGAAAATATGGTGACAATGCTCCCCTCGGTGATCAAAAGCCAATCTCTCTTAATCGCCGCAATCTGCCAATATTGCTTGGGTCAGATTTGATTAAAAATTAAGATGCTGTCAATCAAATTCGATGAGAAATAACGCCGATATATGGAGGGTTCAAGATTTAAGCAATTTATACTATTTTCAGATGTCATTCAAGAATCTCCATTTTCTCCATTATCAGATATGTTAATGAATGCTTTCTGAGTAATGCAAAAATGATTTTTGGCGGAAAAGGTCTTATCAGTAGTTTATCAATTTATCAATTGACTTCTTTTGAAAAATGCTAAAAATTGTATTTGCATCTTGTTGCTCTAAAGTTATATAGCGTAGTTTGCGAGAGGGTTCTCCTAGGTAGTTAAATTATCTCATCCGCTTCCATAGCTAAGTTGTTAGACTATTTCTGTTCAATTGGTTCCAAAATTTGCACTATTTTGCATATGGACTAATCATATGTTCATGTATGAATGAAATTATTAAAATTAATTAAGTTACAAGGAGACAATCCATTCATTTGGTTGAGCCATAATTCTGCATTAGATCTGCGCATATGAAGAACTGACAGAACCCTTTGAAATAAGAAATGGTTTCCGTCAAAGTTGCGTCCTTTCCCCTGCAGTATTCAACTATGCGATCGAGTGGATAATGGACACGGCTTGACGGTATTCAAGAAGTATATATACAAATCAGTTCGTTTGAATACGTTGATGATGTAGTTCTTCTTGTTATGATGAAATGCAAATTATACTAAAAATGTGTCAGCATCTGTAGCGAGAATTAATCTCAGGGTCAATGAATAAATGAAAGCCTTTTCTTCTTATGTATAAGAAGCTGATAGAATAGCTTCTTTTTATAATTCTTGCTGAAAAAGTGCCAATTTTAAATACCTTGGATCCACTTTAATACCGAATGGCCAAGCAAAAGACAAAATTACAACCAAGATAAGAAAGCTAGAAATGAGTTCCTCTGGTTCACGAAACCTTTATGGAGTCGGTGTGAGACCATCAAAAAAACTAAAGTCCGTGTCTATATAGCAGCCATTCTTTCGACCATGCTATATGGCTGCGAAATATGACCAATGCGAGTGGAGAATATTAAGAAATTATTTACCTTTGACCCCTCTTATCCAAGGTGCATTTTACGGGTTCGCCGAGCGGATAAAATATTACATTATCACATTCACCTTCGTTCAAGTACCACTTGCATTATCAGTACCGTATAGAGCATAGGGTTCGCTGGTTAGGACATATTCTCGTTGCCCACCACAAAATTCGACATATATTTCGTTTTTTGCTAAACCCTGTGATGGGCGGCCTCATAAGCGAGATGAGCCAATTAAGACCTGAACTGAAAGATTTCCAACGTATAGATGGACCAGCAATATATGGACTTAGACGATGCAAAAAGGAATGGCTTCTATTACTGTCGACTATGGCATCAGATCGCGCAACTTGGGAACGCCCTACCCTTGTAGTCAGTGGAGTCAGCTTAAGTAATGATGAGAGGTGTTAAAAGAAGAAAAAGAATTCCGCACCAAATATTAGTCTAAAAGTATTTGCGGATACCTATAACAAGGGTACCATTAGAGCTAATATTCAGCAATACAAAAAATATATAACATATTGCTTGTAAAACATGCATGCATTGAAAAATGCGAAATATTAATTTTCCGAAATGAAATAAAAAAAATTTCATCTAAAATTTTGACTTAATATTTACATATATATATATATTGACTTAATATAATATTTACCTAAATTTTTTTGCTCAGTGAAATTTTATACTTTTCATATTTTATTCTGCAAAATATGGAACCTACGATATTTTTTATAGGCTTTAACTTTAATAACTTATTATTATTTAATTAAATGAAGTTGCAAAAAGTGGCAAAAACGATGAGGACCAATCAAGGTCTGGACTAATACAGTCAAGAAAGTTTTTGAATGTAGTCCAGCGACATTTGGGCTTAGACGATGGAAAAAGGAAGGGCTTGTATCATTACTAGCGATGGCGTCGGACCGAGCAGCTTGGAGATGTCTTACCCTTGTAGCCAGACGAGCCAGCCTGACCAGTAATGGTGAGAGCTGTTCGAAGAAGAAGGAGATAAAGAATTTTCAATTTATCAAATTATTTTATTAGAAAAAGTATAATAAACTAAAAATTTGCATACTAAATGAAATTTTTCAAAATTTTCATTTCAAAATAAAAATTTATTATTTAATAGAAAAAAATTAAATGAACGGTTCTTTTGAAAAAGAAATTTCATTCAGGTTCGAGAAAAATTTTTTTAAAAGTTTTATAAAATAATAGAAAATTGATATTCTTTTTGCTTTTCCTTTCTTGGCCAAGAAAAAATAAATTAGAATTTATTAGAATTGCTGAATCACGAGCGAGGAATTATTAGTGTTAATGGAATACTGGGAATCCAAAAAATCCCGATGAATATTCGAGAAAAATTTCCAAAATATCTCTACTAACGATACTTTTCACTTCGACAATAAAAAAAGTGTGAAGCATTCTTTTAAAAATCATTTAATATTTATGAAAAATTTCTGCTCAATTTCTGATAAAATTTAAGATATTTAATCATATGCCTTGTCAAGATAATGCTAGGAATTCACCTATATTTCTATTCTTAAGCGGTTCGTCAAAAAAGCTCAATAACCTTTGTAGTTTAAACTGGAAATGGCCAGCACTACAGATGATGATGATTGTCTTTACGATTAGCCCTTCGCAACCGACTTCGCTATATTAGTGGCATTGGCAGCCTAAGATTGTATAAAACAAAAAATATAAACGATTGCAATATTTTTCTTTTATTCATAGAAATCTCACAAGTAAAACTAATTTTTAATCAGCATGAATTCTAAAATTATTATAAACGAAGTAAAATAAATTCAATATTGTGTTTCATACTGAAATTTCCACCGGTCTGCAATTAATAGATATCTGAATATATATCTGAATATAGAAATATATTGCGAATATATTTATTACATAAATTTATTATGATTGTTAAATAAAATTTGATTATCAGTTATCAATAATATCAGTGATCATATATAAATTTAGGACGATGAATAACCATTGCTCTGAAACTAAAGTAAAATCCATAGAAGTGGAGTTAACTAAGGCAGACTCGTCGATTTGTTTAGAGAATCTTCCATTAAATGATCAGTTCTTTCCAGCCATTTATCCATCAGTGAGCCATTTTGTATTTATAAATATTTATATATATATATATATATCTTAAAGATAAATGAAAAATGAAATTATAATGTAGAAGTCAATAATCTTTTTTCTAAAAATATGCATTTTTGCCTGTTCTACATTTTGCACCTGTGGTGATTTATATTTTTTTTCTTATATTTTTTATATTTTTTTAGAATATCTTTTACGTTAATAGTTTAAAAAGAGATATTTCTAGCAAGATTAATTTTATTTTCATCATTTTTAAAGTTATTTAAAAAATTTAATCATTTAAAAAATTAGTTGCCAATAAAATGATGTTAACAATTGGCTGATAAATTAACTGGCAAAAAAATTCCAGCTTGCTCCACTGAGGTTCAAATTCGACCCGATTGTCCAGAAACGAGCTCCATATATTTGGAAATTATTTAAAAATTTCTCCGAAATTGACCGATTGATGAAGTTGGATAATTTAATGAAAAATTAGAATAACGCATTTCTTAAATTGTTTCATATTGTTAATTGCACTGAGCAGTTCAAATAACGCCGCTAAACTAAGTTTAATGACGGATCATTGCTTAAACCGATTTATTTCTTAATGATATGTCTATTTAATGGTTGCCTTTTGCCTTAATATTTGCAAATACGTATGAAACGTTGGTGAAATTTTATAAGCTAGAAAAAAAAATTCAGGAAATTGAGAAATCGACCATTTTTGAGAATGATGTATATTGTGTCGAAGGCTTGTAATGAAACTACCAAAATATTGCATGAACCTTTAATTCATCAGCTATTTTATAAAAAAACATTAACAACAGAAAAACTTAATCATTTCAAAAAAGTCTGGAAGAACGGTTTGTAATTTTAACTTAACTGACAAAAAACTATTAAGCCTTTAGGCCATTTTTAAAAAATGGAGAAATAATGGAAAGCGTAGTTCTATTAGGTTTCCAGAAATTAATCCTTATCATTATTATTCTGAATTTATGATTTAATTCTTGAAAATAAACCGATTAAATGAAGAAAAAAAAGTTCAGTAATTTCATTTTTTTTTAAGCCTTCGCTAATGAAACTATTTTGCAGTTTATGTTGAACCTTTTCGAGAACATTTATTGGAAACTGGTTGTGCTTCAAGGAATTTTTATGTTGAAATGGTAATCTTAAGGAAATATTGCAAATGGATTGAACTATTCACTCAACTCTTAAGGAAATATACAAAACAGTTTCAGTTTCATAAAATTGCTTAATGTATTATCTTTCTTTCTTTTAAAATTTACTTATTTCTGGAATTATCGAATTCGAAGTTATCGGAACTTACCGGAATTATTTTATTTCTAAAGTAATGCGATTAATGCCTATTTTATGAAATTTCGATGGATTCGAACTTGTGTTTTTATTGGTCAAATTAATAAATAAATAGCTTCATTTTAATTTTGATCGCAAAGTAAACTGATAATCTAAGTGAAAAAGCTTTATTAGATTTGGTAATTCGAAAAATTTCTCCTTCTTTTCCTTTATTTTCTCTATTAAGAAGTCGCAACTAATTTTTAAGGTGTTGTGAATTGTGAAGGATTAATATGTAGATTAATATTTCATGGAAAAGAGCATCTAATGATGGATAACTAATAAATTTAATAAGCAATTAAGCAATCGAGCAATTTGTTCGAAATAAAATAGAAAATTTTCGAAAATTTCTCTTTATGCAATATTTCAAAGCCAATAAATAATAGTGATTGATAAAAAGATCGATAATTTTTTTATAGTAATGATAAGAGATTTTTTAAAATGAAATGTATTAAATGAATTAAATTGACAACAAAAATTGAGCCAAATATAGGCGATAATCGTTAATTTATGCGAAAATTTTCAAAAATCTTCAACCAACGAAAACAAATTGAAATAACTCAGAGATTTTTCTCTTCTTGATCGTTTGATTTAATTCAGTGAAGCAAATTTAGTTTTTGTGACATATTTATCGTGGGAATCCCGAAAGTAGAAATCCGGTGTGATTGAAATTGCGAATAAGAGAAGTATCTCTGAAATCAATTCACTTTCTTTTATTGCAAGAAAAATGACCTGAACATCCTTTGTGTCTAGAAAAACCTTAAAAGCACTTATTTTAAATCGAGAACATTTTCAGAAATGCTCTGATATACTTCTGTAGCAATAAATAACTGAGGAATGATCTTCCGTTATGACAACAAGAATTTTTATCATTCTTCTTTTTCCTTTTCAAACAGTTTAAGGAGCCTTTTCTATTAATATTTTTACAGTTTTTTAGAACTGATCAAATTTTTCAGTCGTCGACCAATAATTTTCAAATTTTCCAAATATAAACATATGATATTCAATTTGGTTTCGAGATGCAAATTACTGTTATAATTTTCATTAAAAAATTTTAATAATAAAGAATAAAAATTTTAAAAATATTTCCAAACAATTCGATCAATCAAAACTAACTTTCATTCATATATATATATATATATAAAAATATAAAAATTAATAAAATTCGTAAAATTAAATGAATTAGCAAAAAAAAAATCAAGTGAAATAGAGATTTTTTAAAATAAAAATTAGAGACCAAATTTTAAGTGAATAATAAAAAAAAATTAAGGCAAATGATGGAGGCTTAACAATAAAGATAAAAAGTTAATGTAATGTATGAGTAATAAAATCATAAAAATCACCAGAAGAGAGATACAAGGCAAGATCCATTGATCGAAAAAAACCGAAAGAACATTAATAAGATTCCAAGTAAAGCTTTCTTCCCAAGTCTTCTACGCTATTCGAAAACTATGACAAAAGAAAAAAAAAATGAAATGCATAAAATGCATAAAAGTACTGTAAAACAAAGAATATCGCTTATAGAGAGGTGAAATGAATTCAATAAAAAAAAGAATCGAAAATATGAAATTCCTTCACTTTTATATAACCCCTATTGATTACGGTCATTACTTACAATTAGTTCGAGAAAACAGCCCATTATTAACAAATAATTGAAGAATACAATCATTATTAGTAAATAACTCAAGAATACGGTCATTTGAAAGAATTATTTAATATTACATTTCGATAATTGTACTTGAAATTGAAATAGCTGCGCTAATTTAAAAAACATAATAATAATAATAATAATAATAATAATAATAATAATAGTGGTAATAATAATAAAGATGAAAAAATAATAATAAAAATAGTAATACTTCACATATTAAAAAAATTTTCAACTGCATCATGTATCATGAAAAATTCGCTTAGCGATAAAACGAATGCATGAATAATACAGCAATTGTAAAGTGAATTTAAAATGGATTCAAGAAATTTAAAATAAAACAAAATTTATAATAAATGAAATAAAAAATTTAGGCAAATTACACCGAGTGTATATAAGCGTTGAGATCGGAAAGAAGTTGGATTTCTTTTTGCGTGAATTGTCTGAACGATGGAATTGGATGCCTTAGATTAAGCGCTTCAATTGTTGAAAGATTTTTGTGAACAAAATCAACACATTTCGCTAAATCGATAATAGCTGATGGCGTTAAAATTCCAGGCAATATTTGTGATGTATCGTCGCTGTGATCCTCGAAATAGTGATAAATCGAATAGCAACGAGTGATAAGTTCAGCAATTTCAGCCTTAAAAAAAAAGCAATAAAATTATGCAAATTGCTTAAAAATTAAAATAAAGAAAATAAAAAAATGACTTGTGGAAAAACATATTTTCCAATTCTTTCAAGAAATGATTCAATACGCGTTGTTAAAAGCGATTCCGAATCAGCGCTCGAATCTGAATCTTCATCGCAAAGTTGAATACTATGTGAGAAACTTTGTGAGATATTTTGTGCAGAACGAATCGAATTGATAATTACTCGATTCATTTCGTCCTAAAATTAAGTTCCATCTATTTATTTACAAATGCAGAAATAGAAAAAAAACCTTAAGGCAGAACTAAAAATAAATTTCATGAAATGAACTAAATTTTTCATCAAGAAAAAAAATTTTTAATGACACAGCCATAAAGTTAAAATATTTTTTTTGGTTATTAACCTGATTAGGCTGAATAATACAACTTTGAGGAAATGCGAATTGGCCAAATGTTTCATTATAAAGTCGCGTATCTGAATTTTTGAAAAACTCATTGGCCATACGATCAATGCCAAAAAAACTGCAATAAATTGTATATTTTTGCAAAAATAAAAAATATCAATTTATTGTATTAAAATAGAATTTTTCTTTATATAAATATATTTTAAAAAATTAATTTACTTATTTTCATAAAATCTTTGTTGATATTGAAAACTGGCAACATTCAATTTGAATTCATTGAAAATTTGAGGTATAATGATTTTCTGGAACTTTTCCGACGAAGGCATTCGATATTTTGGCTCAAGAAGTCGAAGAAGGTTTCTGAATCCAGTTCGATCCACTGCATTCGGAGTTTCATTGTCCAGTAAGAGCATCAAACCCACCGGAAATAAAAATTTATTCATGAAATATTTAATTACTGTAAAAATATTTACTAAAAATCCGACATAAACTATAACATGCGGTCTATTGGCATATCTTATTTAATCGACCATCATATGACCAGCATATCAATTCTCAAGAAGAACAACGAAGCATTACTGCCTACTAATTAGGTAAGCAAATGGCCCATTATTTCTAGTTAGGTCCATTAGCTATTTGTATCACTGGAAATTTTTACCAAAAAATCATATCAATGAGATGATAATAGGTAGATCACCAGCACAACTCAGATTATTTGTACACCATTTGTAATAAATGATTTTTCAATTCATAAATTATTCGATTAATTAGTAACTATTCTGTTTATTATATTTATTATATTATATTATTATATTTATTTATTATATTATTACATTAGTACCGTTCAAAATGGTGGTGAGGAATGTGGCCTACAAGAAAATTTTTTGCAATTTTCATATTTTCAAGCTATATTTTATTGTATTTATGAGCCTTCTTAAAAATGACGAACATCAAATCACTAGAAATTGACGTATGCATTGAGGTAAATTTAATAAAACAGTTGTGAATTACTTATATGATTTCGAATAAATACAATAAAAAATGTGATTTATGTTATATTTATTTTTACATTCTGCATAAATATTTGAGGGAAAATTTCATATTCACCTGCTATCATTGGTTTTTCTAATAAATTTCTAAGCTTCCTACTGGAACTCTCATTTCAAATCGCGAAAAATGTGGTCCTTTTTTTTCAAAGCTAAATTTAGCATTTAGTTTTTATTTAACTCTAAAAAAAAGAAGGGAACCTACTTGATTGGTAATTCGTCGAGCTTCAGGATGATCGTCAGGCCAATAATTTTCATTTTTACCATTTAAAGTACCATTTGTTTGATCATTTGCTTCCTTTTTCAAATGATGCGTCGTTAAGTCGATTGCGTCATTGCAATAATTCACTTTTGCTTTTTTCGCTTCCGAACATTCATAAACTTCATTTTTTATCGATGAACAATTGCTTACATTTGTTTTTATTTTTTTCTAAAAAACAGCTTCTTCTTCTAAAATTTCATTAAAACTTAATTCGAGAGAATTTCTCAAAAAATCGTCTCCTCGGGGGGAATTTTTTTTTCATACCTGCAATGTTCCAGCAATAATATTCACTATGGTATGTGGTGTTGTTTCTCGTTGTCGTTGTTGTTGCAGATTTTTTTGCGAATCATTCAGTTGTTTCATAACATTTGCTCGAGCTTTTTCCTCTGAAATTTAATAGAATTATTAAATTTAACGATTAATCTCGGGCAAATTTTTTTTAAAAGACTATCAATCGTATAATCGAAAGATACAATTAATTTGCGATATTTTAATTTATTTATTTATATAAAAGGCTATTATTGCCTTCCGCAAGAGTAATCATTATCATTAAAAGATCCGGATAATGGATAATGCTATTAATATTTCTATCACTGAACACAAAAATCAAAGATTTCTCACTGCATTAACAGCCAGTAGAGTAAGCCGAAGCAGATATGATAAGTTAGATGTGATAAGCGCCAAGCATATGATAAGTCAGTTATGATAAGCGCTAAGCATATCTATTTACGAAGAAAATTATATTATTATAATTATGAATTTTCCTCGATTTCCATCTCGATTAATGCGATTAGATCAGATTTTGATGTATTTGTTTAGAGGCTGTGGAGAAAAAACCAATTCCACGCGGTATATATGGTTCGAGCGGTTTGAAAAAAGCGCTCTTCTTTATTCAACGAAAATAAAACTGTTATTATTAGAGAGCTAAAAAAAAATTGCCAGAAGAATAAGAGGTTAGGAAATAAAACAACTCTCATAAAAGTTATTTGAAGTTAGTTTTTCGAAATTTTTTTCATAATTTTTTCAAGAAAATTTTTTCCCTCCATTTTTGCATACCAAAAGCAAAAAAAAACTGATTGAAATTTTTTTAAATCAAGATTTAAGATTATTATCAAGAAAATTGAAGAACGAGAAAATTTTTGACTGGTTTTCTTCAATTTTTTTTTCTCACATTAGCCTTATATTTGGTTTATTTGGTTTTTAATTGCTGATAAATTGCGCCTGATAAGTAAATGAATGAGTAATGTCGACAATATCTCGTCAATCCAGCATTCTTTCTGCATCATTTCGACTTTTCTAATCACTTATCATATCAAAGTCAGTAAATTAAATTGAAATTTTTGAAATATTTGCTGTAAATATTGCAGAAATTCATGCAAAAAAAAAATTTTTTTGAGAAAGAAGTACAAAAAAGCGTAAAATTATCAGAAATATGCTTTAATACTGGAATTCTTAGTTAGTTCTCGAATGAAAACTTAAGCTAAAATGTCAATAGATCATAAATCACGCATTATTTGAAATTTGGTAATAATATCAACAAATTTCATTTCACCATTGAGCTAATGGATGTAATAGTTATATAAACATCTAAAATAAAAGAACCATGAAGATGATACTTTCAGTTTGTAATTATTGAAAAAGTACTATTTTTATGGTACTTACACGATCCAAACTGATTCTTTTTTCCAAGTGACTAATTTGTGAAAAAGTTTCAGCTTAAAGTTAATGAAGCCAGCCAAATCATAAATAGTCTTTGCAATAATTTCCTATTCTATTTTTTAAATGAAATTCCATTGAGGAAAAAAAGGAGAAGAAAATTTTAGTAATCCATCTTAGAGAAAAATTTCAAGAGATGGAATGGAATAAAGGAAAAGGGCAACCTAATTTAAGAGCGAGACCATTTTGGCGCGCCTCTTGCAATATTTGGTATTCATTGACATGGCAGCTGCGCAGATGTCGAATCATTCCGGTTGTACTAAATGAAACCTCATTATCTGATAATCTGATAAGCTGATAATTGCTTAAATTTCTTAATGAAAATTTCTTTTTATCTTTAAATTCAAATTAATATGAAACGATAAATAAAATTAAATTTTTTTTAATGATCAATTTTGTAATCATTGTATGGTTTAAGTATCCAGTAATCATTCTTATCACTTTATCAAAATCAGCAATTCCAATAACAATTACCGATTCCAATTTTTTTTTCAAATTTTATTTACAATGTTTGATTTAAAAATATTTTGAAAAAAAATTTGAAAATTCATAAGAAATCATAAGAACTGAAAAAAAAAAATCATGAACCTGCTATTTGTTGCTTTAATTTTCTTATAACAAATTTTACAAGTGGCTGCTTGTTGTTCACTAGGTAGTTGATCGAAATATCGCCATACTTTAGCCGTTTTCATTGTCGATCCACCCATTCTTGTTTTTATATTATTATTATTATTATTGCTATTATTGGCAGCTGGTGAATTTAATGGCGATTCAACGGGTCCAGCAGTTTTACCAGTTGATGAAATATTATCCTTGATTGTGCTGGTTAAGAGCTCGACCCGTTCGACTGAGCCTTCTAGTGGAGCCAACAGTTTGATTATTCTATATTTAAAAAATAAATGAACGATTCTCGAAGCGAAATGAAATTGGCTGAAAAAAAATTCTTAAAAAATCTTCACATTGGTCTAATTTCGATCGAAAACGATTTATTATAAAAATATACCTTTAAATAAATGAAAAAAGCAAAAAAGGACTTAAAAATAAAGAATTAAAGCAAATTTCGATTTCGTTTCGTTTATAAATATTTTCGGATTTTTTTATAAAATTTAGCAAAAAAATATTTCATCGAAAAAAGAATTTCAAAAAAAGAAAAAAACCAGAATGAAATCCAGTATAAGAAAAAAAAGAACATTTCATTAGTTTGATTAATTAAAATTTTTTTAATAAGAAATTCTGGAAAAAGAAAATGATTATAAATTAACGACAATTGTAACTTGTAATTAACGACAATTGTGACAATTGTTATTTTAGTGATAAGGAGATAAATGATACTACCAGCAGGATAAGCGTGAAGAATATTAGTAATCAAAGAACCAAACTGAAAGGCGAAGATTTGGCTCCTATTCCTTGCGGGAATAAATCCATCATTAAGAAAATCCTAGTGATCCAACTCGTACTTCTATCATCAAGTGAGGAATGATTGCTTCGCAAAAACCCCTAAACCCCCACTAAATAATCAGTAGATTTTGCTTAATCAGGAATTGAAATTGCAGTACAAAAATTACAAAAATTTAGACAAATCATAAATCTCATCTAAGAAAACAATCAGGAATGTTACAAAAACGTGTCAGTTTAATGAATCGAATTTTTTGCTTTAAAATTTTTGCTATAATTGCAATTTTTATAACTAAAACCGGATTAAAAAATCGAGTAAAACATGAAAATTTATGGAAAAAAATGCAAAAAAAATTAAGCTTTAAAAAGGGAAAAACAATTTTGTTGAAAGGAAAAACAATTTAGACAATTTTTAAATTATAAAGATTTTTATAAGTTTAATTCTAAAAATTCAATTTATCTCATAAAAATACATTTAAATTTGTGAAGAATTAATGATAATATCAGTAAAAATAAAAATGAGAAAATTAATAAAATAAGAAAAAAATACATAAATATTGCAAGAAGACGAAGAAGAATAATGCAATAATGAATTGCAAATTGCATTCTTAAAAAGCCAATATGACAATGATAATGATGATAATGATAATTATTTTATCAGGTTTTAGATAAATAACTACAAGCTATATGTAAGAAGCGATTTATATCTGCTTGAATTGGATAATGAATGAATTTGAAGAGCATCGAAAGATGAAGGAAAGAAATTTTTCCGGTTAGTTAGTTATCTTTATCTTTAGAAACAAACATATGCTATATGCTAAAGAATTTCCTTTCTTCGTTTTAGTAATTTTATCATTTTTTTGTACCACTTTTTTTTTCTAATTTTTATAGACTTTTTAAAAAATGAGAAAAAATGAAAAAAAAGAATAAATTCCTTAATTGAAAACTAAAATCATCAGAAAATTTATGAGGGAAAAATATTATTTTCTAAATTTCAAATTCCCTTTTCATTGGTCATTTATATTTCCTTGAATTTAAAAAATAATAAGATTTCATTAAATTTAAAATTTAATCAAAAGAATATTAAGCGAAACATTTAATTAATCATTTTATCATTTTGTCAAAGCATTTAATTAGTCATTTTATTAAATTTTATCAGTCGATTAAAAGATATTAATTTACTCAAATTCCACAAAAATATATTTTTAAAAAAATATTAAAATTATATGCTAAAATTATATATTAAAATACTAAAATTATATTTTTAAAATATTTTAAGAAAAAAAAATTGGTTTAGCTGTTTTTTTCATGCATTTTTTAGGAGAGAATTCTTCTAACTTAAAACAGTTAAAATGTTTGCTTTGCAAGTATTGTCATTCTACTGATAAATTATATTCAACAAAATTTAGCAATCCTTCGAATTAATTTCAACTGTTTCAATGAACCAATCGTTGGCTAATAAAATCACTTAGTAAATAAAAATCTTCATAAATAAGAAAAATTTATGATTAATTCTATATTAATTCTATTCTATATTCTAAATAATATAAATATTAGATAAACTAGAAAATATAAGAAAATTATCGTCAAATTTTCGAATGAATAAACATTTCTGAGACAAATATTCTCTGAGATTACTGTAAATTCAAAGTTTATATTTTAATATTCAAAACATTTTAATTGTTTAGTTGTTTAAAATATATGCACTTCAAAAGTTTTTAAAGAGATTCTATAAAGGAATAATTTTGAAAATAAAGAAAAAAAAGTGGAAAACTGAGGGAGAGGAAAGAATTCTCGTTGCACTATATACAACTAATGCTCGACAATGTGTGCTCGCAGCAATATAAATGTGGGAATACCTAAAGCAGTTGTGAAAAAGAGGAGGGAATAAGGAAAGAACGAAACAATGAGCCATAAAGAAGACCGTACCCAAGAAATTTATATATATATATATACATATATATATATACTTATTCTCTTTTAACCTTGATTTAGTTTTATCTTTTGCGAGCGAGTGAAAAAAATTTTTTTTTAAATTTGTTCATTTTAAATAATAATCAACTTCACTTCACTTATACGGGTATTTTATAGTAGGAAAGATGAAAGCTCATAACTTGCCCGGAAATGAAAGTTGTTATCAAGATTTATTTCAAATTATCGTAATGAACTTGCATTGAATCAAAGAGTTTTTCGATTTTTATCAATTTTATCAAAATTATCAGCAGAAATTCGCTATAAAATTCGATTTCGCTTTATTAAAGGAATTGAAGAATATTAAAAAAAAAAAAAGGAATAAGTCTTTCGATAAGTTTATTGTTATTGCTTCTCGATCGAGATGAACTTTTTCCTCTCGGATTTGAGTAATATTTATTAACCATATTTATTGGCCAAATATTTTAGTCATGAAAACTGCAAATTGCATGACATGTATGTAGCATGTATGCAATTTGTCCCCAGCTGTCGAGAGTAGACCTGAATCATGCTGGCAGCCACTCATGTCTCTACCTCCATTTTTCTGACTTTCCGGTAAAGAAATCGTATCTTAACAAGTATTGAGGCCGTCCTAACTAGAAATAGCGAATGTTATAGAAAATAAAAGAATAGCAAATGTATGAATATATGTAGCAATTTTTATAAATAAAATTTTTTTTAGCTTAATTTTATTATTTCTTTTCTTTTTACAAACAGCATTCCATATTTCTGGTTTTGTTGGATCTACAAACTATTACTATTAATTTATTTAATGGAAACCAATAATAGTATGACAGCATGGATAGTATTTCAATGCAATAAATTAGAATCCACATGATTGAATAATCTGTCACAAATGTTTCAAGACAATAATCTATAATAATTTCTGAACATGCATTCAGTTACATCAATCATTAACGATAATTTACTTCACAGATTCAAGCAAAAATTAGAAATTGAGATATTTTTTCACTAAAATAATGAATATAGAAAAAAAAGAAAGAAAAATGGATGCAACAATTCATTTTATTTCAAACAAGCAATCTAATTTTGGCGAAATTTTAGTGAATCAAAAAATTGAATAAATAATAAATTGTCAAGTCAATCAGTTAATTATTCAATGGCTTCAAAATGTCACTCATGCAACACTATGCATTAAATACAAAATCGCGCACAATAATGGAAAAATTTGGGCCATTTTGAGGGCAAAAAAAAGAAATTTTTTTAAAATCCACGAAGGATAAAATGTAAGATTATTAATGTAAGATTATTTGAACTTATAATGTTCTATTAAAATTAATTTAAAAAAAAAACAAAATTATAATTTTATTGGCAATTATTTAAGAGAATTTAGTGAAAATAGTTGGAATATTGCTGAAAAAAATAAAATCATTTAATAATTTTTTAAAAATCAACGGATTGAAAGCAAAATGATGCTTCGAAATAGATTTCATTTATTTATTTTAATTCGAATTATTTATGTGATTATAGCATATTTCCAAATAATAATAATAAATGCATGAAAAAGTGTTGTATATAAATTATTTGAAGAATTATTCGCTATATGAAAGGGCAATTATATATATTGATATAGAAAAATGAAGCACTACGGCAGCGGAATAATGCCTCAGGCGATTTTTATACAAATTCATTTTATTGCGAATGGATTTACACGGCAAGTATTTTAATCTTGCGGCAATAAATAATCTTAAATACAAAAATAGAATGGATAAAAGAATGATCTTAGAAAGCAGCGAATCAAGAAACATTTTTATAAGCTTTTTTTAATAGGTAGGAAATCTAATTTCCTTTCTCTCCTCTTCCTTCTATTCCTATTCCTCAATCTCCTCATTTACAATCACAATGACGAAGATAGATAAACCGGCTCGATTATTATATATAGTTTTTGTGTTCTAATGCGACTAGCGTGCGACACCAAAATGTTAAAAACTCATCGAAATACGTACGAACTCGTTTTCTAAATTTCATTCATGTGTGCACTACAGGCGGTCTCATTTTTGGCTATTTTTGAGATGAACGATGAAGAATTGACGGCGAACAATTCGCGAGATTTTTCATTCTATTAAATTATGATTTTATGCGATAAAAAAAAAAGAATTTTTTTATTTTTGATGTAATAATTATTAATTATCGCTTACATGGAATCAAATAAATCAAAGGAAATGAATTTCACAAATTCATTCAGCGAATATTTAATATGAATTAATTCATAGATTTTCATGCAAAAAATTTTAAAATAATAGTTTTTTTTAAAAAGAATAATCAAATCTTAAACAACCTTATAAAAATGCTATCCGAAGAACTAAGTAAGGCAAGTTGA